GATTTTTCACGTCACCACATTGACCTCCAGACTGCCAATGTCTCAGATCACCAACGAATTCCCCAGGATAAATCCAACAGAAACCGCGTGTCCGACACGAATCAAGGTCAGGAGCACATCAGAGGAGGGCTGAGACGAGCGGAGGGAAGCGGAAGTTTTCCATGCCTAGGTAGGACAAAACGGCTGTTTGCAGCAAACCAATTCCCAACGGCAGAACTGCAAGCCCCGGCGAGACAGCCTTGGGGGATGACATCTTTTGCTCAGGTGGACATCGCAATTCCCCGAAGTTGACAGATTTTTTTTTTCCCTCACCTCTTCTCCACTTGCTCGATGATAGCATCTAATAGGTAGCATTCTCGGGCCGCGAGCACCTCATCGCAGGACCAAGGACTGAGTGTGCACGGTGTTCGAGATTTCTTCCAAGGTGCTCAACGCCCTGATTGCCTCCACACAGGAAAAAAAGTTTAGGTATCCCGTCGCACCGGAGTCCCTGCGGCATCGTCATCATTATCATCATCAGGTAGCAGAGCCAAATTCTCAACGAAATCTGGCGCCTCGAGGAAAGATTCCGTCACAGGTTGACAGGGGGTACGGAAAAGTACACCCAACATAAATTTTCTTTGGCTGCTGTTGCCTTGAGCAAACAAGGTTTCCATCCAGATTCTGACGACCTCAAATTGGTGGCATGATAAGCTTATGTTTAGCTGTTCCAAAACCCACAAGAGCTCTCCAACATAGTGGAGCGGATCGTGGAAAAAGTCAAAACAAAAAGAAAACCCTGGGTGGTCCACGGAAGAGCTACGGAGGAGCTACCAGCTGCTGGTTACTTCCCTTTGTCAGATGTAACTCCCGTACGGAGTGGATCCTCTAACTACATGTGGATATACAGTCCACAAGTAGAGAGCACTGTACCGGGCGTCAATAGGAGGAGACCAGTAAGCTGGAGATGATCTTACTCATGGCCTGTGAGACAGGAAGGACATGCTTGAGTAAGACATGACGGGCTTGAGCGACGAAACGTTGTACAGGAGCTATGCGAGTCGTCCGTTGGCTTCCGCTCGCAGCGGATGGCTCCGGCACCTACGACCATGGTAGGTTGGGGAGGATTATCCCGACCCGCGGCCTGTCACAAGATTGCAACAGGGCGTTTGCTGTGCGAGCCTCGGCTTGGCTGTGGAGTGAGTGACGGTGATGATCTTGTGGGATGTTGTTTCTAAGTCCTTCTACGCCTTTTTCTTCTTTTTTCTTCCTTTTTTTTTTTTTTATTTTTTTTTGGTAGCCTTTGGATGGAGGTGTGTTTCCCGGTCGGTTCCTGTTTTCATCTGACTTTTGTATGCAGAAAAACAAAAGAAAAGAGTAGCCAAGATAATGTCTTCCAAGTGTGATGTGTTTGAAACAGGGCGGTTTGTTTGTAGTCTTTTTTCTTTTTATTATTATTTATTTATTTATTTATTTTTCGATATCTCCACGCTTTGTTGGTTTTCTTTCTTGCTCCGCCTTCGAAGCAAACGTCGAGTGGAAATCTGGTTGATAGGCTCTCCCGTAGAGCGTCGGGTACCGACGTGTGCACAAAGGCGGTTGGCGAGAAGTTTTCCTGTTACTACTCCACAGATCAGAGCTTGGGAAGGGTTTCTTTTCTTCTGGGGGCAAACGGAAAGCCAAGCTTGAAGGTACTTTTGAGTTTTAAGATTCAATAACGCCCCCCGGATTGTCAATGATCGGGACCAGGCTTTGGGTCATCGAAGTGGAGGGGCGGCGAAGTTGGAGTTTGTTTCTACTGTACGTGCCTTCGACCGTTCAAAGGTGCGGTTCCAGTGCATGGGTGCGTGAATGTGAGTGCGATTCTGGAAGGGCAACCCATCCCACGTTGAAAGAAGCGGCATTGCCCAGACGTACCTACATACATGATGAAGATTACTGCTGGTGGTGGTGATGTTGGGGCGTGGGAGACACACACACACAGAGAGAAAGAGAGAGAGAGGTGGAGTCATGACGCCTTAAAATGATCTGCCGGTGTTTGGGAAGTGGATCTGGCGCCTTACCTTATTCGAAGCTTGGCTCGGCGGGATATTTTTAAACTCAGCTAGCGTAAGTTACTAGTACGGCGAGGTATTGAGGCCTGTACGTCCCGTGTTATGAATGGAAGAGGCCAGGTCGCCAGAAGGCCAGCGAGTGACGACCGCTGCGGGCGTCGTAAGTCGGTGTTCCGCGAGGGCCGCCTGCTTATTGGCCGCCGCCGGCAGCTCGGGTGGATTAAGCTCGCGTTATGTCCCTGCCGGCTTGGTATTCTGGTAAGTTTCAAAACGCGCCTTGGGGGGGGGGGGGAAGATCGTGCGTGCGGCCAGTACGGAGAGGTACCTGCCGTAACAGCGGGGAGGACTGGGGGCAAGCAGGCTGGCTTCGAAGGTCCCAGTGCTGCTGTCTGTCGCGGTGGTCGTCGACGGGGCCAAGGACAGAGACGGGAGCTGCCAGCCGTTCACCCTGCTTGAGCGTCAGATTAGAGCGATGTGTGTGCATTTCTGTAGAACCTTCTAAAAAACGGAGTACTCCGTACAGCTATCTACTCCTCCTGATCCCGGCGATCGGAACATTTTCCCAGTCCAGATGCGTACTGCGGCGTATCAGCCCGGTATCTCGACTGGGGCCTGCCCAGCCAGTTTCCACTGCGGTGGCTGGCTAGCGCGCTTATGTAAGGCCAGGGCCCCGTTTTTTTTGTTTTGCAGCCGCTCCAGAAGCGGTAATTCAACCGTTTGATCTCTTGGACAGGGACTCTGCGAGGGTCGCGCAGCGCGGAGGACGACGCTGACCTGGAAAAAGCAAATCCAGGTTTAAAAAAAAAAGAAAAAAAGAAAAAAAAAAAAAAAGGAAAAAGAGGTGCTCGAGTCGCCAGCAAGGACAGCCACTTGGGCTGACAAGAATCCTCCTGCTCTCCGTGAAAAGCAACTTCGAAAAAACCGCTCGAGCTTCCCTCCCCACCACCCCAACTGTAGGTATGTATGGACCATCCCAACTGCCCTTTCAGCTCAAACCCCCCCCCGGTCACCGTCTGTCGTCTTGCACTGTCTGAACCTTGCAGCTTCTCCCAACCGTCCGCTGCTCGCCCCTCTCCGCATCGTGTGTACCTCGCGGTAACCCGCATATTCTGCGGTACAGTTATCGCACGGAATCTGGATCTGAACTCCAAGGATCCAGGGAATGCCGCCCGACTTGTCACTCGACGAATCTCTTTGTACGCCCTCATCTCTGACCTCTGTACCACTCTTTCTGAGCTGTCCATGCTTAGCCTACCAATCCTCGTCACCCAACTTGCCAGCCTCGTCCGCTCCTTCACCCTCTCGTGTCGTCTTCACCTTCAAGTTGCTGACTGTGCTGTGTCCGTCGTCAGGAGATCAAAAATAGACCCCCAGAGGTTACCTTCCCGCAATATCCTGCTGTGTCATGAAGCTTCCGTCAGTGTGACGAGTTTCATGCGTCTCCCGTCTTTTTCCCTCCGTCTTTTTCCCTCCGTCTTTGTTCCTGGTCCGACCTCTCCTCCCCCCCCCTTTGAACCTCTCCCGCCAGGAAAATTTATCGACCTCTCGCCATTCGCCCTCGTCTGCTTCATCCCCCCATCTCACTCTTGATCGCAGCTCTATCCCTAATTCTGCATCCAACGGTCAGTTCATCACCATTGCTAAGCGTTTGCCTTCGATCTCTTCCCACAACTCTACATTGCAAATAGAGAGAGAAGATCAAACAAAAAGAAAATAATAGAAAAAAGAAAAAAAGGAAAACAAACACGTACTCCGTATAGAGCTTGCCCCATCTCACCGCAATCCCTCCCTTCTCGCATTTCCTTCCCCACATCAATATCCGATGAACTCTCCATACCCGCATTAAGCCTAGTCGCGATCCTCAAGGTCATGCACGGAGGGTAAGTTTCGGCTTCGCTCAACGTTTGAATTCCTGTCTTGTTTACGGCTGCCTGCCGCGACCACGCTGGCAAACGAAGTCGGCCCCCTATCCGATCGTTCATCCTGCCCCCGGATGCACACGCACTCTCCTCTTGACCGTCTTCGTTACTCTTATTAAGGACTCCATATTACTATCCTTTATACCCTAATCTTAATTTTTCTTTCGCGGACTTCTTGCTCCCTTCACCTTTCCCTCACCTTCCTCTATCTTTGTTGTTTTTGTTTGTCTTTCCTTTCACGCATTCCTCACCTTTTTCCTTCTTTTTCCCCTCCCTTTACTGCTTCCGAAACGTACATTCTTCATTGCTGTAAACTGGGGCCCGGCCCTTCGCCTGTGAGGTCTGCCAGGGATACTCTCGCCTCTTGCCGGTGCACTTTTCCAGTTGCACATCTGACACACTTCATCTTCCCATTGCGCAGCCTCGACACTCATTGAACTGTAAAACTAACGGTACAATCACCTAGCTTTCACCACGGTATATTATATCGGCAGTCGGTCACACCCCCGTTGATGCACATGGTTGACAACAAACAAACATAGTTCAAACCTCCTCTTTTTTTGACTGAAATTTTGTGCATTTCACTCCAACATACATTCCTCTAGATCCTGCAAATACTACTCCTGATCGAAATTCCTTGTTAATATACTTTACATATACACTTCGGCATATACAGTTACCATTTATCACATTCCAGAACACAAAAGAATACCTGGGTGATGGCGTCAGGACTCGAAAATATTCCAAGTGTGCATGCAGTAAGTCTCAAAACCTGTTACTCTTTCCTTTTCTTTTGCTTTTTCCCCGGCTGTATATGACTAAATGTGCAAACATTGACATGGATTGTGGTCAGGTTGGAGGGCAGTCCCGTGCATTTGGGACTGCAAAAGCAAGTTGGAAAAACGATGTCTGGGGAAATGGCCACCTCACGGACGCGTTCTCGGACGGCACTAGGGAAAATGGACACTTTAGAGGTATGCCTCCCTCATATGAACCTCACGTTGGCTGTCATTAGTAACGTTTGCCATTTCCACCAGCCTCCAAAAGCATGAGCGACGAGATGATGGAAGGTAAATCCGGCTCCAGCTGCCTCCTGGCCACCTCGGAATCCGACGGGTGGGATGGACGGGCAAATATGCCTTGGAATGTCAGCCCTTCGCATGGGCATTCACTCACTCCTCCGGGGATCGATGCCCAGTCAAGGGACTCTTCTCCTCCTTACTTTTCCGCTCCTCGACCAGCTGCCATAGGCACTGCAGTAAAATCGTCAGCTCAGAGGGCTTTCTTTACACAATCCGATCCCCAGTCGGTTGCTGTGAGTTCTGTGGGCACACCGTCAGGATCTACTGGATATATGGACCATAACACCCCTCCACGAAATATCAATCCCGCCGCATTCAAGAATTCCAACCTTGGAGCCAGATTTGGAAGCGGAGCGACACTTCCTCTGACTAGCAGCGATATGGGTTCATCTGATAATCTTAATGGCTCACTCGGGTTTCGCCCTTTCCAAGCAGCCAACGTTGGCCTAGCTGGGAAGTCTACAGGGCCTTATACACATCTGTCCCGTAATTCTATGGGTTCGTTTTCACAGCGTCCTGCACATTCGTCACATTCCTCCTTTCATTCGGATTCCGATGGTAACGATATCAGAGAGCCACGAGCGCGTTATGACATTGCGCATGAATTCTCGAAACTAGGCCTTGAAGGCAATTCCTACGTTCTTCATTCCCACTCGAACTCACACCGCTCGGCCTACATGGGCCCCTCATTCGACGGATCTGTCCCGCATTTCAAATCTCCCTTTGGAGATGAAGTGTCTGGGTCTGTTCTCAGAGCATACAGCCCCGAACCGTTTTCGGACATGTCTGCGTACCAAAGTATCCCCAGGTCCCGCCATGAAGAGAGAGGCATGGGCTCTCCGTCCCTGAACGACTACGTTAGAAATACGAACAAAGGCTTTTATTCCGCTAACGGAACACCTCCAGCCGCCCCACGCCTTGTTATATCACCGGGAAACCGGCTTGCTGGCCACCTTGCAGATGAGCAGACGGAACTTCTGGATAGGAAGCTACGGAGCTTGCAGCATGAGCAGCAAGAATATCTTCAGTCGGCGAGTCCGATCTCGAGCCGCAGAGCTCTGCAGCAGGCCCAGGGATACGGTCTTTCGAGTTATCATGCCGCCCAAATCAATCAGGTTGGCAATCCATATGCGATGGGGACGTTCTCTGGTCTTCCCACTGTTGTTGCACGGAACCAGTACCGTGAGCAAGATGCTTCGCAGTCGTTACGCAGCCCTCTGTTGGAAGAATTTAGAGCCAACAATAAGGGAACCAAGCGATATGAACTCAAGGTTGGTTACAATGCGACCGTACATAAATCATGAATTGTGGATGAAGGCTTATTTTATGTTCCGTTTAGGATATCTATAACCATATTGTCGAGTTCAGCGGTGACCAGCACGGCTCTCGATTTATCCAGCAGAAACTGGAGACTGCCAACAGCGATGAAAAGGAGCGCGTTTTCCAGGAGATCAAACCCAACGCTATACAGCTCATGATGGATGTGTTTGGAAACTATGTCATCCAAAAGCTTTTCGAACACGGAAACCAAGCACAGAAGAAGGCATTGGCCCAGCAGATGATGGGTCATATTCTAAACCTTTCAACCCAGATGTACGGATGTCGGGTCGTGCAAAAGGTGAGCCTGCAATTTTTCTGTGAAATGCGCATACGACGCTAATTCTGACTAGGCGTTGGAGCATGTGCTCCTCGACCAACAAGCTGCAATGGTCAAAGAACTGGAGAACCAGGTTATCAAGTGTGTTAAGGACCAAAACGGCAACCATGTCATCCAGAAGGCCATCGAGCGAGTGCCCCAGGCTCACATTCAATTCATCATCAACGACTTCAGTGGCCAAATCCAACGCTGGGCGGTGCATTCTTATGGCTGTCGGGTCATTCAACGGATGCTTGAACATTGCAATGAAGCGGATCGTGACGCTATCCTTGCAGAACTTCATCTATGCAGTGCTAGCCTTATCCCAGACCAGTTTGGCAACTATGTGATTCAGCATGTGATCGAAAACGGGCGGGAGAGAGATAGATCCCAGATGATTGCCGTTGTGATTTCGCAACTTGTCTTGTTTTCGAAGCACAAGTTTGCTAGCAACGTCGTTGAGAAGACCCTTGAATATGGTGGGCCAAATGATCGCTCGGAGATCTTGCGTATATTTACTACTCCAAACGAGAGGGGAGAATCGCCGCTGGAGGGGCTCATGAAGGATCAATTTGGTAATTATGTTATTCGTACGTATCCTTGTTCTGGCGTTTTCCTTCCTTTTTCCTCCCCTTTTTTCCTTGCCACAATTTAATACTAATAAACCCCCAGAGAAAGTCCTCCAAGTCTTGAAAGGAGATGAGTACCAAACGTTGGTCGATAAAATTGTTCCACTGCTATCCCATCTGAAGAAACATAGCCACGGCAAGCAGATTGCGGCGATTGAGAAACACTTAGCCAAACCGACACCCCCAACTTCCTCGACGACTTCCGAGGGCAATCATCTGTGCCGTGGAAATGAAGTCGACTCATCTTACGAGGACAACGGTCTATCTACCGGAGGCACTCCTAGCTCTCGTGGTAGTACTGCCTCAAGCACCAATACGAGCATCGACCCAGCAGATATTGCTGAGAACAAATCGGCCCCAGCACCCAGCACACATTCTTCGCGATCAGCCTAAAGAATTCCAGTTCACAACACTGGGCCCCATTCTTAGGGCTCCTTTTTTTTACTCCTCTGTCACGTTTCCGAGGCTTTTTCTTACATGCCACATACCATTATTGATTTAATAGGCTCAAGACTTTGATGATCAGTTGAGTACATATACTCTTGATAAAAATTTTGCAAAAAATTAACCCTGTCCACAAGTACAACAGCGCTACCACACGCACATATACGACTAATTTGGGCGGTTGATGATGGGCAAAAATATATGCCTACCTAATTCACATGGCTGTCGGGCTTTTTACCCAATGCGGGATTTCAACCGGGACAGTCTAAATCCCATATCATTTCCCCAAAAAACTTTCCGACTGTTTCTCTCTGGCCATATTTGTTTAATAACCTTTTTTCCCTTTTTAATCCTCGATGGGATCTCTCGGCGCATCGGTCTGTTTTTATGCCTCATCTACTCCAGGCTTGTGCTGTGACATTTGAGGTGTTGGTGTGTGCATTTCCTTTGTTGACCTTTTTTTTTTTTTTTTTTTTTTTCCCTTTGTTCCTTGCACATTCATAGCCCTCTCTTTCCAGCGAACTATTTATTGCTATGGTATGGAGGAGGATCTCCGGCAAAAAAACAAAAAACTTTTCTTAAAAAAAAAAGAGAGAGACAAAAAAGAGAGAGACAAAAAAGAGAGCCCAAAAGATATTATTACTTTGATTGCTATCATCGGCCCGTTTATGCAACATGCAGGGTGGTACGGCAGGGAAAAGATTCTACTAAATATTTTATTTTTTTTTTTTTTTATTTTTTATTTTCTTTTTTACCTTTCCCCTTCAGCTTAGTTTTGGGATGCCTGGCGTTGGTTGAGGGAAGGGTGTTAATCAGATGGTATTTATTGAACTGGTTGCTTTTTGCTTTGCTGCCCTCGAATTTGAATCCTTTTTTTTTCTTCAACTACTGCTTCTGTATCTTGCGACCTTCGCTGGTATCTGTTTAGTTGTTTATTCCTTATCTTATTTTTTTATCAAGGAGAGTTTCATGGAAACTGCTGGTGCCACTATTTAACGGTGTTTTTTCCCCTCGGTTTTGTTAAGTTTTCGACTAATTAATAAAACATCAACTTATCCTTACGACCATATAGCGAGCTGATCGTCCCTGTTTTTCCCATGTATTAGGAGGTTAGTCAGACAACTAGAAAACTATACTACGAGACCGTTCTTCTGGCAAATGTAAAGAGTGGTGTCGCTGGGAGCGATGGGCATAGTTAAGAGGAGATTGTTCTCTTCTTCAGAACGTGAGAGGGATAAGATTTGGAGGGTTGTGCAGGGGGTGATCAATGCTTGCTCCCGGAACCATGCAAAGGTAATAGTCCCTATCTGCACGCAAAAGCTGCATCGCAAAGTAGTACGATAAGGGCTTGTGTTCAGGGATTTAGATGGGCTAGGATTTCCATTGGCGGACCCTCGACACAGGAACTTGAGAGGCCCAGTAGTAGTATATCTCCGGGCAAGAAGGGCATTAAAAGTAACCTAGCATGTATACAATCCGCCAGCTACACACACGCCATACTAGAAAAAGGTCCACGGGGAAGGAACGTTGTCATCAAATCAACTACATAATATCATCATTTCAAAATGCTCTGGCCGACTGGGTTGAAGGGCATTTCGCTCTGTCTCTCATTTTCGTATTTGCGCATTCTGTATGAGTGGTATAAAACATGTGAAGGGGACGGGAACTGATTGCGAACCCTAACCCCTATTGTCGTTGTGCGAAAGAGAAATATTTGTTTGTCTTCTCGAGATAGAGATGCGGGAAGTACGGAGTACATACGGAGTACATATATAATATACGCACGCGGAAGTGTGTAGGTACAGGGTAGTTAAAATGCAAATTTTTGCAAATAAAGAGAAAAGAGGCAAAAAAAAAAAAGGGGGGGGGGGAATAACTAAACTTTTCGAGGAACGGATGGGGGGTATGAACAAAGATAAAACTCGTGAGGAATGCCGTGTTTTGGGGGGAGGGGGGAAACACTGTGGGGGCGAGGGGGACAGTTAACTACATAGCCATGAAGCAGGGACATTAGATCCAGAGAGAATTACAACTTGGATACAAAATAGGGGGAAAAAAAGGGTTATGGACGGCTGTTGCTCCAACGTGAGAAGTCCAAATTTTGAAAAACATTGTTATCGATGTAGAGGTTCCGTTCTGCGCCGAAATTGGCCCGGAGGCCCTGTGCCGGTGGAGTTTCTTCGACCTGGACGGCTGCCGCTTTCGTATGGCGTCGCTGCGGAACGTAGACAGTTTCGACGGTTACATCTGAACTTCCGACCGACGCGTCGAAGGCGCGGTCTCGAAGACGGCGGATTTCGCGGAGTCGGTTCTGCCAGGAGGAGACGTGTTCGCCGCCGCGGCTGGAGACGAGAGAGAAGGCGGAGGCGTTGAGCGCGATGAGGCGAACAAACGCAGCGAGGTTCTTTCCTGATATCACTTTGGGCATAGCAGCTGGTGAGAGCTCCGGGAATCCTGGTTTGCTTACGACTTTAACGATGTAGAAGCTTTGATAGAAATCTTCAATTGAGTGAATGGGTACTTCTTTGGGAGACACCCGGCAAACTGGGGAGATGACGACATTGACGAAGTTGAATTGCGTGAGAATGGTGTCAAAGGCAACTTCTTTGTTGGATCGATTGAAAATGATATTGACAAAATCATTGCCAATATGCATCTTCTTCTTCACGCAATATGGATCCGCTGCTAAATCTGTGGGCATCATTGTCGGAATGTGATAAACGATTTCAGTCACTCGGTCGCGCCACGCATAAGTGTATTCGCCGTCAGTCCCGTGTTGCAGTCCCTGGGTGTTGAACTTCGCGTTCTCGAGCGACACCTTTGCCCCTAACCCGCCAAGGAAGAATTCATAATCGCTGCTCCCAGACGTGTTGGCGAGAATCTGGACCTCTTCAGTTTGACCTTGGTCAATGTAGATCACACCAACTTTGTGTCCATCCACAATGTCGTTCCTGTCGAAAGTGCTGATTGCCCGTCGAGTGAAATCGTCGTCGGGAAGTGGAAGAGGCTGCGTCACCACAGGGGTGGGAAATGCAGAAGTCGTCAACTGAAGGAGGATGTGCGAAGGCAAGATCCGCGTGGTTTGCTCATCGGTGATGGAATGTGGCGACGCGCTAACCGGAATCTGGTGCGGTAAAACGGGGGCTGTACGTTGCTGGTAAGAAGCATAGGTTGTGCCAGAAGCTTGTCTCTTTGTTATCTGACTCAGGCCGGAGGCACCAGCTGTTTCAACTGTGACGATACTCATTCCCACAATCCAAGTCCTTTTGGACACTGGTCCATCGCTGTCTGACGGTGGGAATCGCTCGAATGGAATAGTATCACCAAGGTCTGAAAATACCACTCTTTGCATAAAGTCCATAAAAACCTGGCTCTGCTCTTCAATGACTTCTTTCCCCGCTTCATCGGTGAAGACAAGACGTTTTATTATCCAACTGATATGATTGGATCTATCCTGTAGCTTGAGTGACAGGAACCAAAATACCATGACATGGTATGTTAGATGGTAGACGTATCTAGATAGATCATCGGAAGTATTCGCATCGACAGCGGACGCCCCAGAGGCTCCAGGAGTGGATATGGTTTCTTTCGCGCCGCCACTGAGTCGCGTTGGAAGAGAAGCAGACCGCGTGGCCAAAGGGTCCATGGCTTTGTACCGCTGCTCTCTCGACGATTCGATATACCGGAGACAGATCCCAAATACTGTGCGAATCTCCTCATCTCTCAAATTCACATACACATCCGGCAGGCGTGCGAGTAGAGCAAGAAATTCCAAGATATGGGCTGCAATATGCATTCGTGTCATGACTTTCGACATTTTGTCAAGGATTGCGTGCAGGGACTTAGTTACCGAGAGCGGAGTTTCGTGACAGCAAACGGCGAGTGCATGGATGCAGCCACGAGCGGTAGCCTCCCAGGACCCAATTCCAAGCATAAATGTACGAACCGTCTCATCCTGCTCGCTCTTCGCAAAATGCTGGTGGAAACCAATGAGTCTCGTGAGAGCCGCAAATATGCAAACAGCGATATCGCCTTTCTTTACACCAGTCCAACCATGGGGTTCCTGAAAGCTTTCGTTTTTGATTTGCTCACATAGAACGCTTCGAAGGAGCTTGATCTGGGGCATCGAGTTGCGGAAAAGTTCCCTGTTCATAAGCTGTGCCGCCAAGTAAGCAAGAACATAGCTGTATATGTCCCAGTTTTTCTCTCGTTGAAGAAGCGCGATGACCGTTTCGACCCAAAAGTTGACTGGGAGGAGAACTGGAGGGCTTTGCTCGCTGTGCTCGTCCGTAGAGCTTGGTAAAAATGCAAAAGTACGATCGCTAGGATCATCGAGCGGCTCCTCGGGCAGACTGTTGCTCTCGTCTCCGATCCACACTGGAGAATTCCACTTGACTGCACGGCTCTCGCTCGCCGCACGTGGGGTATCCGAAACCAAAGGACCAGAAGAAGGTTCTTTAAGTGATAGTCTACCGCTTTGGCTGTCGTTCCTCGGCTTTCGGTCGCTCGACGAGTCCTCCGTTACGCTTTGTCGTGAGGTCACATCGATGGTACGAGACAGAACGTTGATCAGAAAGCTGCTGTCAACTGTTGGGATTACATATATGGCTCCTGCAGAGTCACACCGGATTCTGAAAAGGACTTTTAGAGCAGATAGCCGTGCATCGGATGGACGTTGTGGTGACCGCGCAATATCGATCAATTTTTCAAAAACGAGAGATGGATTGATCGACGGGTGGCCCACTAGAGATCTTAAGAATATTCGCACTAAGCCGAGGCAGGACACGTTTGACAGAGAAGGTAGGAGAACGTTGGTCAGAGGAATGGAATGGGATACTGGATGCGATGACACGGACGTTGGCGAAAGGTCTTCTTTGATCTCATCGGCTTTCATTTGCAAGGTCAAGACGTCTATGAGCCGCTTGAACAGTTGCTCATCACAGCTGAGAGCTACCGTCACAAGGAAAGAAACTAGTTCTCGGAGGAAGGTTGCAGATGTTTCCTCTTCAAAGTTGTGCAGTAGGGCATCCGTAAACCCCTCTGCGTCGAATATCGACGAAGCATCTTCAGTACGATACGCATCTTTGTAGATGTCTAGGGCCAAAATGCGAACTTCTGTCGTTTTATCGCGGGCAAGGATGAAGTTGTGCATCAGCTCCCATGATGTGGGGATCCAGTCAGTACATCCGATGTGACAGAGTTTCTGCACACTGAGCAATCGCAGCGCCAACTCTGCCTGACTGGGGGTTAATTGCATGTGGACCTTCATAAACAGATGCAAAACGTCTATCTTCTGGTTTCCGCCGAGTCTTGGCCAGGTGGCTTCCATAGAGGAAGCGATGCGAGTGATATGAGCGGATATATTAGACTTCACGTCATCGGAGGTGTTGGCTTTCGAAGAGGCCGTGTCGGTAGACTGAGGGCGGGGGTTGATGACTCGTCTGGCAGAAGTGAGGATAACGAGGACAAAGTTGGTCCAGTTGTATTGAAGTGCGACGTCCAGATAGTCACCCTGCAGCATATTCAGGCAAACTTCGAGGATGTCGGTGTCGATGCGGCCATCGTTCTTGTTCGTGGCGTGCTGCAAGGAGCTGATGAGGAGATCGAACGAGAGGCTTGGCATGCCTTCCTGGCCGTACCCGGCGACTAGGTCTCTGAAAATGTCGACTGCGCCGCGAGTCACATTCAGATTGCGATCGGGCCCGACCGGAGTCTCGAGGAGGAATGCGTGCAGTAAGCCCACCATCTCTTTCTGGCTCTTCGACTTGGCGAGATTACGGACAACGCGCGACGTGGGGCCGGCTAGAGACTTGATCGAGGCATGGATGCTGCACAGGACGTCTAATAGAGCGCTGAAGCTTGATGACGGGACGGTGATGCTCGAGATGATTGCGTCGAAGACGGCAAGAGAGTGCTTTATATCTCCGGTCACATGCGTGCTTTTGCACACGACAAAAAGGTTTTCGAGGAGTGACTCAACATCAGCTGCGGCCGGCGATTGACGCTGTAAGGTGACAATATCGACGATTAGCTGGAACAAATCGCCAAAGGCTGCTTCTTCTGGAGTTGATGAGTTATACGGCTTTCCCAGCTTTTTGTTTTTAGCCCGAGTTGACGCAAGGGAGTCATAGAGAGGAACGATCCACGGCACGACTGTTGGAAGTGCAGAATCGTCGGAAAAGTCTATCTTTCTGCCGTGGTCTGCCAGCGCCACCAGGGCCCTGACTCGCGAGGGTATGAGATCGGGGGAGCAGGGACGGGACATGGAAGTGTATAGGTCTCGGCGAGCGGAGAGTGAGAGGTCTTGACGTCCACAGATGGTTTCGAGGAGGTTTGAGCCGGCCTTTCTTGCATCGGCGGAGGCGTGGTCTAGCAGGTAGCTCGCGGCATCCCAGATGGCTATGGCCTGGTCGGCACCGAAGCTGTGCAGGTGACGGGCGGCGCGTTCGGCTTCGTCGACAGCACCGGAGACTGGCTGGTCGCGGTTGATGTTTCGAAGCAGGGTCTCGAAATTCGGAGGTTCAAGGACGTCTGCAGCGATGCTGCCCCGATGCAAGGAGTCCAGGCCGAAGCGGCTCCCGCGACGGCCCTCCATTGTCGGCTGCAGCTGGAGCTCAGGATGCGCGGGCGAGAAAGGTCTTGGGAGAGCTGATGCTATCTTGAACACGTCAACAAAGGTGGAAGATGTGCTTTTGTGTGAAGGTGACGAAACATCGTTCGAACACATCCGCCCAAGTAGGGCGGATGAACAGGCACGGCTGGCGACTAAGCGAGCAGCAGTGAATGACTGATGGGACCTTGTACAATACTCTTGATTAGCGCTATTGTCTTCAAAGAACAGAGTGAAGGCAACTGCAACGACGGCAGCTGATGACTTGTTTTCAGAAGCATTGAATACTAACGATAGCTATATAGAGGGCGGCAAAGCAGGGCACAGTTAATGCACAGGACAAGATGAGACGAAAGGAGGGGGGGGAGCAGTACTGATCACATATATATGATCTGCGTGTATATAGTATACTGTCCAAAAACAGGTCTTTTCACTAACTAATGATGTAGATATGTCATTACGCGACCATCCACAGTGTACCACATCTGAAAAATATTGTAAATGCGTGGCCAAAATACTGGAGCAGAGGGGAGAGAACCCTGTTAAACCCCCCTCCAAGGCTATATATAATAATGGAAAAGGGAAAAAAAAAAAAAGAAAGTAGAGAAAAGAAAAGAGAAAAAAAAGGGTCTGTGGAAATAAGCCGGCTATGACAGAGAAAAAGGGGAACGGAGAGGGTGTATCTCGGGGAGTCTAAGGAACTATCTGAGAGTAATAGGGTGTGAGGTGCGAGTTTGTACCTGAGCAAGGTTAGAGGGGGGTAAAAAGAGACAGCGGAGGTGGTGGAGGAGGAGAAGGTTGGGAACTGTTAGCCGGGGCGCTGCGGTGGTCGGTGGTTCGGCGGTGGTTTGCAGCAGAAGCGCAGCAGAAGCGAAAATGTACATAAAAAGCTTTTGGCGGAGCAGCGCGGCAGATCCGGGGAAGCACGCTAGGCCGCATCGGGGCAAACCCTGTTCGGAATATCTACATCTCCGTAAATCCTGGCCACGTGATGGTTATAAAGGATTAAGATAGTTCCGTTCCGGGACGAAATGGGTCTAGCGCAGGGCCCTGACCCCGCCTTGGCATCTGATAACATAAGCAACTAAACAAACTGCCCGAAAAAGGTGGGCAGCAAAAGCCGCGACCGCAGAACGGCAGAGCGACGCAGAGAGACAAGACAGCTTAAGGAAAATTCAACCACTTGCGGCCCGGTGTAGGCAGCGTCTTGCCGGAATACCAGCACTTCCGTTTACTATATAACCGAGGACCGGTCTCTGTAGATATATCCTCAGCGAGCCGTTGTGCCCCTCCTTATCTGTGCCTGTTGACCTCTCCGAAGGCCCCCACGTTGCTGGGCAAGCTCGACCTGGGAGTCATGGCGGACGACCTTGCACCGATTGTCCAGCTTCTTCAGGCTACTTTGGACCCTAGGCAGCACAAGCAAGGTCCGTACTTCCACCAATGGAACCCCCTCCTTTTCCCCCCTTGATGATAAGTTCTAACTTGGCGTTGCACTATAGCCGAAGCTGCCCTCAGGCAAGAAGAGAAGAAGCCCGGATATTCACTCCAGCTCTTGCACATCACAGCAAACAATTCATACCCTTACAACACTCGCCTCTCCAGCGCTCTCTACTTCAAGAACTTTATCAAATGGAATTGGACGGACGAGGACGGCAATTACAAACTGCAGGAGAAAGATGTCGTGACCATCAAGCAGGAGCTTATCAGTCTGATGATCTCAATGCCCCCGGGGATTCAAACCCAGCTGGGAGAAGCAGTTAGTGTGATAGCGGATAGCGATTTCTGGCAGCGATGGGATACCTTGGTGGACGTCAGTGCGGTCCCGACCAATGTTTTGTCTCAAGGACCAGGCTAACCTGGCGCAATAGGATCTCGTCTCGCGGCTGTCTCCGGATAATATCGTTGTGAATGTTGGTGTCTTACAGGTCGCACACTCGATCTTTAAACGATGGCGCCCGCTTTTCCGCTCAGATGAACTTTTTACCGAGATCCTCCATGTCCTAGATCGGTTTGGTAAACCATATCTCGCGCTCTTTGAGGTATATATCTCGGTCCGCATTCCACCTCCTAAATTTGCGATGATCTAACATACTTGCGGCTTTTCTAGAGCCTAGACACATATATCGAGCAAAGTAGAAATGATAAGGAAAAAATCACCCAGGCATTCTCCCAGCTGAATTTGATGATCAAATTATTTTACGATCTCTCTTGCCAAGATCTCCCGGCGATCTTCGAGGATCACCTAGGACCTATTTCCTCGTTACTTTTGAAGTACTTGACATACGATAACCCGCTGCTCCATACTTCTGATGATTCGGAGTCCGGTCCGCTGGAGTTTGTGAAGGCTGGCATTTTCGAGGCGCTGGTTCTCTACGTGCAAAAGTACATCGATGCCTTTGGCACACATGTCAACCAGTTTATCGGAAGCTCTTGGAATCTTCTCACCACGATTGGCGAGGACACCAAGTATGATATTCTTGTCAACAGGGCTCTTCAATTCCTGACTTCCGTTGCTCGCCTCCCCGAACATTCGAACGCTTTCAAGAACGAAACAACACTCAGTCAAGTGACCGAAAAGGTCATTTTGCCGAACGTTTCCCTGCGAGAATCCGATATCGAAATGTTTGAAGATGAGCCTATTGAATTCATTCGCCGAGACCTTGAAGGAGGCGACAGCGAAACCAGAAGACGCGCGGCGACCGATTTTCTAAGGCAGTTGCTGGAAAACTTTGAGGCGTCGGTGACCAATATCGTCATAAGATACAGCGACCATTATCTTGCAGAGTATTCCAAGTCGCCTTCAGACCAATGGAAGTCGAAAGATACCGCGATCTACTTATTCTCAGCGATCGCAGCAAAAGGAGTCGCTACCACCACCCATGGTGTGACTACCACCAATCCCCTCGTCAGTATTACGGACTTTCTCCAGAAGAATCTGGCTTCCGACTTGGTTGCAACCACCGGTATTCACCCCCTCTTAAAGGTCGATGCCATCAAATTCCTCTACTCGTTCCGAAGTATAATCACGAAGGAGCAATGGCAGGAAATTTTGCCTCTTCTGGTACAGCACCTCGGCTCTTCAGTCTACGTTGTGTACACATACGCAGCTGTTGCCCTTGAGAGAGTGCTCTGTCTCACCGATAACCAAGGTCAGCCCATCATTTCTGCCAGCGAAATTATACCGTTGGCGGCACAGCTGCTGGAACATCTCTTTCAGCTGATAGAGAAGGACCCGTCGCCTCCTAAGATCCAAGAAAATGAGTTCTTGATGCGATGCATCATGAGGGTTCTGATTGTTATAAAGGACGGGGTGGTGCCGATTGTAGACCCGATTTTACAGCACCTCATCAAAATAACCGGGATCATCAGCACAAATCCGAGCAATCCCCGATTCTACTACTTCCATTTTGAGGCTCTTGGAGCCCTGATCAGGTACGAACCACCCTCTGAGAAGAAGTCTAAGTTTTTTTTTTTTTTTTTTTTTTTTTTTTTTATTTTACTTACTCTGGAGAAAGGTTCGGCGCTCCCGCTCAGCCCAGCAAATTCGAAACCGCCCTTTACACCCCTCTCGTCAATGTCTTGCAAAGCGATGTGCAAGGTAAGTTATTCCTTTCCAAAAGCTGGCATATCATGATCAATACTAAGCCGTTGGCGTAGAATTCATCCCATACGTCTTCCAACTTCTAGCTGCACTTCTTGAGGCCCAACCCTCCAACACACTCCCTGGGAACTACCAGAACCTACTAGCACCGATCCTTATGCCAACGATGTGGGAGACTCGGGGAAACATCCCGGCACTTGTGCGCTTGCTTTCGGCCATTCTTCCTCGTGGAGCCGAGGCGATTGTCAAGGGCAATCAAATAGAGCCAATTCTTGGTATATTCCAGAAGCTAGCGTCATCCAAGCTCAACGAGAGCTATGGCTTCGATCTTCTTGAAAATGTCATCTTGACGTTCCCTCCGTACGTGAATTTTTCTAGAGCCCTCTAGCCTTGTTGCTAATTGCAGTCTAACCACACAATGCAACCAGTACTATTCTAGAGAAATACTTTCCCACGATCATTCAGATTCTCCTGACCCGACTCCAAAAGGCGAAAACGGAAAATTTCGCCCTTCGATTTGTTCGATTCTACCACTTCATTTCGGCTCTTGATGATCAAGGTTATGGCTGCGATTTCTTCATCCGGGTCACGGAAAACATTCAGGCTAGGTAGGTCCGCTCATTTCTCGCTATAAAAAGGCCGTTTACTTTAAAGGGTTGTCATATCTAACTGCATTCCAGCGTTTTCACCCCAATCTATCTAAACATCATCCTCCCCGAGTCCCGGAAACTGGCTCGCCCGGTTGACAGGAAAGCGGCTTTGATATCGTTTACGAAGACGTTAGCCAATTCCGAAATGTTTGCGAATCGCTACAAGAAAGGATGGGCATTCACCTGCGAAGGACTTCTTAATCTCGTCAGCCAGCCTCCTCTTCCTGCTGCCAAAGACGATATTATCAAGGAGAACGACGTTGAGGATATGTCCTTTGGCGCTGGCTACACGCAATTGAACACGGTGAAGAAGGCTCCGAACGATCCGTGGCCGCAGGTTGGACCGAACCTTGGCACGTGGGTCGGGTCGTATTTGAAGGAGGCTGATAAGAAGCATGGTGGAAGAATCAGTAGTTTTGCACAGGAGAGACTGAGTCCGGAGGCCAAGGCTGGATTGGCGAGTTATCTGAGTGGTTAAAAGGGCCGTAAAAATGGATCTTTCGAGGTGAAGGAGGCAAAAAAAACAACGGAGGGAGATTTTATAATGAAATACTTTGCAATAGAAAGGAAGATCAAGGCCAAGAGCACGTTTTAATTCAATCTTGAATTTGGATCGAATATGATATTAAGAAGTGATATAGTTAAAAGTACAGTAATTGACATACATGATCATGCTAATCAAAAAAAAAAAAAAAAAAAAAAGGCGTATCAGAAATTGACAGTTAATGGACGACAACAATCAACCCTCTTCTCATCTCCTAGGCAATTCATCTGCTTCTTCCCCTCTCCCCTCTTCCTCTCCTTCTCGTGCGATTTCGGCCTCCTCCATCTCCCTCCTCTTCTTCTCCTCCAACGCTCTGTACTTCCTCTTACTCTTCTTCGTCATACTCGCCTTTCTCTTCCTCTTCGTCTCCGCCACGATGGCGGCGCGGCTCTCGTCGCCCTTCTGCAGCAGCTCGACCTTCTCGGCGAGGATCTGCAGCGCGATCTTGCGGTTCTGCGAGCGGGATCGCGTGGCTTGGGATTTTACCACGGTGTTGGTGGGCAGGTGGATGAGTTGGACGGCTGAGGAGGTTTTGTTCTAGATGAAAGGGAAAGGGGGGGGTTGGGGACGTGTTGTTTAGCTACGAATGTACTCCGTTTTGGCTTTGGGTGGATGGGTTTGAAAGGGGGGTGGGTGGGTTACGCGTAGAGAGGGCGGCTGGCCAGGGGCCGTTTAAGCATGTATGTACGGAATATGCCCGCATTTCCCAGATTCGGGGGGGGTTTCGGGAAGTGGACTTGTCTGATGGGGTTGCTTGGACATGCTTCGTGGGTATAACTCGTGGCAACTGGAGCAAATGTGCTGATATCGGGGTATAGAAAAGGCAGAAATGACGAAGGGGGATGTAGTGCCTCAGCTCGAATACAGATAGCGTAACTTAGGATTACTTACAATCTTCTGGCCGCCCGGTCCTGACCCCTTCAAGTAGGTACCAGTGATCTCCGATTCATCGATTGTTGGCCGTGGCGGCATCTGCTTCGCAGCCAAGGCGTTGGACGAAGACAGCGGGCGTCGGCTGGCGGGTAGACCGCGCCATGCAAGGGTGCGCGATATGGGTGTGAACAGCTTGGTGAGGGGCATGGCTTGCTATAGGTTGGGTAGAGGGGCGGTCAAAATCCAAGTGAGGGATGGTGATGAAAATGCCAACTAACAAGGTAGATGGAATCATATATCGCCCTGCTTCTTCTCCGGGTTGAAGCTTTAGAGGAGGGTTGTGTGTGCTGGATACCAAAAAGATGGCTGGTGAGAGAAAATATTGAGTTTCACGGCATCAGACAACTTCCGCTGGTCCTCAAATTTTTTTCAGCTCTCAACCTCTAGCCATGCACTGGTGGTCTAAATCACAAGTGGGATGTGTTGTTGCAATTGATCTCACTTCTGCTGTCAGGGATGCTGTCTCAATATCCTCGGTCGGCGATCGTGGGAGTTACACACATGGTTACATGCTACCCCTCCTGCAGCTAACTAGCTACTGGCGACGGGGACTCTTGTGTCTCCTCAGCTGCCCAGAATGATGGGCTGATCCGCTGGCTGTTTAAATATCCATCTGCCGGGAAATTTCACGAGATTTCTTCCCCTGCTGCATGCAGCTCCCCAATCCACATCACCAGACTTTGATACTGTTTACTGTGTTTACAGTGTATGCAGTCAGCTATCAATCCTTAATTCACGGCAAAGACCTGTCATCTATTCAGCTATCTTTCTGAACACACTTGGAGACTTCTGCTTGCGCATCTGTCACTTCCAATATGTCTATCCCTCCCAACAACCTGCGTGAATTTGCCTCGCAGGTGTTTGACTACTTGATTATCGGCGGAGGGACCGCCGGCCTGGTGGTGGCATCGCGTCTGAGTGAAAAACCCCACCTCAAGGTCGCAGTCATCGAAGCAGGCCCGGCGGTCTTTGACGAGCCTTTAATCAACGAACCTGAGCTCTTCGGCGAGGCTATAGGGACCAAGTACGATTGGCAGTTCGAAACAGAACCACAACCTGGACTCGCTGGCCAAAGAGTACCGTGGCCGCGAGGTAAAGTCTTGGGTGGTTCCAGCGCTCTTAATTTCCTGGTCTGGAACCGTGGGCACAAGGAGGACTATGATGCCTGGGTAGCAATGGGAAATCAAGGCTGGGGATGGGATGATCTACTGTTCGTGCTAACCGTCGTTCCCCATGCTTTCAATGGACAGGGAGTAACAGAGCGCTAGGCCTTACTTTAAGAAAAGCGAAACCTTCCATGAACCAAGCCTTTCAGAACAGGAGAAGAACTATTCATACTTCGAGGCGTCATCGCATGGCATTGAGGGACCTGTGAAAACATCCCATATTCAGCGATTTGCGCCGTCACTAAAATACTGGCATCAAACGCTGGAAAATCTCGGCGTTGAAGTGAATCGCCAGAGCTACTCCGGCGCAAACGCAGGTGCCTGGAACTTGATTAGCGCATTCGATCCTGCTACGTACACCAGGAGCTTTTCTGCGAATCGATACTATCTACCAGTGTCGCAGCGTCCGAATCTGTTCCTTCTAACAGAGGCGACAGTGGAGCAAATCACGCTCGAGAAGCACGGCGAAGAGTGGATTGCGAAGGGTGCCCTGGTAAGACATGGTGAAGAGAAATTCATAGTGAAAGCTTCCAAGGAAGTTATACTGTCGGCTGGAAGCATACAGTCGCCTCAACTTTTGGAACTGTCCGGGATTGGGAATCCCGAGATCCTTACAGCAGCAGGCATCCCGGTGAAAGTGGCTAATCCGAACGTAGGAGAGAATCTTCAGGATCATTTGCGTAAATGTCTCCCCTTACCGCATGTCCTCAATCGCTGACGAAGACTGCAGTAACTACTTTCGTATATGAGATGCGAACGCCCTCCAACAGTCCAGACGTGAACTTACTTCGGCCGCGAAAGGTCGAGGAGACCAGCGATGGTCCCAAAGTAGAAGAACCTTCCAGAGCTTTCCTGCCAGGCCCAGCTGCGTACTGTCCTCTATTTAGGATGCTTACGAATGAGGAGCTTGAAGACATTACGACTCGCATATGCCCTGAAATACTGAAATCCACAAAAGCCCGTGAGACGAGGCTGCGCGATGCATTTCTATCAGGCAAGATGTTAGGAGCCATCGAGTATATATGGTATGGCGAGACTATTTGGAACAAAGCCTTCAAAGGTGAACCGGGCAAGAAGTACGCCACGATCGTCCAGATGCTGCAGTATCCTTTCTCAAGGGGCTCCGTGCATATCCCTCCAATGAGGGATTCTAGACCGATTACAGTAGACGAGAAGCCAATTATTGACCCGCAGTATTGTGTTGGTGATGGTAAGATTGATCTTGACGTGATGAAGGTGGGCCAAATGTTCGCAGACAAGATATGCGCTACCGAGCCGCTTTCCCACGTTATTGCTGGGCGGGTGTTCCCTGCAAAAGCGGATGATGATGATGATGATGCGGATGTGATTGATGATTATCTTCGTAATAACATCGGCACCGAGTTTCACCGTAAGTGCATTCCAGGGAACCTTTTTTCTGTACACAGGAACGAGCTTACATGTTGTCTCTAGCCATTGGAACATGTGCAATGGGCGGATTCGAAGGCGCCAAAGCCGGTGTTGTGGATGATAAATTGCGTGTTTATGGCGTTAGGGGTTTGCGTGTTGTGGATGCGAGTATCATGCCGCTGCATATCAGCGCCCACACCCAGGCGACTGTTTATGCGATAGCTGAGAAGGCTGCCAGTATGGTTTTGGAGGATGAGCGATCGGAATAGGTATTATCGAACCGATAGTCGCTTAGAAGTCATAGTTGCCGCACCATCCATATCAATTCTATCATTCAAGCCACGAGTTAGTCCGTTGCAACACTAACAAACACGCCAAGTCCACATGACCTAAAAGCCCTAGCCCTAGCCCCGGCTCCACGGAGCATGTGTTCCGTGGTTCTGGGACTAGTGCTGACTAAGCAATGGCCGAAACAAACTCAAAAATGGCAGACGGTGAGTGGCTACGGAGTGGCGTTGATGGGCCCCTGAAGGCTTGGCGCATGCTTTGAGCAATGGCGGGCGAGATTTCGAACCCCCCAACACGTCAATAGTGATGGTGCTTCGAGGGGGAAGATATGTGAAGACACGAGAGCTGTCGCGGTGAGTTTCTTCCTTGCTTTGTTGATATTTTTGTGTACTCCGTACTTTTCAATTCATCCTGGAGGATGTGAATTTGTGCTGAATTCCGCTGTTGCTCGATTCTTTTTTTTTTTCGTTTTTATTTTTGTTTTTTGACGTGTCTGTTGGCTCACTTTTCTTCGGAAGATATACCGTTTCCGCCCAAAGAGTCTCACTACGTCGTACGATAACTTTCGCCCCATGCTCGGTTGTGAGGTTTTACTTTTCAGCACTCGATACGCCCCCCTGATCTGTTCATCTTCCTTTCCTTCGTCGAACGCCCAAGTATCGTTCGAGAGCTCTCTTCCAAGTCCGCAATCATGGTTCGCTCTCGATCCTCCTCGCCCTCAGTATTCACGACGTTCATTCGCTGGCTACGGCTGAAGAATTACCAATATGAAGTCACCTTTGCGCTCTATATGCTCACTCCAATGGAGAAATTCATCTTCAGTGCGTCCTTTTCCCTGACCCTGTACCCCGCGCCCTTGTTTTGCAGGTCTCTTACCCTTTGTTGATGATGCAGACACCCTGCTGCTCCTTGTAATATCCATGTCCGTCGCCGCTGCGTACATCTACTTGCCGAACCACATTGTTTCCATCTGCCAGCATGTCTGGTACTACTGGACGGGCGGCGATCCGTTCACCGGTTCATCGTCCAAGCTCCGCCTAGCCGCTAATCTGTCTGCCTCGTCGTTGCCCGCTGCTGAGATGCTAGCACAACAGAATGTCATCGTGGACACTGGGAAGGTGGCTGCTGAGACCACCGCAAAGAGGCTTGCTGAACTATAGTCCAGTCTCTTGAGCCGTTTCCCTTGTCCGTTTCTGTTGACTATTTTTATGTACTCCTTTCACTGAACCCGGTGTGCCTTTGCTTTTTTTAGACGGGATATGAGATAATGAGAGGCGTTGCCTTGTTTCCTTTTCAGGGTCTTGTCCTTTTTGTTGTGGCCTGCGTTGCCGCTGTTTTATTTTCTGAGCAATTTGTGGTGCTTTTTCCTACCCAGCACTCCATTTTGCATATACTCTGTAATGTATTAATAGGTAATGTTTTTTGATTGTTTTATGCAGGTATTAGAGCTAAGGCTGGCTAATTAATATTAATAATTTGACCACTGATATCTCTCACTGCGAGTGATTGAGCTCATAAACCCTTTAAAGCAGACACAGAAAGGCTGTATGAAAATTCTGGTATTTTCCGTTCATTATATATATAGATAGGAGTTGGGAAAGTATGGAGTAGATAGGAAAGAAGATACTCACTTCCCACGTAACTTGCCGGCGCCTAAAAAAGTATTCCGCGCCGTTATCCGGAAAAAGGAAACAAAAAGAGCCCCAATAGATACCCTGATGCAAAGAAGAACGCCCATATAAAATACAGTAATATACCCTACTTCTCACATTTCCTCCCTTTTGCTGCTTTTCGTCCCCTTTTTCAGCCCTTGTCTTCACCACCTCACGACCTCTCCACTCCGGCACTCTCCCCCATCGTTGCCGCCGTCGCCGCTGCCGCAGCAGCGCTTTCTAGCTCCAAGCGTCGTAATCGCTTCCGCTCCTTCTCCCGGTCCATTCTCGCTAGTTCAGCTTCGATCTCACTTTTCTCCAGCGGAATCTTGTGCGAATGCTCTTCCCTTGGCCAGAAGTCGGGGACGGAGAAGCGTTCTTCGAGGTTGGTGCCGAAGTAGTACATCCAGCCGATGGGGAAGAGGACATATGTACCGAACTGCGAAAAGAAGGAATATGGTTAGTTTTGCGGGATTTCGCGGAGCGGAGGGGGTGGTGTGGTGCGCACTTTGAAAACCTCAAGGTTTCCTCCTTGGAGTCTGCGGAGTATAGCGGAGAGCATTATCCTGGTTCTGCAAGGCGGCTTGTGGACCGTATTTGGGTTCCTTTATGGAATTGGGAGGTTTGGATTGGTCTTTGATCGTAACGAGGTTCCTAAGGCAGGGCTTTTGGTTGGAGGGGCTGATTGATGCGAGGAAGCGCTCCGGAAGTAGATCGTAGTTCAGAAGAAGCTACCCGCAAAAGCGAAACAATGTGAACGACTGTGCAAAGCGAATTGGCGTCTTTCCCTCCTTGCGTTTCTGTCTTTTGCTCTTTGAATCTTGACGCTTTTTCGCGGAAACCCACCACAGCTTTGACGCTGAACTCCGAACTCCCCGATCATGCTGACGTGAGAAATGCTTAGTCACCAAACACTATCAAAACCAGCTAACTATATTAGGTTAGTCTCATTTCCAGATTGCGCCAAGCCTGTCTGCAGCTGACATAATCCGATACGTAGCTGGACCTCGGCATCTCGCTGGTTTCCGCAGGATGGGAGAAGTCCCGTCGAGCGAGCGGATAGAGGACGCAGCGGAAAGCCCTGTTCGTGCCGGGTCGGATGGACTGGCTGGTCAAAGGAGCTCTTATAAGTTTGAAAGGGGTTCTCTGCTTTATCCCCACTTTCTCTCAAGGCCGTTTCTAAGACATTAATATTGGGAATCAGTGCTAAGACAACCACCCGCTTCGGTTATCTGCCCTCGCAATCGATCGAACTAAAGCAAGTGAGGAGACATTTAACCGCGGAAAGACATTCAGCATTTTACCAGAGTAATCGCAAGAATTGCAGTTTATATATTTCGCTATTTTATCTTTCCGTCCTCTCCTCTCCATCCAGTTACCCCGACCCCGTAGTCCAGACTCCAAACAGACTTGACTTTCGAAGACAAAATGTCCGGTTCAAACGAAATCCAGCTCACCTATCAAGGCCGCATCGCCATCATCACACTCAATCGGCCATCCAAGCTCAATGCCTTGAATGGAGACCTTTACTATGAACTCGGAGAGAAGATGCGTGAAGTGGCTGAACGCGATGACATCTTCATCACCATCCTGACAGGAAGAGGGCGCTTCTTCTCCGCGTACGGCCCCCATCCCCGCCAAAGATAAAATAGCAAAAGAACAATCCAATGTAAACAGCCATGCTAACCAATATTCCCGTCTACCTAGTGGAGCCGACGTCCATAGCACCCGTCCTTCCACCGGCAACACCGACGTCCGTCGCCAGATCGCCCGCAACTTCGTCGTCAACAACCTTGACATAACCCGCACCTTCTACAACCACCCCAAGATCCTCGTCGTCGCCCTCAACGGTCCAGCCGTTGGCCTCTCTGCCGCCCTCACCGCCTTCGGAGATTTCATCTACGCCGCTCCCCACACTTTCCTCCTCACCCCCTTCTCCTCCCTGGGCCTCGTTGCCGAAGGAGGCGCCAGCAGAGCGCTGGTTGAGCGCCTGGGAATTTCCAAGGCCAACGAGGCGCTGATCATGAGCAAACGCATTGGCATCGAGGACCTAGTGTCGACGGGCTATGTCAACAAGGTGATTAAGCCGGTCAGTGGGCGGCAGGATGATTCTGATGGTTTTTTGAAGCTGGTGTTACAGGAGGTGGAGGAACGGCTGGGCACGCATTTGAATCAAGATAGTATGGTGAAGATGAAGAGTTTGATCCGGATGCATGAGCGTGAGATTTTGGATCGCCAGAATGTGCATGAGGTGTTTATGGGGATGGGCAGGTTTATGGCTGGCATCCCACAGGAGGAGTTTAGGAAGATTGCGTCTGGTGAGAAGAAGCACAAGTTGTGATTATGCTTTATCTTCTTGCATCCTTTGATGGTTGCGTATGTGTTCCTTAGAGGCCTGTGGATAGATATATCTGGATATATCCCTGCCTAGACCATGATCACGTATATTTTGTTTAAGGATCTAAATGTGCATAGTGTTGCCTGTATTCCATGATAACTTTTTTGACAGCAATCATATTCCATGTGAAATTATTTCATAGATAATGGCGTCTTTTTAAAACACCAACTCCACGCTCTGCGTGACCACACAAAGATTCAGCACCAACCATGCACCATCCGGGAACTCCGTGATATTTTGCACTTTTGTATTCCATGGCGCCATTATAAACTTTTTAGACCATAAATGTGACGGTACCTGATCTATTGATACATCGTTGATGAGAAAGAAAGTGAAGGCGGGCTCGATCGTTAGGCTTTCCTTGTAGCGTCCATTCCCGAGTCTTCAAATAATGCCTCACTTTCATTGTCACTTTCGTATTCCTCGTCCGCTTTAATGCTTCTCTCAAGTGCTTCTTTCCAATTGGTCAAAAGCTTTGTTGCTCCACCAGGGTGTTCCGCCGCATCAAGGACATCCTGGGGCACTCTGTCCTCCTTGATGATTGAATAACCAGACGATGAAAGGCCCAACTCTTCTGGGTCGGTTGCGGGTGCAAGTAGAAATACCGGTTTAAAAGATGAAACAGGCGGTTCAATTCGAGCCCAGTCATCGGGAAAATACCGCTTTGGGGTCGTTTCCCCGTCGTCACCGCTATCAGAATGTCTCCGATGCCGCACCTGTGCTCTCGTAATACACACCTCGGGAACGGTACGTGGATCTCCCTCGTCTGGTTTCTCCATCTGAAGTATGTGATCCCAGGCAAAATGTAGCGGCTCTGTTTTCTGAGAGAAAGGACTGATGTCCATTAGCCAGACCCTGTCTCGTGGCACGTATACGTCAAAGACAAAATCTGGGTCGGGGAAAGTTTCCCGAAGGTGTTGATCAAAGAATTCCTGAATAGATCGTAGCAATTTATCTTTGAGTTCATACACCCACTCCTGGTACTTGAAGGATTTCTGGCAAAGGCAAATAAGGCGGCGTGACCGCACGAAACAGCGGAATTCCAGGGCGGGGTTGACGTTTACGTATTTTCGCAGCACCAAATAATATGGAATGATATCTTGGTCGTGAAAGTCTCCAGGATCAACTTTTTCTCCATTAGCTATCGTGGCATTGTCCTTGGTCGGAACTGCGGGCTCCCGGAAGCACCCCTCGAACGCACGATCCAAGTCATTGGCAATGAAACGGCTACTTTTCAGGACCAAGTACACATCATTTGCTGTTTTACATTCCAACCGATTTGACGGAATCATGTATGTCGCGTCTCTCGGCGCACTCCAGTTCAACTTCGGCGACACGCTGCCTCCTAACTCTGCGATAGTAGCCTTGACTCGAGCATGGATTTCTGGCCATTCTCTGGAGGGATCTGGGAGGCCTTCGTCTGCGTCATCGTATCCCCCTGACGACACCCAACTGTCATCATCTGCAACAGCGGGAGTGTCATCCGGAGGGAGAACTATACCATCAGCACGAAGATACTCTAAAAAGGAGTTTGAGAGAGCGATCAGTCGTGCTTTGGGTGTGATGGAACGGTACCTGTTGTCAAAGGTGTTCCATGTTAGCTTGAGGAAAGCATTTATGAATGAATGTAGACTTACATAGGATGCCAGTAGTGATAGGAGCAATGCAAGACCTGAGGCACGGTCAGCGAAGGCATCCCCGAAAGTGGGCGGCACCGTGGGACTTCGTGGACGCCATCGCCATGCTCGTGGTAGTCGTATTGCACATCGTTTGAATCCATACTGCGCATAGCGCTCCCCTCAAAATTAAGGCTATGACGGTTTCGAGAGAATTCCGTACTGTTCTCCGTCGGGTTTGCGGCCGAGAGATGTTACCCGCATCCGTTGCTCATGGCGCCCGCCTTCTCCCGCTCAAAGGAAAAGCTTATCTTATCAACAACGTGCACCATCACATCAGATAAGATAGTTAACTTAACTGGCCAAGGAACTTCCAGCTACCTAGCCATCCTAACCACATTTGGCTAGGGACTCTTGGCTGGCATGAGTTAGTGACGGCCATCAGCTATCTGTTAATGCTTGAGAGTGCAGGTCATTCACTCAGATGAGTTCCTGTATGCTCATTACACATCTAGATGTGGATGATATACTTAACTAACTATCCAATGTTGAGAGATTATTCATCACATTAGTGTGGAGGCTCTCAACACGCTCATTGTAGAAAATGTTAGCTTGGGTCAAGCCAATGTTAGCAAATCAAAAACAAAAAAATTCTTATGACTAGAGTAAAGCTAGCACTCCCTTTCCCAAATTCATACTTGGACATTGAGATTTTCTAGGGGTGTGTGTTGATTTCATTCAGCTCCGACTTGGTCGAAAGTTCCTGACCAGCAAGGGGCTTCTATGATGCAGGCCATAGTTTAGCAACCACATACAGTACTCCGTACAAAGTACGGAATAGGCCGAGCCATCTCGAAACCATGGAATTCTCCCCCTCATTTAAATTGGAATAAGCCCTTCCAATAACCATGTTCAACGATTAGTGAGGGCTATTAGCCAAGTTACCTGTGGGTAACCTTGTTATCTTATTCTCGGCTTAACAAATTTCCGACGCCGGGATGGACGCGGTGTCCATTAGCTTCCATCTCGACAGTGTATGAAGCTCTATCTTGACTGAAATCCGCTGTTAGATTTGCAATTGGCGTACACCAGGCGCCATGGCGACGGAGGCTCCAGATGCGCATTCACTCAAAGCATGGCAGGAGGCATTCCAATATCAGATCCCAACGGTGCGGCGGATCGAACAGGAACTCCGTCGGGATGTCATCAGCAATAGAGAGAAGCTACGATCCCTGGTTGGGTAGGTGGATTTTAAGCTATCGATGATAATCTGACTCTTCGCTCGCACTATTCTGACTTGAATTTGCTCTTTGCAGTTTAAGATACCGGGATCTTCTGGACACGGCGCAAACAATCATCGAGATGAACGAAGAGATCAAGCAAGTCGAGCGAAACTTGTCTGAAGTAGGGAGATGCTGTAATCCTGCTACAATTGCCCAAAAGTCCGCCAGCTTGCATCGATTGCGAGAAGATAATTTGGAAAAAGGTTTGAATGATAAGCTATCCATGCTGGGTGTATCCAGACTGATAGTCGACAGTGTCGAGCGACCGAACGTTTGCATCTCAATTGACCCTCCTTTCCAACTGCGTGTCAGCTATCTCGCGGATCCTTCGACAACGCGGCTCGACAGTTGTCGCCGCAAAACTCCTCGTAATCTCGAGGCTGCTTCATAACTCCCTGTCGCAGTCTACGCGCGCAACACACTACGTGAAGAGGCTATGGAATCAACTAACACCCCTGCGATACACACTTTCAAGACGTATTGATCTACGACTTGCTTCGTTAGACTCCTCTGTTCAGAATATAATCGAATCCTTATCTGCATTCTGTCTAGCTACTAGCTCCTCTGCCGACGATGCCCTTGGCCATTTCCATAAAGTCCGGTCAGAAGCAATCAAACGCAAGATCGAAGGGAGTTGCTCTCTTAGTGATTGTATATTGGAAGCCCTGATCCTTTACAGGGACACTTTAAGGAAAACCGCCGATATACTATCTGGCCCGCTCTTTGATGCGTTAAAGAAATTGACGTCTCACCCTCTCCTCGATGACCCGAAAATCCAATGTATGGGTGACCTTGGACTTGATATGGTTCAATTGTGGATCTCCAAGGAGATCAGGAACTTTACACCTTGGATTAAGCATGATCAAATATCTAAACAGGCTTCGGCGAAAGCCATCAGGTCATGGTCGATAAAAGCATTTGAAGAACTAGTTAGTCAGGCAAAGGTCAGGCTGGCTCAGTGTGAAAATTTCCAGGAAATACTTTCTGTGCGCAGCTGCCTCCTGAACGAATGGCTGCCAGTGATGAATCTTACACCGTGTCACAGTCCGATAAAGGTACTGGAAGGAATCCGCGCTTTGGTCAATGATCAGCTTGTCTCAATCCTTCGAGCACAGAGCAAAGATCTCACGTTTATCGGCGACGAATTATCTTCAACACTAGACGGCTGGTCGAATATTCGAAACCATGATCTAGAATTATCGCTATGGGACCCAGACCTTGTCTTTGTGGACTTCTCAGATGGTGCTACCTTGTTTAAGCACGAGCTAGTGAAAAGGACCCAAGGACAGGGCTCTCATGTGCTTGAAATTTTGGATGTGTATCAGACTTGGCTTACAGCCGTCAGTAGTCGTTCGACTATGATTCAGGACCTTAAGAGCGAAAGATGGGAGGACATTATGGAAGACGATGTTGACGAAGAATCCCTTGAAACAGTCACCGGATTGTTGAAGGAAGATGACCCTCACCTCTTGCAAACGGAGCACGCGGAGTCTTTGCTAAACGGATATAAATTGTTGCAATCCTCTCTGAGCGGAGCCATAGAGAGGATAGAAGAACCACACGGTGCAACGCAAACCGCATTTCTCCTTCGAATTACTCGAGCAATTCGAAGTAACATTCCGAATGAAGTGGCTGGGCAAAATTTTACCTTTGCTCAAGACTTAGTACCTAAACTTCACCGAATTCTTGGCCAAGAGATATCCTCTCGGGTTTCCGCGTCCGCGTTGACCGGGCTATTGAGCCGTTCTCGAAAGAGATGCCCGGGACGGACACTCTGGGAAGGGGATCCCCCACTTCCAACGCAGCCGTCTCAAGCGGCCTTTAAGTTTTTGCGAGAATTGGCTGTGGCAATGGAGCAACAGGGGGCTGATCTATGGAATATTTTGGCGGTGGATGAATTGAAACTGTGCACGGTTGGCCAGATCATAGCAGACGTCAGCTCCAGTCTTGCGAAGCAATCGACAACGGCCGAAGCTGAACAGGATACCGCGGATGTCGAGGAAGGAGAAGAAGATGAGCAGAAAGATTTAGAGCCTGATTTTACGCGGGACCACAAGATTCAGCTCCTGTTTGACTTGTTATACCTCAGCTGCGCGTTTAGCACAACCGCGTCGAACGTTCGGGGTGGATTGGACGCGCTAATTAGTTCTTTGGTGGAAGCCTTGAGATTTGAAGACAGCTCTATGAATTCTCTGAGTAAACGCTCCCAGGAATACTGGAAACGAACTCAGTTGCTTTTCGGATTGCTGGCCTAGACAGGCGGCCGTCGTTTCTCTTGATACCACGCTATAAACGCGCGCGCGACGAACTGCTTATATAATCAATAACATAAGGTCACATGATTCAAAGTATTTTGAACGTAATTTCCTTGTAATTTGCGTAACTTGTTACGACATGACGTGTGACGCACCGTTTCGCAGCTCGCAAAGAAACCGACAAACGAACACCCGCAGCGTGCTGGACAATGCGTTTTCTTAAGACCAGATGGCGACTCCAAGGCTTCCGTTTCTATATCCGAATCTCTTGCGCTCGGTGAGGTCGTGTGAGCCGACGACGCACAGGTCAATCCGGTTTCCGCCAGCCCAGCGCTCAGTGGGATTCCACTCCGGTCCGGCATGTGAGCAACAGACCTATCAACAGCGATATGGACCAGCAGCAGAACCGCACCTCCGTCCGCCTCCATGGTCTACCGGTAAAGGTGACATTCTACCGCCTGACAACTCGGCCACAAAAGGAGAGAAACAAGTCAACGGGAGTGCGCAGGCCCAGGGCTCGAAAGGCTCGAGTAAGCAACCTGGCTCATCTGTCCCTGGAACCATAGCATCTTCTTTACCTTCCTCTTCTTCTTCTTCCTCCTCCTCTGACGCCGTCTCCGTCTCTTCCAACGTTCTCTCGAGCGAATTACCAACCCAGGGAAAAGTTGACGGTGACGCAGGTCCAGCAGACTCGGAAGCCACAGCCGAAGCTTCGGCGCAAAAGGATACCGATCATGACCCCGATGTTGATAGTCTGGGGTCTGTCTTCCAGATGCCAGATGCTGCTAGTATGGCGTCTTCATCATCGTCATCGTCTTCACCACCAGCCGAGTCGACGTCACTAACGCATTCTCCCGGTTCAGAATCGAACAGACCTCCGCACCTTTCGCCTCCTCCATATGTACATCATTTCGATACATACAGCCTTGTCAAAGATCTTGGCAATGGCGGATTTACGGACAAGCAGTCTGTAATAATAATGAAGGCTATTCGCGGAATATTGGCGGACAATCTGGAGGTGGCTCGAAACGGGCTGATGTCTAAATCGGATTTTGAAAACGAGACGTATCTTTTCCGTGCGGCGTGTTCGGAGTTGCGGAATTCGATACAAACCTCGAGGAATGCAGAGATTCAGGCGCAGCGCGCCCAGCGCGCCCAGCTACAACATGAAGTGGATATTTTAACGCAGAAGATGACTCAAGAACTTTCGGGATTGAATGATAGTTTAAAGGAGATGTTCAATGATCAGAAGATCTCAACAAAAGAGCTACAGCGCTCGCAGGATACAGGGATTCAGGAGTTGAATTATCAGATTACTGTTTCGCTTAATAGTGACGGAAAGAGAGTGGTAGAGAGTTTACGGTGGATCTTAACGCGGAGAGCGGCTGTTGCCATTGCGACCAGTGCGAGTAAGTCCGTCACTTTGTCCACGAATCATACGGGTTCTCCAACCATCCCTTCTATGGCGCTCTTGGTTTTGACTGACCTTTGCCGTCGTCTAGGTATGATAATTCTCGCTCTACGGCTCCATTCATACAAGCAACAGAAGAACGAAAAGGAGAAGGCCGCCGCTGCCGCCGCGCCTCCACCACCATCGGCAGAGGATTCTTTTCCTAACGAGATCCACTCAAGCACTTCCCTAGGATCGAATGTTGCGGAATCCATGGGCTAAGCAATTCAATCATACTTTTTCGCTGCATATATGACTCATTTTACATATTTTTCGGCCCGCTTGGGTTGGATATTTTCATGTTTATTTGAAATGCATCACCTCATTGGAATATCCTTTAACACACAACCTTCAACAGCTGAAAACCCCTCATAGACGAGATTGTTGGGTGCATCTACGCGTAGAGACGCGGGTCAGATTACATTTTCTTACACTTGTGCTTTCGGCATCAAGCTTGATAATTAAATTAATATTTTCGCAATTTAAAGTAACCAATGCTAGCCTGCAGGCATGTTACAGCATGAAGGAAAATAAAAGTAATTCTCTCAGAAAGCGGATACTTGCCAACACTGCGGACGAAAGGCAAAGGTGACTTTCCTAGAAGTCCATTCGAAGTGTAATGCTAGGCACTGCAACACTCTGATCGCCTGTATCATTTCCGGCTGCACCTCCGGCTCCTCCGCTAGGTCCGGTACTTCGCAAAATCTCTTCAGTCAACGCTCTCAATCCGGGGTCCATCCCAGCCGCAAAGTTTCTAAATGATACCTGATCAACCTGCGCTAATTCTAATAATCTCGTAGCGGTTTCTTTATACACTGGCCGCCCTTCTCCCTGTGCTCTTTTCAGCAACGCTGGAATCAATAGCGCCATTGCATTTGGCGTAGCACCGGTAGCGATTGCTGCTGACCCAACACAAGATACGAGAGTTTGCACAATTGATGATTTTATATTTTCGGGATCGATCGGTGGTACTCCGTCTGTGCCCAAGGGGATCCCAGCTACGAATGCAATTAGGCGGGGAAATATGAACCGGGCAATGGCGTCATCCACGGATGATCGAGGAGTAGAATGAAGAAGAGATCTTAGGCATCCTGCAGCAACGCTGGCAAGGCCAAGATCCTGAAGACAGTCAAGGATTTCTTGGAGGACTTGTGGGATTAAGGAATCTTGGGGAGGAATCACGTGGCCGCTGTTCGTGAGGAGGATTGTTAGTGACAGGAGGGTGTTTTTGGCGCAAGAAAGAGACGCATCTGATTCTCGGCGTTGCGCTACTCGGAGAATTGATAGGAAGCGCGTTACGCAGCCGCGGATCTGGTGAGAAATGGTTTTTCCCTCATCGCCGGAATCAATGGTTTTGGAGCTTAGGGGAGCAGTGAGGTCACGAATGAAGCGTCGGAAGATAGGAAGTGCTTGGGGCACGATTTCTGCTTGACAGCTACCGGTGGCTAGAATAGTGCCGAATATGTGCAGTATACAGGCGTGGAGGTCGGCCCGAATGATCGAGGGGAAAACAGTTGTGATGTCCACCAACGAAGATAGCGCGAGTTGAACAAGTGGAATAGAGTCTTCTGAGACCACAGAACGAGGCTTCGGGGAAGAGTCGCCAAGGTTAGGAAGAATGCCGGCAAGAACTAGGATAATGTTGCGAGTGAGTTCGAAGAGCTGCTCTATATCATCGGAGAGGTTTTCGGTGCGTGCGTCACTTCTTGTCGCCGATTGGTGATGAAGCGCCAGGTTTCGAGCAATTTCGACAATAACGGATTGGACACTGGGGCCTTCGGTCATCACAAGCCTATCAAGAGCATCGATGGTTTCTGAAAATACGGCGTCTTGATATACCGCGTTTCCGGCAACTGAAGGGCGTAATATTTTCTGCAGAGCTTGTAATATCGCAAGGATCTGGGAGGATGGTGCGCTCGATTGGCTAACAAGAGCTTCGAATGCTAGGCCAAAGAGAACAAAAAAGAATGCAACTGGTTCATCGCGGTAATTAATGTTATTCCCTTTTCCTTCTGTTCCGTTAATAGCAACTTCGGAACCTGGCTCTTGTTCAAGTTTAGGTTTCTGCCCTTTGTTGTCCAAGGCATCGAAGACGAAATCACTATCCTTTTCAACTAGACTGGCAATGGCATCGACTATATTTAACCAGGAGTCTTGATAAAACTATGTCATTCCGTTAATACTTGATCTATGGATGAAGAACGTGCTAGGGACTTGCCTTCAAGAGAATTTCACGGTTCAAGGCAGCGTATGTGTCATCTAGGTTGTCAGATAGACCAATTGAGCCCAAAGTGCTAGATATATCGGGTTCAAATCGAAGACGGGCATATTCCTGAAGTGACGATAGCCAGAGTGGAGTAAGCATGGCAGTATAAGGTTGTACAACTTTGACCAAATAACTTTGTTCTCCGCTGGCAATTTGTAATCGGGCCCAGGCAGAATATAAAGCTAACTTCACCATAACTCGAGCATTCGAATTAAGGCCTTTAAGGTCACCAATATCAGTTGTGTTCGGGTTGTCTACAAGATGTCAGAATAGACCAACTTCTGAACTTATGGCAATACTCACCTCCGAAATTTTCCAAGCCAACCACGAGAAGCTTGAAAATGCGACCCATTCTCTCCGCACTCGTAACAATTCCGGTCCCCACAAAAGTAGCACAAACATTTATCGCCTCTGAGGCCAGCTCAGGAGAGGAATCGGCGGCGAAAGCAGGAGTCAAAGCGGAGCCAATTTGAGCTTGATACTGCTCGAGCAAAGAAGCCTCTGCAAAGTCCGGATCTGGGGTTCTCCCAAACATCTAATTGTTCATGAGTTGGAAATAGCGAACATAATGATGACAGTATAACTCACTTTCAGAATGAGATCGAGGATCTTGAGGCCCCAGATCCTCAACTCAATCACACTTGCAGTAGAGGCAGAAAATGCCATACGAACCATCTCACCCACCCTTTCCTGTAGTGCTGCTTCTGACGGAATCGTCTGATCCGCCTGTATTTGTGAGCTAACCATGTTTAGAAGATCACTCAAACAGCTCATGACAAAATTACGTGTTTGCCATTTGAGCATTTCCTGGCCCGACGGTGAATCTGGTTCACCGGCGTCTCTATTCTCTGTCGCAGCTGCGGTGGCAAAGCCGGCCACTTCATCGTCCGGAAGTTCAGCACCACCTGTATTAGCTGCAGCGGTATTAGGGCTTGGAATCTCGTCGCTTTTTGGACGGGTTTTTGTGAGAACTTTATGGCATCGTTGAACCCAAACCGCAGTATCTGTAAGCCCGGTCTGGTGCAGCCAATTGCGGACAAGATCCTTTAGTAGCTCATTGTCGGGAATACTGTCCAATGCCATCCAGAGCTCATCTTCGAAGGTGGCAGATGCGGTTCGTATCACTTTATCGGGGTCCCGTTTCATGATATTATTCAGGCCTCGCACCGCAGCCTCACGAACCTGCATATCTTTAGAATTCAACTCCTGCTGAAGCCAGTGCACATATCCGGAGAAATCCATATGATCTGGAGCATAGAGGGATAAATGGTCAAGACATTTGGAGCTCACAGCCACGATGGATATATCTAGCTCCAGCTGAAACTCTTTAACGAGGGTGAAGATAAGTTCCCTCGTTTTCGTTACATCGCGAAGGTCGGGGCCGATGACATTAATAAGAGCATCGACACACCGGCTAATGGCAAGAGGGGTAGAAAAGACAGCTTCATGATTAGATGTAGCAATCAACGCTGACTCTTCGTTGTGCGTATCGGCAGCATATAGACGCGCTAGCATGCCTAGAGAGCCAGAAACATATGCAGAGAACGTCAATCCAGCAGAATCAACAACTCGTAACAACCCTTCCAAGGCCCAAAAATGGACAACAGGATGAGGATCACTGCAAAGCGACATGAGGACACTGATAATAGTTTTCAAATGGAAACCCGCCGCCATGCCACCAACTTGGGCATGAATCGAGCCCAATGCAGCAGCGCATCCGGCACGAGCGTTGGGGTCACGGTTCTCGACAATTGTATCAATGATAGAATTGATCTGAGAGTTCGTAAACGAGTTGCCCGCACTGTTGCATAATCGTCCAAGCGCTTCAAACGCTATGGTACGAACAACGTAATCGGGATCTGCAAGAAATGTCTAAAGCCACACCTATTGTCAGCGGCAATATTGTAAAGTAGAAAAGTTGTTCTTACCTGGAGAAGTTCCTGAACAATCTTCTCCGTTGCAGGATTTTTTAAGTTGCCAGGTGGGAAATCTGTCTCCTTCAGTGCAACTCGGAGAGCATGTAACAGAGCCATAGCAATGTTGACTGTCATAGCGGCTTTTCTCCCTGGGTTCCGAACGAGACTTTGTGAAGCTAAAAGCGTAGCTATTTGTTCGACACTGCTCTCCTGGACTTTTGGCGCCTGCGATGGAAGTGTAGTAGCAAATAACTTAATGGAAGCATTGACAACTTCGGTAGTTGGGGGATCAGGAAGGGAGCCGTGCTTAACATCTTTCGTCGAATAGAGGAGAACTGAATCGTGTTCTCTGCCTTGGCATATCGGCGAAATTAACTAGGGGGTGTTAGCAGATAGACAATCCAATATGTGGGTAAGCTTACAGTGCTGTCGATCACCCGATCGGCATTGCTAGGGAGCTGTCGAGCACCAATATTGTGACCTTTGTGATCACTGTTTTGAGAAAATTCCATAGCGAGGCCAGTGACGCCAAAACCAAAGTTATCATCAAGATCCCACAAGTTCTCAAAACTTGTAGCGGCGCTCGCCACTGAAGAGTCAAGTGGATTTGAAACGTCTGGATCGGCAAAGGAAGATATTGCAAGACCAAGCACGTTTGACAATGACAGAATATCCGCAACATTGGTATGGCTTAGATTTACCAATTTCTCAAAGCACTGTAAAACCCGTCGTCGGACTAGAACTGGATAGTCTTTGAGTTGTAAGGAGGGTGACAGGCGTTGAGAAATATCCTCGGAAGATTTGATGCGAGGGAGATTCTCAAGAAATACAACCGTATTTTGAAGCATTGTCGCGATTCTCTTTGCTCCGTCAGATGTGACGAGTTTGCTGTTAAATTCTAGAAACACAAGAATTGAACTTAGAGCACATTCCCTAACATGAGCCAAAAAGCTCAATTCCAGGGGGCTACGCTTAGCTAGATCGTCTTTAGGTAATGCTCTTGGAAGGGCATTTTTCCAAAGTAACAGAAGCTGTGAGAGATGTATTTTGGTGAAATTTGGGCCGAGCGGCAGGAGGCCTCCGATTAGTATCCATGCCACCTGTATTTGTGTGCTGGCTATTCTCAGCTCCGAGCTACCACTTGTTTTGAGCAGATCAGTGGCCTGAGATAGTACTCGTGAGTATATATCCACAGAGCCATAAAGAGGCTGGAGTCGTGAGGTGCTGAGCATAGATGCTAGGCCATGGGCATACCCAAGACAACGACGACTTGACTGCCTGGGGGTGGATAGCTGCCCGATCTCTCTATGCAAGCTGTTCATGCATATTGTTATGCATGAAAGGAGCTGCTGAGGGCACGCGAGTACGAAATTCCGTAAACAGTGTGAGACATATATTTGGACAGTGTAGCTGGGGTGCTGCAGATCTTGCAATAGAGCCTCACGGAAACTTTCTGCGATGGTGCCAATAGCGGAACCCAAGGAGGATATCAGAGAGGATAGAGCGCTCACAGCACAGGTGAGCGTATGCTTGCTCGGTTCTCGACGCTCCTGCATCACTTGGGGATAATCCTTCAGCACATCATTGATCAGCCATTTGGCGGCACTAAGCTGGCCACTTTCACTCAATATCTCGGATCCCACCACATCCTCGAGAATATGTTTAATAAATTTCCGGGTCATAAGCAAGCGATACCGATTATTTACTATCGTGGCGTGGTTGAGAAGCGTAAAGAGTAGATGGCGAGCAATCTCAGCGTAACGCTCTTCAACCAATTTTTCGCCCAAACCGCGCAAAAACAGCTTGTAGCATACTGCTATTCCGGCTCTTGCGCGATTTCCAGTTGAAGTTCGGCAATATTGGACGGATAGCTGCAGGAGAAGGTCCGGGAGCTTAAGTGCCAGTGTAGCCTCTGACTTCCGCCCCGACGGAGATTGCGGGCGTTCAGGAATTTCATCCTCTACAGCCGCGGGATCTGGCTTCTTGAGGGGCTTCTTCGGGAGTTTCACAATGGGTACGTCGACTTGACCACCAACGGTATGCCCCTTGAGCAAAATGGCAGCAAAACATGCAGCCGACGCATGTCTCACGGAAGTCACAGGACTATCAATGACCTTCCATATGGTTGACTTCAGGTTTTCAAAGTCACTCAAATTATTGAAATACGGCGTACTCTTAATCAGCTGCTCTAGGCACAGACACGCGCTGGCCTGAACAGAATACGCCTTGTCGCTCACGGCCGCGTTTCTAGCGTGCTTCCATATATCTTTCGCCGTTGATTCGTCAACCGGTGTGCCTATCCCAGCGACAACTTTCCTTATCGCAGTATAGAGAGAGCTTCTGAGCCCTGCATGCTGTTGCGAGGATTTGAACAGTTTGAGTAGCACAGCGCAGGTCAAGCTTGACTGGTTGATGAGGGAGCCACCCGCGACCGTGAATATCTCTCCAAGCGCAACGGCAGCTGCAAATTTTGCCTTAAGATCCACTTCATTCTTTCCTGCATTTAGTATCCCTATCAATTCGTTGACTGTATCGTAGAGTATAGCACGGTTCCCCTTTGTGAATATCGCACCAAAGCATCTGCCTATATTATTCCGGATTAATCGTGTTGGGACCGGCGACTGAAGTTTTATAATTTTGAATAGCTCTCGTTTAATAAATTCTTGCTGCGAGAATATTCCATCTTTATCAAGTTTCGCAGTATATTTGACAAGGTCGGTTGTGAAGGTCAGGAGGTAGAGGTCTTGTTGTTCTGAGGGTAGTGCATGCAGCTTCGAGACATCGAGTTCGGCGCGAGGAATCACATTTTCGGCGTCAGCAGGTTGCGAAGCGGGGGCTTCAGGCGCCGACATCGAATTGATCGTTCAGGTAAAATATATCTAAATTTTTGTTCTCTTCCCGATTTTACTGGATTGCGAGCATTTCGTCTCCGAACGGCCAGCTGCTCGCCGCAATGGGCATATCGAACCGGATAAATTCCCGGGCCGAGCATTTTTCCATCATCGGCCCGCCGTTCGACTGTCAAGGTTTCTCCCGCGGACATCTAGCGACAGCTTAGACTGCGTTCCCTCCATGATATGGCCACAGTTCTAGGACGGAAGTTCTTTGGCAGTCCTCGCATTGTCCTGCAACCCTGGACATGCGGGAGTTGCCGCAGCATGAGCCATAGCTCCTCCCTTCAGGCCGGGCATAGCAAATGGGCCAACATCAAGCATATCAAGGGCCGAAATGACGCCGCTAAGAGCAAGGAGAGGCAAATAATCAGCCAAGAGCTTATGCAGTCTTCAAAATGTACGATCATGGCTTTTATCTGTACCTCTCGTACACCCCCTATTGACAATGCTTACGTCTAACCTAAAGTATACGGCCCCGATCCAGGATCCAACACTAAGCTCGCAGCCATCATCGCAAATGCTAAACGGAGCGGAATGTCTAAGGCAACGATTGAGTCTGCAATTGCCAAGGGACAGGGTATATCTATGTCAGGAGCGCCCTTGGAACCCTTGACAATTGAAGCAATGCTCCCGGGCTCCGTGGCCGTGGTGATTGAGTGTCAGACCGACCAGAAGGGCAGAACCCTCCAGGACGTTCGCCACATGATCAAGGAAGCGGGCGGTAATGTGACCCCTACGACATTCCTATTCGAGAAAAAGGGGAAGATTGCTTTTGAAAAGGATCCAAAGAGCAGGAGTACGGACGATTATCTTGAGAGCGCTATCGATGCCGGTGCCATAGACGTGGATGCAGATGCGGAAGGACGGCTGATTGTGTACACGGAACCTGCAATGACAAAATCCGTGGGCGAGGCAATTTCCACTTCTACGGGGTTGAAGATTGAAAGCTTGGACATCATTTGGGATCCTAACAAGGAGACAATGGTGACGCTTTCGAGCGAGGAGGCGGCGAATGAACTGGATGAATTTCTCGACAACGTTCGTGAGGAGACAACTGTTCAAGAAATATACATGAATCTGGCTAGAACATGATAGTCTCTGTGCTAGAATTGTACATTACATTAACGTCGCGACCTAGTTAGGCCTTCCTTAAATTAATCATAGCGCTTCTCATCAACGATCCTATGCCTTTGCTTCCGTGGCTGTCCAACCAATCAAGCATTTTTAACCGGTACTCCTGCCAGCTCAAAGAGATCCCTCCGTCCTTCGCTAATCGAGTCAAGACGTCCTGCGTAACTGGAAGCGGGAGACTCGCAGATAACGTTACGCCATCCTCTTCAGCTTGGTCTTCAAGGCTCTTCACACAAGCAGCGGAGATCCGACAAAGAGCAAGGTTATAGCTCAGGGAAAACATGGAGACTAGTTTGAACTTGGATTTGTAGCGGCCATTGCTTCTGTGGCCTAAAACGCCATTCAATTCTTGAATATATCTTGTCAGCGCAGTCACAGTCTCTGCGGGAACAAGGCATCCCAGTGCGTTGAGGTCGCTAGAATTGAGTGCACGGTTTCTCCAAAGGAGATTGCAGGTATCAAGAACATATCCGTTGAACTTGATAATCTCGGACTGGGGTACGCGATTAGACTGCGAGGTGCTATTTAAAGCCTCGAGGGCAGTCTTATATCTCGCCAGTATGTCTCCCAGAAGGGATATACTGCAAACAGCTGGGATAAAGGTTAAGAGATAGATGGTTTGAGGGAGAGGAATCGTTAATGGGATATCGGTATGTGTCGGTGCATGAGAAAACAACTGTGCGAGCTCTATATAGAAGTGGAGCACGTTCAGACTTGCCGAGAGCGAAGCGGATTGGTCATTTCCATGGGAGTTGGATGGGGTCTCAAGTAATGCTAACGAGAGCAGTTCAGCTCTCAATACAAGCTCAGAGAGAGGTGGTACGGCCGAGAGACTGGTATTTGAGCGGACTAAACAACCCCAATGGCGGATAAGGTTCGTGTAACAGGAAAGAAGTGAAGCCTTTCCCTGATTTGAGTCGTTCAGAATAGCCGCTTCAACTTGAGAAAAGTAGATTCGATGGAGATATTCGTATTCCTGGATCGGCAAATACTCCAGAAGTGCCAGAATACTGGTTTGATGATCCTTGCCATTCCAAAGGGAAAGATAGCTGCGGAAAAGATCCAACACTGCGCAAGGCAACTCCTATACGCCACGATTAGCGTCAAGTATATCACGGATGTAGAATTCCAGATAGTATACCTTTGTAAACCGAACGTAATCGACGAGTAAGTCAAGGACATATCCCAGGTGCCCGGAAGTATCCGCATCTCCCGACGATAGCATATCAAGTTCGTCTTCGAAAAAGCTCGCCAGCCAGCTCTCCATCCTCCGTGTGGCCAATTTGTTCTGTACAAGCAACAAGTATTTCTGTGCCAGAGGGTCCGCAAGTGCTGAAGCAATTTGATTCGGAAGCTGGATTCTATCCAACTTTTGCACGAAATCCTTTACGCTTCGAAGCTCCTCCAGCGAGGCAAATCCATGATGGACCTTGGAAGTCTGCACGGAAGGGATAACAACCTCGATGCGGCTTCTCTTTACTCCCTCACGTCGAACAATCTGGAAAGTTTGTTTGCCAATACCCCTTGCAGAGCTTGCGGCCTTTTCCTGTAAGTTTCGCAAATGTGCAGTCCATTCAGCATCTGGGTGCTTGAAGAAGTACGTTGCTCTTCGCCTCCCGAAGCCAATTTCGCCTACAATTATCTCAGGGTAGTAACTTTTGAAGACATGTAGCAATCCTAAAAGTTCTCTCGTTTCATCGCCTGCATTTCGTATCAATTCCATAAGCGCCTGTATGCGATATGGCTTGACATGTTTTCTTCGCGTTACCAGGGAGAGTAGGTGACAAAGTGAGCGCCTCAAACTGATCATATCCAGATTATCGAAGAGGACTGCGTAGAGCTTCGACAAGTAGGACTGATCATCCAGATCATCGTAAACGAGAATCAGCCATCTAAGCAGTAAACTCTGGGTACCAGGTGATGGCTTGGTTTTGGTGGGTCCTAGGGAGCAGACGACTCTAGCAATAATTCCGGATGTGACCTTCTCAGATGGATATAAATTTTTGACGAGAGTAGTCACCGTGTTCTGGTCCAGGTGTTTGGATTTCACAATAACGGCAGTGAGCCTATCCAGAAGATTGGGCCCGATCCCGGATTCATAGGCCAAAGTCGCAATTGTCTTTGCAAGTCCTGCAACATTTGTATGTCTCTGGCTTTTCGGAAGATACGCGACTAGGTTGTCCTGTAAGTACTCCTGCCAATTCATCACATCTTCCTGTGAAGTGTGAAATCTTCCTTACCATTTTCTAGCTGTGTTATAGCCTCCTCAAGATTCCAAGATTTAGTGCCTATTCACGCACTCCTGCGTCAGCTCCTGTGTTGGGACACGCATATTATTCATTCTTAACAAATCTCACCAGAATTTTCCGTCGGGGAGGATACGACTTGCATTATCTAAATGCGTGGTGGGCTAAGCAGCTTTGCGCAAGTCACTCCCTTCCTTTAATTCTCTCAGAAAGTATAGATTATGTGCTCTGTAAAGAAGCGTGTAGTTATGCAGCGATCAGTGGAGTAAGTAATGCTGGAGAAGGAAGACTCAAAATATACAGAACTACAATGAGCTTGTCGCGATTGATCCAAACCATTGGCTGGTGACTGTTAAGTGACTGTGCGCAAAATAAAAGCAGTCAAAGTAAATACTCTGGGTGAATCGAATTAATACACTCTTATGTTGTAGTTCAGCACGCTGGCTGCTCCCACCGACTGCTGTCACATCTCCAAGGGCGAAACGCGTCGAGCGTGTTGGGAGGGATGCCCCTCTCGGGGTTTGGATCATAATTTTTCCGCTCCATCTGGGATGAGATCCGGTTCAAGCAGCATTCAACTCTCCAGCTTTGCCATCCCTGTTGGCAACGGTTCTCAGTTTGCTGTCGCTGTAATTTGAGGATCCCAAAAGGAACCAAAAATTGATCCCAACGATTTAGGAGCCGATCAGATACCCCATACCGCACACCCCATCGTATCACGACCAGAGAAATCAAATCGCGCGACCGAGAAGCTGGTTTCACATGGATAGCACTTACATCTCCTAGCCATTATTCTGCGAAGGTCATGAAGAACACGAATTTTACTCTCGCCAAGATGACTTTGAAACAAGCCCAAGACCCATGCTATATTCTCTGCCACTGGACAGGGTTACCCAACTCACTACGATGTCACTCTTCTTCTCCAGATCTTGCAAACTTACCCCTCAGACAATGTGTTTGCCTGGAGATGGCCCACGTCGCTAAAAGATACTGACATCGCGCTTTGTCATTTTGAAAACTAGGTGGCGCTCGGGAAGAGATGATAAAACGAGTAGGTATATCGAAGATACTTCGTATCTCCAAAAGTTCAACTCAAGACGTACATATGTACGTACCGACAGGGCAGGCATACAGACGATATTTAAATGTGCCTCACGCTCTTCAAAGAGGAACATGTACGGTGCTTCGAGCTCTGTGGTCAAGATAAGCTCTTTCTGAAGGAAGTCAAAAGAAGCTGATCGTTGGCTATTCAGTCATGATCTTCAGTTGGCAGAGCAGGGAGGGATACTCGGAGATTTAACTACGTAGACTAACTTATTAACGATCCTTTGGATCGATTTACATCCGTTTGGTCGATCAATGTCGATCCATGGCTTTCAAGGTAGCTACGAATTGACACCTGTATCCTGCAAAGCGTTGCAGAGAAAAAAGAAAAAAAAAAATTGTACGGAGTACACATACCATGAAAAGATTTTATGGATAAAAAAATGGGTGTTTCGAATATGTACTGAGAATTGAACTGGTATGCGGTAATCACAGGAATGGTGACCGGCATACCTGATATGGGGTACATAGAGTAGATACATCGAAAGATAAGTTACAAAAGGAAAAGGAGATCACCGCAGGAAATCAGTCACGTCCTTATCACCGTCACTCATCAGCCGACGATACACTCTCCGTTAACATCTTCTCTATCAAGGCAATCTCAACTAAAAATAAGCTCAACTAGCCACGAGCGCGGAGGAACATCGGTTGATTCCCCGTTCCGTTGAGTTAGCTTATTCGGTGCACTCTCTCCAGCGGAAGTGGACAATTTGCTTGAAGCTGGCGTCAAGGGAGTCGTTGGTCATGATACCCTGAGCATTGCGGTCAGAGCTGGTCAGGCGGATCTGGGAGTTGATGTTAAGAGCGCCGTTAGCACCGCAAGGAGACCACACGGTGGAGGTGTTCTCGGCCTCATCGTGCAGGAGGAAGTCGCCGCTGAATGGACCCTTCCACTGGGTCTGGGTATTGGTCTAATGCAGAAGAAAGGGCGAAAAACGTCAGCGAAAATCTTTAACGCTTATGTAGATGAGGGACATCGTTAGAATGTACCTGTTGAGTCTGGCCGGAGAAGTAGTAGGTACTCTTCTGGGTACCCGTGATGCCCTTCTCAAGGTTGGCATATCCACGGTAATCGGCGGAGAAAATCGAGAATTGGAAACCACCTGGGTAGCGAAGGTTGATGTTGAGCTGGCAGTTCTTACGGTTCTGGGTGATGGGAACCTCAGGGCCAATGGACGCAACATATTCATCGAAGATGAGAGTCATAACTTGTCGGTCATCGGAGAGGACGTGGCTGACGGTGTTGGAAGGGCAGCCAGTACCGCCATAGGTGACGCCAACAATCTGGACCTTATCTGGGTCAGGAGTAGGACCGCCAAGCTCGATATCACCACGCTTCTCATTTGCGTCGCGGGTTGGGAATGGATTGCCACCGTTTGGGAAGCCTGGGAGCACCAAAGTCCGAGTTGGAACGTCGTCTGGGATTGCGGCACCAAGGGCAGTGCCCACCAAGCCGAGGATGAGAGCAGACTTCATTTTTTCAGAATTCGAGGAAAATTGGAGTGATTTCTTTGCTAAAAAGGAGGACGGTTAACGTTTCCAAGTGTTGACTGATCGAGAAAACAAATTCTGAGAAAGTGCTGCGGGACGGAGGGTTTATATAGAAGAGAATGCAGACGTCCCCGGCAGATCCTGGCAAGTAGAAATGACCTATATCCCTGAACATCGATACGATTTTCAAATCATGCATTTCCAACCGGACATATGCGAACTCCTAGTTTGGCGCCACTAACGAACGCACCGCTTCGAGTAGGGTTGCATAGTGAGAGCATTGGGAATGGCCCGCAGGTTCAGCTGATCATAGCCAAGGCACTTCATAGAGTCCAACACGGCAAACTCGACTAAAACATTTATCGCGGACAAGTTTGTGCCACGGGGGCCGACATCAGACATAGTCTCAAGCTGACCCGCTCATTCGAGCCGAAAGTAGTCGAAAACAGATCCTAGACATAACATTTACTCACTAAGCCGTGGGGGGATCCTGATCCGGACATCACATAGGTATTGGATGAAAAAGAAATGAAAATAAACATCACTGAGCCCCGGTGCCATGACTTCAGATATTCTCCTAGAGGATTCCGAGCAAAGGAACCATGCTAATTTGGCAATTTTGGCCCGGAGGGAGAAAAGGAAAGCATCAGGCAAAGCAATCATCTCGTTTGGTTTGAATCCACTGACCGGATTCTGCAAACTCAAACTATCGACAGATCTAGACTAAACCGGGACCGGGGGCGTATCAGGGTTACAAAAACCTGGGGTAGATTCGTATAATAATGCCGGGCTCCTCAGGAAAGATTAAAAAAATGCGCCCAGGAACACTTAAACTTAACAGGTGTGACAGCGGGAAGCAACAACACCAATGGGGCGGGGAGCACGACACGTGCCCGCTGCTCGAAAGGCAGGCTTGTTGAGACCTTGTCGAGAGCCAAAGTGCCACAGAATAGAAGGCACTGTGGCCAGTCAACAGACGTGGCAGCCAGTGCACCCTCCAAGCACGTCTCTCGTGGGATTCCCGTGTCGGCGGCGGGTTGACTGTCGGCGGGATCGAAGCGTTGTCGTCTGGATGAACCCGCGGCGTGGGTTGCGGTGGAGTGGATCGGCACTGGGGCTCAAGCCACGTCGATCACCCAGTAAGCTTAATTCCGCTTAGTCAGTGCCCTGTGGCTGGCAGTCTTATGTCATCCGCGGAGATGGCATGCTGCGCGCCAAGCCGCCCCTTGTGCCGCCGCAACCTCAACTCCATCGCAGCGCTCTTGTTGCTGTTGCCGCTGCGGCCCCATCCCAGTCCCTGTCCGCCTCGCTTCGACAGGATACCGTGGATGATAATGCAAGGGTTTTCGGCTGTCAAGGTTTTTTATCTCTCCCAGAACAGACCTTTCTTCTCTTGATTTGAGAACAGCCACTTTTGCCCCGTCAAAGGAGGGATTTGCTCTTCCAACCACCCCTGCTCCGACTCCAGCTGAAAGGGACCATCCTCTCTCTCTAGGCCAACTTCTGCTATCGATACCTGTATCCGATCTTACCTCTTAATTTATCCCCTTGCCTTGCCTGTTCCCAACGGTCCCGGAAAGTCTCCCTATTCATATCCCTGTGCTATTCAACCGGGTCTACCCCTTCGCCGGAGTCACATCCCTGGGGTCTGACTCTGCACTGAGTCTTTAACGCCTGCAGCTTCTCTTTTGATCCTTGGGAAACCAGGAGCGTGGTGCAAAAAATAACAACTCTTTCCCGTCCCCTGAACCTATTATAAACAACACAGCCTATCCCATCGTTAATGGTGGTTGCCACATGACCCCATAGACATGCCTGTCTCCATTGCTTTTCCTGGTCGCAGGCCGAACGGCCCTCGCAATCTACAGAGGTTTTGAACCCGAACCGTGCACCCAGAAAACAATGTACCTTACGTATCCTTTTGTCCATATGCCTATCTCGGCAAATCTTCAAGATCTTACGTCGTTATTCGGTGTGTTGATGGTACTTGTAGAGGCACGACCACCGCTCAATCATCATAGCCTAAACTTGCCCCATTTTGTCGCTAAGGCCTCATTTGGGTTCATCGGGTTTCACAGTCCCAAGGCTCATCATCTTCCTTTTATGATTTAATATCGGAAGCTTTGCAAGGAGCCATTGACACCACGTCATAATTCTTGGCAGGCTCTTTTCGATTCCACGGCGGAGTACGGAGTTCCGGAATACGCCTAGGATTTTCTCAACTCGTGCACTTCCCCCGATGCTATCCTGAATTATACTCAAAGATTGGCCTCTTGCAGCTCATCGCCGTCAGCGGCTAAGCTGACGGCCTGGCTCGACTGGCCATAGATAGTGAAGGATTTCACATTCTGGGTCAAGGGAAATACCTGGTACCTTCTAACAAATAACTGAAGTCCCGGAGGGACTCTGCATGGTTGAACTGGGATACTGTTACATTACCGTCATATACAAAGGTACCCACGGACCATCTCCCGTTGCTATTGGACCAATATCGTGCCATTGATCAGCAGGCACGTCCAATATTTGAGAAGTCGAACCGAAATCATGGAGGACCTGGAAGGCAAACTTTGCCCGGAGATCCCCGTCTTTGCTCAGCAAAAGCCTCGATCTGTCATGCCACGTCTCAGACCTAGCTTCTCCAATTCCAGCTCCTGGAATTCACGAGCATGAAGAGAGGGGCCATATTCTGAACTGTATTCCGCTTTGACCATCGGTAACTGCCTGCGAACTTGTAGCTGCCGTCATTTCCACGTGTCCTAGGGATGGGGGTTGTCATGCCATGCCTTCTGAATACAAGGCCTAAAGTCAGCGTGGGATTTGTTCATTCAGACGAGCTCCAGGCGCTGTGACCGACGGCCCGGGTATGAAGGCATTGCCTCGCGAAGTAACTTATATTTGACGGAAAGCTTAATGCTCCTCCCCAGGGGCAGAATGACCAACTCAATTTCCATTCTGGTATGAGCAGGTTTGATGAAATTGACCGAGATCCACTGACTATTTCAATGATATCACTGCTGGTTTGGAGATGAATTCAACAATCCTTAGCCAACTCCCACGGAAGCGTCACTCCTGGCAGCCAACGTGGTATTCTGGCCGCACTCTATGTGTACTTACCAGCGGATCTGGATCACAATTTGCAGGACATAACCTTCGCCCATAGAGAATCCAGATTTATCGTTCTATGAACCGACTATTACCTTCTATCAGAATACACACAAAAGAAGCAAACCTGCAATCTCGAAAGGCGTAAAAACCTGTCCATCCCAGCATCTCATTCGTGATTACTCCCCATCACTTTCTTCGCCGAGCCGAGCTCTTTGCCGACTTGGATTGAGAGGATGGGGACGCTGTGGAGGTAGTCGCAGATGCAGGCTGGTCCCTCGTGTTGGCTGCACTACCATCCTGTTTCTTTTCCGCCTCCGCCTCCGCCTCCGCTTCAGCTTCATCCTCTTCTCCGCCCTGACCGAACTCGTTGACTCGCTTATAGTCAACTTTGTATTTCCAACTCTGGTACAGCCAGATGAAAAAGATCACATCGTCTCTCAGTGTCGCAAGACGGTGAAGTGTTGGCATTTTGATAGTGAAAGCGAAAAGATCATCGATAAAAGTGTTCAGGAACTTGTACATGAGAGCTTTTCCAGGCATGTGCGCCACGGACTGTGACACCTGTCAGTACCAGGATCTCACTGTTTTCTCTCCGTAACGTTTCCAGGATAGGCCTGCTTACCTTTAGGCGATAGTTGATATACAAACTCGGAACCATCATCAAAAATCCATAGGCATAGACGCTACCGACCAGGGTTTCAATGAGAAACGAGTACCATGACTTATGGGTCTCATATACGAGGCTATAGATTGCGTATCCAATCAATAACGGGACCGCAATGATGTACAACCACTTGAACGCAATCTCGTCATATTCCTTGGTCTTCTTTTCCGTCTCGCTGAGCGTATGCTTGTCCTCGAAGACAACATGGTACGGCAGGAATGCAAAGCGAGACCCGGAACTGGGGCGTCGAATGCGGACATTTACGGTCTTGGTGATCTTCCATGCCTCGAGGGCAACGCCGAATCCCTGACCGGCAAGGATCATCCAAGAAGTACCTTCACTGTTATCTAGCAGGTATAAAAATATCACACCTTGCATGAAGATGTTTGCGAGAATGGTTCGCAGGGACGTTCCCACGACATCCTTCTTCTTACGCCAGTGGGACTATAGGCACGTGGGGGAGTAAGTACTTTGCTTTTTTGGGTAGCTCAGTAGACAGTTGAAAAAGCGGGATTTCCAACTTACAATATCGTTTTTGAAAGCAAGACCTTCGAAAATCATGTGCAAGATGCTGACGATGCCGGTTGTCGCTAAAAGGTAGGCGTTCGTGTCAAGGAGGATCTCTTTGACCATTTCAAACTCACTACCATCGCTACCAGCCGGCATCGGGCCTCCCAGGGCTGCTTGACGTTGGGTTTGCTTCATGTTCTCATCAACACTAGCGTAAATGCTGAACTTCCAATTCTTGAGGTTATTGAGGGAAATTCGAAGAGGAAGCGTTTCAACCGTGGAATTCAACTCAATCATATGGCCTCTTAGTTGCCAAAAAGTATTGACAAAGATAATAGGATAGTACCATCCGTTCTGTCCCGAAGCGTCTCTTGCACCGGTCCTTTCTAGTTGAACGAACTGACGGACACCAGGGTGCATTACTTGATAGTTCAAAGTTCCGCTGTCTGGAATCAGGGAGAGACTGACGTTTGGATGATAGAATGATCCGAATTCAACCTTTTTCGGAGCCTCCTCCTCCGGCTCGGTTTCATTTTTGGCATCGAGCAGGTTCCTCAGCTTCTTTACCTTCTTTTTAGGCAAATACTGATTTAGTGGCCGGACGAAATGATAAGCGGTCTCAGGGTCGTAGTCCTTTTCGCTCGGGTCAAGCTGGTGTCCCGAAAGTGCAACGTAGAAGTGAGCCCAGAGGGTGCCGTTATTCTGTACTGCCTTTGGAACGAAAATTTCCGTGGCGATCTCCCTGTTCTCGTTCCAGTCTCCAACAGTAAAGTTCTTCTCCTCGAGGACCTTGATATCCTTCGGAACTTTCTTCAGTGATGGGATGGTGAGGTACGGCGAAATAAAGATGTCAATGTCCAATCCGATATTTTCTTGCTCCCACATAGGTGCAACGTAGTGCGGGAAGACCGTCGCGTTGGTGATTGTGCTTTGATCGGGCCGATCCGCCCAGGACGGGATGCCTGAGCGTCCACCGGAGACATTTGCGGCTTGCTTCGAAGGGAAGATCCGTTGGATAACGAACTGGGAGAGGGCGAAGATGGCCAGCCCCTGAAGGGCAGACTTGAGGGCAAGCTGAAAACGGATGATGGTTAGCGGATGCTTAGCTGTGCTCGGTTTGGTTTCATTTCTTTGAATTCCTAGACAAAGGAGGCATACTTACGCTCGTAGAGCTCTCCTCTCTCTGTTGTGGTCTTCGCTCCGACATTTTGATGATCTGTGTTGGAGCTGGAGAAGAGTGGCCGACCCCTGAGAAAAAAAGTCAGGGAAGCAAGTTGGTTCGTTGGCAGTTCACATCGAGGAATTCCAGAAGTCCCTTTGTCGCCAATTTAGTTAGTTAACTAGCCTCCAGTATTTAACTAGTTACCGCCACCCGGCCCCAACCAAAAGTGACGTGCATCGCCAGATCTACAAGCGTCAAGCCGAAACATCGAAACAGCGATCGGCTGCGAATACAGGATACAGAGCACTCCGTACTCTTATTGTTCAGTTTCTCTGCGCTTTTCTCTTACGATCCGGTGTCCCCGCGATTTTAACCTGGCCATCACAGAAATGGGCCCGAGATCTCGTCGTCAACCACAGCATCCAGGCAGATGACGGATAACCCTTCTCCACCTCCATCATCTGGCTCCGGCCCTCCTCCGCCGTCCTCCCACTTCCCAACTCACGATGGACCTCGAGTCTGGGTTTTGTCTGCCGGTGACTCGCCGATTGGTATTTCGCTAACGCGCCAACTGCTAGCCCATGGCGACCAAGTGGTGACGGGGATTACTCCGTCGAATCCAGAGAGAGAGGATCCGCGAAGGGTGAATTTCGATGTCTTCTTGGACGAGATCAGCACCGAGGATGAGTACAAAGGGTGGTTGGAGAGGCTTGAGACCGTAGAGTTGGATATCAGGTGCGATTTCGTCCCATCGTGCAAGCATAGTTGAACAGCCCCCTGACATTTTTTCGCAAACAGATTGATGAGTGACTGTCAGGTAGCCATTGCTGCTGCTATCGCTAAGTTTGGAAGAATTGATATCCTTTTCTGCTGTACAAGCCAAGGTTAGTGGTTCTACTGGTTCTTGACAAGTATCTTAATCTGCATGCTGATCCAATGCCTAAAACGTAGCTATAATTGGAGCAGTCGAAGAACTCGCGGTTTCGGAACGAACCCAGGCTTTGGTGAGAGACCAATTCGAAACCAATTACTTCGGCCCTGTCAACTTGATCAAGGCTGTATTGCCGCAGATGCGAAAACAAAAGGCTGGTCATATTATGGTCCTTGGCGGAATCAGTATGAGAATGACCCTCCAGGGTTTTGTGGCATGAATTTAACAACTAACTACCCAACAGCGGGACATATAGGGACACCAGGTCTTGGGGTATATTGTGCTGCAGGCTGGGCACTTGAGGGTTTCTGCGACGTAAGTACTTCGCTTCTTACGCGCGAGTTCAATTGTCACAACAGATATAGAGTTCCCAGTTAATCTTTACCTTTCCGCAGAGCATCGCATACGAAATCGCCCCTTTCAACATTCGCGTGTCCATCCTCCAATGTAACATCGAAATTGGAATCCTCTCCAACCTCGTCACCAGCGTTCCTCCCATGTATCCCACCTACTCTCGCACAGCTAACCACGCACCATTATTCCGCGGAATCCTGAATGACATTCTCTCCCGCCTCCCAAGCGTCACGGGGTACCCTGATTCACCTGTCCCATCACCAATATCCGATCCATCCCCTTGCTCTGTCTCCACCACCTCCACCAGTAACCCGGAAGCCCACCACGAACAAAACACCATAGACGCGAACCTCCATCCACTTTCCGCAAAGACCATTGTTTCCCTCTATCCGCCGCTCAGTCCTGCACATCTGGATCTTCTCACGGCGGAAACTATACACGCCATTACCGCTATCGGAGGCCATGAGAATCCACCAGCACGACACATTGTTGGTGCTGAATCCGTGGCCAGTGTGAAAGAGAAGTTAAAGACAATAAGCGAAGAGCTGGAGGATTTCATAGCTTGCAGTTCTGCGGTGGATATTGTTAGCGATGAGAATGCCATGCGTGTGGTTAGCGAGGAGACTACGGCACAAGCTGCTATCCCTTAATATACTTTGCGTATCAACTTAAAATGCAGCTCTTTAATGTTAAAACGATTTATGGTAAAATAGTTATCGCCTTTGATTAGGAGCTTTTGGACTAAAAATAGTAATATGTAGATATCTTTAAAAAAAGGGCCCATGCGCAATTTTAAGCCGAATAACAGACGCTAGGTCCTCGCAAAATAGTATCGTATCTAATGTAAGCTCCTCCCGAGTCCTATTCCCCAATCCTGGAAGCTTTGCAAGAAGAGATGGGAGCTAAAAGGAAAGGAGAAAAGTAAAGAAATACCCAATCATTGTAGAACAAATCTCATTATCTAGTTTTTGCACTGAAAATGAGCAAAGTCATAATAGCTTTAAATGTTCATAGAATGCTGATTTTGAATACGCGATAGCTGTTGGTAGCCAAGGATATCACATGTACGAGGATTATGCGCGCTCGGGTTCGCTTCGGTTGTGAAAGAACATCTCAGCGACCCCGAAGATACCAAGATTGTCGAATATCCCAAAGAGAGCCAATATCTTGGTTGTTTCTGTAACAGCGAAAATCTTTCCAAGCGTTTCCGTTAGGCGGGTTTTTAATACGTCCATCAATCTCGAGAATCTTGTTGTGTAAACTGGTGGGACCTCGGACACCTCTGAACACGACGTCCCTGATCTGGGGCTGTCCGTTGCTCTCGGGCTCAGTGCCATCGCTAGCTTTAGTTATGTGTTCAAAGGCCTTGCTTTCACCGTCCTTTTGGTTTTCCTCAGGATCAGCAGCACTAACATCACTCTTGATAGCTTTCGAAATTTCCAAAGTATTACCCATAGGAGACGTCTCTTTCGGAAGATCGACCGGCACACTTTCAGCCGTAATCTTGTGGGTATTAAGCTCAATGGAACTCCCACTTTCCTGGGTGTCAGGTATTGCCCTTTCGGCAGTTTGGGACTTTGAATCAAGTTGGAAACGAAAGGTGTCCCATGCGAGATCAAGGTTGGAATAGTCAAATTCCGTGTGTAAGTCCGAAAGTTCAGATTCAGAATCTGAACTAATCTCCTCTAGAATTTTGATAAAATGGTTGCGAGTTGTAATGCTGAAGTCGCTAGCATTTGTATGGTGGACATCCTTGGGATTAGTTACTATCTCTGCCTCCATAGTTTTCGCAGGCTGCTCATCTAGGGTGTTTTCGTGGGGGCCATCCGCTTCCATCTCAGAAACAAATTGCTGTAGGGTAGACATGAGGTTTCCCGTTTGGAAACACTTTCCAGAATTGCCACTCTTCGCACTCGCAGCATCACCCGGATCAGACGACGTAGGCACTGCTCTACTGTCGGTGGAAATGATAGCACTTTCGACAGCAGGCTGCGTTGGCTCAAGTTTAACTTCAGTAGTCCGCGAGTCTGGAATTCCATGTGGAGAAGTTTTCGTTGCAATGTCATTCGTGACCCCACAAAGCAGGAGACGCTGGCCGGAAGGGATTGCGAACGTAAGGAGTTTCCCATCAGAGCCGATTACCTATCCAACATAGTAAATTAAGATTCTGGGCCGGTCAATGTTAGGTATCAGGGAGGTTACCTTCACTTCCTTTTCAACAAGTATCTTCTCTTTACCTCTTCGAACAACTCTAGTAAATTTCCAAATATCACCAACCTGTATAAGGTCATTTTCAACCAGAGTTTCGAGCTTGATCTTTGAACTTTCTCCGGCAATCACCCCGCGATCGATCTTTTGCTTCTGACCCCAGAACTCCTCGAATTGCTCTTCCTTCCATTTGTCAAATTTCCCGGCAGCTCTTTCTTCTACAGCTTCGTGGGCCTGGCGCTGCCATTCCGGATCGTATCTGCCATTTTGTAGGTCGTCCTGAAATTGGCGCACCGCATCGCGCCACGGGATCGAGTAGCGGAGAAATTCGTAAGGTAATGGCTCTATCTGAGACTCTGGGTCTTCAGGGTTTCCATCAGGATTAGGGTGGGTTCCGGCAGGAAGTAGAGAAAGGATCTCCCTCTTCTCATCTTCATCGAGGCAGGTCCAAGACTTGGGATTAGAGAACAGCTTCTACGAAAGTCGTTAGCGTCCGAAAGCCCTGAGCTTCGTAGATACTAATTTGATCGACTAAGAAACAGAGATAACTTGCCACCAAGTCAATGTCGACTAGCGGAGATTTGTCACTTGTAATCACGAAAGGTTCGCTCCATTTCTTTGATGGCCTTCCTCGACGCATCCGAGTGGCCCTTTTAGCTCCATCGGGGGGCATCTTCTCTGAAGCCTGTGCGGGAGCCTCCGCTTTGTTGGCATTATAGGATGCAGTAGCTCGACGGGGACGGCTATATAGGCCAGTCTATCAGCATCTCCGATTGCTCTCTCCAGGAAAAACGAAGCAAACTGGAACCGGGTTGCGTGGAACGATGGCGTTTTAGCGACTTACGATTCGCGTTTTGGCGCATGCGCGGTATTGCCGTCATTGGCCGCCTTCCTCTTGGCGCTACGGGGCATCGTGATTGGCTCTATGAGCTAAGTAACAACTTCGTTCTTGACAGCTTGATGAATAAGTTGAGAAGCACCTGAAGAGCAGTCTCGCCTGTCAAGCTGCAACTGTGATCCTGAATATAAGAGATTGAAAAAAGAGAGACTTTCGAATATCAATTGTGCAGGAGAAGAGAAGTGTTGTAAAAATGGTGAAATCAACTCAGATCTCGAGACTGGATGGTAAGTTCAAAACCGACGGAAAATGAGCTGAGCTTTGAAATGGAGCTTGTAGGAACAAAGAGAAAAGAAGGAGGATGAAAATTCTAACAAGATAACATTTTAGGTCTCATGCTCTCTGCCTCTGTGGATGATGAACAGGTGTGTGTGTTATCCACATTCGCCAAAGCCCTGAATGCCGCAAATTGCCATTCACCCTCACAACACAACACGCACATACTGTCCTATGTTTGGTCCTAAGTTAATAAATTTTAGGCAGAAGCGCAATTGGCCGAAGTGAAGGGCCAGGCCAAAATGATATTTCGTCGACTGAATAGCAATTCCGAACCAGAAGCTAGCATAGAGTCCGGACAGTACAACTTACAGTCAGTATATTGGCCACCCGTTTCCAACGCTTCACCCAGTACAATGCTCATGTTTTATGTTTTGACAATGCAGTTACATTATCAAGGATGATATTTGCTTTCTGTGCATTGCAGACCGATCATACCCCCGAAAGCTCGCATTCGCATATCTCGCCGATATCGCAAACGAATTCGTCAACATGTACCCTCCCTCCCAATACCTTTCCTCCAACCTCCGCCCATATGCATTTGTCGAGTTTGACAGCTACCTCCAGCGCAAAAAGAAGTCGTACCAGGATAGCCGGGCATCGGCAAACCTTGACAGATTGAACGATGAGCTCAAAGACGTAACCAAGGTGATGACAAAGAACATTGAGGATCTCCTGTACCGAGGCGATAGCCTCGAACGCATGGGAGAGATGTCGGGCCGGTTGCGAGAGGATAGCCGCAAATATCGTAAGGCTGCGGTCAGGATAAATTGGGAATTGTTAATAAAACAGGTAGGTCCCCGGACACAACCCCTGAATGGCCGAGAAGCCTTGCTGACAATTTTCGCAGTATGGTCCCTTCGGCGCCGTTGGCTTGCTGGTTATTATTCTTCTCTGGTGGCGGTTTTTCTAGTGCAATAGTCTTTCCTTAATGATATACCCTTTAATGACATGCATATTTGATGGACGGATAAACGTTGTACTGCTCAGTAATCTGGCGGGTTTCCCAGGCATGGATTAGGGCTATAGCGAGGCATTTCTTAAGGACTGACTTATAAACAGGCGGTAGCTGCTCGAAGATTCCACTGGCCGTCGCCATATATATGCCATCGTCCATGCAGGAGGTTATTCGTGAAGCAATGTCTCTCGGTCCGGGGCTTCAGATTTCATCTTCTTCCTCGTCAAAATCATCCTCTTCTCCCATCTCGTATAGAATGCGCCCCCCTTCACCTGGGCCTTCACCCTTTTGCGCATCGAAATACGGGAGGACCACATTTTCTCTATCTCTGCGTTGTCGTTCCGTGAGCCCAAGCTCGAATGTTGACACCGGTTCTTCATCTCCCGTGTGCGGGCCAGGCTCTTCTTCCCGCTTGTAAAGCGGATGGTCGTCAAGCAGTATCGCCACCTCCCGTGCCTGTCCTTGAGAGTACTGCGATGCAGCAGGAAGAAAGTACCATTCAACAACTCCTCTGCCACTTTTTCGCCTGTGCTCCATCTCTAGTACAATGCCGTCATTTTTTCCGAGCCTTTTACCGGAGTCCTGTCGGCCAATAATAACGCCGTCCCTCTCTTCCTCAAGGCCAAACACTGGAGTAACCATACTCCTGTCGGCTGCAGCTTTCCGGGCCAGCACATGTGCTAGCGAGTGGACAGTGAAGATACTCGTTGCTAAGTATGTTAAGAGAGACAGCAGCGATGGTGAATAAGGAAGGGAGTTACGTGGAGCAGGCATATCTTGGTGGTAAACAACGATCAGGGAGATCTGTGTTCTTTTACTTGCAGCGCTGAGCATACTGCTCAGAAATTCGGCTACGTTTACCTCCTGGCCAGCACCTTTGCGGCATACTAGCGGATGAATAGAGTCGATGATCACAAGAGTTCCTGTTAGAAAGGTCAATACGTGGGTGGTGCTTGATATTCTCTAAATACTTGAGGGAGCCTTACTTTTATCGGGAAACTTATCATCCCGGGGCGGAAAGGATGCCACTACTTCCTTTGCTACCTCGTTCGGACTCTTCCTTGTGGCAGAAAGAAAGGAGTCCACCCCTTCAGGGCGTGTGAAAGTCTCAAAAGAGACAAAAGTTACTTGCGACTTGGATAGCTGCATTTGGGATTGCATTAGATAGGATCAACAATGAAGAAGCTCGGAAAAGCCCTAACAAGATCGCTTTTACAGCAGGAAGCAAAAGGCAAGCAAAATGCATCAGAAGTAAGACGTGCAAAGCCAAAGCAATGCAAGACCATTTCTGCCCCTAAGGGGAGATAAGGATACCGGAATAACGGAATAAGACGATACATACCCTTGCCCGTCGTATGTATTCCCTGAGTAATGGTGTGGCCGGCTGCTCCAACGAGTCCAGAAGCAGTGTCAATGGAGATGCTGTGTCTCGTTGATTCAAGAGCGAAGAGAACAGCAGGAGATTATGCGTCCGGCGACGAGATATGCTATTCCCAGATGCCATCCTCCTACTTTACTTCAGAAATAAATCGCAGACAGTGCAAAATGATATGGGAAAGCTGAGCTGCCTGAGTATCCAATCTGAAATTAATTAACATTTTTCGAGGTTGATGTCAACCTCTCGCTGCGCGTTGTGGAGAAATTGTCCGCCGTAGTTCCAGCCAGTGTTTCAGCAACAGGCAAAGTGACATTGTTGGTGAACAGCCAAAAGTTGCATATTTATGAATCTCTCCGCTCAGATAGTTTTCTTCTAGCATGCCTCATCTACAAACTGCATAATTAGTTTTAGCTGGCGGCCTCAATTTGGTTCCATTCTTCAACCTCCACTATCACCCAAGATTTCTAGCATATCGAGCTATTTTATCCAGCCGTAAGGCCATCCGACCTCCATCATGGCTGAGCCACCAGCCAAACGCGCCAGGCGCATGGACAGTTCAACGATGTGGGACATGAACGACAGACATTCAAAACAAACTACCTACGCAGCAGACGAAGTGGATGGCTCGGGAAGACGCGATCGAGATGAAACAAAGCAACCTACGACATCATCACGAGCAGAGGGACGGCGGAGATCTCGATCGCGAGAAAGGGACGATAAAAGACGGGATCGCAGCAGATCGCGGGATCGATGGGCGAGAGATGGATACAGAGACGGGCGACGAGACGGTGATCGAGATATGCGCAGTGTAAGGGATAGGGATAGAAGCAGAAGTCGTGATCGGAGTCGTGACAAGGAGTATTCGCGACGAGGTCAGAAGAATTTCAAAAGCTTACACTTTGTGTTGGAAAGGGGCGTTTATTAACATCTAGTAGATTATTATTCTAAATCTAGTCGATATCGCGACCGGCCCCGGACCAGATCAAGATCTCGATCTCGCTCACCAGCCCGCAATGGCGCAAAACTGCGAACAAGATCACCGCCACGTGGTCCACGATCCGATCGGAAAGACACTGGAAGGCGTAGCGTGCCTCCGGATGCTGATAGAGAACCCAACGGCTTGTCAGATCGGAAACGACAGTCTTCAAAACTTGGAGATGCCGTCAGGATGGATTTGGACGACGCTGCGGATGCCGATGATATGGAGCAGCTGATGATGAAGACAATGGGGTTCAAGTCTTTCCGGTCTACACAAAATACTAAGGTTCCTGGAAATCAGATCTATGGTGTTCGGAAGGAGAAGAAGACAGAGTATCGACAGTACATGAATCGTGTGGGAGGATTTAACAGGCCACTGAGTCCGTCGAGATGATACCTTTAGCCGGCAGTTTCGGATCTGTGGTTTCTTTTGCTTTTTGTTTCTAACTGCGTTGCATTCCTGAGCGACATTCGGCTGCTGTTTCCTCAATTGCTTCAAACAAACGGAATTTTGCGCATCGATTCATATCCATTGTGGCTTAGGAAAATAAATGAGTTATCAGGCCCATTCCACCCCTTGTTGCTCCATTTAACCATGGAGGACCCATTTTGAAATGGACACTTACAGTTAGTACACTGTTTCAACTTTTGTATGATATATCAGCTTGTTTAGAGGTGCCTTGAAACATTCATGCAAGCCCCCCGTGCCATACGCCCTCCCCGTTGAGATAGTAAGGAAAGACAGAGGCTGCAATCGAACGTTGCTGCAAGCGATGGTAGGTCATGAGTCAAAGATCGTGTTTCAGGATAGTCTTGGAACGATGCACATAAAACATACCTCCCTTTTTCTTTGCAACTCCATCAACACCGTTGCTTCGGATGCTTCCGAACCATAACCATATTCGGGTAACTTCAAAAACAAATTTTAGCGACACATTTTGTTTACATGCTGAAGCCAGCGCCTGAAGATGTGTGTTGAAGGCCCACTCTCGCCATCGACTCTTAAATCATAGCACATATCCAGAAACCAGGGCAATAAGCGAGTGTTGAACGATTCAAATCAAGCAAGCAACAAGCTTTTGTTAGTGCATACACAAGCTTATATGGAGGGCAAAAATTCCCCTTCTCAGGGCCCCATGGAGCGAGAATACGAAAAGCGCCCCATGTCTCGGTGTGATCGGGTGAGCGAGAGGCGGAATATCAGTGGTTTAAATTGAATTTCTCCACCAAATCCTTGTACACCTGATCGTTGTTTTGACAAGCCAATCCTCCTTGAAACACACAAGACCCCCATGAAAATGCCAGCCGGAACTAGCTTCAACCTAAGTGGATTTGAGATGTTTGATATGAAATTGTAATGTGGACTTAGAGGTTTCTGCTATTATTTAGTGTTTTGAGGCTAAGCTCCAAAGTCTTGCGGCATGCCATTTCCCAAATCCCGAAGATGCACCGCAGTAGTACGGCTGGAGCGGGTCTCTTGTCTGCGGTGATAATGGTGAGACTTGTTTCATTTGTCCCTGCAAGCAAATCCGTTTGTATAATGCTGTATCCTGGGACTATGAGACTGTGAACCAGCAGCAGTGGAACAATTACAATTGCACTGACGTTCAAGTTTCAACGGCTTACGCTGTTGTAACTCAATCCAGTTCCGATGATATCAGGAGAGATAGGGATCTTTGAAGTATCGGCAGGAATCCCTATGTCGGTAGAATCAATTCCGCTGAAGACCGCCATTGTGAACGACAGGTTATATGCGGGAAGAACATTCCGTTGATTGACGGGCGACTGTCCCCGGTCGTAAATCACGATCGGCTGGAAAGTGAGCCACCGCTCTCAGCCGGACAAGGAGAAACTCATGGGTTCGCCCGTTTAATACTCGGGTATACCGCCAGATCTCGTCCTTGGAGCCGCATGATAAAGCGAAAGATAGCATTAAAAGATCCCAAATGCCTGACAATACCGATGGTGTGCTCGTTGGCGAACTTTGCCGGTGCAATCATCCCATCCGAAGAGGGCCTATCGGATCAAAGACGCAAGTATGTTTGCCGAAGTTCTTATCCGCTGTAACTTAAAGCTAAAAGGATGTGTTCGCTTTACCCTTGGGTTCCTGGACGGTAAGGTACGTTTGACGTTGCCTCCAAGGCGCCTCGTGGTAGTCCATAGAGGGACGGCGAGGGTTTGCATGCCAAACCCATTGTGGATTGCCGCAAAATTCTAGGCCTTCAATGAGGGCATTGTACTCCATATGAGAGCTCGCCAACCCATAGCTCCTTAGAGTGGGAACAAGTATAAATAGAGCCCCCATTCAATGGAACAAATGCGTTGCAAAATTCAAGAAAATATGAATTCCAGGCAAATTCTCTTCCAATTATCCGGCGACTATAAATTTTGCAGGGGTGTAAGTCAGGAAAGACAAGGAGTTGATTGGACTCCTAGTTCAAGAATGATGCCAGTCCATCAGAAAATGCCGGTGATATGGATCGCCGCAGCTTGCAGGGAGAGGAATTGCGAAAGAGGAAGGAAGTAAAAGTTGGCGAAGAGATGCTGGCTGTGTTTGCAGATCTCAATTGAGGGCTCACCAAGGAGATGTCAATAAGCGATCCGTCCACACAGCAATCTTCCTGGGCTGTCAGAAAAGACCCGATGCCTCCATGGACGTTGATGGCGATAAGAGTTCTTCAAGAGTTAACGAAATGATTCCCTGGCGACAACGGAGACTCGGAAATTTCAACTCGTCACCACGGGCTTCTCGGCACGGCTTTCTTCCACACCCCTGTCAAACTGCCATCCGCCCCCGTAACATGTGTTCTCCGTCAAAGGTATGTGCATGTCCTTCGATGCCCAAACTTCGGTGAGAAAGAGAGACATCACGCTGACTAACTAACTGCTCACTTGGCATGTCACATGATATGTCCCTTATAAGGTTCGGTAACCTACTTAAAGGCTCTGCCGCCGCGATGCTTCATCCAAATGTGGAGGCACAAACAGCGAGCCAGCAAGCTTGCCGTGACCATAACCTGCTGGACGCAAAGCCATCAAAGTTGTATGGATAGACGGGGTAGTCCCGTACGGAGAACATGCATAGAATATAACACTGGTGGGCATTACCATGTGATCGGCGATTATTTGCCCAATTCCGGAACAAGTGGTCAGCTCCGGCTCCATGCCGCTTAAGGCTTTTCTCGAAGACAACCCCTGAGGGGAACGTTGCATTCTACGAGGATCCTCCACACATCAAGGAGGACAAGCGCTGAGCTTGTTTTTTTGGCCATGTTTTCCGAAGAACAGCATTCGCATTCCATTCAATGACACTTGTTTCCCTCGGAAATCGTTCAATAGCCTCTCAATTGGGCTGTCCATGGCGTGAACCTTTCGTTCAGAACGCCGTGTCCCTTCCTTTCTTCTTTCTGCCTGTGCAGGGCAGTCAGGGATCACTCCGAATCTAGACTTTTGAGTCTTAAGGACGGACGTATGGATGTGCACAACGCTTTCATGGCATGTCCTTGGCCTATTATGCTACGTAGCTGAGTTGGTACCACTATATGAGGACCAAGGCATCCCCGCTATTACCTGTCACTTTTATGAATGAATATGACCTTCCCGATTCTTTGCTTCTCGTGACCATTGAAGTACATACATTCCGTTCAGCCTTGCATTATGAGCATCCTTTTTAAAATTTTTGCCAGTACCCTGGCAGTGGTATCTGTTGTCAATGCGGGGGAGCTTCTCAACTTTGAGAATGAGAGGGACATCATCCGAGGCTCGTATATTGTGGTGATGAAAGATGGGACCTCATCGTCGGACTTGAAATCTCACATGAATTGGGCAGCCAACGTCCATCATGGAAATCTAGCAAAGCAAGGTCCAAGCCGCTCCATCGGATTCCAATTCAGCTTTGATATTGGTGGTTGGAGAGGTTACAGCGGAAAATTCGACAATGATACATTAAATGCGATTGTCAACAATGCTCATGTGAGTTGGGTGCTCTTTTCCCTTTCGTGGCTTCGTATTTCTTAAAAAGATCAACCTATCTAGGTCAAATATGTGGAGCCCGATCGTATGGCTAGCGCGACTGTCTTGAAAATCCAGAAGAACGCTCCATCTTGGGGACTTGGTAGGATTTCACATACATTCCGTGGCTTTAAAAACTACCTCTATCATAGTTCCGCCGGTGAGGGTGTATTGGCCTATGTAGTGGATACTGGCATTGACATTAACCATCCGGAGTTCGAGGGTCGGGCTGAATGGGGGATCAATGTCGTGGACGAAGTGGACACGGACGAGCACGGTCATGGAACCCATGTGGCTGGTACTATCGGCTCCAAGACATTTGGCGTCGCTAAGAAAGTGAAGCTCGTCGCAGTTAAAGCCTTAGGAAAGGATTCTAGGGGTCCTGACAGCGGGATCATCGCGGCCATGGACTGGGCTGTGAAGCATGCGAAGGAGAGGGGCATCCTTGGTAAAGCCATCATGAACCTGAGCTTGACAGGCGACACTGCGACTGCTTTGAACGAAGCCGCGGAAAGAGCTGTTGAAGAGGGTCTCTTTCTTGGAGTGGCCGCGGGGAATAACAATGTGCGTGAGAAGAATTGACTTTACCAACTTGGATCCTTCTCCCTCCACATGTCTTGAACAGGCGGGATGCTCACAGTCTCATCACAAACTTTTATAGCGCGACGCCATCAACGAGTCACCAGCATCCGTAGAGACTGTATGCACGGCCGGTGCCAGTGCCGAGAATGATGAAAAGGCCTCCTTCTCCAACTTTGGGTCTCTTCGTATGTCTTCTCTGTGGCTCTTTGCTTCTGACAGCCGGAGCTCTGCAAAATGAATGCTAACCATAAACAATAATCAGTTGACATTTATGCTCCTGGAAACAAAATTATATCAACCTTGCCTGGTGGGGGTAACGGTACAATGTCAGGCACATCTATGGCTGCGCCTCACGTCTGTGGTGTCGCTGCTCTTCTCATGTCTTCTGAAGGTATCAAGGCGCAGGAGGCCTGCGATCGCATCAAAAAGTTGGCACGGCCAGCCATCAGGAATCCTGGGAACAGCACCACCAACAAGCTGCTCTACAACAAGAGCGGCTTCTAAAGACACAATTCGACTGCATATATGGATGGTACGAGGGAGGAAAAGTAGGGAAGAGAATATCAGCAGGCTTTGGGAAGGGGTCTGATCCCTGAGAGCCATATTTTTCCGAGTTGACCATAGAACATATGACCATAGGGGGCTGTTGCGGTGAGAACGCATAGGGAACAAAACAGGAAGTGATCGTAGCAGGCTTAATATCACTTGAGTGAGCAGGGCGATATCCTGTCTCCCGGCAGATATTTCCCCCCGAAATTGTAGCCCATCATCCCAACCGATTCAGCAAGTGAAACGTATGTATGTAGTTTGTTGTCACTTTCATTCAACCGACTCGTCATCCTGGGTGATCTGCTGTAAATTTTTGAGAATTTGTTTCTCGCACCGGATAATTTACAGACAATATTTCACATTCCTTGGAGATAATCGATCCTGCCAGCGGTTGAGATCCTGGGATAGATCAGATCCTTGCTCAATCGATGGGTTTATCGAAGTTCCTGACGGCCGACGCTCTGCCTTCCCGCACGATAGGGTGCTTGCATGCACATACATACATACATACATACATGCATTCTACATTTGACCACTCGTTAGCGCTGGCCAGACAACTAACGCCGTGTAACGCAATCTGTGGGCGGCATGTTGGGCTCGCCGCGCAGCTCTCGGGGCATCATCTGATGGAGACGCGATCAGCGAGATGATCCTCACGCCGGATGGGTGCGTCGGGCCGACATGGACCGATTACTAACATCGCTGTGGAGGGGAACTCCATCTGATCCAACCGACGATGATCATCAGGGACCATGTTCCTGGCCGATTTACCCAGGTTTTAACCAGGTCCAGCGAATCGTGGGATCTGACTGGCCTTCCCGCGCCCGCTAGCGACGCGACAGGCTGGGTCTTCAAGGCCATTTTAAGTTTTCGAAGGATGGGGGATGGTCCTTCTCCAGATTAGACTAATTTTAGGGTTGCCCAACGACACAGCGACAATGTTGCTCGCGCGTCCTCGATCACCGGGGTGTGTCATCCCCAGAGTTAAGATCTGCAGAGGACAGAGGCTGCTCGATGAGCTTTTAACGACGTTTCTGAAAAAAAAAGAAAAAGAAAACGGGTTTCCTGTGTCCTCCAGCGAGCCATGCAGGTATTGCCGGCTCGGACATCGCGAGAAGGCCTCGCGCTTTCTCGTGCTCCCTTGGTCTTCTTGTTTCTCTCGTATCTCTATCGTCTACGAGACTTCGTTCATCCTTCGCTTCTTCCCCTCCCCACTGGATCTGATCTCGCCATTCTGCCAATCGAGAAGGTTACACCCGCCCTCCTTGGCTATGATTGGACCTTGCAACCTTTCCCCAGGAACAACCATGCTCACTCCACAATATATCCTTAATTCCCATGCCACAGGTTTCGTTTGCTGTTCTGGAAAAATCTAAGGCCTGCCCCGGCCATAGCCGGCTCTTGCTCACAGACAACGATCCCATGTATCCCTGACAGGGGGTGAAGGGGATACGGAAAGTCAAAGAGGATTGACACGGAGTGAACGGAACGCAGCGCTGGGTCCCATGGGGGATACGTCATGTGGAATTTATGCGGGCCACATGTTATGGGATACCAGCATGATGAAGAGGAGGAGTTACCAGGCTTTACTCCGAAATCTCGTAGGAGCCGGGGTGTGGGGAGGTTGTGGGCGTGGGAAGCACGTCGCATGCGATATAAATTCAAGGTGATTTCCGTGAAGACTTCGAGGAATCTGAGCTATAGTCTCGATCTCCCTAACCCCTCAGAGACTGGTCCCTATTGTTGTCTTTTTGGGTACATTTCGGGTTACAATCATGCACGGTCTTTTGCTCGCCGCCGGGCTCCTCAGCCTGCCCCTTCGCGCTCTTGGGCACCCAAACCCAAACCCGCAGATGCACACGCTCTCTCGCCGAGGCGCTGTTGACCTAGATGCTTTCCGCCTGGGCCAGAATGCCGAATACTCAAATACCGCGAGTGTAGCTTCGAACCCGCCCGCTTTGTCCATCAGGAGCACCCAGAGCTACGTGGATGTCGCCAAGGACCTTGTCAAGACCACTCTCCCAGACGCAACTTTCCGTGTTGTCAATGACCATTATGTTGGAACCAACGGCGTTGCCCATGTTCACCTCCGCCAGACTGTCCATGGCATCGACGTCGACAATGCTGACTTCAACGTTAACGTAAGCGAGCCAGCCTTTACAATTCCGCAATCAAGACTGACAATCGTGATAGGTCAAAGATGGCAAGGTGTTCTCCTTCGGAAATTCCTTCTACAAGGGCAAGATCCCAGAGGAGAACCCAATGGTCAAGCGAGACCACGCCGACCCCGTTAAGGCATTGAAAGGAGTGGTCAGCGCCCTCAAACTTCCCGTCAAGACTGAGAAGGCATCTGCCGCTATCTCAGCGCAGAGCCAAGGCCAAGACGCCGTTGTTTTCAAGGGAACCTCCGGAGCCCTTTCCGACCCCAAGGGTGAACTTGTCTACCTTATCAAGCCAGATGGAGAGCTTTCTTTGACCTGGAAAGTCGAAACCGACGTCGGTGACAACTGGCTCTTGTCCTACATTGATGCCAAGGATGGCAAGAACATCCATGGTGTCGTTGACTACGTTGCTGATGCTACTTATCAAGTTTAGTATGTCTCTAAATTCCCACGTTCAAGTTTGCGGGTGAATAGCGAAGGCTAATGCATACATCAGTCCCTGGGGTATTAACGACCCTACTGAAGGCGAGCGCGAAGTCTTCACTGACCCTTGGGATGGAAATGCATCTGAGTTCACCTGGATCAGTGACGGAAGAACCCGCTACCCAACCACCCGCGGCAACAACGGAATCGCCCAAGATAACCCGAGTGGTGGTAACCAATATGAAAACAACTACCGCCCAATGAGCGACGATCTCCGATTCGAGTACCCTTACTCCACTGACATGAGCCCTCCAGATTCTTACATTGATGCGTCCATTACCCAGCTGTTCTACACTGCAAACGTTTACCATGACCTCCTTTACATCCTCGGTTTCACCGAGAGAGCCGGAAACTTTGAGTACAACAATAACAACCAGGGTGGCAGAGGAAATGACTACGTTATTTTGAATTCCCAGGATGGCTCTGGCACCAACAATGCCAACTTTGCCACTCCCCCTGATGGCCAGCCCGGTCGCATGCGCATGTACACATGGACCACCTCCCGACCTAACCGAGATGGCAGCTTTGAGGCAGGTATTGTCATCCACGAATACACTCACGGCCGTAAGTACATCCCTGAACATACCATTTCGGACCAAACTTATACTGTTTCTAGTTTCCAACCGTCTTTGCGGTGGACCTTCCAACTCTCGCTGCTTGAACGCTCTCGAATCCGGCGGTATGGGTGAAGGCTGGGGAGACTTCATGGCCACTGCCATCCGCTTGAAGGCTGGTGACACACGCGAGACTGACTACACCATGGGTGAATGGGCTGCCAACCAACAGGGTGGCATTCGTCAGCACCCCTACTCCACCAACCTCCAGACCAACCCTCTTGTCTACACCACCGTCAACCAATACAGAGAAGTTCACGACATTGGTACTGTCTGGGCTAGTATGCTCTATGAAGTCCTCTGGAACCTCATTGATAAGCACGGCAAGAACGACGGCCCCAAGCCTGAGTTGCGCGATGGCGTCCCAACTGACGGCAAATACCTTACCATGAAGCTCGTTATCGACGGCATGGCCCTGTACGTTGAAGACCCTCATATCCCCCTCCTCCCACATTCGCGGTAACTAACATCAGCTGCGTGTAGGCAACCATGCAACCCCAACTTCGTCCAGGCCCGTGATGCCATCCTCGATGCCGACGAGGCTCTTACCGGCGGTGAGAACAAGTGTGAAATCTGGGCCGGATTCGCCAAGCGTGAATTGGGAACTGGCGCTCGTTATGACAGGAGCAGACGCACTGGAAGCACCGACGTTCCACAGGAATGTCAATAAAATAAGAGCTTTTGGTTCTTTGTATATACTTAGCTATCTAACTGGAGATTGTGTACCGTTGCAGCCAACGGACACTCCAGTTTTTGGAATTTTATTTCTAATTCCTTCACTTTCTTCTCTGACTCTCCCTCGGAGAACTTTATCCAGAGTAGAGCGGTAGAAACGATTGGATATTCAAGGTCTCAACGTGGTGGAAGTACTCGTGCTCACCTTTAGTGTGTGTAACATCCGGAGTACTATGAATCGGCTGGTTAAAGACGTACATGTGTAGGCTAGCTTAACGAGAGTGTCAACAATTCTCTCCATTGCTGATTCCAAAATGTGCTTCAAGCTGCCAAAGCTCTTCTCCGTGTATGTATATACCGTACGGAGTACATATATTCAAATTATTTTCGCAAGCTAGCCATAGAGTGCGACCGCCTTTCTGAGAAGAAGCGGCAACAAAAATTCGACGCTTGGGTGAAACTCCTCCTCGACAAAGCTCCAGAATTGTATTCTACGCAGATTGCTCTGGAAAATCGACCTGGGAATCATCCTGCCCTCAATATTTGATACAAGGTCAAATCACTATCAATCGAGTTGGAACCCAGGAAATTCGCAATGAAAGGAGACGAAACAATGTATACGCGCAAAGTCAGTAGCGAAGAATGGGAACCATACCTGCTAGCAGATCAGCCTGCGCGGACTTTGCTGTTTCTCCTCCTCAGCCTCATTCGCGACGAGCAGGATGGAGGTGTACTAGGTCTAAGGCGATCATACCTACATGTACTAGAGTCATGGAGAGAATGTCAAACCTGTTGACGTCGACTACTTTCCATGATGTATATCAGCTTGCGCGGCTCGCGATCGGCAGAAGTCTGAACGCGTTGCGTACTGGGCAAATCATGAGCCGCCTCCTCGTGCCGAAACTCATGCGCAGGTGCAAGAAACGTGTCAGTCGTGGTGTCTGAGGGTGATTCGGCGGCTTACTGACAAATGAATTGCTGAAAAGAGATGCAAGGAGGATTTGGGCCGTTTGATAGACTCACATATCTTGTTTGAGCTTTCAAGCCATGGAACAGATGCACATGTATGAAAGGTAATTTCATAGTTAAACCTGGGGTTCAGACACAGCAAGTTTCGAGAGGGCGAGGCGAAGGCTTTGGACGTGATGCCACTGAGGTAGATGGCGAAAGGATAAGCCTGAAGAAGCGAGGGAATATAAAACGTAGCCAGTTCAACTGGGAATTTTGGTAGTGCATTGTTAGTGACACCGGTACAAGATGCTGTAAACGCAAGCTGTTGATGGAGATGCTAGAATTTGGGTAAGGACGGGAGGATCACAAGGGTTGAAGTGCAGATGACCATTGATAGACTTATTCCTTTTGAATGTCAGCTGAATTGCCTCGAAAAAGGATCGGAAGAGCAAAGCGCATATTTCCTAACTCGGACAAACCAGCTATGAGGCCCTTTGGTTCTGAGAACGTTTACACTGAAAGATAGTATAACTAGGTTGCTGGTATGTAGTATGTATGCATTTTTTGGTTGACAGAGTCAACCTCAGGCTTTCTACTCTGTACTTGCCAAGCTTCCATAACTCACGTTTGATAAAAATAGCAAGAGTTTTTGCATGGCCGACAAACAATATTGTGGTTGACAATAAACACCCTTGGTAGGTAAAAGGCGCATTCCCATACAATTACCACACTCCTCCATGGAGGAAAAATTTAGAAATACAACTGCGCGCTATGGCCATAAATCGATGGCCTCAGGCATGGCAAGAAAGCGTGTAGTTTCTAAACATCGAGAGCCCATATTTGAGACGATGACGCATATCCGCCCTCGATGTCCCGACTGAATGTGCTGAAATACCATGGAGGCGCACAAAACCTTAGTCGCCTAATCCGAAAGAACACTTAAGGCCACAGTGATCGCTCCACTTGTGCTCCCGTTCTTCAGGTCGGTTCTCGGCTGCATATGCGTATGTGCAAGTTCCTGGTGGTATCACCTCGATTTCGTGGGTTTTCAATCCGAGTTTGGCAACCTTGTCGAGCCGGTTCGCCGGGTATGCCTGCTTACCGTCGATGCCCCAGGTGAAACCAGGGTCATTAGGGTGGAGTTCGGTCCACATGTCCACAAGGTTGTTTTCATTAATGATCGAATCATCTTCTGGAAGCACCGGGTTGAAGTCACCAGCTACAAGACCACGGCCGGTTGCGCGAAGGTAAGAGGCAATGATGGATAGCTGGCGAGGCCGATAGGAAGGCTGAATCGCGAGGGAGTCGAGGTGAACGTTGACGAGACGAATGCGAGCATGTGATCCGGGGACCGACTTCTTACATTCGCTCGGGTTGCAAATTGGCAAGAAGATGTCACAGCAAAGAGCGTCCCTCCCAAAATGGCTGGGGAAAGGGACTCTCCAAACCGCACCAAGCGCTGCCCTCTCAGGAGTACGTTTTAGGCCGTGGAAGCGTGATTTCGAGAGGAGCATCATCGTCGAGATCGACTGGTGACCCCAGCTGGTCGCGTCAGCTTCGCTAGAATACCATTGCTCACGAACCCAGGGCATCGCTAATAGAACTGAAAGAGTAGTCCGAGTGACCTCCTGGAGGAATATAACATCCATGACCGGACGCATATCCCGAATATGCGTGATAATGGCGGATGTACGGATGTCTGGAGCCAGGTCTGTGCCATTGATATTCCAAGTAACAAGCGCCAGAGGGATATCTTGAGCTGACTGGTTCGAGTACGGTCCGGCAGTGCTCTTCTTAGCGCTAAGCTGGATCCATCGGCTGGAAGATGAGTCGAATTCATGCCAGGACTGAAAAATCACTGCGGTATCTTTTTCATCCAACTTCGGCAAGGGAGTGTTGTGACGCCACCCCATGAATCGTGCTTGAAGGCGCGAGCGAAGGCCCATCTCTATCAATCGAAAGTTGGCTTTATGATCAATGAGCTAACCACCCATGCGGACTGCAGAGCATTTGCAATGTTGACGTTGCTGAGATATTTGGCGCCTGGGGCGCGTCAGGAACGAGTGGCTGCGAAGTTGGCGCGAACAAGAGCTGATGGGAGGAGTGTTTAACTATGCACCATGCGACATCACAGTCCATCCCAGCAGCGAGTCAACCAACTAACTAGTTAACTAGTTAGCTATTAAGAGATGAATAAATCTCGCTCTCTCACTACAATTATGAAAGAACATTTTATCGTGTAACAAAAGAGCTCCCTTGTTCACCACAGGTTCCTTTCTATTATTATTTCTTCTTGAGCTCAGTCTTGATATGGGGGAAAGTGGGCCGGGGCAAGATATCCGGTACTTGGCGTTCAGGTCACCCACAAACCTTGTGGGCTTGTCAGCCTGCCAGCCAGCTGTTATCAGGCTCATTTTGTGATCTACTGCTCTTTTCATCATCATTATTTCATTTGCTAAGCTGATTCCACTGACTCAAGAAGCCCTGGGGTTTTCTTCTACATATTGAGCTCCCACTGCATCCTCTCTTAGCCCTTAAAATTCTGCTGGAGATAAAAACATTTGCGAAGCTTCTCTTAGAACTCGGAATTTAGATTCTGGCCTCTGTGGATCGTCAGGGAGACGGCTCAGCATTTTCTCGCGGGATCATAGTCGGGCCGAGAGTTTCACGTGAAGCAGCCCCTTTCGTGGGCATCCTGCTGCTTCCTGGCTATTCTCTGCGTGATATGTTCGTTTCGAGCAGCCGAACGACAAGCGCACTTTGCTGCAGATGGCATCAAAGCCCTCAGCGAAACACGATCATCAATGCGTGTCCTCGGCCAATTGAGATGGTTGAGCCTCCATACTGGTTGACGAACAAGAGTGTTGATGAGATGCTCTCGGAGGAATATGATCCACTGCGGAAAGAATTTACGGCTGCTCTCGCGGAGGAAGAACTTTACGGGAGTGGATTCTAATATGCCACGCTTGTCTGAGGTCATGGAACAGGCATGGACTATGGGAACATTCTGGTATACTCTGGCATTATCCAGTCCTACTGGCCTCTTCGGATTGTTCTATCAGCATATCCAACCATTATTATCAGGAGGGAAATCTGACGAATTTGGCGAGGTCATGCCCTTCTTCTGGGTAAAGAATGCGGGTGAACTTGTTGCCCGAAAACTTTCTGACAAGAAACAGTGTGATGCTGATCTTCAGCTGGTGTTCACTGAGAGCAAACAATCATGAATTAAATACATTGCACATGGACACATTTGCGGCGATAAGCTTACTCTGCTATTTCACAACATTATTGCCCTTTTCTGGGTTACTTTTCAGTGACTTGCTTGATTTTCAGACTGAGTCCTACTGCTTTCCTCCCTTAAATGCCTTTCCATGGCTTCACTCACGGCCTGGAACCCCTTTTGAGCCTGGTTGTGTTCTCGCTTTTTCTGGGCAGCCCTGCCTGAGGAAGTAAGTTGTTGAAGAGATTTGACATCTGCTTTCACTCCCACCATGGCTTCCTTGATTTTGTCAGAATCTTATCTGTCGGGCATTCCGAAGCTTATCGTTCTTTCTTTAGATCTGAGATAATTATGTTCAGAAATAGGAGGTAGACAGTCCACTTTTCCTTGTGAGCAGTGAGTAGTGCAAACACCGCATCAGGATGCAGGTTTGGCTTCAAGCTTTCGCTAGTTAGCGGCCGCCCCGCCAATGACGTCCGCTCCCACACCCCGCCCGAACCAGGCGTGTCCAGTCCCGAGCGCCAGTGAACGGGGTGCTGCCCACTCTTCCTGCTATACGGCCGCTTGCCCATCGATACATTGATTCTATGAACTGGCCTTGAACCAAACTAGACGCTACCATCGGCTTCAATTAGTTAGGTTGTCAAAGGATGGAGCGAACCATTGTTGTTGTCGGTAAATTTGCACCCCACGCAAAGAGACGAACTACGCCCGCTGGCTGACACCTGGCTGAAAATCTCAACAGGCGGCGGCATTATAGGATCCTGCATAGCCTACTTTCTGACAAGACACCCATCGTATGACAGCTCAAGACACAAGGTCATAATCCTCGAGGCGACGGAAATCGCCGGCGGTGCGTCGGGCAAGGCTGGAGGCTTACTTGCGCTCTGGGCATACCCGAGCAATATCGTCCCCTTAAGTTTCCGCCTCCATGCTCAGCTGGCGGAAGAACATAACGGAAAAGAAAAATGGGGTTACAGAAAGGTCAATTGCGGGCAATTGATGGCGCATGTGCTACCCAAAAGGACAAGCAGCACGGAAAGCTCAAACAAGAGCAGCACCAAACAGGCTGTTTCGCTGGAGAAACGGACTGAAGAGGCGATAGCCTTGTTAAGGGCGGCAGGTGTGCCTTCGGACCTTGACTGGTTTGATCCGCTTACATTGTCGGGATATGAAGAGATGGGCGATCCGGGCACCACCGCGCAAGTTCACCCATATTTGTTCACCACCTCGATGGCAAAACTGGCCGAAGAGAAAGGCGCCAATGTAATTTTTGGTTTGGTCACGGAGATTGAGCAAGTAGAAAATGGAGCCAGCACTGTAAAATATACGGAGAAAGAGACCGGTGAGTCCAAGTCGATTTCCGCCACCGATGTTGTCATCTCCGCGGGACCCTGGACCAGGTCAATCTTTCCACGGGCGCCGATCACGGCTCTCCGTGCGCACAGCGTCGTTATCCGCCCTACACGGCCGGTATCTCCCTACGCCATATTTAGCAGCATCACGCTTGCCGCAGACTCCGCCTCGGGCCGGCCGAGCCAAACATCATCCGCACCTGAGATCTATGCCAGACCCGACAATACCGTATACGCCTGCGGTGAAGGCGACAGATCAGTTCCACTCCCGTCAACAACTGCAGAGGTGGAGGTAGACGACTCCAGATGCCAAACCATCATCAACTCTGTCAGCGTCATATCGCCGGAACTACGAGATGGAGAGGTTCTGGCTCGTCAGGCGTGTTATCTGCCGAACGTCGCGGCGAAGGGGATAGGTCCCCTCATAGGTCCAACTGACATCAAGGGCGTCTATCTCGCGGCTGGCCATACTTGCTGGGGCATCCAAAACGCCCCGGGAACAGGGAAGGTGATGAGTGAGATGATTTTCGATGGGGAAGCGAAGAGCGCGCATATTTCGAGCTTAGATCCGCGTAAAATTTTGTGAATAAATTTTTGGCAGTACCTGTAATAATAGTTGTTGCCAGCTCTGGACTTAATATTCATGAGAGCGGGAGTGCTGTGGAATTTGTTCTTGTTGATTTATGTATCTTGTGGAAACATTAAGTACGTAGCACGGCCAGGAGAGAGTAGCTCGGCCGGAAATGAAATGTAGCATCATCGCAGCTTGGAACGAACTGACTGCCCCAGCTCTTTTTGACGTTTCACCTCTCCCGATTCACAATTTAAATAAAACTAAATAGATATAATACTCATGTGCAGTCCGATTTGCCTCTTGATGTTCGAGTTCGAAAAATGAGAGGTGTTTCCCAGTCGCTGTGGATCAGCGCTCTGGCTATCCTCAGCATCAACGACAGTGTAAACGCCCACGCTAAATGCACGACGCTCGAGCCGCCGACGCTGAACGATGGAACTCATCACGCTTCGAATGAATCATTGCTATGGGGCCCTTATAGGCCCAATCTTTACTTTGGCGTCCGCCCGCGGGTGCCGAAGAGTCTGTTGATGGGGCTGATGTGGGCAAAGGTGGATGAATATAGCAGCGCGCAGGGGAGTAAGTAGGTCAATTTCTCTCTTCCTTATTTCCTTTTTTTTGGTTTTCCTTCTTTTGGTGATGATGAATTGATTCTAAGCTCTTAAAAATTTCAGACTTTCGACACACCTGCGAGCAAAACGAGGGCATGGCAGGTTACGGCTGGGACGAATACGACATCCGAAAGGGAGGCCGACAGACCATCCACGATGCGGGAAACACGCTTGATCTCACCATTGACTTTATAAAAGTACCGGGTGGAAGCCGTGGTGGAAGTTGGGGGGCGCGTATTAAAGGTCAACCGCGCCCTGATGCTCCGCCAGATCAACCGACAACCATGATATTTTACGCGGCAATGGAGGGGTTAGGCAAGCTGGGAGTGGCGAATGAAGGAGATCCGCTTGGATTTAAGGATAACGTGAAGCTGTCTGGAGGTACAATGGAGCTTGGGGAATTTACCATTGATATCACGCGAGGCCCGGATACCAACAGTCATCCGCCAAATACGCATCCCAGTCATGATGTGAAGCCTCTGGATAGGAGCTTTGTGGCGAGTCTTCAACTTCAGCCGGATTTATTATGGCAAGCGAAAAGTACCTTTTTCCCCTGGCCATTCTACTCTATCGGGAATACAGCTTCTAATTCTGAGCAGGTATCCTTTTTGCTCACATGAAGCAGGAAGTCGATCCGTTGATTCGGAAATACGGAACCGAGAATCCTCCTCCTCCAAGTCGCTACTTTACTATTGCCAATGGCCCGGGACACGGAAACTTTCATATGGTACAAAAGGTCTTCCAGGGAGCGTTTGAGGTAGGTGTCAGCCCGCAACGTTCAACGTTGGTATTTGACTAACGTTGGAAAGTTTGATATCCTCTTCTCATCTGGTTCTGCCGGCCAACCATTGACATGTAAGTGCTTCCTGGCGATCATACCTTTGTTCTTGTCCAGGATTGATGAATTTCCTCCAGCCGATGTCCTCAGCAAGGAAATCGAAACCACTGCTCAAGCGTTCGAGGATAAATTTAAGGAGATATACTCCCCTATGAAACCGTTTGACTCTCCCAAGTATTTACCTTTTTCAAAGGCGATGCTCTCCAACCTGGTTGGCGGTGTAGGATACTTTTATGGAGACTCGATCGTTGACCGGTCCAATGCCCCAGAGTACGATGAGGAAGACGAAGGGTTCTGGGAAGGGACGGCTGAAGCGAGAGCGCGAGCAAAACTTTTGCCAAGCGATCCTGCTGAACTTTTTACGAGTATTCCATCACGACCATTCTTCCCTCGCGGGTTCCTTTGGGATGAAGGTTTCCACCTGATGCCGATTGTTGACTGGGATCTTGATCTCGGGTTAGTCTGTCAACCAGGTTGACTTGGAGGAGTTATGCTAACCGGAGTTTTTAGCTTGCAAATTGTAAAGAGCTGGTTTAACCTTATGGACGACGATGGCTGGATTGCTCGTGAGCAAATTCTAGGGCCCGAAGCTCGTTCTAAGGTGCCCCCGGAGTTCCAAGTCCAGTATCCCCATTATGCCAATCCCCCAACGTTGTTCATGATTCTAGAGGACTTGGTGGACAAAATGGAGGCTGGAATTTCCACATCGGGTTCTGATGCTGCTTCAGGAATATGCTCAAAGGATTTAGAAGCTGCCAAAGCATACTTGCGATCCCTATACCCTCTGCTCAAACGGCAATACTTTTGGTTTCGAAAAACGCAGTGGGGAGATATCAAGTCTTATGACCGTGAAGCATTCTCGACAAAAGAAGCATATCGCTGGAGAGGTCGGACAGTTGAGCTTGTTCTCACTTCAGGGCTTGATGACTACCCACGAGCACAACCTCCGCATCCGGGAGAGCTTCATGTCGATTTGATAAGTTGGATGGGCTTGATGACTCGATCTCTGCGACGCATTGCCGGGGCATTGGGCGAAACCGAAGACGTGGATGAGTTCGGCAAATACGAGAACGCTATTAAGAGAAACATTGACGACCTCCATTGGGACGAAGCCAAGAAGACATACTGTGACGCCACAATTGACGAGTTTGAGGAGAGCGTGCATGTATGTCATAAGGGCTACATATCTCTATTCCCATTTCTGACGAGAATGCTGGAGCCTGATAGTCCTCGCCTTGGACATATTCTGGATCTTATCAGCGATCCAGAGGAGCTATGGAGTGAATATGGCATTCGTAGCCTGAGCAAGAAGGATGAGCTCTACGGAACTGGTGAAAATTACTGGAAAAGCCCGATCTGGATAAACATCAACTACTTGATTTTGAAGAACCTTTTGGTAAGTGTCTTTGACTCGTGTTCACGTAGTGATACTGATCTTCGTGATACAGGACCTTGCAACTGCCCCGGGCCCCTACCAGAAGCAAGCCAGTGAGATGTATACTAAATTACGGAAGAATGTGGTGGATAATGTGTTCAATGAGTGGAAACGAACCGGATTTGCGTGGGAGCAATATAACCCGGAAACCGGCCACGGCCAGCGGACGCAGCACTTCACCGGCTGGACCAGTCTGGTGGTGAAGATGATGGCCATGCCTGATCTTTCTGCAGGTTCTACTGAGGCAGTGCGTGATGAATTGTAAAGGCGCTTTTCATATTGTTCTGAAAATAGATGTTTAGTTAAAGGCCCTTTTTAAATTCTAGACCGGTCGTAATAAAATGGGTATCTCTCAATCCTGTATTGCCAGAAATGCTCCCTCCATCCCTTTGTTTTTTTGTGGTTTTCCCAAATACTTGCGCCAATGCCATATTCAACGCCGAGTCCTTGATTCCAAATTGATCCAGTTTCAATTCCGTGATTTATGCTAGTCAGCGACGTCGCCTGTAACCATTGTTGTCTGCTCGACGGCGATCGTCCTCGCGATTTTCGGGAGAACGGCTGCGTTCGCGACGAGAGCGCCTATAGTCTTCCGTGCGACGCCTGTCCCTGTCCCGAGAGCGCGAACGTCTTCGCTCACGCGCATGAGTTGGGGATCGGGGCCGATACCTGCGACGTTCGTGGCGGTCATGGCCGTTTTCATACCGGTGGCTGCGTTCTTTTCGATCATGGAAGCGACCTCTCTCTCGGCTGCGGTCACGCGGCCGATCTCGCCTCCTGTTGATTTCAACGTCGTCGCTTCGTTTTTCGCGTGGTTCCTTGCGCTTGGTATCATTGGACATCCCGACAGCTTCTAGTCTGTCTGCGTTGGCATCATCACCTGCGTGCTTTAAGCCGTTATAACCGCCGAAACCGATGCCTTTGGGAATTTCCGCCTCGGTCTCATTTGCATCGCTAGTAGATTCCTTGATAAGCTTCTCAACATCCCTGCCTGAGACGGCGGTGGCGTTGGCACCAGTAGCAGATTTTGGAGCAACGGGCAGGCCCAAAGCTCGAGCCATAGCTTCTTGTTCGGCTTCCTTGATTCTCTGCAGCTCGGCTTCTTTCTCTTTTTTTACAGCGTCGGCTGAATCTTCATCATTGTGTTTGGCGTACCAGGAGAGGTCGCGACCTTGCTGCCAGCGTCCCACAGGAGCCATGAGGGAGTGGCCAAGATAATTCTCGCGGTGAGAGGAGTCCTTGACATCAGACCATTTAAAGGCGTCGCGGCCGCCGCTGTGAAGGAAATGGGCGTTAGCATGATAAAGAGTGAGCCAGGACGAGATGCATGAATGCTGCTTACCGACTGCCTTCCTTGCGGACGCTAGCCACCAGATCCATCTTGCTGGGCAGTGGTAAATTGTTCTTCCTTTTGCTTGAGCCGGACTCTCCTTTAAGTGAGTCAAGTGATGTAGGCACTGGTGAGAAACATGCAAGCTGCCTTTATGCCGGCTGGCCAATGCCAATCACGTGGGCGCTAAGTTTAGCGCGGTGATTAGCGCCATTTGGCCCGTGCGCTCCGGGGAAGCTTGAAATTGAGTTCACGCCTTCAACCGTCATGCATCATCATCATCCAACCTTGCGGAAGGCGAACGATGTGAGCAAAAGACAGCCCAAGAGGATGCTATAAAAGACACATTAACAGCTCCCTGGGAGAAGCCAATCTTTTGAATATATGATGGTGACTCAGCACTCAGGTGATTTCTGGTTTTGGTCAAGTGCGATTCTCAGCGGAATCAGGAACTTAACCTGAGTTCCTTTTGGGATGTCCATCCCACAAATGTCTTGTCTTCTCTCTTTGCCAGACAAATCTCATTTCGCTCAGCATAGCGCTCGCATACAGCGAGGTATCATACAGGCTTAGCTCTTTTTGTTGCTGCCAGTGATACTTTGGTTTACCATCTGATACCATGGAGCCCTTCTCTTTAAGATCCAAGTACCAGGAGGTCTTTGTCAATGATAACAGGCAAGATCAGAAGATTGTCGTCGAGGAGCATGGAGTGGAGCCTGGATCCCGTAGAGTACATATGCCTCACTCGTTAACCGTTGAGATTAGTAGATTCTGACTGACTGTCCGCAGTTCCCAAAGTATGTCTGTCAAAATACTGTCGTGAGATGGTTCCTCAATTGATGGCTGACTCTCCTTATAGCAAGAGGGAAATCCCCGCACCTCAGCCGGCTACTTGGAGAAATAACCTTGTAAGTAGACCCGTGTGTCAGTAGCAGCTTATCACTCACAGTGGGATTGCTAGACGGCATTGTCACAGCATCGCAACCTCTACTTTGTTGCGTTCATGCATGAAATTTATGTCTACCAACCGACTATCCACTCTGTTGGCGTTACGCCCAAGCTGATTCTCACCCCTTTACTCGCAAACCCTTCGGCTGCTGGGTATATCTCTCAATCTCGTCCTCATTCTATCAACCATATTGTGGTTGGCGATTTGGGGAACGAGGAGATTCTACTCCTTTCAACGGACTCTGGAAACGTATCTGCTTATAGAACAGAGCGTATCTTATCTGCTATTGAGCAAACCAAGGGCAAAGAGCGCCAGAAGCCGACGGACCTCGGTGCCTCCGTACCGTGCTTCTTTACTGACTGGGTCAGGCAAAGCGCTTGGGGTTTAGCTATCCATAAATTTGCTCGCCTTATTGCAGTCAGCGCAAACACTTCTGAAATCACTGTCTGGGCCTTTGCCCTGGTCGACCAGGATGTGAAGGGCCATAAAGAACCAGAATCGGGCAAGCAGTCCTGTACAACTGACTGGGCAAGAGTTATATCACCTGCGCAGTTCGAAAAGCTTTGCCGGCTACCTCCGCAGCATCGTCGCTCCCGTAATCTCCGCATTACCTTGTGTGGGCATCCCAATAACATTCCATGCGTTGATTTCTTAAATTGTGAGCTAGATCCTCACGGGGAATGGCTCCTTAGCACGGATATCTCGAATAGACTTTTGGGATGGAGGATCTGGGAGAGTCCAATTCCCGTTACTGGATGGAACTTAAATGCGATATGGCGCAGTCAAGGCCAGGATTATATCGCTGATTCGTAAGTAAATAGCTCCTCTATTTCGAGAATTGGGTTGACCGGTCTTGTCTAGCTATGAGCGCGGATGGGGCGTGCTTGCACTTGACCCAAGATCTTTTCGATTGAAGTCTTCCGTTGAGGAAGCCTGTGGTGGCCGGCCGTTCGTGCAAAATAGGGGTGACACTTATGATATAACTTCGCTCATAGACCATGTTCCTCGTGCCTCGACGCGGTACACAGTCCTTCCGCTGGAACATCGCAATGGTTCACTGCCTCAAAATATCGGGAATGGACCTGCTCCTGAATCTAACCTTCCTGTGGACTCAGATGACGATCTTAATTTAGACGAAGGATTTAATCAATTGGGTCAGATTCAAGAGTCACTGGACGTGGTTGTTGCAACTAATGAGGCCGACAGCGGAAGCGATAGCGAAGAACCCTCTACTCTAAACACCCAAACTAGCATGCAGTACCCCCCGGTCTTAGTGGCATCCCAGGGAACTTGGAATGAGCCGGAGGAGTCGCTTATACCTACTGAAGAAATAGACGGACAACTTCAAGGGACCCCGGATATGGTAATAACCGAGGTCCCAGATATCTACGGATGGGGTGATTCCAACGAAGTAGATGAGGATATGGATGAAGGTGAAGAGCAAACGGCGGATGAAGATGCCAACGCTTATTTAGTTGATGCTCTGCTTGAGAGTCTATATGGGCCGACGGATACTTCCTCACAGGCTTCTGATTCCGCTCTTGAAGATTCCATTGATCATGCGAGAGCAAAGCCGGAGGCCTACGTTGAGTTCCCAATCCTTCACTTCTCCGAATCTGACATTCGTATGCTCTCGGGTCCATATAGCGAAAAAGCCAGTGTTGTATGTCGCATGGCCCTCAGACAAATGATTCCAGAACTGGCGCCAGCGATTACAAACCGCGATCGTCTCAACATGGTTCACCAAATCCCCGAGTTGGGGATCGTTGTCGCAGCTTCACAGAAGGGCCGCGTTGCAATTATCTCGCTAACAGAAGTACTCAATGTGGGTAGATTTATGAGAATCGATCACATTGTTCCGTTTGAAAGTCAGGAGCAGCTCGGAATGAGACCACTGGTCCCGTTGGTCGGAATAGCAGTCGGACCGGTGGAAAGTAACCTAGTCCCCGTTGAGGGGGAATCATCCGACGACGAATTCGATGGATCTTTCGCCGAAGACGTCGAAGGAATGGATGATCCTATGGATGGGAAGAAGCCGGTGCGTGGTTATGAGCGTATCAGACGGCCTCCAGGCTTAAGAATGCGGACACCTCGCGAACCGTGGCATGGCTCCCAATATTCACGCAAGTATCGGCTGATTTTGATGTACTTGGATCATACTGTGCTTCGCTACGAGCTCTTTTACGATTGGCCCAATGGTGTGCTTGGAGGTAAGCAGCAAGATCGTGGGTCGTTTACTCTGGCTCCTTGGACCTAGCCAAGGAAAAGGATCAGGCATATCCAAGCATCTAAGAGGTCCCGTGGTAAACTCTGATTTAAAGAGTTGCCAGGGGGAATGGAAAAGGGAGCCTAAATCCTTGTGATCCGGCCCGATTTGTGCTTAAATATAAGACGGCGTATGTAAACTTGATGAACTGGGACCTTTAAAGGGCATATAGAGGGGAGATTATAAGGATGTATTCGGCTGAATAAGCGCGACAGTGGTGAAGGCTGTCTAAGGGTGCCTACGCATGGCCTTGAATAAGCATGTGGATTGGAAAATTCGCCATGGACGATCATAATGTATGTATGTACAACAAGTTTAATATGCAGAGGATATGCGCTGGTCATAATGAAGTTATTGGCAAAAGCAAGGAAACACAATCATTTGCGCGCTAGTTTTCCATTCTGTCGTTAGACATCGAGATGCGTCCATTTAGTATAGCAACATCAAAGTTGAAGAAAGTGAATATCGGAAATGTAGATAAAAATGCTTGAAAAAGAAGGATCTATTAAAAATCGTCGTCTAACTCATCGCTATCCCATTCGTCTTCTTGATCATGCTGGACCAAGTATAAAAATCGCTGAAGTCCGCGTCTCTGGCCTAGGTCTGCCGCAGGAGGTTGCTGACGTTGCTGGCGTTGACCCTGGTCTTGGACCTGGGCATGATTCTGAGGGGGAGGAGGGACCCCGATGTCGTTCTGGGTTTGGCCTGCGGGACGGGGTTCTCTCTGGTCCATTTCTATGCGCTGGGGCGGTTGCTCTTGTTGCTGTTGTCGTGGCGGTGGAGGGATTGCTCGCGGTGGTCCTGGGTGTGGAGGGTCGGGAGCGGCGGGGGGAGGTCGATGGTGGTTGGCATCATTTAAAGCCAAGGCGAACTGCCATGCGCCATGTTCTTCGTCTTCTTCGTCATCCGGTTCTTCAGCCCAGAAGGGATCCGCTAGCTGCTCCTGGGCCGGATCGCCGGTTCCATCTCCTCTCTCGAGTTCCCATAATTTCATGTAGCATGAACTGCTTCGCTCGTTGAAGTGCTGATATGGGTTGGCGGCGAATAGCCAGGAGGAACATAGATAGCAGAAGTGTGTCTTGCATCGGGAGCAGATCATGTGGTTGCAGCCCATAGCCTTTTGGCAGCGAAAGTCGCAAGTCGGACATCGTGTGGTGTAGAGTTGCATATAATCCTCGGTAGCCTTCTCTTCTGCTGTAAGCTCCGCAGCGCGTCTAGGGTAACAAAATACGCTAGGACCATGCCAGCCTCTCTTGCACACACGGCAAAAGGCATACCCACAATCTTCGCATATCGCTACACGTTCTTCCATTGGGGGAAGCTGGTCTTCAGGGCCAAAAGGATCAAATGTCTCTGCCACATCTTCATCGTCCGATAACTCCAGGTTGCTGATATTTAGAGGGTCCGCTGGTTTAGGAAACCGTTTTGAGCGTGCAGCTCCCTGGCACCACTGACGAGGGCAATATATCACCGACTTATCCGCTTCTAACTTGAGTTTTCGCTTTAAGAGGGCATAACGTTGAACGATCTGGGGCTCCAGGGGTATCTGAAGAAGTTCATCAGGTGTGAGAGCTAGATCCGGTTTCCGATGTCGTCTAGGTCTTCTTTGTCCTTCAATATCCTCGTCTGCTGGGGCTGACTTCGTCTCTTTGCCGCAGTTTGGATCAATACACTTGACGTTATCAACATCACCTTCAGCGATACAGGTATTGTAAAAGTCCTGAAGACATGCGACGCAGAAGACATGTGAACAGCGCGGAAGTCGATGGCAAACCTTCCCTTTCTTCGGTTCTAGGCAGATACCGCAAACAAAGGTTTCTTGTTCAAACTTTTCCCTCTTGACGCGAAGATCAAAGTCTAAAAGAGGAATTTTGAGGCTCTCCGGAAAAGAAAGAGGTTTATCTCTGCCGACGGTTAGTAGCCCAAAGATTGTCTCTGCTGCTTGTTGGAGGTGATCGATATAGGAGTAAACCACCAAATCTTTTCCACATTCTTCCCAAAGATTCTTGCCTTCGGTCACCAATCTAGATATTGTGGGGCCGGGAAGCCAGTCAGGGTACGTTGATATTGTGATCTTCGGAGGTTCAATAGCTGGATACCGCTCCGGCAGTTCTATTTGTAACTCCAGCGGAGGAAAGTGGGATATGGGATAGGTCTGAACGACCACTGCGCCTCCATGCAAAGAATTTTCCAAGCCGTTTTCTCTATTTACATTGTCCATTGGGCTGGAAGTGGTAGGGATATTTATGTTAGCGTCTTTCGAGTCTTCGAATACCACGACGGCCGGATCAAGGGGGGTGACTGGTAGCGACAATGAGGCCTTGAATGGGAATTTAGGGTCGATGACAATCTCTGGGTAGATAGCAGCAATAGAAGTCAGCTCGACGGCACGTTCATCGTCTGCCCATTCCGCATCCACATCCACATTCACATCCATCTCTGTATCTTAATTCCGATGTTTTCCACGAAAAAGACCAAAAGGAATTCTCGAAGTGACTGCGTCCGTGGATTCGATGTCGAAAGTCCAGTGGCTTATTTTTCCTTTCCTCTGGTATTAAAGAAATGTATCGAAAAGAAGGTATCCGTTTGCTAAATCTGCAGCATTTGCTCGCAGGACCTGATCGTTGCCGGTTGATAATTTCATAGTAGATTCAGCGAGAACTGAGGGGCAACAAAGAGCGCCAATAGGGAGGGTGGGAGGAGTGTAGACGCCACCTCGGCTTTGGAAGCCTGCTGTTTTACTGAGCTGAGGAGTATTTTTATTTCTGCTTGGGAAAATGATCTGACAAGTGAGAGGAAGAAACCCTGCGATGACAGACTGGAAGTGCGCGAGAGGCGGGATGAGCCAGAACTAGAAGTACCACTCCAGCCAAATTATTAGCGGTGGTACCTGTGTAATAATGGGGGCTATTCCCGTTCTGGAGTCCGAGCTTAATCGAAATTCTGCGTCATCGCGATCAGTAATTCGCGCTCAAAAGGCCGGACTTATTGGACCGGCAGCCATTGAATAAGTTATTACTTTTCACTGGTACTTCTATCACTACCAAGGGATCGAGGCATTGTTTAACCATTTGAAGGCTTGTTTTCTCCGTGGCCAATCCATAGCTTATCCGTCATCGCTGAGCATGTTGGGGCTATCCATATTCTCCATCCAACAAGTGCATGTTTCAAGAAACTCTCCCACCCAGGCCCAACAATGGATAACAATAAGATAGACACACCTTTGGCTTCGTTTTCCTTAACACATGTTCACTATGTGAGTTTCTGCAAGCACTCTTCGAATTATTTGCAGGAGAGCTAACAAGAACTTTTAGAACCCGGAGGACCCTTTATCCTACCTTTGTGCTTTCCTTTCGCTCGTTCCACAAGCAATTGTTGTTGTCTACGTTGCGCTGATATGGGCATCGCGGGAGGTTGAGGTCCTCTTCATGTTTGCTGGCCAAATCCTTTGCGAGGCGTTAAACTTTGGACTGAAAAGGGTGATTCGACAAGAGCGGCCGCAGCGTACGTTACCCCAGAACCTTTCTTTGCTAAGATTCTTGTCAATATGGAAATTCATTTCGGCTCCGGCTAAACGTCAACCTTCTTTAGAGATTTACGGCAAGGGTTATGGCATGCCCTCTTCCCATTCGCAGTTTGTGGCTTTCTTCGCTTTCTCCGTAGCCCTCTTTCTTCTCGTGCGACACAAGCCCACCAGCTCCTCCACACTACCCAACGATTCCCCATCAACTTTCGCAGAACGAGTTATTCTTTCACTCCTCGCTTTTTCCGGAGCCGCTGCAGTAGCCTCAAGCCGTATATACCTCAATTATCATACCCCGAAGCAGGTTATGGTTGGTATCGCAGCGGGAATTGCGTTCTCTGTGGTTTGGTATTTGTTTGGAACGCATCTTCGGCGATCGGGCTGGATTGACTGGCTTTTGGAAGTAAGAATGGCAAAGCTGTTGAGAATGCGTGACTTGTTAATAGGAGAGGACTTGGCTGAAGCCGGATGGCAGAGATGGAAAGTGAAGCGGGGACAAAGCGTTGTGAAAAAATTCGAATAGACGTGATACCCCTCGACACATTTAGACATCGGCTTAACTTGAGGTATGTAAGTGAATACAGGTACGACATGTGTCACGTTGACTTAGCAAGCATGTCAGACTACGCGGGATTAATAGATGGCCTGAATGGGAGCTAAGGCTGGAAGATATACTTCGATTGGTTTGCCAGTACCCTTCTGAAGTCGTACCTGCAATGCATGCCGGTAGCCAGGGTCGTGACATGAGGTTATACGCTCCCAAGTGCCATCCTGTGAACTGGAAGAAAAAAAAAAAAAAAAAAAAAATATTCTCTTGGGGCTTGAGCTGCTTATACTGTAACTACATAGATACCATAATGATTAACTTTATAACCTTTTCCCTCAGAGTTTGCAGACCAGGATCGCATGTAAATGATCCGAGCGTATACACTAACAACTCATACTCCCAATGCCCATGGAGGATGGATATGATCATGGCACTCTACATCGCAATAAGCGCAGACCCACCAACGAGGACCGTTTGATGAGAGCCTTTCGTTACATCGAGAACAAGCCAGATGATCTCGGGCTTCTCGCTGCAATTCTAGCCTATCCTGAGTGTCGAGGATCTCCTGTCGCTGCTCCGGTGTCTTTACCTCGCAGAGACGGCACAATCTGCCCTGAATGGCATCATTAGGACGTTGCGCAAATTTTATGTTCCCATGGGCGACTTTGCAGGTTGCACGATGATCCGTCCGCTTATGGCGACGCTCTCTATCTATTCGGTAATATGATGTGTAAAAGCATTTGGTACAGCACGGCTTGCAGATTGTCATGTGTCGGTATGGCTGTGATTCCCAGACAGGGCCTAGTGTAGAGCAAGACTAGCAGCCATATCAGTTGCTGCTTTAATTCCATCCTGGATGGGTGAAAACGCACGTTACATATCTGAATTTTGCAAACACGGCATTTATCCTTGCTAATCCCTTCGCAAGTGTACTTTCGAAGTTTCTCCAACTCAAAATTGGTGCCAAACTGTTCAATGGGAGTCGGACTGAGCTCGACAATGTCCACATAATGCCAATTATCAGTGACTTTCGCAGAAATCAAGGCCAATGCGGATTTTTCGGTTAGGTCCTCGTCTTTTGCTCGAGATGTTTGAAACTTTTCGTTGCTAGTTCTCCTAACTGCCTGTAGACATTTCGATAAATACCTCAGTGCGAAGCGAGAGCCCAATTTGGTATTGCAGAAGAGAATAGAAATTGGGCGAGAGATCCAGCGGGTTGGTATATAGCAGGAACAGCAATCACTATAATCAGCAGCAGGATGAAGAAAGCTGTCTCTGGCTTCGACATAAGCGAATCCGAGTATAACGTTCAGCAAACCACACACCAGGTACAAGATGCTAGTTCATGCACTTTTATTAGCTGGGATGTTTGCCGAAGAAACGGAAGTAATAGCCAACTTACATGACGGCAATGCCAACGGCCCAGTTCTGAACAAAAGAACGGCAGGATTTATGTGGGGGAATGACGGTTTCTAGATTTGCTTTGCTGACTTCCACAAAAAGGTTTCGGCCATCCGTCCCATTTCTCCAGTCCACCGCATCTTTGCAGCTGGCATAGGAACGTGGGAGGAATTGAGATTGCCAGGATATGCCGAGAATAAGAGCGGCGGAAAGCCCAAGGTCTATGAAGCCAATTGTTGCTAGTAGGAAACCCTTGGTGAAGTTTGAAGCCGCAAACATGACGAAATTCCACGCAAAAGTGGCAGTTCCCTAAGGGCAGTTAGAACGCACGTATTGCATCCGCATTCGCATGTAATTAGGTCCTGTCATTTTATGACATACCACTGTCCCGACAAGGTGCAACCCCTGAAGGAACGATTTGCCGTTGGGTAGAACATCGTATATGTCTAGATCATGGACAAGATTGTATAGGTTGAGGCCGATAATACCGACCATTCCTGTCGGAACATGACAGACAAAACGAATAATAACAGATGGAAGGCCCGGCCACATGCTTCATATGATATCCCAAACACTCTAACAGCGCCGTATAGAGTATGAGTATTTGAGGTGAAAATATGCGCTCCAAATTTGAGCGGATTTGTTCATTATATCAAAATTTTCCCGAGGCCATAGACGACCAGTATCTGTATGTGCTTGAAATCCGGAGCAACATACACATCACCTGCGAGGTTGCCAGATGGGCGATGCTCAGGCTTGGCAAGCTTCCAAGTCTGCCTTTCGAATACGTGCGAGGCTGTGCCAGCGCCAAACGAGAGGCATGACTAAAATAAATAATATCGCCATCTCAAAAGATGAAGAACAATACTGATAGGTGTTCAACTTAGCGTACTTGACAGCCTCTCGTATGCTGGCCAATGACTATTTAGCCTTTTTACGTACATATTCCGGCCAACACGGGCCTGTACGGGTGTCGGTGGGGTGAATGACTCTTTTGGCTTGCATTACTCCGTACTCTGGACAAGCAAAGGATACCTCGGCCCTGCTCGGTCCCAGCATCGAGGCTGGAATGCAGCCAGACTTTTTAATACCCTCAGAGGCTCTCTCTCCAAAGCCAAGGAGCCGCAGGTCCACCGGTAGATGAGAACGCCCGGCAGTCGCCGCGTTTATAGTAATCAAAAGGCATTGCCCAGCCTTTTATCACTTGGTGAGCCGTCATACGAGAGGCCTTCAAGAGGCAGAGGAGTCTGATGCTAGTCTTCGAATCAGGCTGAAGGGGCGGTTGATGGCATAGTCGACTAGTTAGCAATTCTCGTCGATCCCATCGTCTGTGAAAAGGACATAACGCTAAATTTCGGAAACTGCAAAGTCTGCAAGGGCATATCTGGGTTTATGACTATAGTGTTATTTGGGTTCAAATCGAGCAGAGAGTAAGCAGTGGGTGGGGGTTCAAAACAAGCGTCAGTATTCGTACGCTACCAATCGGTATTGAATGGCGCCGCAAGCACTCTGAGTGTTAATTTATTATTACTTCAAAGAAATAAAGTATAAAAAGGCGATTCGGTACCTGGGATGGCCGTCGACGGCCGAGAGGTCCATGGCCTTACATGACAAGGTGGAAGTATGCAGACAGAGATTCTCTAGTCCTTCCTGCTCGCTAAGGTTGCCGTGCGTGGGCACAGGACCTCTTTTGCAATATGGACTCATGGCCGAACTTGTCGTTATATCAACGGGTAGTCGCACGTTACCTATGGTTAAACCTCCGGGTTGACCAATGCCAGAGTTCTAACCCTCCTAATACCCTATTGCTTCCATGCTCTTGATTACAGTAGTAGCCTTGCAACTTTGAGACGAGGCTCATACAATCATCATGATGAGAGGCCAGCCTTATTAAAAAACAAGAAGCGCGTCCTCGCCACTTCTCTCTCTTATATCATTTGAATAATAGGTCGTTAGAAATAGGCTGGGAGTGGCCCTTCGAAGGGGTCAGAGTTCGAATCTAGCTGCTAGAGACTGAGTCTTCTTCCAGTTTCTTTTTTCTTTCTTTCTTTTTTTTTTTTTTTTTTTTGGGTTTTGCGGGGCATTCGTGCACTACTTTTGGTTCTTTGTTGGCCCCGCTCCTCTTCTTTTCTAATTGAATAGTACCAATGCGCCGGTCTGGATCACTGCTGATGGATCGATATATGCACCGGGCCCTCAACATAATTGAATTTAGAGAGACGCAAGGGGCAGTCATAAATGACTTGACGCTCTTTAGTTTTCAGTGTAACCCTGCTGGCTCGAGTAAGCGTTATATTCCAATGATGCGGACTATGGAGAAAATATTCATAGAGCAAAGCTCCTGTAAATAATAGGGCATACAAACGTACGAAGCTGGTTTATTTAACGCCTTGTATCTTTACATATACCCCTCCTACCTTTGATGGGTGGTCTCTGTCATCTGGGGACGGAAGTTATGGAATAAGCAAAACAATCCCGTGCCTTCGGCGGCCGATCGGAGAGAGTTAACAGACAATTGCGAGGTACTCCAAGTTATGCAGCGTGTGAACCGAGATTTACGAGTGGATCGGCTGGCGCTGACCCTTTTTGTTGGTGGGATAAGTATATGCAGGATTCTCCAACGGGTCTGCTGGGAGGTGCTCTGCGCCATTAGGATAGTTAACTGCGCCAGTTGACCTATCACAATCCAAGGTAAAATAACATGTGCTCTTTCTGTTCAATTGATAGTTGTAAGAGAAGTTGTGGCATTGGCTGCGAACATTCGCTGTGAACCATAGCAGAAGTTGTCGACGTCGAAGGTCCGACAATTTGCGGCTGAGATTCAGAGTTAATTCCGCGCTCAATGCAACTGCTGCGGAACATCGTATTCCCGAACCCGGCTGGTTATCAGATGGATGCAAGCGGACGGCGGGTCCAAACTCAGATCGGCGCCGACTTACATCAACAACAGACGAAAGTGAACTGGCATGAGACAGCCGGAGAAAAAAAAGATCTCTCGTGGTCTTATTTGGCTCTTCTTTACACCCTGAGTGCTGCTTGTGATTCTTTGCTTAAAAATTGTTCAGCTTTGTAGCCAAATTAGGTGAACGTTTGCTCTTTTGTTCTTCCAAAAGATACCCTCAAGTTCTCTAAGAGCAGGCAGAAATTTACAACTCAGTTGAGGATATTGATTTAGGACTCTGCACGGCCACCTGATGCCAATGGCTTCGTCAGAAGAAAATCAGCAAGGCCACCATATTGTTCGCGCAGATGAGGTTGATCAGACGGGGACAGATATATCGCCTGTCCCAGACGAGCAGCTCATGCCGAGTCTATTCCGCGATTTCAAAGAAGAATTGTCTAGAAAACAGGATGAAGAGTTTCCAGAGTTTCCCCAGCGTCATCAAAGACAGCCGGCGCGTCCGGAATTGAGGCGCGATGCAGTTGCACCACCACCACCGCTGCAACCACCCCCACCTGCCCCGGCTCCAGAGAGTTTGGACCCCGCGACCGACTCTTTAAGCCTGGCTCAATTGCGGAAAATTGTTCAGGACCTTCCCAAAGCTGAACAGCAGCCCGCGTATGCTTTCAGCTACGCGGATTGCCAGCCCTTCCCGGAAGAGTTGGATGAATGGTTTCAATATAATGAATCTGATCGGCTGCTCCTGCTTGGATCAAAGGATTCGTTTGAACAAAACTGGTCTCACTTTACTTGTTCGCTTCCAGAAGGCAACGGGTCGGAAATTACGTGGCTCAATGCCACCGAAGATTTGAAAAAAACTTATCTCGGTGACACAATCTCGACTGTGTCAAAGGGAGTTGATATCCTAGCACGAATTGAAGCTCTCCAAAACATCTGCTATCTTGTTACTGGCGTCTGGGGTGTTACAGCGGGAAGGGCCACTGATGACTACCCCCAGGAACCAACCGAAACAGAGGCGGCTGAAATGCCTAAAGAAAGGTCGTTACAAATTCAATGGATAGAGAGAAACGTGGACCTTTTTCAGCAGGTCAATGGATTGCCTATACTATTTAGCTACTTGCAGCGCGTCTTTGACAGTGACAAGTGAGTAATCCACATTGGTTCTCACACTGATGTTTTTTCTAACTTATCCAGAATGGCTGGTGATGATGTAAAGGTTTTCAATGGAGAAAACAATACAGCAGCATATTTTGCGGCACGGGATCGTGAGGTCAATTTAATTCTCACTATTTTTTATTTCCTTGTGGAAGTTGCCCGGAGGCAGGAGAAACTTCGCCCTGATAACCCTCAATTAAGAGAGTGTTTTGGTACGTAATGCCTACTCTATTATGCCAATTAAATCTGCTGACAACGTCTGACCTACAGCTGCATTGAACCCGAGCTATCTCGTCGTGATCGCCCAGATCATTGCGGGGTTGCGCTGGGAAGATGTCACAAATTTTCCGTTGACAAGAGTAAGTCAAGCGCCATTTCCAGGTGAAACGATCATTAACAGAAATAGCTTATTGTCCTGTTCTGGAAATCTGTTTTGCTGCTCTTTGGCGGCTCCAATGACCTCCATCGTGCTAAAACGGTATTGGAACCAGAGTACGATGAGAAGCAAATCAGCTCGAATTCACCGCTACCAGTTTTGACAGCTTCTCCTCTCGACTACCATGCATTTCGACAGGAACTTACATCAAAATATCCCGCTTATAATCCCCCCCCTCCCCTTTTTCCTTTAGAGCTGGAACATAATTCAATCCTTCCTCCATTTCCTAACGTATCTAATCGAGTTAATACGCCGACACTGTTTTCAGGCACCTCCGTGTCCTCCGTGTCAGGTAATGGCTCAATACTTCACAAATCCGTTCACATCGCAACGCCGGCACCGTCTCCTCCTCCTTCACCTGGTGGGCCAGGAAAAGCCGGCAAAAAGCAGAACTATCAGACAAACCAGAATTTTCCCTTCATGTACCCTCCGCTTGATAGCACAAGCAACAATATCGGTGGAAAAGGCTCGAGCGTCCTTCAAGACGTGTTGGTGGGTCACAAGTGGGAAGGCAGTGATGTCCCGTCATCGATCATCGAGGCAGGGAAGCTGTTTTCCAGCAGGATGCGCATGACAAGAGCCCTTAAACAGCTCTGGGATGAGCGCGAGAAGTTTATGAAGTACGATAGGGGTTGGGATGCGAATGAAACTCTTAGGAGGTCCAATGAGGAAGCCTCGTCTTCCGTTGAGAGGTCTCCAGGAGAGGCGACGCCGCCGGCAAAGCAAACTGAAGACAAAGACGTACAGCGGCGTTTGGATGCAGTTGAGAGCTTTTATGTATGTGTTCCAATGTCGGTTCAAATTAATGAAGCCTACAAGCTGACGGTGTCTTAGAGCCAAATATTGCCGCATCTCCAATCCATTGTCATTGTCCTGCTCAAGGAAATATTAACAAATATTACTGCGACAGCTGGTCATTTAAATGGGAATGGTCAAAATGGGCATAAGCCGGGGTATGTATGCCCTATTTGGGATAATTAATCTACTTTGCATACCGGATTCGCTGACCCCGGTAGAATGATGACGAACGGAACAAGGGAATCTCAAGTTCCATCTAATGATGTCTCAGAGAGCCTGGACGACCTTGATGCTGTTAGATGCCGCGAAATCAAGTCGAAGGCCATTTCGGGCACACTATTGTTATTATTGAAGTGGTTTAAAAGATCCCGTACGTTTACCCCTGTTCCGAAGTACGCCGCTAATTTCTAATAGATGTTTTACAATTCGAATATATGACGCAGCTGTTGCTTGATTCGAATTATTTACCATTGATTCTAAAAATGTTTATACACGAAGATGTCGATAAAGCTGTAGCCAAGAGGAACGACCGCGACGACCTAAGGTGAGGGAAGCCCACTTTCTATACACTGAGTTATTGCATTTTTTTTAATCAAGATGGTAGCTTTTTCCACTTTTGCCACATTCACTCGGACCAGGCACCGCAGCCTTCTGCGTCACCTGAGCCAGAACGGGTAGAGGATAGCGAAGAAGAAGCGGTGCCTCCTCCAATCTCTCGAAGCCGATCTTCATTATCGGTACTCAATATTTCCGCAGCCCCCAGTGAGAGAAGTCAAGATTCACAGGCGCTTGCAGAAGGCCCATACCTCCCTGAAGTTGACGAATTAGGCTTTCCAACTGCGCCTCTCCCTGATGCGCCCATCACTGAGTTTTCCTTTAGGAATTTCTTTTCCGCGATTAATTACCTACACATCATGCAAAAGATCACCCGAAACAAAGCTCACCGATGCCTTCTTCTCGTACAATATAAATCCAGCGCTGTCCTACGCAAAGGGATTAAGATCCCTAACCCTCATCTCCGCCTGTACACATTGAAATTATTTAAATCCCAAGTCCCTTACTGCGGTCGCAAATGGCGTCAAACTCATATGCGCATTATCACTGCGATTTATCTTTACTGCCGTCCAGAGTTGCGTGATGACTGGCTCGCTGGTGCGGACATTGATGCCGAAGTGGAAGACTCACTGCCGATGGAGCAAGCCTTGAGAGGGTTGACGCATTGGTGGCATTTAAGACGCTACAAGGATGCCATGGCTGTGGAAGGAGGCCAGGCAATGATGGACGAAGAGAGAGATTTCTTCTCGCGAGAACTGGAGAATATGGGTTGGGGTTTGGTAGAAGAGGACGGTGATGTCGGCGCTGTGGAGGACGGAAACGTTGGTTCTGCAATGCCCGGTGGTGCTCCCAATCAGCTGGAAGGTGCCCCGTTACAAATGGAGTCATAGGACAGGATGTTTGGGAAAATTCGACCTATTCGCCGCACTCTCTTTCAATATATTCATTGTTTTTATTCCCAATCCGAGCTTCTCGATTTAGGCTACGAATTTCAACTGCATGGTGACTGCTTAGCGCCCTTGGTCACCACAGCACTTCGCCTAAGCATGCTCATATATCACGATAAGCAAATATGAATGTGTCTTCCCAATCTATCCGAATTCTTTGAGATGATACTCGCCAACCAAGTCCGCCTCGCGATTCAACGCCTCAATTTCCGCCCGAACGTACGGAATCCCCTCTCTTTCCCTTTCTTTCGCCGTCAGAAGCTCAATCTCCCCCGGATAATAAATTCTTTCTACCCCATTCATCTTCTCACATTCCACGGCCCGACGGTATAAATAATCCATCCGCCCTTTGAACTCCTCTAGCGTCATGAATAGGTCAGGCTTGATTGCTACGAAGAAATGGCCCACATCAGCCGGTTCAGATGGGTCGTGCGGATTAATGACGTGTCCTGCGAACGCAGAGCCAGATAACACACCAGAAAACACGTCCATCATTATAGATAACGCGGATCCCTTGGCTCCGCCCATAGGTAGCATTACGCCTTTCAACGCTGAAGCGGGATCGGTGGTTGGCAACCCATCTTTGTCAAGAGCCCAGCCTAGCGGTATTTGATCACCGCGACGGAGCGCTTTGTATATTTTACCCCGCGCGGCTATAGAAGGGCACATATCGAGGATGAAAGGGATTGAGTTTTCTCCGGCGGGCGCACCACATGCAATGGGGGATACGCCCATAAGTTTATCCTTTCCACCCCAGACCGGTAGTGCGGGAGACGAATTGGTGAAAACTAAACTAAGCATGTCCGCATCGATGGCTTGCTGGACGAACGACGCCGACATGCCGAAGTGGTTGGAGTGCTTTACGGAGACCATTCCGATTCCGTAGACTTGTGCTATCTTGATAGCTGTATTCATGGCTTCGTTGGCCGCGATAAAGCCGAAGCCGTTCTGAGCATCGATCTGGGTTACCACGGGAGTGATTTTGTTGACTACGGGCGAGACGGAGGGATCAAGGACTCTCTGGCGGATACGGGCTAGGTATGAGGGGATTCGATTGATGCCGTGGGAGTCTACACCACGGAGATCGGCCTCTACGAGGCATTTTGCTACTATTGCCCCGTTTTGGCTGGGGACATTATATTTCTGGAGGAGAGATTGGACAAAGTGGCGGGCCGCGGAGGCTGAAACCCGGATAAGTTGCGGCGGAGAGGGCATGTGTGTTTTGCTCGCGTCTTGGAGCGTATTATCTTATAGCGATTAGTGGCATTTGATTAAACCCAGCCCTGGTGGCTCAGGGTGCACTTACAATCTGCAAAGCTTGGCGGTCCACGGCGCCCGTGCTCGCATGGAATAACATTTATCCACATACCCGGAATATTAGATTCGCCGGACCGCCGCAAGATCGCACTTTCCAAATTAGGAATAATAGTAATACGTTTAGATCCGATCTTCTATTGGATAAATTAAACGCGCAGCGGCTCTTTCACGTTCGCCAAGCCCAGTATGACCTCATACACGGCTTGGTTTGAGCTCCTGAAGAAGCGAATATAAGTCACGAATCAACCGTTTCAAATAGATTTCATGGATCCTGGAAACCAGTGACGAGCGTGAAATCAGTGATAGCTCTTTGCCGAGAGCCACAGAAGCTCGTCGACAGATATGACATCCTGTGTTGCTATGACGGATTCTACATGGACCGTTGAGCGTTTGGCTCGAAGGCACTGTCATAATATAACTAAAAGCTCGAGGATATCAAATTAATGCCATGGGTAAGTGTTGATTTTCATTGTTCTCTTCCCTATAAGCCCATTGCTATGGTGCAGTGATTATACCTAGTCTGGTAAACATAGCCTCGGGCTTTATGATAGGAGTATCAGATATAAAGCCTGAGATCTAGCGATGCTGTACCCCAGCACCCCGTGTTTCTGAATGCCAATTGAATACCAATTGATTTCTTTCCTCGTCACAGAGTATCCGTCCGGTGCTAACTGAGTGACAAGTAGAAAATATTCACGTCTAGTCACCATTTTTTACCTCGGAGGAGAGCACCGATCATTCAGTGGTGCGGTTCGGACTGTGTGGACCTTCAGAGAGAAGACTTGTCTTCGAGTTAGGCATTCTACGGCCATAACTCGTTAAGTCAATTTTTGAAGGTGGAAGCATTTCAGAAAGTCTCATAGTCAGGTATTGGAACGATTTCACAAAGTCATGTAGCGTACTCAATAGTGTATCCGTTCAATAGCAGCAGAAATTTGGAAAAAATAATTAAAATATCTACTTTGTCAGTCTAGCCCTGATTGTCAGATCCTTTCTGACGTCGCATATATTATGGATGTTCAACCGCGTTCAATAAGTTCAGGCTTCTGCAGTAAACTTTCGGGCTTTGCGATCTTTCGCTGTGCATTACCTAAGTTAACTACTTAACATAATCCAACCCCCGAGCGCGACGAGGAAATCTTGTATACTTTTGCTTCTCTTTCTCATTTGCAGCAAATATATCCTGATATTGCTTCTTCATTATTGTGGCGTTGGCCATCCCATATTCACAGGCCTTGATAATTTGATCAAGACCTTCCACTAGGCCATGAGGTGGGCTCCCAAGCCCCTGTCCCATAAGATTCTTGACGTTATTCGCCTGCTGGTGTAATTGGCGAGGGTTGCTAGGTGTTTGAAGAACCCAGGATGACTGAGAATTGCTAGATCTGCTGGCGCGGGGGGCGGGGGTAGGAGGGGTAGGAGTTCTAGCTGAATATTGAGCCGCTGGATGACCTGATCTGGGTCGAATGGAGCTATTAGTACCAGTAGCAATAAAGCTGTTTTGAATGTTCTGAGTCTTGAAGGCCTCTGTACACGCTGCAAGATAGGCCTCTAGTAAGAAATCAAGCTTCTTAATAGTATTGAATCCAAGCCGCATTTGCTGTTCAACTAGAGCCCCATATGCCATTGCTTCAAGACTGCAAAAATACTGACATCAAGAGGCTGGAAAAGATGTGATGAATGTGCTGGCATGCAGAGAGAATTTTAAATAGAGTGGTATCCGGTTCCGGGATTTCCCGACCCGGTCCCGGATTCCCGTCCCAATTCCTGTCCCAAGGACGGGATCGGGTTGAAGCTCAGCTCAACAGAATGGGACTGGGTTGTTTAACAGCATATTGGGATGGTTCTGTGGGATCTGAGATCAGGATTGGATTGGGATCAGGATCAAAATCTAGCTAGTAGGACAGGCCCCGGACCTGGCGTGACAAAGTCACAAAATGGGATAGGACCAGGATTTCAATATTGTATATGGGACAGGACCAGTAAAGTGTAGGATGGGACTGGGAATCCTGGTCCCATTTGTGTTGTCAAAAGATAACGAAATTTGATAACAGTCTTAACATAATTTTATCAATCTATTCCAAGTTTGGAAAAGTAATGAAATTTGGTAACAGTCCACGCAAAATTTGATCAGTTTGACTCTTCTCTATGAATTTGACATAATGGGGCCGGAAAACCTGGTCCCGTCCCGGTCCCATTATGGACCCGGCCGGGACAGGAAATGGGAGCATCCTTTCTCTGCTGGGATGGGACATGGGACATAATTTTCTATTTGAGGATGGGACCGGGAAATAGTTTATGAGATAGGGACAGGAATGGGACCTCAAGCTCTTGGGTGGGATGGGACATGGGACTAAGATTTCATATTTGGGATCCCGGCTGTTTCTAAATTCGGGACCGGGACCAGCTTCAATGGGAAATGGGATCCCGTCCCGGTCCCGAATACCAGCCTACCAGCATTGAAGCTCTGTACAGCATTTAATCAGGTTTGAAACCCAGTTTTTGCCAATCTGGGAAAAGCTTTGTGGGATTCCATTATGAGAGAAGATGATTAGCCATATTCTCAACAAATGCCTTGTTTATCCAGGACTAAATCCATTGAACTAGCTGGTTCTCTTCAGGTTCGGTCAACTTATGTAAATTTGCGCGTAAATTCACCCTGGAAGACCGGCCACTAAGTCTATGACCTAGAGTAGAGCATGGCACATTGAAGAGGCGTGCAGCTTCAGAAATTGAGGGTATTTCTTGCTTTTTAATAGCAGATATTGCAAGTTCAAGTCTTCTCTCTATCTCCATAGAGTTTCTAGCATTTTTCTTGCGAATTGGTGGCATAATTGCGCGTTGAAGTGGATGGGTTAGGAAATTGAAAATATGGTGATTTAGTTGCTCGTTCGGTAGAGATGCTCGCTCGCTTGTGGATTCCGTTAGTCTACAACATTCGAATCGCTTTGTGCACGCCGAAGCACGTCCATCATCTCTGAACTGAGATGCGGGTTCAGTTTCTTCCACCGCCCACCATCAGGAAAGACAACCCGGCGTAATTGATTGACCCAAGAGCCCAAGGGTTGGTAGTATAGAGTGAAATTCTCCTCAGCAATTCTGAGAAAGTCACTTTCATCAGATATCACTTCCTTCCTTGCATCCACTAGTTCCTCAGTGTCCATATAATTCCATTTTTCAAAGCGGGCTACTTCTCTCCCTTTATTGGGGCCATCATAGTGGATGCATATCCAGAAGAGGCCTCGTCAAGGCCATCAAGAGCACCATCATCAGAAATTAGGTGTGGTGTATAGGAGTCTTCCGTGTCTTGAAGTAAGTCTTGTAATTGATCAAGAGAGTGGTTTAAAGGATATTTTTTGATGGTGTTCCGATCATCTTCTGAAAAGCTCGCCATATTGAAACAGAGCTGGGCTGGATCGTTGTGAATTCTGGTGTTTCAGCCAGGGGAAATGTGAGATCACGGGAAGAAGACTCTGGGAGGAGGTGAAGCACACGGGCCTATACAGAATGTCACGAGGTGATGGAAAAACAATTGTTCCACTAGTGCTGTGTGCCAAGCATGCGGAGCTCCCACTAATTCAACAATCAGACCAGGATAACTTACAGTTATTGGTTGGTCTCAGCTGTCTCATGACAAAATTTACATAATCAGCCCTTGGCGCCCACCAGGCCAATTCACCAGTCGGTGATGCCTTGTATTGTTTGAGGAACTCACACATTTCTGTAAAAATAAGTGTTATCACCGGCCTGAAGTAGTAGGTCATGAACACGACTTGCAACACAGCACCATTTCATTGCCTCTTTTTTCCAGGCCAATTCCATAGGACCAGGGACAGGTTGCCAAGGGGTGGGGGGATTCCAGGTTGCATTGATGGTCCGTCACTCTTTGTAGGCTTCTGACTCCGTCTGATGCCCCAGTGCCGCAACCAGCCACGAAGCTGGTTTTCTCTGTTATCAATTCAGTGAACTGAAAATTCTTTTGGCTAATCCGGGTCATTCCTGTTAGGTAATCCAACTAGCACCTCGCTCACGTGACCCACATAGATTAGCCGAGATTCCCCTTTAGGTAGCTTAGTGAATGACAAGCATATGAGTCCTCCATCAATTCCCACTTATCATTTACCGCAGAATAGTTGTTCCGAAATTTTAGTCTTGCGACCCCACCATCTTTCGGCCGCCAGGCACAAACTTGGAGGAAAGACAGAACAACAGATGACCCGGACCCCTTATGTACGCCAAGGTGGACCTCGTAAAAGTCACGTGATGCTTACTAAGCAGAACGCACCTCTAGAAAAACAGTCACGTAAGATTTTTTTTCTTACCTTTACCAAGCATTTAAAAAGCATTTCCCAAGCAGGGGGCCCCCTTTTGGCGAAGATGGCTCATTCACGCGATAATATGAGTAGATTTAGCTGTTAAATGTGTTATTTTGATGGAATCTGATGCAAATTGATTAAAAAACGATTGAATTGATAGGCCTACTACCAACAGTATCTTGAGGGCGTTGCCAGTGGAGAGATTGTCCTGCCTGAGTACACAAGTGCATAACACAATCATTTGCTAATCAGTTACCAATCAGTTAATAACTGATTATCAATCAGTTGCCAAGTGATTCATAAGCACTTAATATAACTAACTGTGTGCATCATATCCTCTGCTTCCTCCCTACTACGGAGTACAACCAGCAATATTAACAACATATGCATATCCGTGTTCATTGGTTTTCAGATATTCATCAAGGTTCAAGGCAAAATCAAGCACTTGAGTTGTAATCAGATGGGATAATCAATTCCCAATCAATTAATGTGTGCGAAGAAAACTGTAAATAATTTGAAAATTCAAACAGCAAAGGTACATGTATGGTATTTATTGTACTGAAGGTCCTTAGTCAGCATCACGTGACTTTACGAGGTCCGAAAACTTTATTTACGAGGTCCCCTGATCTATGTCCTCGAGGAAAGAAAACCAAGGGAATACAAGGGTCTCTTACTAATGTCCAGACTTGCTGCTCTTTCCTCCACTGGCTATTGTAGTTTATCAATATGCCTTTCCGCTGTATTTACTGTAAAAGACGTCGTGAACCTCTTTGCGATAGTTGGCATAGTCTCTTAGCTTTGATTCCACAATTGATGAATTTGATGTCATTCCAGGTGTCCAATATGGAGATACAGCTGCGCGGAGGGGCTCTTTAGGTACTTCGTCAAAGAATGGCTGAAGATGTGTTCTGAAACAGTTAAACAAACCCTTTGGGGTTTGCAGCGCATTCAGGTATCAGTATCGCCCATCATATAAAGCCCCCTTCATGACTTTTGCACAGGAGTAGAAACTTCCTTTGTGGTGTAATGGTGTGTCTGTCTCCTCTTGTTCAAATATCGTTGTAAATATCGTTGTAAATTGCTCATAGCATGCTTTGAACTGTTCATACTCTGGGCCATCAAGTCCATCAACACTTTGTCCATTTAGCCAAAATGGAGACAACAGGTTCCCCAGGGGCAGGCAGCATGCCCATTCAAGGTCAACAACATGCTTGATGTTCCAATCCTCGTCAACAAAGATATTGATAGCATGCATATCTGCCAGTTGCATGACAAATGGACTGTTATGAAGATGCCGGTCAGTAAACAGATGAAGGAGCGCTTGCATAAGGACTAGGTCTTTGGCTTGTCCACGTGCATCTGCTTCCTCAAAAGCAGCATTCGCCTGATGTCGGAGACGGTTGTCGTAGCCAGTAAGTAAGTCAAGATAGAAACTACCAGCGCTCGTGTAAGTCATATTCCATAGAATACCAGAAGGAATAACGTAATTCTCTAGTTGGTGGAGATAACAATACATGGGACGATTGGATAGGCTAATTCGTCCATCGTTATCAATCGTCCAGGAACCAATTCGGCGCTGTGAAATTTTGTAAGGGAAATCATGATCCTTGAAATGCTTCGATAAAGATTCCGCGTCTGCACTTCGGTGTGCGGCATGGTAAATACATTAGAGCGCATCTGAGCATCGCTGTGTTCTATCCAGTCCACAAGGATGTAAGGATATCTCAAAAGCACAGGTCTATGTTGGGGGATATATCCAGAGAATGCCTTGCTTCCGTGTAGACAATAATAGAGCTGCCAAACATAAGACTTGATCCTTCGCCAGAGTGGAACACATCTGGGATTAAAGAACTGCTCTCACACTAGCCATTAGCACACTGTTCATCACCCACCGAAAAAAAAAGTTTATATACTTACACTGAGACCACTGGGAACCCCAAATCCTTGTAACTTTGGAATTGGTATATCTGGGCAGTTTTTGCTGATCCAGATGTATGTTGCAATCTTGGAGTGTACCTTCTCTTCTGCATTTCCAGGGAATGCTTCTTCACCGACTTTGTGCAGCAGAGGCACTCACTCTTAATCCCACTTTGGCGGGCAGCCGTGGTCCACTGTTGTTGATAGATATAGGGATAAAGATGTTAAAGCTCCCATGTATTCATACAAGTTTGTTGTCTGGTTCCCACATTTCTGGCACCTGCACCATGTCGGGGCTTGGCAAACCACAATGAGAAGTGACAAGCTTTTGGATTTCCTTCTTTTTGACCTTCTAGCTCATCATATAAGCAGGACATTTTTGTGATATATTGCAACTCTGCCCTCATATCCTCCTCCTTTCTCTCTGCGCTTGAGAGGGTGATGAAACTGTGGAGAAGTGCCTTTTGTAGTTTTGCTGGGACAGCAGTGCCAGGTATAATCAGACCATTGGGTTCGTCGTGGTAATTTCCATCCTTGGTTGCAGTATCATGGGTTGGATCTGTATCAAATGCATGCATTATTGTGAGTGCCTGAATGCCACCCGTGCATGGTTCTTGAGAAGGCTGTTTCTTGAGCTTCTTGTATGGAGCACAAAGTACGGAGTAGATAATAAGAATTTCTCCTGCCAAGCCTCTCTCCCTAACCCAATTTAGCCTACATTGCTTCTTTTGAATGTGATACACCACCTAGGCACAAAGGCCAATCAACCAAAGGGAATGAGTTCAAAATCCCTAACAGAATTAATGCACGCAAAAAGCAATGTCTATAACTAACTAAGCTTGCTGCTTTAACTAGTAGACTTCTACTTGGATCTGATCAGAATTACGCACATGGGCAAGGCATTCTCTTCAAAAACGTGAGTAACGTGAAACTAGTGTGCTACAGCTGATGGATTGCAAGGTGAGCCCGGGTGAGGAATCCCCTGCTAGTCACCCAGCTCGCACGACCCTTGACCCCGGCGCGCGAGATCACTGCTCACCTAACTAAAACTGGAAGGGCAGTCAACGGGGTGGACCGCAGATTTCTTGCTCCTAGGTGGGCTTTTACCAAAACCAATCTGTTGGTAGTGGCGTTGCTATTAGCGGGAGAGTTAACTAGTTAGTTATATTTGCATTTGCCCGTAATCTACTCCGTACTTCCGAGATCGAGTCGCCTGCTCGTGACTAGCATTCCGTATAGCAACAATGATTTTGAAAATACAAAATCTTCTATTCAACTCTCCGTAGTAATTCGAGTTCCAGTTGTGTGTAGAGTAGTTATGTGCACTCGCTGCTCGTGTTTAACTAGCCGAAATCGGGTCTACCCCGCCGGGCTGATGCTCTCAAACGACCGAAATGCCGAAGCTCGTAACATGTCAACCCCAATATCTCCCACACGACCGGAATGCATACACCTTGTTTTTCTTCTTCCAAGTTTGATTAAAGCTCTTTATATAGCAATTCATTTTTTGGTTTCTTTGACTTTCGTCCCTTAGATTCACGTTTTCCCAGTAAAAAGTTGTTAACAGTAGATATAGAGCGGAGCGCTTCTACACCGAAGATAATGACACAGCCTCATTGGAAACCGGCCGTCTTAGAAAAGCGAGCCCAGCAGAAGAATGCCATTCCCAGAGAATGGCATCTCTCCTCTTCCGTTCCACCAAACGTAGCGGACGCCAAAGAGTTCATAGATTCCTCTAATTTGCTCACCCCAGACGAGAAAGCTATAACCAGTATCCAAGATGCCACAGTCCTCCTGTCTAAGATCGCCAGCCGCGAGCTATCCAGCGAACAGATTGCACTGGCATTTTGCAAGAGAGCTGCTATTGCTCATCAACTAATTAACTGCTGTACGGAGCTGTTCTTTGATCGAGCACTGGCTTGCGCAAAGGCCCTCGACGAACATTTAGAGAAGACGGGGAAGCTTAAAGGGCCGTTACATGGATTACCAATTTCCATAAAAGATGGATTTGACGTTGAAGGAATAGATACCACGTTGGGTATGTGATTTTTCTACCGATCACCTCTGCCGCTGTAGCAAATTAATCCTTTTGTTTCTAATATCGACTTAGGATGGGTTGGAATGATTGGCAAGCCTGCTCCAAGAAATGGTTGCGTGGCAGAGCTGCTTCTCTCAATGGGGGCAGTAATATATTGTAAGACCAATATACCCCAGTCCCTCATGGTACGTTCATACGCCCCAGCACCCTCGCAAAACTATGGCTATTGACAACTAGAATATAGATGTCGGATTCATACAACCATGTGTTTGGGCAATCAGTGAACGCATTCAACATAAAGCTCATATCTGGTGGCAGTTCCGGGGGCGAAGGAGCCATCATTGGTGCGCAAGGCAGCATCATTGGAATCGGAACCGATATTGGTGGATCTATTCGAATTCCTGCAACGCTGCAAGGGCTGTACAGCATGATGCCGTCCGTCGGCCGCATCCCATGGGAGAAATCTATGTATGATGCGTCTTTTACCATATTCGAAAAAGGTCTTGTATTCTAACGGGGTATTCTTAGGAGCAACCAAGCCCATATCGTGCCACCGGTCCCCGGCCCCCTGACAACCACTTTAAACAGCTTGGAGTTTTTCATGGACGCATTTATTTCTGACAAACCCTGGGAACGGGAACATCGAGCTCTGCCAATTCCATGGCGGAAAGACCTCGCCAAGGTCCCTGATCGCCCGCTTAAAATAGGAATTGTTTTCGATGACGGGGTCGTCAAACCACAGCCACCCGTGGCGCGCGCGCTTCGCGAAGTGGCAGAAAAATTCCGCAGAGCTGGACATGAAGGTATGTCTCATGGCGGTCAAATGTGAATATTCGAACGGCTAACATATATCGCCTTTGGTAGTTGTGGAGTGGGACACATCTTCCCACGTCAAGGGCCTCCATTTATGGCTCAAAGCCGTCCTCGCGGACGGTGGAGCCGAATGTGAAAGATTATGTAAATTGGTCAATGAGCCACTCATCCAAGGAATGCTAGTTGGCCGGGAAAAGGATAACCTAACCCGAGCTGAACGTCAAGAGGTGCTTATTCCATTACCTCACTTTTCATTCAATCCTGTGTAGCGCTAGTTACTGACTTTTCCCGAATCTTAAAAGCTCGACAAGCAGAAGCACGAGTATCGCACGGAATTCCTCAGTCAATGGAATGAATCTGGCATCGATGCGCTGATCATGCCTGTGTTGCCCTGGGTCGGCTATACCCCGAAAACCTGGGTCGAAAGCAAGCAATGGCTTGGGTATACTGCTATCTGGAACCTGTTAGACTATGCAGTAGCCACTGTTCCAGTGACTAAAGTAGATCCATCCCTCGATGTTCCAGGTGATGAATGGAAGAACTATAAGCCAAGGAATGAATCCGATGCATTTAATCACCAGCAATGTAAGTGACAATACTCAAATGGGAGATATGAAGATATTAGAGCTAACATTTGCTCCTAACGCAGATGATTTGGATCTTGTGAAGGGCATGCCGATCTGTGTTCAGATCATTACAGGCAGATTTGGTGAAGAAAAGGCTGTTGCAGTCGCAAAGGTCATGGATAGCCTTTGAGGTCTTGGACTTGTTTACTTCCTAGCCTTGTTAATAAGACATCATTTGATCTTTAGCAGCATAAATCCGAAGCCAGGATTAACCATACCTCTTTTTGCCTAAGGAGAGCTTATCGTCTCTCTCTGTACTCCATACCTTTCAAGGAGGTATTTCCAACAAAGTCAAGCCATCTGAGAATCAATGATCTAACTTTGTAATCATCAGTGCCTGGAAAAGGATGTGGGCCCTTTAGAAGGGAAGATGACCCTTAAATAACCTTAAGCTTTGGTTAAAATCCAAATCTGAGTGAAGAAAAATGAAAGAAGCGAAACTGATTATCATTATCACAGAAAGACATTTTTTTAAGAAATTTTTACATTAAGGGAGCGAAAGCATGCACATCCATCCTTAAAGGCAGAAAATCCAGGGGCCCTAAAGACCAAAAATTTCTCCGGTGGAAGGACCTAAATCACAGGAAGGATAAGCGAAGAACCTGGACAGCAAGAGATGACTATTGAAGGACAAGTTAGCTGTCATCCGGGACCTTGCTTATAATGATAGAAGGAATTGAGTATGCAGGACAGCGAGCATCATTCGCCTCGCCTTTTTCATTTTGAACCTCCTCCTTAGCTGTAGGATCCCCATTGGTGGGTGCCGCACGACGGGATTCAACGATATTACGAAGGCGAATCTCCATGTATTGAACTAACAGTCCAACACGTGCACTACCGCCCCAGTAGCCTGCTGGACATGTTCTTGTCTCTGAGTGTTGAAGAAGGTCGCACATCCTATTGAATCCTCGTTGACAATCTCGACAATAGAAAATGAAACCATTGCTGTCGGCCAGGTTGCGAACATAGCCGGCTGCGATATTTTGGATATCCTCAGAGGTTATGCCTGAAGGGCAGCGACTTGACTCGAAATGGCCATACAATGCCGAAAGGATGGGAAACTGAAAATTACAGCCAAAGCAGCGGACACCAAATGGCCTGTGGACAAAAGCATGCTGGAAGGTTCAGGAGAATTAGCGTTATGTGATCCGGATTTAATGGGATGTGTAAGTGCCTCACCACACTGAGCTGATGCTGGTTGTTAAAATAATCCCCGCAGGTGACACACATGAAGTGCCTTGAAGTATTATGTTGCCGCAGGCCCTGGGTAGACGGAGCAAACCACTGGCATGGTTCGCAGTATAAATGAAAAGCTTCCAGGTGCCGCTGGAGCCCTGTAAAAGAATTGAAATCCGTTCGATGCCGGCAAAGGTTACAAGGGTGGTGGTCAAAAGAATTATTGATATGACGACTATACTCCACTCGATTGGCAAAGTCAAGTCGGCACCTGTGGCAGTGAAAGAATTGGGCCCGAGGAGTATTGGTGCGGATATGATTGACCATTATGTCTTCACTGAGAAATACCACAAGGTCTAATTGGGGTGAACAGGGCAACAAGGTGTCGGTGTTCGAGCGGCTCCGCTACAGCTTTCAAAAGAGCTAGAAAAAAAATCGGGTAAGTTGGGTTTTGGTAAGGCCAAAACCTATCAAGGATGCACGAGACTCCTGGAGAAAGAAGGAAGAATACAGAAAGTTGATATCCATGTGCCTGGCATGTGGATATTTTTGAGTGTAAAGAAAACGAAAAGGTTGAAGTTGGTGGGAGTTCCCGATGCCTGCTGGCCCCTAAGGTGAATGGGGGAGAATTGATCAAGAAAGAGTGGGAGAACATGTTCATTTGACTGAGTGAACAACAACTCACATTGCCAGATCATCATGTAATAAAACCGGTCTCAAATCTCACAACAGATGAAAATAATGCTAAGGCAGCAAGCAGAAATTGACTCCAATACTTATGGTTCTTCCCTTAATATCTCTAACAAAGAACACCGGAAGGGTATCTGGAAGGTTAAAACTGGCTTCGAGAGGGACCGGCCACATGTGGGGGGGGGTCACGGACACCAGATCTTGTTATCAAAGCCTCATACCAGGCAAATGGAAGAGATATATTGCTCCGGCATATCAATGCAATGAGGACAAGTCATTCGAGATACACCATGGTTTTGACCCACGGTAGGTACTCCCGTACATAGGGATTGACGACACAACATCAATCCCTCATTCAAGAATTGCTGGGTAATATCATTGGTGTTTTCTTCCTTAACAATATAAACATAAGAATAGCTGGAGAATGTGCTTCTCAAGATGGGGTCGACGGGAGGTGGAAGTCGAGAGAGAAAGACAGCTTGGATGAAGTCGAATTTGAGTTTTAAGGGGGTGTGCATTATCACGTGAGTGGACAATGATGATATTATATAATCGAAACTTTAAAAACTTTTGTGTTTATCAAAATAATTTTGCAGCTGCCGGACTGATCAGCCTGAGAGGAGGCGCATCCGCACTCTTTCTGCGCACCGAGGCATATTTTGGGGTCACGTAGTCAGACCACACGCAAATATGGCTTCAGATGAAATTGTATGGCAGGTGATCAACCAGCAGTTTTGTTCCTTTAAGTTGAAGTAAGCTCCCCATTCTTGACTTCCTTTTGCTTAGGACGTCTTGATGAGCTCTCACAGTCGCGAATGTTTGACGGGCTGCATTCTGACCCTATTTTCATCTAGGACAACCAAAGGACAAAACTTCTGTCGAAATGAATACAACGTCACTGGTCTCTGCAACCGTCAATCATGTCCGCTGGCAAATTCCCGTTACGCCACCGTGCGCTCTGATCCTGCGACCGGCGCAATGTACCTTTATATGAAAACAATTGAACGGTCTCATATGCCGAACAAATGGTGGGAGCGAATACGGTTATCGTCGAACTACACAAAAGCTCTGGAACAGCTTGACGAGCGACTCATCTATTGGCCGAAATTTTTAATCCACAAATGCAAGCAGCGTCTCACGCGCCTCACGCAGGTGAGCATTCGGATGAAACGGCTTGCCAAGGAGGAAGAACGATTAGGAGAGAAGATAGTACCGAAACTTGCGCCAAAGATTAGACATAGAGAAGCGACCAGGGAGCGAAAGGCGGAAGCTGCTGCAAAGGTGGAAAGAGCTATAGAAAGGGAGCTTATTGAGCGTCTAAGGAGTGGAGCTTATGGTGATCGACCACTGAATGTCGAAGAGAATATCTGGAAGAAGGTACTGAGGGGACTGGAGCGCCAGGGCGAAGGTGAACGTGACGAAGATTTGGATGAGGGTATTGAGGAAGACCTGGAGGAGGAGGAAGAGGAGGAAGGCGTTGGTCAGGTTGAATACGTTAGCGACTTTGATGAAGATGAGGACCTGGAGGATATCGAGGACTGGATTGGTGAGGGAAGCGGAGATGACAGTTTCGACGAGGACGACGAGGATGAAAGCGACGAAGAAAGTAGTGAAGGAGATGAGGAGGATAGTGAAGATGATGCACAGCGAAAGAAACCTACTCCCGGAACCAAGAGGAAACGTGGAGCCCCTACTCCTACGCCACGCAAAAAGGGCGCTCGGATCGAGATCGAATACGAAACGGAGGGTCCGGCGAAAGAAAGCATCTTTGCATGATAATCTTGATGGGCATAGAAAAGTGTTTCAATTACTTCAAGTGAACTTTGAATATGGCCTGGCGTTTATGGGGATTGTTATAGCACTGTTATTTCATTGGACTATGATATCTATGGCTACCAAATCTTAGACAATATGAACCAGTTTGAAAGCGGTAATTTGCCTCTCACCTCCCTGTGCCTTGCCTCTTGGGCCACATGTTATCGAGTATCATATATCATTGGAACCGAATCAAGGAGTAAAGCCAGATACATGGTCATTAGAGAGGGCACTTCAACTGGAGCCGTTGATGCGAGAAATATGTCCTATTGGTAGCGCCTAGATAGCCGTAGAGCTTTTGCTGTTTAAAAAGTACTATCGACGACTACTTGTTAATCGTCCGAGTTATTTCTTAGGGACGCAAACAACTCCTTCGGTATATAGAGGCCGACACAGTTACCAACTAATCCTAACCACAGTGGCAGGTATGTTTCTGCTGTGGGAGTTTCCTTCCCTTGGACAGTTTGCAAGGCACTTGCTGTATTGCAAGGGTGAATAAAATATACTGGGATACCTGATATCGGATGGTTCTGTGTCATTATCAGCTTTGATCGCGCGGCTTGTTACCTGGCTAATGGTGCCCCTTGTCGTGGATCTACGCACGGTCATGCTAATCCCGCCCATCACTCCCACCTGCTTCAGGTCCGATCGATAGGCTGGAGGAACAAGATGCTCGTATACGATCTCCAGTGCATTTGGACCAGAATATGGGGTATTTTTGAAAAAGAAATGTAAAACAGGAACTTGATAAGTCGGAGATAGAAGAATGTGATATTCCATTTCTACCTTGCTCGTCCCCGAAATAGATGACGGCCTAATCAACATTTCCTGTGAAAGAGGTGTTAGTAGGCTCCGACAGCAATAGACGAGTACGAGGAATATGGTATGCCCACAGGATCATCATCTTCTATATCATCTTGGAGATAGCTTCCTTCATCATTCTGTTCGCCATTGGCCCATTGAGGCAAGTCGATGATCCGAGAGATAATCAACATCGCACTTCCATCCTGGGGAGGATGAGAGAAGTGAAGCATTAGCCGACACTGCCTTGTGATCAATCCCAGTGCAATCCATCCGCTGTACCTGGTAATCTTGCTTTACATTGGTCCAGCCCAATGCCCGAAGGTCCCCCGAGTATCTAGTGACACGGTTTAAAAACGAAGAGCATATTGACCGGAACTCTCCTGGGTTCAAAAAGGGAAAGGATGGCAACGGGTCCGAAGCCATTCGCAGTCATGTAAATATTTAATCCATGCTTTTTAGCCAGGGAGATACGCACTGCTGGCGGTGGTTGTGAATAAGGCCTGTATGACTTTGGTGTGACGTGACATCGGTTTCAATTTCACCACCAGCACCCCTTCATATCTCCATGCAAAACAGCCACCAGCAAGGGCATTATAGATCTTGAACAGGCAAACATCGTCAAGATAGCAATCCGAGTTGCTTCAAATATCACATTCAATACGAAAATAGCCACTTGTTATTTTTTCTGCCTACGTCCCGTTCTCAACCTCCATGATCCTTGGAAGGCATTACAGATTGTGCAGTGACCAGAAATTATCCGTTCTGACGGCGGAACAGAAGACTTGCCGCAGAAAGTGAACTGAAAGAGTTGGTCATCGAAGCAGGAACTATATCACATCGCAAAGATGTCTTCGTATTTCTCCTCTTTCACCTCCTCCTCTGCAATCTCCAACCTTAGCACTCGCTTCACGTCACTGCGTCGCGCTATCTCCTCCGGCGACGAAACCGATGACCCGGAAAATGAAGATAACTCACACATTTCTCACGTCCTACGGGCATACTACACTGAAAAAGGTCGCCGTCTTCCTCCCTGGCTTCCTCCTGATCCGAAATCCCCACAACCACCACCACCCACCGTCGCCACACAGGCCACTTTCCAAGGCTATGGAGGCCAAACCAGTACCCCAGCCGGCCGCGGTCGCGGTGGTCTAGGTGATCTGTGGAGCGACTCCGCACCGTCTTCTGCACCCCCAGCGCAACCGCAAATCTCGAGTCTGCGACTAGGTCGAGGCGCAAACACACCACAGTCTTCCGGGTTCAAGCCATCCGCGTCGAGCTTACCCAGCCGTCCCTCGCCGTCGAGTACTCCCCGCCACCCTTTTGATCGATCGCAGTCGGCTCGTCAGCCGGGAAGTAATACAGGGAATGCAACAGGGGGTGCGAGACCGCTTCCAAGCCAAATGGCGGGCTCTTATCAAGCATCCCAAGCAGCGCAGAATCGTCCCGGGCCAGACCGTACGCTTTCTGCTGCTTCGGCGCAGGAGAGGTTGAGGGCGAGACTCCATGGAGGAGGCGGTTCCGGCGGCTACGCTTCGCGCAATCCTTTGACAGGGCCTCGGTGAAAGCGGCACCTACTCAAATTTCTTCTCTACCCTTTATTCCCTTTCCATTATGAGTTTAACTACTGCACGTGGCGTTATGGTGGCTTTATCCTTGCATTTGGAGGCAAGCCCGCATACTGCATTTTACCATCCGGTTGCTCCATACTCCATACTTGAGCCTGATAACTTCTGCCGCGTTTGTGCGTCGTTACCTTTGCATCACATTTCTCCTGCACCCTTTAATGCTTCTAGTTCCTTATCTGTATATATGTCCAGGAGCTTAATGATACATGCCTTTTCTAATGCAGAATATATGCTGTCGATAGGTGCAGCTAGAATGCATTGCAATTCTTGTAAGTTACCAGTTGGGGTCTGAACTAAATTGGGCCATAATGTGGCTCGTATCGAACTATTAAATGGCGTTGTTTATGAAGTTTTGCTTGGAGACACCGTATAATCTAAGAATAAAAAATACATGAAACCAGGGATGTATAAATCTAAATCCAAAGCAGATACGGAGTAGTACATTGAATATCAAGTAAATCGGGGTAACTCATCGCAATGCTACGAAAACAATTCTGGCACCCATCTTAATTCCCCAAAAATAACGCCGTGCAATGTTTTATGCAAGGTCACATAGGCTACCCTCTAACCTTGCGATAATTGGGAGGACTCCAGGTCCTACTGATAAGCTTGACAGCCCATACAGGTATCAACGATATAGCACACACAACCGCGACTCTCCAAACCCACCCTACCGTGACCACGTAACGTAAATCAAAATAATCACCCAAAAACGGCACGCTGGCAGCATAGACTAATCCGGTGCCGATGATGCAGAATATCATAATCGGGTGCCATGTTGTGATTGAAATGGCAACCATGGCAAGTTCATTTAGAACTAAAGCCGTGAAAGAGACGCTGATGAGCCTGGGTCCGGAAGTCGCGTCGACGAGAATCTGGGAGAAGCCTTGGATGACAGAGCCTTGATATACTGATACAAGCACCCATGTGAAAAACGATCGGTAGCTGAGACTGCGGCCTGATTTTAATTCTTTGTATAGTTCTGGGTACAGATTTGCGAGTTCTTCATCAACGTCACGATCAAGCACTAGAGAGAACACGGGTGCGTTGGTGTAGACCGTTGCGTACCCAACGAGGAGCCAGTTGATGAAAAGGCCTTTGGGCTCAAAGTGTTTCGCGATACTATACATGGTTTGACACGCGCTGATGATCAAGCCTCGGTGCATGATGAATTGGGCCAGTTTCGCGGACCGTTTATAGGAATTACGGCCATGCCATACGAGAAGTTTCGTGAGGTGGTGGAATTGGGTGATGCTGAAATCAGCGGCGAGAGACGCTTGTCGGCCTTCCTTCCCCACGATACCAATCCCAACGTCCGCGGCTTGGATCATAGAGACATCGTTTCCACCGTCCCCGATGCAACAGACTCGTTTCTTGGTATGTCGTCGAATAAGAAGCGCAATTTCTGCCTTTTGCGTTGGAGAACAACGGCATGCAATCACAGTTGGTAAAAGAACAGCGATGGATATAAAAGTGGTGCGGAATTGGCTTAGCATTAACGTTAAGGAATCACCGTCGATGAGCAAGCAGGCATCAGTCTTGTTGCGAAGAAAGTCGAGAGCTTCCTGGGCGGCTTCTGGATCTTTTAGCTTTGAGACCGTGTGGATATATTGGCCACGGGACACAAGCTTTGAAGAAACAGCCACGCATCGCGCGGTTTCGATCTTATCACCGGTAAGCATCCATATCTTGACGCCAGCGTTTCGAAGGAGCTCAAGAGATGGTTTCACATCCTTTTGAAGCTTGTCCTCCACACCAGTTACTCCAAGAAGTTCCAAATTGCACTCCAAGTAGCTGTGAACTACCTTTGCCATGAGGGTATCCCGGGAACTAAGCGACAAGGACGCTTGTTTATAGTTCTTGGAAAATTCATGGTACCGTTCTTGTGAGAGCCTCTTTCTTCCAACTACCAGTGTCCTTAAGCCCTCCCGAGCCATATTGGCTGTTTCTTCATCAAGCCAGTCATTGGTTGCTACGATTGAAGACATAACCGTATCGGCGCCCTTCTGGAAAAACCATATCTCGTCCTGGGCCTGTTCTACCCCTTGAGTGTGGGAGAATTGAACGACTATACCCATTCGTTTGCTTTCCGATGTAAAGGGGAAAATGTCTAGGATCTGGGCTCTCACGACAACCTTGCCTGTCTCCACAGATCGCAGCAATATCTTTTGCCTGTCACGGTATGCGAGCTGAACACCCACTTCCTGTGCATATTTTACGATTGCTATTTCGTCGGGAGATGAGGCTTGATAGGTCGTGATTGTTTGGCCATCCTTCTCGTCTAGTGTCGGTGTAACGTTATGGCATATGACGAGAGCCATTATTAAATCCCTGACTCGAGAACTGATTTCTCGCCGCGTCCGGGTACTGCCAGCCATTCCAGAGTGGGTTGTATTCACCGAGGATGGCGTAACAAGGGCCGCCAAGTGGGGTTGGTTGGGATTAGATGCTGTAGAGAAACCTTGTCGAACATAAGCTGCAACTTCTTCCATCGCTTCATTTGCATATGATACGGTCCCAACGTGTATTTTCTTCAGTTCCATCTCTGATGAAAGGTTAGCGTACGTACAAATCTCCTTGGAGGCATCCTAGCGAACCTACCATTTTGGGTTAGGGTGCCCGTTTTGTCGGAAAGAAGATACTCAATCCTCCCTAGGTCCTCGGGGATGGTGCTAGTTCTCACAATTGTATCGGGAATTCCTTTGTCTCGTTCGATAAATCTTCCATATACCGACTTCGCCATATCCAAATTCACTCGCAGACTCATGGGAATGATAGTTGAGAAGAGAATGAGATAGACCATGATAGCAATGTACCATTTCTTATCGCTTGTAGGTTGGAATCCTTCCAATGCAACGAGAATGATAGACAGAGATAACGTCAAGACACACAATATTTTTGTTAGGCTGTTGATTTCGTATTCCAGGAGGCCAACTTTGGACCGCGAAGGGGATGTCGACATTGCTGAACGAGTCTGAGGGCCTGTATATATTACACAAGCAAGCGTTGTAGTATTTGAGGCTAGAACGGTGTTTGCCCATGCCGTATTATCGATAGTGAGAGGGGCGGATTTTGCTTGGGAGATTTTGCAGGATTCATTGTTATTTTCTGAACCGTCACCAGCTTCCATAGGAGAGTCATATAAGACGGAAGTGGGCGCCAGTTCCACTCTCCCAACGAATTCATTCACGCTTCTCTCCGGAGCTCCAGCCGTTATTCGAATGCTCCGAAATTCTAAGAGGGGGAGAGTTTGGGTAAGGGGAGAAGCAATTCGTAACTTCCAGTCAGTCTCGCCATCTAACTGATCGGTACGAATAAATGTGTCCACAGAGCCACCGGCTTCCTGGCAAACAGTGTCTTGAGCGGCATCTTCGCTGTTAGGAGTCGAGTTTGAAGCGATGGAGGTTGAAGATTCGTGGTGTAGGGATTGCAAAACAACGACGTCGGCAGGAAGACGTTGATTCTTTCGTATCTTCAGAATATCCCCCACTTTTAGATCCTTAGATTTCTTCACAACCTCAAAAGGGCCGCTTCCTTCATCGTGAGGATCGACCGTGGCCGCACGGGATGGGCTTAATTGAAATGTCAAAACTGTGTACTCCTCTGAGTTTGCCTCAGCGTCCCTTCTCCGGCGAGCGATATCGTCTAGTGCTTCTTTTCCTAGGGATATAGTTACCACGAAGGCTAAGGGGGCGATGTAAGACGACATATAACCAATTCTCAGCACGGGAATGATCTGAGACAGGGCGACAAGAAGGAAGTAAATGTTGAAAAAGAATGAGAATTCATTATACAAAGTACGTGGAAGGAAACTCCAGGCGGTATATTTGGCATTTGAAACAATGTTCGCCGGGTATCGAACGCTCTGTTGTTGGCCGACGAGAACTAACCGAGTAGGCTTGGGCTCTGAAGAGGTAGGTCTGGCAAGGCTGCCTCTGGGATCCTGGGGTGAAGAGTATGCGTTAAATCCAGGAATTCGTAGCTTGGAGCCCAAATTTGCATAGAAGCTGTCCGGCTTTGGAGGATGACGTGAAGAAGGGTCCTGGTTCGGACCGCTAAGGAGAGGGGCGTTATCATCTGCAGAACTCGACGCAGCACGGGATAACCTTCGTCTATCGTCTTCTTGGTCAAAGAGCAAGGCATCCAGATCATCATCTTGTAGCTGTTGTCCCCTGCTTCCCAAGCCACGGTTTCTCAAGCGATTTCGAGCGGAGGTCCTGATATTCCTTAAGGCAATCCCAGGGCTGGACCAGTTCCTTTCATGACCTCGTGAAGGTCCATAATCGTGACCAGGTCGTAGCCTCGACGTTCCGGCGCCGAGCTCCTCCAAATCGAGATCATCGTCAGAGTCTGAGAGGACAGAGGGGGTTCTCGAATTGAGCGGACGGTGAGAGTGTGAAGACGTCATATTGAGAGGCGAGATTTATCTCAGTATGAAGACAGTATTCATATTCATATTATTGGATCCCGGTCCCGGCGGACCGTGTTTGGCGTTCAGAGGAGCTTCAAAGCCATGCAGCAGGCAGTTCGTTGTCGTTGTTTGCAGTAGTTAATTAGGGTGAGGTGACCGAGAGATGCTTGCGGAACTAAAACCAAACCAACCGTATTTTAGCCGAACCCGTCAACCGATCGTCTCATTCGTGAATTCGTAGCAGCGTCGCGGTTGCGATGTCCGGCTGCCTGCGGTGCGCTTCGATCCGCTGCTGGTTAACGACAGCGGTGCCACACTGGGCAATGGGTGCAACTAACTAGCACGTGATTCGTGGGCTCTGTGTGGCGCAGCGAAAGCCGAGCGGAATTATGATGTTCCAAGGAGCTGAAACGCCTCAAATTTGAAAGATTTTTGCACGCGAAGCAGCGGGCTGTGAGGGCGAAGAGGATCGCTCGGGTCAATTTTGGCCTCTTTTGAAATAGCAGTCTTATTTTATTGTTCCATCTCTCGAAGTGGTTTTGCGGACTTCCCACCCTCGAAACCCGGTGATTTAATGTTTACCTGGCCAGTTTCGGGCCGCTGTTGTTCCGTCGCGTGTCATCGCCTCTCATTGGTAGAGCGTCACTTTCTTACGCCGGACTCGAGCAACAAGACGGGAACCTCCTGATCTTCAAGGTGTTCGATATTTTCTTCGCGAGGCACATTTGTGAGACGCTTTATTTATCATCATGATCGAATCCCGGCTTGCCTTGTTCTGAGGGTTGCCAGCGTTACCGTCCTTCCTTCAAGCTGGTCGCGCTTCTCTTCCTGCTACGTCAGTCGCTCTTTCGCCTCCTTCTCTGCCAACAAAACTTCAAGGACACGGGACACAGAGCCGAGATATCGACTCTTGATGGCAGAAGATCGGGTGTTGGGCCATGAAAGCGGCCTGTCCACAGATGCGATCCATCTCGGGGCATGGAATCCGGCGCACAGGCCCGAAGATTGTTCTGACTCCATTCTACATGAGGTCGCTACCCAAACCTCCGTCCCTATCCAAACTCCAGATCTTGCCCCGTGCCCACCTACAGAATTTGAACTAGAACACCGCGATCCAGAAGCGTCCCATCCTGATAGCATTCTCGATGAGACTAAGGATGTGGAATACCTACAGGCATTCCCTGAGGCTCCGACAAGGTTAGAGAATAGTGGCCATGTGGATATAACTGGCTCTGAGTATATGCAATCAATTGAGAAGACTCGAGAGGGTGCTGTTATTGACTCGAACAATGGCTCACCGTTCATTGATTCTTTCAAAGGATCAGACGATGACACGGGAACAAACACCTTTCCTGACGACAACATCGACTTTCAGGCGATGATCGGACAAACACATGACGATACAAGGGACGTTCGGGATCGGTCTACTGATGCCCATGTGGAAGACCTATCTACTCAGCTCGTGACTGAACCTTATTCGGCAGAGAATGACAAGGTCAACTCGTGGAACAGCGTATTCGCAGACGACGAAGATGGCGGTGACTTTTTTAGCCAAATAAGCTCTCAATCAAAACCAACGGTCGCCCACTTAGAGTCTGAACCACGTTCTGATGATATGGCTTCCCACTTGAGCAATGGCAATGTCCAGCCTTCCAATGAAAGCCAGCAAACCAAAGCGATCGACTCACTATTCCAGGAGGATGAGTCGACAGGCGAGGCCGACTTTTTCAATTCACAGGCCCCGGCTCACGTAGAGCCTAGTCTTGAGCTACTGTCTGAAACGCAGCCCAATTCTATGCCAGAAGACCACCCGTTGCCAAGTCTTGATCCCGGAAAAGAGTTACCTCACCACCAATCCGTGGCTGTGGTCCAAGATGAAGAGCCAGAAGTAATACGTCCGGCTGAACCTGGAGTAGCCGAGGATCTTGGAGAGGAGGAATTAGCTGAGCGGTGGAAGGCATTTCTAGGAGACGATGATATATTGATCGAAAATGAAACCCTCGACGGATCAATTGAAGGCGCCAATACGCAGACAGCAGAGTACCAACGCCACCCAGTGCAGCCTGCATCACAGGTTGGGTCCGAACCGCCGCCTCCAGTCAATACTTACACTCCGCATCAGCCATCATCGTCAGAAATGCTTGGAGGTTTACCAGCGGCAGGTTACTCTTCGACCCTCGGAAATTTAACCAATTCAGAGAAATCGAAAGTCGAGAGCTTCTCAAATCAATCCAAGGCTGGATACCAATCCCCGTATGACTTGCCATTGGACATGCGCCCAAAGCATGCACCTCCTCGCAAGATTGCTCCCCCGGTTGGAGTAAATCCTCCACCTCGCAGTAGCTCTATGTCAAGATCCCGCCCGCCAAGTTCATCCTACATGGTTCCAGGCCCGAACTTCTCTCCTGTGGCAGCTCCGCCGCCCCTTTCAGGTCCCGATACAACCCCTCCATCAACCAAAGAACCCGTTAGGACTGGAAGCTTTTTCGAAGAGCTTCCTGTGGTGTCAAGGTCCCGCCCGTCGACTCGCGGGCGCTACACTCCGCAGCCAAATGTGTCTCAACCGGCCAGTAATTTGCCGATGGCGCCGGTGGCACCACCACGTTCTCTCCCACAACAAAGTAGTGACCCTTATTCTCAATTTCAACTGCAACCTCCTGCGCGTTTGGATCCGTATTCAAATCTCTCTGCGCCTCCTCCACAACCGGCTCCTACAACTTCTCGTTATTCACCCCAACCTCCGCCGCCAGGCACGAAACCTGCCCCTTTCCCCCGTTATTCCCCTGCCCCACCTCAGTCAGCAGGTATGACAAGCTCAGCGACGTATGTATCGCAGTCACCTACTGTGCAAACCTCTGTCAATGCATTTCCATTCCAACCCCGAACCTCAAGTCCCTTAGCCCAACATGAAACAGCCAAGTCATATCCATCTCCACCACGAAAACGGGACTCTTTACCAGTTACGTCGACTATTCCAACGTCCGGTGTTCCCCAGTTCGGATCAGATTCACAAATTGTTCCACCCAAACGATCCATGACTCAGTCCCCAGGCAGAATGATGCCTCTTCAAAGCTCCGTTGCGTCGAACCAAAACGCCTACGTCAGGCCTGCATCAGCTCATGGTTCAAAATCATCAATACAGGCACCCCTATTGCAATCCGCCTACTCCCCAGCTGTCAACAATCGTCCTACTCAAGCTCTGGATTTTGTTGTACCAACGGATGGCCAGGAGCACGACCCTCTTGAACGTTGGAAAGGGGCTCCGATTTTCAAATTTGGATTCGGCGGAACTCTCTTGTCCACTTTCCCAAAGCATATCCCCCGATATGCCACAGGCCAGATGACCCCTCGGATCAAACCCACACTTGGTGATATTAAAACATGCCCAATCAGCCAAATTCTCCCGCATAACGAACCACTGGACAAATTTCCAGGACCCCTAAAGTCCAAATCTAAGAAGAAGGACGTCTTAACCTGGCTCTCTACCATGATATCCGCCCTTGAAAGTGCCCCATCAACAACTGATGGCCATGTTGATCCTGTGCACCAACACCGCCGTGAAGACGGTATCTTACTTTGGAAGGTCGTGAGAGTTTTAGTGGAACATGATGGAGCACTAAGAGGTTCTACAGCGGCAGAGGCTAGTCTTCAAAGTATATTCTCTCCTGGAAGCATGGCGATGAATTCTCAATTCGAATACCCAAGTACCGCCGACTCTGTTAGTGGGTCATTGAAATCTGAGTCTGCCAGCGGTTTAGGGATCGATGTTATCCACAAAAGCCTCGTGGCCGGCGATCGACAAAAAGCCGTATGGGACGCAGTCGATCATCGCTTGTGGGGTCATGCAATGCTTATTTCATCTACCCTCGACAAATCGGTGTGGAAGCAGGTTACCCAAGAATTCATTCGTCGCGAAGTTCGATCTTTGGGCAAAAATACAGAATCTTTAGCAGCCCTGTACGAGATATTTGCGGGCAATTTTGAAGAGAGCATTGACGAGCTCGTACCTCCCTCTGCAAGAGCTGGTCTCCAGATGGTCAGCGTGCATGCTGGCACCGGCGCCCCCAAGGATGCTCTTGAAGGCTTAAACAAATGGAGGGATACGGTGAACCTAATATTGCAAAACAAAAGTGCCCAAGACCACCAGGCCCTCCGGGCGCTCGGTCGACTCCTTGCGTCTTACGGAAGAGTCGAGGCATCACATATTTGCTCTTTAGTGGCTGGGACGGCGGCTGGCCCCATCTTTGGTGATGCGCACGACCCCCAAGCTAGTATCGTTCTTCTAGGTGCCGACCATTGGCGAAACCCAACAACCTTCATGGTGGAACGTGAGGCTTGCTTGCTGACAGAAGTATACGAATTCGCGACATCTGTTCTGGCCGCTTCACCTTCCCCTAGCCTGGCGCACCTTCAAGCTTTCAAGCTACGGCATGCGATGTATCTTGCTGAGGAGGGTCATAAGTCCGAAGCTCAACAATACTGCGAAGCAATTGTTTCCATTGTAACCTCGAAGTCGAACGTGAAATCACCGTATTATCATCAAAGATTTTTTGCTGAATTGGATGAGCTGTCACACCGTTTGAGACAGGCTCCTACGGACGGTTCGTCGTCGTGGATATCAAAGCCTAGCATGGAGAAAGTGTCGGGATCGATGTGGGCCAAATTTAACAGTTTCGTTTCCGGTGATGATAACGAGGTGACATCCAATGGATCAGGGAAGGGAGGAGACGGAGATATTGGCCCATTTGCCAAAATTGCAGGTACTCCCCCTATCAGCAGATCTCCCTCAGTTGCGGAGGGATATGGATCATACTTCCCTTCTCAGCCGGTTGCTCCATCGTCCTCGGGTTCTCGATATGCTCCTAATAGCCAGTATTATGCTCCCTATTCTTCTCCCGAACAGTCTCGTGGTCGTCGATCCCTAGATGCCCAAAGGTCCCCTCCCCAAACTGCAGGTCGTTCCTATTCGCAGCGCCGCAATTCTCAGGATCCTTCGACGCCGTTAGAGGGCAATGCCTACGGATCAATGCCAAATCATATTTACGCGTCACCTGCCACTATCGGCTCTCATACAACACCTCCTCAAGCAAGTCATGCACCTCTCGCACCTGTAGAAGAAATTTATTCTCCCCAAATTCAATCTCCTACTGGTGAAATGCCTGCTATACAAACCCTTCCTGATGGTTTTGGCATAAACCAGACGGGATACATGCCATTAGCGGAGCAAGTTACGAGAAATGATGAAACAAACCTTAAAACGACGACAACAGAACAGAGTGGATACCAGCCACCCACTTATGAGCCGCCATCCTTCAGTACTGGCTACGAACCTCCCTCGTACTCTGCTAATGTTGAAGACAACGAGCATTCAGATGAAGAGAAACCAAAGAAGAAGTCCTTCATGGATGATGACGATGATGATTTTATGGCTCGCGCAGCCCAACTCCGAGCTTCTGAAAAGGAAAAAATGGATCGTGAGGCAGCTGAGGCCTTTAGAAAAGCTGCAGAAGCTGATGGTAAGTGTTTTCTTCCGCGGGGATGAAAACCAATCGCTAACTAAGTTGCCGGTAGCCAAACGACCCCCTGCTACGGAGAAGAAAGGTTGGTTTTCTGGATGGTTTGGAAAGAAAGAGAGCGGCGGTGCCGTTCGCGCAGACCTCGGCGACGAGAATTCATTCTATTTTGATAAAGAGTTGAATAGGTGGGTTAATAAGAAAGACCCCGGCAGTGCCGCCACTGCAGCGGTTACTCCACCCCCGCCCAAGAGCTCTGCACCATCAAGCCAGTCTGTGAGCACTTCCCAAACACCAACAAACCCCAATCTTACGAATGGACGACCGGGTCCTTCAACTGTTCCAGGAGAGGCATTATCAGCCCCTCCCCCAGGCATCGCACCATTACCCACTCCGCCGTCAAGCTCCTTGGGACCACCATCCGACAGCCCACGTGCAATCCCAAGATCTGTATCGGCCGGCGCTCCCACAGGACCCCCATCACGCCCTGGTACATCATTGAGTAATGCAAGCTCCATTGATGATCTTCTTGGAGCCCCCCAAGCACGAAAGGGTGGTACAATGAAAACACGGAGAAAGGGCCGTGGTTATGTTGATGTCATGGCGAAATGATTTCAATGTTTTCATCCTATCTCACGAGTTATTATGCACACTTGCATTAGCTTTTACTCTGCTTCGGTCTCATCTATGCATGATTTTAGTGCGCGGCATTCACAGCAAAAGTATTTCTTACAGATGTTCCTTCGAGGTGAAAGGAACCATAGATATCAACTGCATGTATCAGGGGGTATTTGCTATTACCTTTTGGACCTTTTTTCACGTTAAAATTCCTAGGCCACACTTTATGTCGGCTTTTTTGGATACTAAGCACACATGTCTTGATGAGCGATGGTGATTCAATGGCATGGAACTCATGTCCTTTGGCTTGATGTTTCCTTTGCGGAAGTATTATTTTTCTTTTTCTTTTTTTCTTTTTGGTCCATTGTTATTTGCTTGTTCCCTGGAGTCTGTTGCATTATAATTCTCATTTCGAATACCATTTGTAATAAAGGGGATCTCGAGGATTCGGGTTCATCCTTACGGACCATTAGTTTTATATCCTTCTACTTGACGTTTGTTTTTTTGCACTTGAAGTTCAGCCTGTGTATTATACGAAGCTTCCAAAGAAATAACCATGTACTTAATCTTCATAGAGACCATTTCACTACATTTCTTTCTGATCTGAGTTCCTTTGAATCTCTGATGGTCTTTTTTTGTCTCGTGCAGATATTTTATCTAGGTCAGACCAACTCATGGGTGCGAGAAAGGCCCCCCCCTTTGCCATAAACCTGAAGCCTATTCGTCTTTGTTATATCCACCGTAAGCGCCAGAAATATCTCCAGCCAGTGTGTTTGGTATGCAGTTTGGGAAGGTATTGATTTACTGCGGTCTTAGGTGGCATAAGAATTAATATAATACTAGCACATGGTTAGCCTTTGTGGTCTCAATTGCTGATTTTCGACGATTACTTACGGTTAAACAGGAGTCGTCTCCGCTACAGCTATCCTGGAGATATACATATAGAATCAAAGCGGTATTATGAATGAAACCTAGGGACCAAAGTAAGCGTGGATATCGAAAAGCAGACGCAACCAATGAGAGTTTAAACTCTGGGCTGTGCGTCTATAAACTCACAAGCAACGACCCTTGGGCTCAGTCGCCCGACGCTTAAGACGCGTCCCCAGTCTTTACCATCTATTCGTACAGTCGCCCACCCCTCCTCGTTTTCGCCATTCTCCCCACCTAATGCCCTCATTCGCTCACTGGGTAGCACATGCGCCTCGTCTTGGGATACCTGCGCGGGATCAAGCTCTGGATTGACCAATCCTGTCCACACACTCGAGATCTTCAGAGTATCCGTCGCAATCCCCAGTCTCAATGAACCGTGCATATTTGCACTTAACTCCAGTTTTGGACCGGTGCTAACGCCGCCGACCAAAGTGGAGCCGGTACTCTTCATGGTGTCTGCAGCTAATCTGTTAAATCGCTCAGAGATGTTTTTGAGCTGGATTAAGCTGGGAAGAATAATGTGAACGTCAGGTTCGCGACAACGTGGTTCGTGGAGTGTCTCCACGACGGATGGATGGAGCACGCGGACGGGTACTTCTTGGGTGATTAATGTCTCGCGTTCGCGTGGTCCTAGCTGGGGACCTTCTTGTTCCGTGGAATATGGTGGCTGCGTAGGATTTCCCGTTTGAGTTCGGGAGGTGGATCCGGGGGCAGGAGAAACGCCAAGGGCGTTTTTGCCATCTGTCCAGGAGGAACTGACAATTGTTAGAGCAAGAAGGGGCTGAGATCCTTTTTTGGTCAGGCGTAAAGTTGCTGACGCCGCATCAGTCGCCGATTTAAGGGCCCGGTGCAGAGCTGCTATCGGAACTTCGAGGTTGATCACACCTGCAGCAGCCGAGAACGAGTAGGAATCGAATATTGTTTCCTAAGAAATACTGTTATCAAGCCAATTCAAGGTCGAGGACGCTAGGGTGATCCACGCACAATTGGTAACTGCGCCCATACCTGGGTTCCTTGGTCGGGAATGATTGTGAAGCGTACATGCTCTTCCTCAAGCCGCACCCAGCATATCTTCCCCAGAGATGAGAGTGACGCTGTGAATTCTAGGAGGAGTTAGCTACCTAGATTGTGTTTTTTCAAACAATGGTTACATACTAGTGAACGTGGCAATATTTGTCAACTGGCTCCGAAACCTCATCGTGTCGAGTCATATCTTGGACCTTGAGAAAAGGGTAAAATGGTACCTCTTATTCACACTTGACAAGAAAAGAAACCTCTAGATCCTCACAGTGACTGATAACATGAACCTTTGAATGGGCATCTCCGTGTATCAGGGTCGCCCACCGCTTCCCCGTCTTTGATCTGATAACGTCGCGTTCCAGCGAATCTCCCGACGCGATATGATTACTAATCGAGGCTGGGTATCGTATGATTTGCAGCCGGAGTGACCGGTCCTGAAACTAGTATCCAAGGTATCTCCGTCTCTGCTGTGACGTAGTTGATAGTTTCTCAGGGAAGATGACACTCGTCTCCTATTTTTACAGCCCCCAAGCCCCTTGAGCTCCCTCCCACCGACGCGTCTCTCATTGCGCAGCCCATCGAGCAATTAGGATGTGGTCTGTGTGTCGCGCCAGGACTTTCGGTGCTTGACCCGAAGCGGCTAGCTCCGCGAGCTTGATTCAACGTCACGCGCCCGTCCGTGCTGAGCTAAGCCAGGAGCCGCATCCCTGTAGCTTCACTTCGCTTTGCCGTCGACGTTGCGCTTCATCTTTCGTCCCCCGTGTCGTTTCTTTGTCGATTGCACCCGAGGAGGCGGTTTCTTGCATCAGTTTGTTGAAATTCCCGTCGTTCTTTATCATCTCTCGTTCTCATGTATTCATCCACCTCCGCTCTTTTAACCCAGCGCTTTTTCCCCGACATTCTTTTGTTACGCATATTTCCAATCCGTGACGTATCTTGAATAAACCATTGTCACTCTCTAACTAATTTAATTGCACTCCTTTCACTATCGTTAAAACAGGACTCGTTGTGGACCCATTCCTTAAGCCAGAGAGCCGATCGAGTGTTCCTTGCTCCGGAATTCCTGACGCGGCATGATAACATCGTTTCGATCTTAAGTACTGTTGATTGGTCCACGTTCTTCTCTGGGTCTTCCGCCGTCTTTCGTTCCCGCCTTCGATCAGGCGTCCTGAATTATACCCCGCCATGCGCCTCTCCGACAAAGAAAATGGCTGAAAATCCATTTGAGCCGTTGACACCGGCGCTTCGCCTTACTCCTTCGGCCTCGAGAACGCGGCCACAGTCTCCGAAGCGCCCTCGTTCGCCTGAGCGGAGAAGCCAGTTCCTGGCCCTCGAACTTGACCCTTTGCTATCAAACCTATCTCCGGAGTCCACGCTAAGAGCGCTGTCTGCCGCGGACGCGGTTCCGTCGACAGAAAATACACCCTCGAATGCTCTGACGAAAAGCATTGCTAATGTGTCGACTATCGACCGAGCATTCGGGATAAGGGCCGCGTTAACTGCCCAGAAATTGAGAGAATGGTACACCGAAGTGCTTTCATGGCAATGGCCGTCAAGACGCGATGCTGGCCTCGGCAAAGGCTTCCTTCTCCCACCTGCATCTCAAACGGATGCCGAGGAAGTGGAAAAATTCCATTTTGGAAGTCTCCCTAGAGATGTTATGGAACAATACGAAACCAGGATGGAAGAAATTAGGGACGATATGGACGCCTTAGACGTTGAGGAACTTAAGGACCACGTCCTTAATGTTCATATACCATCTCGTTCGCGCCCGATATCATCGCATAGCACTATGTCCATTGACATGAAACCGCTTTCTTATGTACAGCTAAGTGACTTTACTGCAGTTGTGACTGCGACAATTCTCCAGGCTCTGCCCATCCTCTCAAGGTTGAATAGTCTACTTGCTACGTGGGAGGTTCGTTTCACCGTGCTACGACAAATTCCTCGGTTGCTTCGAGGAATCAAACTCGCAAGAACAGATGTTGATGCGGCGTTGGGTCGACTAAAACTCGGTTTGTTACCCGGACGTGACGATCGACTGTTTTCTGGGGAATTATTTACCACAGTTCGCCGAGAATTGGAACGCAAGGTCTTGATGTTGGGAGGCCAAATGGACAGAATCCTTGACGAACTCGAAGGACACTCGGACTCCCTTCCGGAAGCTTGGATTGATGAGATGGAAGCGATTGAAGGGGATTTTGCAACTTGGGCTTCTCAAGCGCAGAAAATGGCCATTGAAAATGAGTGGAGGAGATCCTTACCCGCATCATCCACACCCAAATCTCGAATTCCTGACACCAGGTCAAATGACGCCAACTCGCTCTCAGAGTCTCGCGACCCACTGGCAACACCAACTCCAGCAGATCATCATTCCGTCGCTAATAACACCGTTGCTGGGGCTGATAATTCGCTTGCTACACCAAGCCCATCTGCGCTCTCATTCAATGTCAGCAATAAAGTCGCTAACCCAAAACAGCCTGTGTTCAAACAGCCCAAGAACCCCAAACTCGAGATAACTCCTCTGGAAGTGCCAAGCAATCTTGAAACTCTTAACAGCGCAAAGTCGAGTGAAACCGTCATTTTCTGTGAATCAAAAGCTCTTGACTCCCATTCAAGTCCCCCAACAGACCTAACACATGCGCTTCCCTCTACCAGTGGTCTTCCAGGGTCGCAAGCAAAAGCAATCAAGTGTCTATCAAAAGGGCATGATATGGAGCAAACGCCTCATGCTGCAATACCAGATGCGGAAAACCATATTCACTGTCATACTGAGTCATTCACGCCTGTTGCCTCCCCAGTTCGATGTTTTAACCCCGATGAAAAAGCTGACCATATCCCAATTGCTAATCATTCCGGGAGCCCAATTGTCGCAGACTCTCACGCTAGTGTTATTAGATATAATGTTGGCGAAAGAAGTAACCTTTCCCCGTCAGCTAAAGAATGGGCTTCAGTTTCAAGAATTATGGAAAGCAATCAGCGAAGCGTCCGACGAAGCAAAAGCTTACCGCTCGAGCAATATAATTTCCAGTCCGCTCCTGTATGTGATGACAATGTCATCTGCAATGCTCCTCCTGCACCCAACTCTGAGCAGACTCCCACCTACGCTGAAGAGCGTTCAAAGTTACAGCAGGAACCCAAAGCGTGTGTTGATGGACTTCCATCTCCAAAAGGCAAGTCGCTCATCGGTATACCTTCAAAGAACGTTTCGGATTTAAATAAACCTCGTTCTCGCGGTGGTATCACTTCCGACGAATCCCCTTCCATTTCACCTAGCCCGGTGGATTTTGCAAGTAGCACGCGAGACTCTGCTCCCTCAATTCGAGAAATGTCCAGTCCTCCCAGCCCGGCCCCCGTGTTACCCACCCCTCCAAATTCGGGCCAGCCTGTAACCCCTTCAAGCTCGTTCACCACTCTATTGCCTTCGACTGTGGTTAAATCCGCTTCTCAAGTGCCATATATAACTCCAAGCAAATCACCCGAAGACCATCTGGAAGAAAAAATCAGTTCTATCCTCACCAGCATTCCCGGTCGCATCCATCTGAGCTCCACTCCAGTTAGTTCCGCTGCCTCAAGTGTCGGGAGTCGCTCACAGGCTGGGCAGCAACTTAGCGGAGAACAGTCGTCCTCTCCCTTCCCTACTCGGCCAAGTACCCCTACAAACACGCTTACTATTACGCCCGCCTACGAGCGCCAAAAGCGACGACGTGCACGTATGGATGACGAAAATCCCGTCCGACTCTACCATCTCCATCGCGGGGGGAAGCTACCACCGTTGAAGCTTTTCGTACGCATGGTTGGCGAAGAGGGGGAGAGAGTTATGGTGCGTGTTGGGGGCGGCTGGGCAGACCTAGCCGAGTACCTAAGGTCGTACGTGATGCACCATGGACGACGAAGAATGTCAGAGAGCAAGCTGGAAGTCCAGGAAATTCCTAATACGTCACCGTCTCATCGTTCTTCGCCTTCCCACCGTTCTCCTCATCGTTCTCCGGGTAGAGCCGTGAACAATGGTCGTATAACTCCAATCTCTCGGCCAGGATCAGCATTTGATACCCGACCTCCCTCCCCTCTAGCTGTCCGCAAGGCTCGGGCTTCTAATACGTCCACATGTCCCAGATTGACTGCTGCAAATGTCGAAAAGGCCTCTAATGCAGCCGAGTCCGGCTCTTTCCTACTTTCTCAGCGCCGATTATCTGTCTCCTCCACAACCTCAATGTTTGCACATCCTACTCCACTGGGGCTTGCCGGCCCAATTCCCAAATCGAGGAACGTTTCCATGAGCCCCGAAAGTGAAGCTTGGGTAGAAGATGTCATGGGTCAAGCACGCAAGACGTCTGCGACTCTCAAGTCCAAATTATCTACAGGATCTTTACGGGGTTATCGCCAAGCGCCAATGGCAGAAAATGCGCCACAATTTAAAGGCCGCACCGACCCAAACACCAGACGGGTTAGCGATTTTGCTGGCCCTCCGATTGGCACCGGGGTCTCTGCGAATAAACGGGTCTTTTTGAAAGGGTTGAACAAGGCAAGGGTTTGAAAATTCATAATGGCCCCGTGAATAATCCGTGATTCGCTCCCTACATACCTCCTACTTAGTGAAGAATGCTTACTGTCTCTCTTCTATTGCATACTCACCTTTCCTCTTGCATTTTCTTGCGTTTCCTTTTATTTCGGCATATTTGTTGTTAAGCGGGTTCTTAAACACTAGAATTTACGGTCACATAGCTGGCGTTGACGGGCCAGAGGTTTGATCAGGTTCGGGCATTGCAGGAACATTTCTTTTTTATTTGTGGTTTCTTTTCATATTGGCTGATTTTACTTACATTTGCCTGGTGCATGCTGTAGCTGTTTTATATTTTTTTTTTTTCCTGTGTGTTTGGGTTTCTCGTCCAGACGACAAAATTGCCTGGGCTCTCCTCTGGCTTTTCAACAAGATATCCTTTTGTCTCCGCTAGGCCTTGTTTTTATGGGAGGATATTTCTTTTCATCCATTTTGCCTGGACCTGCTTCTTCCATTCCGCAAGGTGCATTGACATTCAAACCAGCTGCTGCATCCTCACTCTATACCCTGTGAAACCAACCGGCTCCTTTGGCGTTATTGATTTTAGGTGTGCTTTTTCAATAATTTAATTTTTCAATTGTCCATAAGAGATTAGAGTGGCGGGTTATCTTTCATGCCTCAGTTAGCCGATATAGTGGCAAATAATTAATACAAGCAATTATATCTAGAGTACTCACTCTCATCTCAGAATTAGTAGCAAAGAGAAAGCATAATCGCAACAATCCCCATAGCCTATGATCCAAGCAACACATTTAACTAGAAACTGTATGTATGCATAAATTGCTACCAAGACAATCATACTCAGAAAACCACCCTGAGTAGCCGCAAACGCCCCTCGTTCCGGATACTTCGAGATCCATCTCCAATGACTAATACAATTAGAATAACTAGAGCCGCGATTGAGCCATCTCTATTGCCCAGAGCTGCGTTCACCTCTCTCGAGACGCGACACTTCTTTACCCAACAGCTTCCGAAGCAGCGGTGAGATAACTTGGACAGTATCATCGCTGGCGCTTGGGGACTGTCGATTGCTGGAATCACGCCTGGAAAGGCCCTGGACACCGCTGGCGGAAATCACTTGCGGGGCTGATGGTGAGCGCTGTGAAGGGTTAGATTGCTGTGATGGGGGGGATTGCGATTGGGATGCCCTGGCGGACCCGAACGCAATAGGCTTGCGTTGACGCACAGGTGCGCTGGGAAAATTGTATTTCTTATCGATGGTCTCGACTTTTTTCTGGAAGCGGTAAAAAAGTGCTTCTGCTCTACTTAGGATGGGTATTAGGTCTATTGTGTTAGAGAGCTCGTTTACTGTATGTGCATTTACGGTTAGCTTCCAGGCGACAAGGTGTAAGGTGGAAACGAAACCATGGCAAATTGAGACAGCAACGTACCGTATTTCAAGATTTCGTCGAAGTGTTGCAGGTGAGCAATGATGATATCCCGGTGTTTGTCTAATATAGCGAGTGCAACGAAAATATGAAAGCTGCTGGACAAATAATCCGTCCAGAGGGCTTCCCACAGCCGTAAGACATCTACCCACTCAAACTCTCGCTTGAACCATACAAGGAACATGCGGAAGAAGAAAAAGAAATTCGTGCTATCTGTCTTTTGGAGGTGGATGTAAAGCTGTGGGTCCATGAGTTGGACAAGTTGGTCGAGAGTAAGCAGCTGCTCCCGCATACCAGATTGATCGCGAAGGAAATTCCGCTCCTTAAAGGTCGTTAGATGCTTAATCCTACATTTTAGGAAGAATTAGGGGCTGTAGACATTACCATTCTATCCATGAAGCCGACAAAGCCCCAAAATGCCACAGCATCGTCTTGCATGACAGCATATATCGGTGCAAGGAGATCACTCATTCCTTGAACATAACCCAGGTGGCGGTTATATTCGTTGTACGTAAGAAGCATGTCTTTCATCTGTTCTAAATGGACGTTTGTTCCTGTCTCTGCAAATGGAGAGTCTGGGTCTGGGTGAGGAATGTCCTCTCCCGCAAAGAGCGGTATAGTACGGTCCGTGCGATGAACATCTTTCTCTGCATGTCGAATCCCCAAGGATGGTTGTCAGTTAGCCTTCTGACTGTGTAGATTCTGAACCCATGGATAAAACTAAGATTACCCACCTATTCGATTCTTTTGCTCCTTCCACCATTCATAATCCTCTGCTGTCGAGGTACTTTCGATCATGCGTTCCCACCAGCCTCCTTTAAGTCGCACATATTCATCCCTTTTCGAATTCATCATCGCCTTTCGTTCATCTTCGCTGCTATCCCACGAGTATACTCCGAGTAGGAATAGCCAAGCTTCCTTTCGCACTCCATCGTTGGGATCAAGTCCACCATGGAAGATGCGCTCTTTCGCCTCATCAGGGGTAATCTGCAGCCGCCCAGTAATCGAGTCGAACCAGCTGTTCCATTCTTCCTTTGTAACAGTCTTCCGCCTCTCGCTTATTGTCATCTTTGCTGCTTCCATATTCAATATTTCAAATTCGCCAACAGAGCTATCTTCCATGGCTAATACGTCCTTTGCAGTCCATATTCGCTGATTTCTCTCACGCTCGCTCTGTTCCGCGATGCCCATGGCCCACCTAGCAAGATATAATCTGGCACTGTCGAATTCATCCTGAAGTGTCTGGATTTCTGGATTTCTCATGAGTCGCCTCACCTGCGGTGGTACCCTGGGGTTTTCGGCTAGATCCTGCGCCGTCCGTCTAGTGAACGTGGTGATTTTGCTGAATTGTTCCAAAACCTTCCATCTCGTTTCTTTTAAAGCTTTGGTGATTGGGTCCATTCCTGCGTCGCTTTGTGGCTTGGGAGCCGTTTGAGTACATCCAGGAGGCCGGGACGCCTTGTCTATTCCAGACAAATTTCCAAATGAGGTCTTGTCTTCTTCTGATGGGTTAATGAGATAGACATTTGGATCCACGCCTGAGCGGTAGACCTCCACATATCTTTTCAACCATCTCAGAACCTCGTCGCCTCCCCAAAACATGTGACCATCTTCAAATGGGTCAAAGCTTTCCTTTGTTTTCTTCTTTTTCTGCAGAATGGTTGATTCACATTCACTGTCATGGAAAAATAGAGCCGGAGAGCTATCCCCGGCCTTTGTATTTATAACAACGCTTCCAAACCACCAACCCAGACTTGGCGGGCGTACCAACAGCGAGTATATCTGGGTCAAGGGGATAGCAAAAGCATATAAACCGATGGAATCGCCATGAGACGTCGTGGTTGGCAACGGTGGCACAAGATATGACTGGCGCGGAGGAGATGAGCTATCTGAAAGATCGACCTTTACATATGTGTTGTAGGCATCCCCCAAAGACGATTCGGGGACCCAGGCGAGAAGATATGAAGCGGCACTGAAAGATGTTGAAGAGGATGACGAACTAGGTCTATTCCCATCGTCGGTTGGAGAGGGCTTCTGCTGAATCAGGGCTATAAACCCCGGTATGTTGTCTTTCGATGAGGGAGTAGGGTGTACGTAGACCTAGATTGTGAAGGCATCAGCCATAGGTATTCATTCGAATACTTGGTGTGATTGTGTGGGAAAGGGATTGCCAATAGCCCGAAATCGCAGACCTTGCTCTTAGAGAACAACAGCTTGACCCCCTTCCCCGTCTTTGTATGGGTGATGGTGTTGTACTCGCCCTCTTCGTCGTCGCTGATATCATAGAACGATGCTGATGGAGAAGGCGGGGAAGGCGGCGGAGTGAACTGGGTGGAACGGCCAGCCATGACCTGGCTGGTTTGATCGGGTTGTCTCAAACGGTCAACCAGATTGATAAATATGTACAAAGTAGTTAATTGATCTCTCAGACGGGAATATTGCTGGCTGGCAAGGTTGTCGTTGGCTGACGATGATCGCGGCATGTGACGCAATGACGCAACCGGACATTCCGCGTCTAACTTGAGCCGTTCCGTACCAGTCCCAGTACAGTTATACGGATTCCATGCCGTTTCTTCATGTTAGACTTAGAGCGCCTCTAGCCTCTAAGGATTGATCCTTTTTGGCTCAGTTGGTTAGTTCAACACTTCATGATGGACTCTGCTGGCTTGATGCCCCTGACTCTGGCTGGGCGATTTGCCCTCTCATATCGCTGCATTGTGTTTTCTTTTCCATTTTCCTTTATCAAGTGCCATGCTTTGCGCTACTTTCGCTATAGCGAATTGGGCCTTCTTTCTCTGCTGCGACAGCTTTCGGGCTGCACAGTCAAGAGAAGGAGATTTATTGGGGCCTAAGATCTCTTCTAACCAAATCCCGCACGAATAGGGATTGGAGAATCAGTCCTATGACGTGGGAGGCCACGGTGATATGGCGGCTTGCCAGGATACAAAATCTGCCGACAAGGGCTCTACATCAGCTTTCGCTCGCATTATTATATTTGGCCGAGCGGGTCAATGTACCTGGCTTTGTAATTTTCGGTTCATTGGGAACGCCATGCCTGAGCTGAAAAGAAATTGGCCAGAAATCCTCCGTGGCCCGATTTCAAGAAATCTCACGCGCATGCCGAGAACTATTCAGTTAGGTCCTATTCCACTCAGTAAAGGACCTATGGCAATTCTCCCGGTCAGCTTTGCCACCATTTCTCCAGGGCGCTGACCCTGTTTGTTGGTTCTCATTTTGTGCGTGAGGCCTCACCGTGAACGAGCCGCCTTTATATACTTCAACCTTTTTCTCCTTTTTTTTTTTTTTTTTGCTCCTGCTACCGAATCAAGGATCACCGTTTGATTTTCCGACCCCCTATCATATTATTATCTGAACATGTCGCCCAGCCGGACTGAAATCGGCTCTGAGGAGCCAACGTTCGCAGGGCCCAAAGCCAAGGTGGCTTCGGTTCAAGAGGCCCCGAAGTTAGAGCCTGTGCAAGAACCATGCCTGACCCCGGCCCCCGTCGATGGCATCCTCGATGAGGGGCAGCAATATGACGTTCATACACACACCTCGGAGAGAATCCTTTCTGTCCTCAAGCCATACCTCCTCGCCAAATCACCCGACGCTCATGATCTCTGGGTCCGGGGTGCCCCCAAATTCATTTCAGTGATCCGCAATTTCGTTGAGAAGGGCCAAGTGGTGCAAATGTGCCTGCCGGCCTTCCCTTGGAAGTCTGCCAATAAGGTCTACAAGGTGCTCGGCACTCTGCCGGACAAGGCCGAGGAAGTGTCCCTGAAACGCTTAAATGACCTGTGCGAGGCCATTGGCGATGTCTACAATCCCGGGGCGGAGCTGCTCATCATTTCCGACGGGCTGGTTTACAATGGTGATCCGATCTAAACCTCATAGCTCCTTTTATCCCCTGCGCGTTGGTCCCAATGCTAACTAGGCATTTCCAGATCTCTTCACCATCCCGGACCGCGACGTTTGGGAATACGGTGAAGCTCTGCGCGCCCTCGCCGTCGAGACGAAGTGTACTCACATTCGCTTCACTCGCCTAAGGGACCTCATTGACGTCCCCGGCCTCCCAGAGAAGCTTGACGAAGTCACATACATCGCTAATGCGACGAACTTTCGACGAGCGCTGCTAAATAAGTTCAGCAAGCCGGATCTAGACGTGCCCAAAGAGATCGCCGAGAACGAGGACACGAGATTGACGTACTGCGGCTACAAGCGCTTCCTGGAGAACGATCTCCGGTACATCTTTCCCCTAGGCAAGAACAGGAGTGTCAACAAATATCGCAAGGACGTCAAGTATGTGGCCCAGCAGATGATCAGCCGCGGACATGTAAGTTTAGGACCCTGTTTTGTTTTTACTCGTTTATTACCTTGACCAACGTCGATGGGATGACACGCTAACCTTTAGCCTATCAGGCATTCGCGGGTGCTGTTAAGCACAATTTCCCGGATTACCTCCGCCTGAGCATCCACCACTCCACGGGCGAACACAAAGTTTCCATTAGCCTGTTGCCGACAAGCACTTCTTACACGACACCCTGGCACTGCTGCGTGGCGATTCTGGCGGACGGGACCATCATCAGCGGGCCAAAGGGAGATTTTGAGGAGGATCCGAGGCTCGAACTCGTCCGGGACGAAGATGGGAGACCAACTCACTTCAGGGAGAGGGTAAACGAAGCTGTAGTAGAGAACGTTTCAGTGGAAAGGACTTGAATGATAGGTACTTAGGCCTTTTTGATGGTTTTGAATTTGCCTATCTAAACTACATTGATGAGCCGTTTGCTTCATCGTGCGGTATCCCTACATATCTATTGCTTAATATTTGGAAATTTCTATCACTCCCTTTTAGGCTCATTTTCTCTCTTCCTATTTTCTCTGAAATAGATTTCAACTCAAAACCTTACATATTATATTCCTTTATTCCTTACTTTTAAGAAATGCTTTGGGCGCTTTGTAATTAAGCGACTTTCCAGTAAATATTAGCCACACTGACTATGAACTCTAGTTCTCTCAACCTAGCAAAGGAGATCCGTCAATAGGGGAATATATATCTATGAATGAGAAGAGTCTTGTATTTTATTACACACTTTCTACTATACTCATCGAATAACCTGAAATATACATCATATAACCATGTTATATATCCAAGCGCACTCGGTCACCCTACCCCTTCAACTTTAGTCTCTCCCACTTATTAGCCACGGCGAAAAAAACCGCCACGCCAGCATAGGCCGTGACGATCAAGAAGACGGCACGCAGGCAGTAGAGGTAGGCCTCCACAATGCCTGGAACAACATCAGCGGGGAATGCGCTGCGGATTTCAGTGGCGCCCGTAACGATAACGCTGAGCGGGTCTACGTTGGGCGCTAGGGACGGAAGCTTGGATAAGAGGAGGTTGCTCAGCACGGATTGGCCAGCACCCAGGGAGGTCGATGAGCCAACGCAGAAGGAGACTAGAGTGCAGGTTAGGGGCCTGATTTAAATGGGTTGCATTTTATAGAGAGAATGTGTGGGGTTTCACTTACATAACAACATGGCTGTGGTCGAAGCAAGGTCTTCAGCCCGCGCGTTGGCCTGGCCCGCGATGATTGCCAGTGGCAGACCGGACCCGTAGGCGAGGCCAGCGAGGAACTGGTAGCCAACCCACTGGGCCTGGGGCGAAGCAGCATGGAGGGTGTATATCAGGCCGGAACCGATGCATCCACCGGCGCTGGCCCATAGCATGAGTGGGACGTAGTGGCCGAACAGTGAGACAAGGACACCCGCAAGCGCGGAGCCAACGCCGCAGCTAATGAGCAGGGGGAGATTGTAGACACCGGCCCTGGAGGGCGAGACGCCCACAACGACTTGGAAGTAGATGGGGACGTAATAGAGCAGGAGATAGAAGGCGCCCTCGTGGAAGAAGCCGAAGGCCATACCCATGGCGACAATGCGCTTTTTGAGCAGTCGTGACACGAGAAGGGCGTGGTCGCCCTGGAGGTACTGCGAGACTACAAAGGCGACCGTGGAAACGGCGCAGGCGACGAGGAAACCGACGACCTCGGCCGAGTTCCATGCCTCATCAATGCCGGCTACCTCGAGCGCACGCGTGAAGAAAATGAGCGAGGCGAGGGCGAAGGTTATGCCGATAGGATCCATGTGCGACAGCTTCTCCTTCAGCGGGGCCTTACTCAGGTGGGTAGACTGGGGAGGGCGGAATAGCAGGAAGATAACGAGGGCAGAAGCGCCACCAATAGGCAGGTTAATGTAGAAGCACCACCGCCAGGTCGTTTGTTGGGTAAAGATGCCACCCACGACGGGGCCTAAAACGTTGGCGATGCTATAGATGGTGGTGATGAAGCCTGTAAAGACCGGCCGGAGCTTGGGTCGCACGACGACGCCCAGGATAGCATATCCACCAGACGCTATGCCTGCGCCGCCTACACCCATGATGGCGCGCCCGACAATGAGGACGGTGCTGCTGGGCGCCACGCCTCCATTGAACAGACCAATCAGTCCTGGGGAGTGGTAGATATGGATATAGTATTAGCGTTCTTACCAGCAACCAGTGAGCCCAGGTCGAAGATGAAGACGGCGAGCAGAAAGGTGTACTTGATCGAGAAGAAAGGGTAGACCTTGCCCCTGCAGATTCTTGACTTAAGAGCAGTCCGGGTAAGAGGCGCAAAGGACTCAAACAGTGCGCGAAGAGAGGGAGCAGGAGGGTACGTAGTTACCAGAAAGGCTGGAAGCAAGCTAGCGCAATAAAGTAGGCCGAAGCGTACCAGCCGACGAGGTTGATGCCTTTGAAATCATCGGTGATGCGAGGAATGGCAGCAGCAACGATAGTCTACCGCGACCAGAACCATAGGGTATCGGCGAGCATGAGCCAGGGAAGAGAATTCAATAAGGCATCATCGCTTACCATATCCAAACCGACCTGTGGCATTAGAGTTAGCATTTTGTATGCCACGTCAAGAGAGTCAGCAAGTACCAGAAAGAGAGCCAAAGCGACTCCGACAGAGACGCAAGACGCCCAGAAAGCGCTGGGATACTTGACACTGTCGTTGTCGTTGTCATTGTCATTGTCACGGACGGGCGCCGCTGTGTCGCCATCGGGCAGAACATCCGCCTTGTTTTCAGACAGCACCTCCATAGCGGCCTTGGTTGAAGGGGGACGGAGCCTGGGAGAGGAACCGCCAGAAGGGAGAATGAAACCAAAAAAAAAAAAAAAGGAAAAGAGAAAAAAAAAAAAAAAAAGGAAAGGGAAAAAAAGAAAAAAATGAAGAAGAAGAAGAAAAAAGAAGGGAAAAGAAAGAAAGAAAGAAAGAAAGGGAGGGAGAGAGCGGTTAAGGCATTTCCATCTTGTTGGAATGCAAGTGAAAATGTGCTCACTTTTTGCCAGGGATCATGACACTACTCGAGCACGTTGCTTGCTTGCTTTTCCTCAGCTTTCTCTCAAGGAGGGTAGCTGAAAAGCTGTTGCAACCAGGATTTTCTTGATGCCCGGGAAACTCGCCAGGGGGAATACGGGCAACCAATAAGGGCAAATAACTAAGGCCTCAATCGGCCAGGCCGACGACCAGAGAAGTCGGGGGAAAAAAACAAAAAGGAGGCGACTACTCCGTAGATAGCACGGTTTGTTCAAAATACTTGAAATGAAGCGGTGTGGACTCGAGCAGTAATAATGATATTTTGAGAGCTTTTATGACCCCTTTGATTGAGCAGGATTGTGCTGTGCTCTGGGCCTACCAGGCCTCCAGAACCGCCGGTTGACGGCTAGTTAAAGGCCTGAGAGTTAGTTATCTTCCAGAGGTCTTTCCCTTCAAAGAAGACGAAGATCGAATTCTGAGATGTTGCGAATGACTGAGCAAAATACTCCCGTACGCGAGAGTGAATGCGTGACAGACGTGACCAGTTGCAGAGAGAGACGACCATCCCAGATTCCCAAGCGACCACCCATCCATGCGCTTGCTAGCAATCCAGGCCATTCCAGACTTCCCGGCGGACCCGGCGGCACCCAGCATTGCTGTTAGCGTTCACCCGCACGCCTCCGATGGGGATCGACATTGCGGCCATCCCGGCGATCGTGCTCCCGATGCTGAATGACTCGCGACACAACAAGCGTAGTTAACTAACTAATAGTTTAGGCATGCATGGAATCTTGAGGAAACAAAACCAACCTATTTCGAGCACTCTCACCCACTCACTTGCTCCTAAGGACTTAACAGGCCAGACGAGAGGAAAAGACCCTGCATCAGATCAAGAAAAGATCCGAGCTGAGAAGCCAGAGAGTCACTAACTACATGGAGAATAGCATCTTGACCCTGCGCTCGAGGCTTCAGCCAGTTGAGTGCATCGGATGCAGCTCATTTTCCGCTCTCCATAGGGCTGCTGGCATGATTCGCGATTCGACATCTTCCGGCCAGTCTACGGAGCAGTTGAAATAAATATCTTCAGACAGTTTTCAAATAATATTACTCCGTTCTCCGTAGCCAAAAGACAAATGTTCGCGGGATGGACAGCTAATTCGTACAAAAGGTGTCCTTCGACCTTATAGCCTCATTTGGGTTTGGCGTCGACAGACGATAACATAGCTAATATGGAGCCAGATCTCTCCTTTGAGTACTACGTAGCTTTCTTGTATGGAAATTGCTGTCTTGGGTCATACGTTTAACTAACTAGTTAAGTAACGTAACTGATCAAAGTTGATTTTCAGCCAGCAAAAAAAGATATAACTAAAGAAGTTGATGTGATCAAGCAAAACGCTGCCTCCGCTCGAAGGAAAAAAATAAATAAAAAAATAAAAAAAATAAAGAGTCCGTTGAACAGCTGAGGCTCATTGTACTCTACTCTTCAAGAAGCGTGTGCTCCCAGAATGCTCGATATTTCTTTATTTCCCTAAGAGTTCCTCCCCTCACTCGCTTGCTCCTAAGAGCTTACATGGAGACTAGCATCGCGACACTGTACGGAGCACGGATCCAGATCACCCGGCTACTTGCACATTCCGGGAGGATCGGCTAGTCGCTCTGTACTTGTGAATGCGTCGAGTCTCAGTTTCTGAACGCGACGCAATTGATTTCTCTTACTGCGTTAGACGAGTGCATCCCGTGAGAATGCAACCTCCCTTGGCCACCGCGGGCGATTTTCGGCCATATTGAGGCCGGTCCGACGGGGCATCCTAAAGGGGTATTCCTCCGCAAATATCCTCCGTCAATATGCCGCCCTCAATCGGCCAATTCGCCGCTTTTTCCTCCGATCTAAATGAAAGACTACATCGAGGGAATGCCGCCATCGTCGATGTCGCCATTCGTCACCTCTCTTAAGATGCGTATAAAGATAACCATGATGCAGTCACAGCACGGGCACTTGTCGCTCGTTTGTTAAGGATTGCAATCCAAGCTCAAGTTCTAGCCTCGATTGCTCAGTATGGCCGTCCCCAAGGACTATGGCAGACGCCTCGCTATTACTATTGTGGATGAAAGGGCCCGTGACGACCCTGAGCGGGTTTCATATTCGCTCTCACTTTCGAGCGATATCTCCAAGGGATTCCGGGATATCACCGCCAAGGACTTCGCAAACGCTGTCAACAGGACGGCCTGGTGGCTAGAGTCAAAATTGGGGAAGGGCTCGTCATTCCCGACCGTCGGGTACATTGGTCCTCGTATAGCCCCCCCCCAACCCCCCAAAACACCCCCCAACCCGCAGGAAGACCGCTGGCTTGTTCCGTAATCTATACTGATACTAAGCTAGTAAACGACTTTCGATATATCTTGCTTATCCTTGGTTGCGTCAAGGCGGGCTACAAGGTCAGCGTCGCTCGCCCAATCCTCTCCGAGCCCGTCATTGTAACTTCTGTAGGCTCTCTTACCGTCTCCGCGGAACAGTGTCGAGGCCACGGTTGCGGTACTGAACGCGTCCAAATGTGACATATGGGTATCTCCAAAGGAGCAGCCGGAAATGCTGCCGCAGCTCCTCTCCCGGCGCCCTATGAAGGTATTGGAGATCCCCGAAACCGATGATCTCCTATGCGCGACACCTGTTCCACTCTATCCATACAACAAGTCTTTCCAGGAGGCGGCCAGAGACCCTTTTTGTGTGCTTCACACCTCGGGATCGACTGGCCTTCCAAAGCCCATCGTCTGGAGTAACTCCCTGCTCGGCACTTTGGATGCCACTCGTTTATTGCCAGAAAGCGAGGGACGGCCTCCTTGGACTGTCATCTTCGACGAAGGCGACCGGTTCTACTCAGCATTTCCCCTCTATCATGTAAGAATGCCATTTGTCTTAGACCTTAATATCCGTTAAAAAAAAAATTAAAATTAAAATTAAAATAAAAATGAGAAGGAGCCTGAGAAGGAGCCTGAACTAAGTCGTACATCAAGCTAACTTGAGCTACGTCTTAGGGCGCCGGATTGATTATGAATATCCTTATCACGGCCTTTTATGGCACCAGCAACGTGCTTGGCCCGGTGGGTGTACTTTCAACAGTTAACCTTATTGATTCTCTCCTCGACAACACAGACATCAAAGTCTGGAGCATTGTCCCTTCGATAGTGGATGATATAGGAGACACGCCTACCATATCCGCGAAGTTTGCAAGTTCCAAAATCATAATTGCATCTGGGGGTGAGACAGCTAAGGCCCAATCCCTAGCAAAATACAATGTAGATATGTTCTTTGGCTGCTAACCAGAAAAAAAGGCCCGGTCACTTACGCCAGCGCCAACAAGGCCAACGAATATGTTCGAATACTAAACATCACCGGTACCTCTGAAGGCCTCTTCCAAGGAAGTCTTCTCGTGGAGCGTGAGGACTGGATATACTTTTCCTTCCACCCCTATGCCGGATTTGACTTCAGAAAGATCGACGATGTTATCCACGAGCACTGGGTTATTCGAAACGAGGAATACACCGACCTCTATCAGGGTATTTTCCATACGTTCCCTGATTCGAAGGAAATGACCCTAAAGGATTTGTACGCTCCACATCCCACAAAGCCAAACTTGTGGATATATAGAGGGAGAACGGATGACATGCTTGTAATGTCAAATGGAGAGAAGATCCACCCTCTGGCTGCTGAAGCAATCATCAACAGCCATCCAGCCGTCAGCGCTTGCCTAATGGTTGGTGCAATCCATTGATCTCTACACCTCTGAAGAGCTAGCCACTCTAACCCTCCATCTACGCGTCGTGATTAGCTGAATCTTTTCACTGACAACATGTATAGCTTGGAGCTGGTCACGCAATGACCACGCTTCTTGTCGAACTGATAGACCCCGAACCATCATTGACGGCAGAGCGCGAGGCGCTTCTAGATAGCATCATGGAAACGGTCCATGTTGCGAACGCCAGTGGGGCCAGGGAGGCACGCATATTTCGGGAATGTATCAGGTTTGCGAAGCCCGACATGCCATTCGTCCGAACAGACAAAAACACCGTCAAGCGCCGCGACACGACTATCCTGTATGAGAAAGACACTGAGGACTTTTACAAGGGGCTGCTGGAAAATGGCAACCTTGCAGCCCATATCGACATTACCTCCACCACCACAATATCTCAAGGCATCCTACACCTGCTGGTAACGGCTTTACCTACGGTAAAGGAAATCGGACCGGATGACGATCTTTTCAACGCCGGAGTCGATTCCCTTGTTGCTTTTAGTGTCTCCAATTCTCTTCGCTCAGCTCTTGGGAAGCACAATGTCAGTGAAGAGACAAGATCTGCATGTACCGCCAAGTTTGTGTATAGTCATCCAACCATTAACTCACTCACAAAGGCCGTCTACAATCTGGTTCACAAGATAGCTGATACCGTTGATACCTCCGTCGATTTGCAAAGGGAGATCGTGGCCAAGTTTCGTGATCAATACACCGCCGACTTGCCATGCGCCACTCCCAAGCGGAAAGCATTCGATGCTACAGCAGATGGCTGCACGGTTATTTTGACGGGAAGCACCGGATCCTTGGGGTCTTACTTGCTCGAATCTCTCGTGTGTCAAGAGCAGAGCGTGAACAAAATCTACTGCCTCAACAGGGCAGAGGATGGCAAGGCGAAACAGACTGCAGCCAGCATGTCGCGAGGGTTGACTACAGATTGGCCACCACAGAGGGTCGAATTCCTGCAGGTCGACGTGTCGAAACCAAGATTCGGACTTGGAGAGGAGACCTACAACTGTCTCCTTGAGGAGACGACGCATATAATTCGTGAGCTTCTTCCTCTCATTTTACATCGCTGATACACTAGCGGTATGCACGTATATACCTTGGTAGACTAACAGAACTCGACCCTGGCAGACAACCAGTGGCCGGTAAACCACAACTGGGATATCGCCTCCTTTGAGCCTCAGATCCGCGGCGTCCGGCACCTGATTGATTTCTCGCTCAACAGCAACCGCAACGCCTCCTTGTTCTTCGTATCGACCGCTGGCACCGTCAGTCACCTGAGCCCAGACGGTGTCGTTCCTGAGGCACCGAACCATGTCCTAACCACGAGGGTTGACGGGTACGGTTCCGCGAAACACACATCCGAACTCATCCTCGAGGATGCTGTGGCCAGGTCCGGCGTAAATGCCTCGATATGTAGGGTGGGACAGATCGCAGGGCCGGTGCTACGGGGACCCGCAAAAGGCATGTGGGGGAAGCAAGAGTGGCTGCCGACGGTATGTTGATTGCTATTTTCCCCAAAACCCACGCCTAGACCGGCCACACTACTTACAGTACGATATTGTTGCTAACAGGGTGTCCTGCGATGGCGTAGATGATTGCAAGTTCCAAGTACCTCGGCGTCCTGCCTTCGACGCTCGGACCCCAGAACCGAGTCGATTGGACACCGGTGGACCTGCTCGCCGACATCGTTGTCCAGCTAGCCGGAGTAGCCCCCAGCGGCAGTAACGGCGTTAACGGCGCAGGCGCCGCTGGCACAAGTGCAGCCAACGGCTTTTCGTCCACCACCGCTACTACCACTCGCTCCCTACCCGTCTATCATGCTGTCAACCCCAATTCCGTCGACTGGTCGAGCCTAGTCCCAGTGGTGGCAAGATATCTCGGTGGATCTGTCAAGATCGTGTCATGGGCCGAGTGGGTGGACCATCTGCGGAATTCCCAGCGTGAAGCGACGGGCACGCTTAGCTTGAAGCAGAACCCGGGGCTGAAGCTGCTTGATTCCTTCGAGGCATTGGCCGAGGCAGCGGTAGAAGGAAAGGATTGCCCTCGTCTAGAGACCAAGGAGACGCTGGCGAAGAGCCCCAAGATGGCTATGCTCAAGCCGGTTTCTGAGGAGTGGATGGACTTGTGGTTGGAGCAGTGGAAGTTTTAGATGCCCTGGCTACAAGGACTGCCTTCACTTCGCAGGAAAGGCGCAGTTTGAGAAGAAAATAACGTGTTGCAATTGTCAAGTGGAACTATAATTGTGAAGTTGAACAGGGCTTCAACCTGACTATGCTATGAATTCCGAAATAGAGAATTCCGAGATAGAATATGTGGGGTGCTGGAGCTGAATTTCACTTAATATGAAACCAACAGATTTTGCTGGGACTTTTAATGTTGTTATTTGTTTTAACATAACTAATTACTATGATCTGCATTCACCATCATATAACTAGTTTGAACTAGTAGCCTGTTAACCGCTTTTCGTAGCTTAAATTTTGTGCCCAGCAACCCCATTATATTCTTAATCACAACAATTTATACCATTTTCCATCTCAGTATTTTTATGGAATCCTATTCACAGAAGAGTTAAGAGATTAATTGTTCCAGGGGTTATAATTGATAGCGAGCCCCAGGCGATCTAGAGCATTGAATGGAAAACGATTTGCAGCGTCCGGTGTGAGATATTAAGCACAGAAAACTTCTGCCAGCGAAGGAGTCCGATATGCGTTGCACTCACTCCATAAAATACTGGTGCGAACCTTGGAAGGTGGAGAAACAAGGTTATCATTTGGAACTGAATGTGTTTCACTGAAGCTATATCCTCGGAGACTCCATGTTTTCAGGTTCAGCAACCATCCCCATGGAGCCGCGTCCACGCTGGCTAGTGAATCTTTCCTCGATTTGCATGGCCTTTTTCGAAAGTTCCTGCGAAATCAGCCGCCTATTCTGCGTCCACTGCTCGACCCGCGCCGCCACAACCCTCGCCTGGGTGATGTTAAAGTCAAGTCTCTTCTGGAGAAGAACATCCTTCATGGAGCGCACTCTCAGGCCCTGGCCGCTGAGTAGGACTTCACAGAGCTGGAAAACCTTAAATATAACGGCCGTTATCAAGGATGCAGAAGCCAAATCCAAGGGGGGGTTCGTCCATGTCGAAGAAGCTGGCTTGGACAAGCTCCCCTCGTCACACACCTCAAGCAGGAGTTTGCAGCTGGAGTCGATGTCTTCCAGGATATCTTGCAACCGGTCATCCGACACTTCGAGTTTCTTGGGCGTTGGCAACGCACCCTCTTCCGAGGTTGTAGAGGTATCCTCGTCAGTCGTTATGAGATGTCGCTGAAGCCTCGCGCAATGGTCCAACAAGCTAGCAAACCCCCCTTCTCTAGATTCTTCACCTCGGGATCCACTGCGATCGTATGGTTGCTTGGGAGTCGTTGACCACAGGCGACATCGCGACACAACGTCGGGTTGTACGTCTGTAAAGGAGCGACGGGTTGGATCAGCAAAGTTCGAGAAAGTGGGTTGCATGCCCAGGAGAGTGCCGTCCACGGGCCCACAGAATCCGAGCGGCTGACCGGAGTCTTGCAAGCTGGAGCTCAGTTGCTCTGTTTGTAGTGCGAAGTCTTGAGGACGGACCCAATCGAAGAGATCATCATTACTGCTTTGGTGGCTAGCCCTGGGAGTCTTTCTTGCTGGCGGGCTTGCGAGCGGGTTTTCAGACGTGGGCCACGGGGAGTTATTAACAGTGCTGCTGGGAGTAGCAATCAAATGATCCTCGATCATGTCGGGCGGCGAGTGCTCGCGTAGGCGTGGCCTGCCGCTTCTATACCGCGGCAGGAAGTAGCATGAAAGGCCTCTTGACCTGCAATTGTGGCACGGCCCGCCGTTTCTCGACACAATGCAACGGATCTTGCGCTTGTGGCAGGCATCGCATGCATTGCGCACATGTGATTGCGAGGCAAACATGTATTTGCTGTTGTGGTCGATATTGTGCGACGACATTCTATCTAACAGTTTTCTCTTTACTCTTCCTCTTTGTTTCTTTCCTTTTTTTTTTTTTTAATCCCCAGGTGAATACTATTTAAACAACAGGAAGCCGTCTATGGAGAGAAGTCATTTACCTTTCGACTCATAGTGTGGTAGCCCAGACTACTATGCAGCTAGATACGTACGTCAGGAGGATCCGACTCCTTAATCCAATTGAAGTCAGCTGAAGAAACAGTGCTGTTGTTGGAGAGCCATGCTAATCCTGGCTCAAAGAGGCACCAGCTCTATAATTCATGCATACGGCTGGGCTTTGAATAGTTGGTTTCTGCAAGCATCTTGTGATGGTTTGGATACATTCCATTTTCCCAGTCAAGCGGCTGGAAGAGGTTTGGCGAGGTCTCGGGACACACTGAACTCGAAATAGTATTGGCTGAAGCCTCGTTATCGAGTCAAGTGTAACGCTGCCTGGGACTTGGCGAAGAATATCCTCTCAGCTACCGGTATGTTTGCATGTTTCTTTGAGTACTCCGTACCGTACTCCGTATATGCGCCATACAACAGAACAGGGCAGGCATTTGATTCGTATAAGTTGGATTTGATGTTCCATCTAAGATTACCTCAGAGATTCACCGCCCACACATCTCATCGAAAATTCGAGGTTTGCACCATGGTTCTACCGTGAATCAGCTCGTTTCTTTTATATGCATCTCGCAATGGGCTGCATGCCTTCGTTTGTCTCCTGATTCGTCCGTTGACAACAGACGAGGAGAGGAAACAAAGCCTGCGTTCAGCCCTAGCACAGAAATCGGCTATATCTGGGCTGCCTTTTCTTGCTCTGACGGCCCATGCTTTCCATGGAAAGTTCCGGGTTAGACGTCACTTCGGTACTATTTATGGATGGCTCTGTTCCAAGTGGTTAGGTACGGATTGGCGATCGACAACGGGATTTATATCTGAACCGGGATGCGCAACTAGTTACTCTGTAGTCTCTCGGAGAACTTGTTCCGCCGTGCGCCCCCGCTTTTCAATGTTTATTCTTGACTCCAGCTGTCATTTCAGGAGCTGGTAAAAAAAAAAATAGTCATAGCTGAAGCACAGGAATCTGGACCTTATTGCAGATATACTCTGAAATCCATCATTTCCCGGAACTTCATGGACCGACATCCGCTCTTTCGAGATCCGCAACTAGGCCCGCCGAGGAACTCTCGATGTCGTGGGGGGTGTGAAGATGTTGGTTTGTGTTGGTTGACGAACTTACGGCTGATGGCGGATCCGAACGGAATCGCCGCAACTCTGAGTCAATTGGCACCAACACCGTTAACCACTTCGGACAATATTGTGCAGGATACGGAGGAAAATGGAGTATTTTCTTCCTCAATTCTCCTTTTTTTTTTTTTTTTTTCAGATTTTTGGTATGGGAGAAATGGGCTCCTTTTCTCCATCTCTATACCCGTACTCTATTCAGCCGCGCCATGCGGTCAATATTTGCCCGAGAAATGCAACCAGGACAAGGGCGTAGAACCTATAGCTGTTTCTCCAGGGCTTCCAGGCCGCTGAAATTCTCCTTCAGGTGCTGCGTCCTTGGAAACACAGAACGTTAACCCCGCCCTTGCAGCCTACTCTCCAATCACGGAGCGGCCAGTTCTCTTTTTTCCTTCACAAACAGCTGAATCAGGATCTTCCGACTGGAAGAAAGATCCGTGGTCCTTTCCGGGACAACCGAATAGCAGAGGAAGCACTTGATATTTCGGCGAAGCTATGCTTTTTATTACAGAGCCATGGCCCACCATGATTCTCCAGAAGTTCCATTTCGCATCTTCACACCATAACCTTTTTCATTCCCCACACATTGCACCCCAAAGAGTTACCCCTCCACCGAAGTCATGGCTGCTGTTGGCTCAGAGCACAAGGAAGTGAGCGTAAGGGGCATGCAAGCTTATCGAGCACCATCGCTTCTTCAGCCACATAGGGCTCGTCAGGCCTTGCGAGATGCATATGAGGGCAAGATTGGGCCCTTGCTCGGTTTCTACTTGGCGTTCCCGACCGTGCCCACTGCCAGAATCGCGGCCCAGCTGGGTGCTGACTTCGTCTGGGTGGATTGGGAGCACTCTTCCTGCGGTGTTGAGACCATGACAAGTGTGAGTTGCATTTGCTTCGCGGCCATACACCAGGCATGCAGCTTACTTTGTGTCAGGTCGTCCACGCGATCCAAAACGTGAGCGAAGGAAGAAGCATGGCGTTTGTTAGGTCAGTATGCCCCGGACTGTCCATTTGGCTGCAACGAGTGACGACGGAGAGAAGCATTAAACACTGGCCTTGTTCACAGAGTCCCGGGTCATGATCACGCGAATATCGGCTTCGCATTGGATGCAGGTGCCTCGGTCGTAGTCCCGCAAGTCGACACCGTCGAGCAAGCCGAACACGTCGTCTCAGCCACCAAATTCGGCGCAGTACGGAAAGGAAGCCGTTCTGCACCTCCCGCCCGCTGGCTAGCGGGCTCCAGCGTCACCATTGACTCATCGCGTTCCATCTGGGAGAACGTCAACAACCAAGCTGCACTCATCATCCAAATCGAGTCCGAAATCGGCATCAAGAACCTAGACGCCATTCTCACACTGGTGGGAGACCAGATAGATGCTGTCTGGATTGGCACGCTCGACCTGCGCGTCAGCATGGGGTTGGACGGACTGTGGGGTGAAGAACCTGAGTTTCAGAGTGCGATTCGTCTGTACGAGGAAACGTTAAGGAAGCACGACAAACCAAACTCCGGCGGCTGTTTCACGGGGAACTGGAGCTTGGGTTCCAATAAGTCCTTTGTCGTCGTCGCTGGGGACTGGCTGGGCTTGTTGGGGCAGCGGGACAATATCCAAACCGCGAGAGAGAACCTGCCGGCTTCAGACAAGCGATCGAAAAACAGGTTTGCAAAGGGAAATGAGAACGGAACGAACTTGTAAAGCTTAGTATTTTATTGAGATTGATGGCTAAAAGATGGAGGCTGTCATACTCCTATAATATGATTACAAATTATAGCGTTACAGGCTCCTTCTTCCAACAACCGTGCAACATGTACCTTATATTCAGATGGCTGATAAAGGGGGAGATAGCTCTGTGCATGGAAGCCAATATTTTGTTTGGGGGGGGGGGAGGTGAAGAATATTCTATGAGCTGCTAGCAGCAAAGATGTACTAACTCAGAGGCATATCTGACACTAACTTAATAGAATTAACCATGTTTCAATGAAAGACATATCTGTCATGCTACACTAACATACGTAGACTAGATGGTACATAGTTCTAGGGATCGACAACAGCATAGAAATTTGACCAAAGGAAGGACCAGGGATATCAGTCATGAGAAAAATGAACGACCGCTCAGCAAGTATGCAACATGCGAAAACATTCAAATATATATACGGCCATAATCATCACCCAAGAAAAATACACAGAAAGAGTTTGCCCAAAAGAAAAGGAGCGTGGAACACGCGGATGTATACAAAGCACAAAAAGGTCTGATTAAGCCCACCTCCAAGTAGGCCTGTGCAAAAGGCCCGTACCCGCTGTCGTCCTTGATTTCTTGACATGGAACTTCGGGCACGATGGCGGCGAGTGCCCGTTTAGTGTGCACCCTCGGCCGCATCCTCCAACGGTGTCACTGCCAATCCCGCTTTTAGGGAGCAGTAATTCAATAGCGGCTTCGACGTCCAGTGACAAGCCTGTGTCGGTGCATTTAAGTGCCCATTTGGCGTCCGATTCGTTAAAACCAAGTTCATATACGAGCTTATGGAGCGCTTTGTCGGCGGGGTCGATGAAAGTGGGAACCGGAGTTCGGCTGCGTCTTTGGTAAGGGGCTGGCGAGGGGTGACGGCCTTGGGAAATCTTTTCTTCGGCCTCAGGGCTGGGGCCACGGGGAGCGATATGAATAGCAGGAGTGGTGGGTGTAGCAGTATGATTACGATTAGAAGGGGCGGATGTGGGCTGTAGAATCTTTGATCTGCTATCACTGGAAGTTGGATTGGATGGGGAGCCGTTGAGTCTCTGAATAACCTCCTGGAACTTTGAAATTGGTCGTTCTTCAGTATCTTGGGCCAGAAGTTTACTTTGAGCTTGCTCTTTCATTTCCTGTCTTCTCCGACGAAGTTCCCGGGCAAATTCTCGGCGACGCTGTTTAGGAATGCTGGCCCCAGCCGAATACGATCTGGGTCGTCTTCCAGGGCTAGATGGTCGTGCGATTTGTGGTGATTGGGACTGCTGAAGGTTCGGAGTTTGGAATCGAGGGACCTCTTTTCCTCTCACCAGCCGATTATCATATACGCGAGAAACAGCTTCTTTAAGAAAAGAACGGTTGGATCCGCTATTTGCTTTTGTGGGGCTGGTCCATTTCGTCCAACCCAGTGACTGCGCACGGGCGAACATAGTCTCAATTGGTGTATCCGGGTTCAAGCTGCTGAGTGTGAGTATCGCTGATGGTCCAAGCGTCAAGAGATATTGTGTCCAGCTTTCTACAATCTGTTAGCAAAAGCTATAATGTAACCGGAGACAATGGCCCTGAGAGGGATCTTACCAAGCAAAGCGTCCTCTTCAGCACGATCTCCCGCTTTAACGCCCAAGCTATCGAACACGCCGTACTCACGAGCTTCATCGTTCTTCCCGTAAAAGCCTTGGACCAAGACGCCCAGACAAGTCCATATCTCCATCATATCGTACAACTGGGTCGCCGTCAATCCACCTTGGTTGCCTCCCGCAAACCCTGATGGAGGGTCAAAAAGAACGCTGTCCACAGCTAAGGGACAGGTAAGAAGAGTGCTTGAGTTGCGGTTATGGGACCGCGCTCGACTTCCACCGCTCAGCCAGTCTGCCTGAGCAACGATATCCTCTTCGCGGCCCTTTCCACAACCAAAGAGTCGGCAAAAAGTCCATACTCTCCAAAATGCATCATCAACCTCGGCGGACCGCTCTTCATCCTGACCCGCCAACGCACGAATTGTCTCCGGTCGAAGTAGAGATTCACAGCGGACCAATATCAGCCACTTCAAAGAAACCATCGTACACAGATCTCTCATGTAATGGCGAATGTAGAGGTCGGGAGTATATTCGGGTACTGGTCGGTCCACAATTCCAACATCATAGTCATCATCTTCCCATGGCGGGCTCATCTCTCGCAGTTCCCAGGCAGCAGGTGACATGCGAAATAAAGTGCCTTTAATAAGCAGTAATTCATTTTTCTTGAATATACTGTAAAATGCCCGGTTAAGAACAGCAAGATTAAACAGCTCTTCAAGAGTACCAACGCTTTGAAGTATTCGAAGAACGATTTTCTCTGCTGCTACCGCAGAAATATTATTTATCGGCTGCTCTGGTACCCTAGACGCTCGAGATGGGGCACATGAAGCAGTATAGATCTCAAGCAGCTTTGGAAACAGGGCCAACTGTTCGGGTGGACTTTGCTCCACTAAAGGCTGGCCTTCTGGTGTTGGTGGGCGTTGGTGGGATTCTTCTGCATCGGAACTGCTGGGTCCAGGTGACCTGTCTTCGGCCGTTGACGAAGAAGCTTGATCGTCCATAGAATCGGTCCGATTATCGCTCTCACAAGGCGATTCGACGACCACACTAAGGTTTACAAGTTCGCGGGCGGCCTCCGATGGATGTTCGGTGGCTCGCATGCGAGGCAATCGTAAACGAGCAGGATGTTCTATACTTGGTTCTCGTCTTGATAATGTTCGAAAAGGTCCACAGGAAACCGGCGGAGAGCTTTCAAGAGAAATGCTTCGAGAATGAGACGAGGTAGGTAATGAGATTTTGGAGATATTGTCGCAAGAATGGTGGTGTTTCAATTGCTGAACATTGTTCTGCGCTTCACAGAGGTTATGTGCAGATAGCGTAATGCTACGGCGGAGAGCGAAATCCTTAGCCCCGATGTAAGAGCTTGATTTCTTGACGGACGAGAACCTCGACAGTGCATCTAAATGTGATTTGGTGGTATGAAGAGTCTTGGCATGCGCATCCTGAACCAGGGACATGGCCTCTTCGCGAGTAGAGGTGCTAGAATCCCTGTCCTGGCTAGCTTCTTGGCCAAAGTCGGGGAGATCTTTGATGAGCGAGGCAGCTGAGGACATTCGAGAAAGTTGCTTCTCTAGCTGCTCCGTGGCCTCTTGCAGAGATGGAGAACGAGCCCTGCTGTGTTCATCTTCAAGGAGACCAGACCGCCGAAAAGCCTCGTCGAGGCTATCCAAATCGGAAGGTTTGGGGTTCTGGGGAAGAAAGACTGGTTCATCCACCCGTGACTGTGGGCGCGGCATGTCCAAAGGTTTCACAAGTGTGCCACGGCGGATCACCAAAGGAGCGACAGGCATACCCGGTGCTGGAGGAAGTGGCTTCATTTGGGATTCTCTGATCGAGCGTTGTTTTATAAATGTTGGGGTTCTCTTCAAACGCGGACAGTCGTCGAAGACTCCAGCAGAAATGGGAGAAATGAGATCATAACCTTGAGTAGGTGAAACACCATCGGAAGTATTAGTAGGGGATATTACATCCGGAGAATCCTCAATGCTGGTTCTCGAAGAGATGAAACCATTTATGTTTGGTGTTAAGCCGGCACTGAATCCTGAGGTCGATGCACCCGATCCTAAAGCAGGAGAATTCTGATAAGGAGAACGATCATAGACTGAAGACTGACCGATCTTCGCAGGGATAAAGTAATAGGATTGCGATTGGCTGGCAGCAAGCGGAGGCAAGGCAGAGGCGTGGCGAGCCAAGGGCGATGGGACATTCCTCTCAAGCGAATAAGACCACATCTGTTCCTTTGGGGCTGGCGAAGTGGATTCCGTTTTGATTTTTGGGTGGTGTAACCCTGACGTTTTAATTTTTGCCAGTGTTCTCTCCGGAAATTGTGCTGGGTGTTCTGGGGCTGCAGGCACATGTGTATAGTGCGCTAGAGGAACATGGGACCCGCGCACTGTTGATAGCTGCTCACGAAAAAGCCCGGATTTTACAGTGGTCATGTTCCTGTGAATTCTAGGCCTGCCGGGCTTCGTCCGCTCTCCGTATAAGCTCTTGGTGTGTGCACCTCGATGAGAGAACCGAGAATTGGTCTGGCGCGGTTCAAATCGTGCCCCAGCCATCCTTGGGCAGTCAATTTTGTTGAAGTACTCCATCGCTGTATCCACAGGACCGTTTGAATGCAACAGCGGCATGTTGACCTGCCATATAGATTTCACAATTTCGACCTTCTGCATACCCGTGAGATGCTTTTTCGTACCCTTTAAATCTCCATGGACCGATTTGGTTGATTTCCGGGATGGAACCTGTGGTGACTGAGGACGCGAGTTTCTTGACCAAGCTGCAGGGAGAGGAAGCTGTTGTTTTTTCGTGAATTTACCCTCTTGCTGACACCCAGGGTGCAGCATTGGGTTTGGAAGGTAGTCGGAACAGGGCATCGTTGAACCAGTACCTTAAATTCGCTCTCCCTATAGACAGCCAAAGTCAGCGTGGAAATCCAAACGATCCTCTGTACTTTTCCCAATACCCGAAATATACCAAGAGAGAAAGATGAGACGCTAAAGCTGACAAGCCTACAACATGTAGCTTCGTATCTTGGATTTGAGATTCAAGAACATATTTGCATCTTGGTACAGCTTTGTAAAAAGGACAAGTCACCGGGAGCCTTCCCAGGCGGGATCTGGCTTTCATAGGACTGGTCCAAGAAAGCAACAATTCAATAGTGCTCTCAAAGAGGGAAACAAAAGGAAAAAAAAAAAAAAAAAAAAAAAAAAGAGATACGCAGATCCCAAACAACGCAGCTGAAAAAAGAGCACTGTGCCATGCTCATCCTTTCATCCTAGAAACATTAAAGACCACTCACCCTTGGCATGATCAGTGGATAACCGTGAGGTGAAGTTCTATGCTGGCCAGCAACCCTATCAACCTTCTCGTTGAATCTGTTCTGAAGCGGGCTGAACTTTTTTTCCCTGGCAGATGAACTGCAGTCCCTGGGGTTTGATTTTTTTTTTTGATTGAACATCAATTTACGAACAATAGTAGAAGATAGATATGCTGGAACGAGGATGAAGAGATGGAACGGATGCTCTATACGTATGCAGAAAGAGAAGACGCCCATGCCTTTTTGTTTTATGTATATCCCCAGCAAGAGACAACATCCCAGATCCCGGGAGGGATCATGGCTATAGATATCGTCTTATTCCTGGGCTGATGGGCGATGCTCGACAAGGGGCTGCAGGAAGGGCCCAAAAACCGGCCTGTTCTGCAATAAGCAACTTCCTCCGCAGAGGACATGCGTCTTTGCTCCCACGCTAAGTTAGTTACAGAGTTAGATTGCTGCGGTGTCATGATTATTTCCATGCCGGCTGGATGGGGCCAAGGATCAATCTGGGGGTTTCCCCGCCACAATCCTTCGACACGACATGCATTGTCATGTCACGAAGGTTTTCATGCAAGGGCTAGCCTGCTAAAAATGCCAGTATCTCCGGGCACCACCAGCGTGATGGGAAGAAGACGTGTGGCTAACCGACGACAACGTTATTTTAACTATTCAGCGAACCGCTGCACCTTTGCAGACCCGACGCGAGGATTACACAGCACACGGACTCTCGTGCGACCGCTAAACGCAATGGTGGGACGAAGCAGAATGAAGATGGACACGAGAGATTTACAGTGTAAACGAGAATAGAGGTGTTATTAGTTCGTAAAATGCGAGATGATCGAGTATTCGCATGGCGAAGAGTGTCGCGAAGAACTGGAGCTGGGCCGAAGAGGCGCTGGTCGAGTCGCAGGCCCGCTTTTGGTCGCAGAGCCACCAAAGTCAGCGCCGAGTCAAGTGAACGTGCTACACGCATATCTAACTTGGTTAAGCTGGGGAGCAAAGCCAAGCGGAGTAATGGAGTATTTGGCTGGCGATTAACCCGATGCTTGACTACGAATGCCCAAGGTCGCCGTTTTCCTCAGGTTAATTGGCCTCTCCCCAGCACGAGACAATCCTCTGCCGCTGCTGGCCTGGCGGGGATTATCAAAGCCTTGGTATTCCTTCAGGATCGTGGACGAAGAGACAGTGTCGAAGAGGAATGCGTTTTGTGCTTCTTACCCGTACCACATCCGAGCACAGCATACGACGCCCATCTGAGAGAAGGAGATACGCCATAACTCTGCCCTCATGCTTATCCACCTGCGCGTGTGCTTTTGTTTCCTCAGCGTTAGTTAGCTCGTATCTTCACCTTTTCTTCCCTCTAGGTTCAACCCCTATGTCCGCAATCCTAAGTGTTTCATGCCCTGCTCCCTGCGTCACGAACCCCGGAATCCGAAAATCGTTCCCAATACCACCATTTGGTTTGGATCCCGGGGTCTTGTTACCCGGGAAAGTCGTATTCCTTGTCCTCGAGAATGAGTCGGGTTTGTCGCTCTCGGGGATAAGTAGTGAGTTGGTTGCTAACCCGGCATTCTAAACCTTCTATTCGCTGTGCAAGCTGTCCCGTCGTTGATTGGAATCTTTTTCTCCGCGACACCAGAAGACACCTGATTACTCTGCTCACCTGCCCTTTGCTGTTAAGTAAATTCTTCTCGAATGGATGGCGCATCATGCTAGGCAGCCTCCCCGCGGACCCGCGAACTCTTGTCACCTCGACCTCCGTCAGACAAATAAAATCGATTCGCTGGGGAGTCGCTTACTCAACCCGCGGCGATCACATTCTCCTCACAAGAATGAGGTCCATCGAGGCAAGCGCTGCGCAGTGGATAACGACCCTGCCAAGTGCCGAGCTCCCAAGCGTTCCCCGTGCTTCTATTTCTGTCTCGAGGCGCAGCGGGTAACCCACCGCAATAGGACAGATTTCCTGTCAACCCACGCTAAAATGGCCAATCATGTCGATGGTTAGTTAAAGGGAGCACGGAGCCCAGGAAATTCCCGTGCAGATCCTGAGATTTCTGCACGGCCCAGGACGTTGGGGTCCGGTACATGGTATGCTGATCCAATCACGCTGCATATTTCCGCATGGGCAAACCATCTAAGCTCTTTTTCTGAGCATTTAGCCCCCTAGAAAAACCCAACATTAATGGTACTTAATGGCTAAATCATTACTCGGTCCGCCCATTCGCAGAAAAAAAGGTACGTTTTGTCAAAAAGCAACTGATGCCAAGTTCCCTCCTTGAGCCGAGCGGAAAGCGGTCCTGCAGCGCTTAATCGCCATATTTCATTGGCCAACAGGAGGCGAAGAGAATCATGCTTGATGTTTCCAGCGTTTCGCATATGTACAGGGTACAACCTGAGGCCTGTTACGTGCCGTAACAAGGGAGCTTGTCGCTAGCTCTACGCCAAAGGAGTTATTTCCGTAAATGAATGCTTTTGATGCCAGTTAACCAACTTGACACGGAGTAACAGCCCTGCGTTTGTCGTTGGATTTGGCTCAAGCCTGCGGGTGAGTCGCAAATCTGCGCATGAAGCTCAGGCGTCGGATTATTAAATTCATGTTACTACTCGGCAACATCAATGCAGACATGGACTGAAAATTCCATGTTAGGACATGGCTTTTTGTGTTGCTGCTTTTAGTGAAATCCACCGGTCCCAACAAGGGTCCTACAGCTCATAGAGTCCGAGGTCTTCTCAGGAGACTTGAAGATATTCGCTATGGGCATCGAAAGGTTTTATCAATTTAGCCTTAGAGCGTTGATTTTGATATGAAATGCATGGAGCACTGATATGTTTCGATGCCGACTTCATTGAAGATCCTGAAGGTGACACCTGCCTTACGATGCATATGAACGTGCCAGCTATTTGTGTAGAGCGAGACCCTTCTCGCTCAAAAACATATCGACGCAATTCGAGATCAACCGAGGCGACGCATCAGCGAAACAGGCCTAATCGCGCCCGTACTGGCTCCGAATCCGCCTCCCGATGCTTAGTCCCCTTTCGCCGCGATCCTCCAGCCAATGTCGTCGTCTCGCAAGGTGCGCTGCATTGTACAAGAGCTCCAGAGCCTCCTAAGTAGCCGTCGAATGCGAAGCTCCCGGAGCCAATGTCTCAGCAACCATTCCATCCCGTTTTTGAGTGGCCAGTCAGGATGATGACAATTTACTGTGAGCTCACGATGCCAGTATCGAAGCCCCGCAAATGGTGAAAAAGAGGCACATGTTGCCTAGTCCGTTTCTTCGGCTTGTTCCGTCTTCCTGGGACAACGGAGATTATACCATAATCACCAATCTCTTGAAGTTGGCCTTGCATTTCCCAACATTGACTCGTGGAATTCCCAGCTGAATCCGTAGATCCTCAGGGAGAATGAAATGATCACCGGTAGCATCCTCAGCAAAAACACAGCTGTTGTTTCCATATTTCGAACTCGCAAAAAATTTCTTTCCATATTCACCGTGTTCAGATTGGATCTTCGAGTAGCTATTCGGAGGATGACGCCACATTCAATCTATCACAATGCAGAGCCGACTAGGTATACCGTTGGTTATTTTTGTTTCCTTGATTTCTGTCCCCCAGCTGACCGCGCACTTGATCCGGACAACGGTGTAGATCAGTATTTTGCATATCAATTCGTTAGAGAAACTGTGACACTGCCATCCGTCATGCATCTCCACCAGACATCCCACAGTAACGCCCCAGGGTTCAGCTATCGTCGAAGTCCGCAATCAGCACGACAAAGATCATGGTCTCTTGCAGCTATGCTTTCAGCCCGTTGGACTCTGTATCCATAAACATCATTGTCTAATCGGAGCTGGGAAATACTTCAATAGCTTAGCATGTGTCAATGTGGATGGTATGACATTCAGCGGCGATGTTAGCCTTGAACCGGGTTTTATGTTTTGGATGCCAGAGAAATTCGCACGTGACCAAGCCATGCAAACACAGCTGAAACGAGTTTAAGAAAGAGTGCTGATGATGTAAGCATGAACTCATGCGCGAGTTACCTTGTACAGGCGAATCATAAATAAGTGTATGGGGGCTATCTGCTACTAGTGGAGGTGTGCTAGGCAAGGCAAGCAAATGGAACAAACAAAGGCAAACAAACTCAAGCGGTGGGACTTATTCTCATCCTCTGCTCTTCTCAAAAAAAAAAAAAAAAAAAAAAGACCACACACACAAAGGACACTCTACCATGATAACTGGTGACTGGAGTCACACTCTCTACGATAAAAAGGGCGGCCCGATATTGAGTTAAGACAATGCGAAATTATCCTACGCTTTGAGAGTAGGCAACCTTATCATACCTTGTAGATCTCAAACGCTGCAAACTGACCGAATGATTTTCACTCAAACAGCGATGTCGTTTGGTGGATCTACTCTGTACTCCGTAGCTGAACTAGCTTTCTTTTTTCTTTTTCGAAAAGAACAGCTGTCATTCTTGTTTTGAGTACTCCGTACGGAGTACAAAATCCAGAAAATACGTTGGAAAATACAATAAGCCAATTTGGTACCTCGCGCTCGAGTAGTGGGCTCTTGCTAAAAAGCAACCTTATCAACCAACCCGTCCATCTCCCTCTCATAATTCCTGGACTCATAAACTTGATAAAAGAACTTGCCCAGGAAGTCGCTTGCCTCCTTGAGGATCCTAATACCTTCGGCAAGACTCTCCGGCTCATGCAATTTGCTACTTGTCACCACACCATAAGACTCAACCACTTTCCCATCAGAGGCATCCGCCAAGTCAACTTCCGGCACAGCACTTAGCGCCTGAGCGACAAGATTAACCGCTTCTCCAGTGGCGCCTATGGGCTTGAGATGTCCAAACGACTCTGTGATCCAATGTCGGATCTGTCCGATTCCACCCAGCTTTTTGATATGGGACCCTCCAGGAATAAAAGTCGCGTCGAACAAGGTTGAGCGCTGGCCATCGTAGTGGTGATCAGGAATCAAACCTTTGTCCTTGCCCGGATCTTCGTGGTCTGCAAAGATGGCCTGGCGTTTTGTGCCGATGATGAATGGGATGGCCCCGGCGGCTTTGATTGCGCCTTTTGCAGAGATTAATGCCACTTGATCGTAGCCGTCGCCGACGAGGATGGCTATACGGCGGGATTTAATAGTCGGCTCTCCGGCATATTGCTTGTTAAGTTCTGGTTGGCTGAGGCCAGTTGTTTTTTCGCCTTTGTTTGGTCGACCTTCTTTCTGTGGAGTTGGTGCACCAACCATCGTCGCGACGGATTGGGCGAGATCGAGGTCGATTTCGGTGAGTCGCTCAACGAGGCGGTTGTATACGATGGGGTCATCGCAATGGTCCAATTCAAACGCGAAAGCTTTCTTGATATGATACTTTTCATGATCGCTCATGGAATTGTAAAAGAGTTGGGCCTGCCTGATGTGTTCGCGGAACTTCTTGCTCACACTACGGGCTTTGACGCCAGATACCTTCGATGGGTATGACACGAAACCGCCTTCATTTGGGTTTGCTGGAGGAAGGGCTTCGAATCTATTAGGCCAGTAGTTCACTGTGCCTTGCATGATCCGATGGCGCTTTTGCCCATCCCTATGGTGATTCATAACAGGACAAACGGGCCGGTTGACCGGAAGCTCTTCCCAATTAATTCCTAGCCTGGATATCTGAGTATCAAAGTATGAAAAGTTGCGGCCTTGAAGCAGCGGATCGTCTGAGAATTCTATACCGGGAACGATATGGCTCGTGCAAAAGGCAACTTGTTCGGTTTGTGGGAAGAACTCGTCAACGTTGCGGTTGAGCTCAAGTTCACCAATCCAACGAATCGGAACCAAGTGCTCTGGCCAGATCTTAGTAGCGTCTAAGATGTCGAATTCAAAATCGTGCTCCTTCTCCTCCGGAATCACCTGAATTCCGAGCTTCCACTTGGGATATGCTTTATTGTCAATGGCCTCCATAAGGTCCTTTCGATGGAAGTCAGGGTCTTGACCCCCAACTTTGAGGCATTCATCCCACACGAGTGAATGAACACCTAATTCTGGCATCCAGTGGAACTTGACAAAGTGTCGCAGCCCATCTTTATTAACCAGAACGAAGGTATTGACGCCAAATCCCTGCATCATTCGAAATGACCTTGGAATGGCTCGGTCAGACATGGCCCACATGAACATGTGAGTAGCCTCTGGGTGTAAGTACACAAAATCCCAGAAGTTGTTATGTGCCGTTTGAGCCTGTGGAACTTCATTATGAGGTTCTGGCTTCACAGCATGAACTAAAATAACATTAGTATTAGCTGTACTTTTTAAGGCTCCTATCCAGAGAGCATACCAAAGTCAGGAAACTTGACAGCATCTTGGATGAAAAACACCGGTATATTATTCCCCACAAGATCCCAATTACCTTCATCGGTGTAAAATTTAACCGCAAAACCTCGGACATCACGAACAGTATCAGCACTGCCCCGGCTCCCCTGGACAGTCGAGAATCGAACAAATACAGGAGTTACCCGAGAGGTATCGGTCAGTACACCAGCTGAGGTGACATCGGCCGCGCTTTCGAGGACTTTGAAATGGCCAAAAGCACCAGTTCCACGGGCATGCACGACACGCTCGGGTATGCGCTCGTGGTCGAAACGGTGAATCTTTGCAGCTGGTTAGCTCGCAGTGACAAAACCAATGTTTTGGGGCTGATATGGCTATACCTTTTCACGAGCAATCTGATCCTCCAGCAACGATGGCCCAGTTCTGTGGTCGTCTACTGCCTTGAGCCAATTGTCCGTATTGCTTACTTTAGTGCCATGATCTGTGGTAAGTGTTACCGGAGCATGCACGTCGGAGGTGTCTCGAGCAAGGTCTTTGATCTTCTTATCCTCTGTCATGCCCTGCACCGCCTGCTTCATCTTGTGCAAGCCTCCTGCAGCAATATGAGCCATGAGAACAGTTGATCGGAATCGCACGCAATTTGGGATAAGATTCGAGCAAATGGGCGAGATTTCGATATGGTTTCAGCATATGTAGGTCGGGCTTGAACCAGACCAGGGGCAGCCACCCAATATATTGTTATGTGCGGAGAAGGAAACTAAATGTCAGCATGACGTTGATTCCAGTCATTGAAAAAGCGGGAGCTTGGTAATACACTGTGATAAGACGTCGACCCGAGGCAGAAACCTGGAAGGAAGCGGCATGCGGAGCAAACCCTGGTCCCCAGAAAAAGCGGGCATCCAGCGGCGCCTGGGTCATTTCGAGCTCTAGGGTGGCACGTCTGCTCGTCATTGGGAGCTTCCAGCCTTAGGCTCTCGCCAATCATTTTGATATTTCACTACTCCGTAGTTCTACGGATCGAATGGCTCGTGAAACGGTCTTCCTGGCTCCGCCCGACTAAGCGCGGGGAGACGCTGGCACTCTCACTAGGATAATACTTTGGGGAATGATGGCCATCGTGGCATTGGAAGATCCTGGCTTAAAATGGCTGGATTCCTAGTGATTGCCCACTTGATCACTGCCAACCATCACATCATAGGTATTCGACTGTGCTGCGAGAACTGGCGGGATGGAAATCTAACCTTAAGGTAACGACGTCATACACGGAAATATTCATGTTCCGGAATTCCGAGACGTTCAACGGATCTTAGTTTATCCGATTATTTTGGAACCTTACCTTCCAAAGTTCCAATAGGTAACAACCTAGTTACTTTGCGTTGAGCATGAGCCAGGATTCATTTGTCGGAATGAAAGCGTCGAAGCGATGCCAGCAGCTTCTGGAAATACCTTTGAGTTACTGGGAGTCTAGTAATAACATACCCTATTTTGGAGTTGCTGTCACCATTGACTGAATACACATGATGACCATCAAGTTTATGCGGGGTGCTCTGTGTTCCATACCCTTATGTTATTGGTGTGACGTGTCGTGAGCCTTGAGGAAGGGCATACATATCCAATGTACTCGTTGGGGGGGGGCTTGGATTGTACACCTCGGTCTAGTGCACGTCTAAGACAAGCTGGAGCAGACAAGGCCTGTCACTACCACATAGTTGTTCGCAGACAGATGGCAGCAGCACTCCTGACCAGCAACTATCATTCCTGGCTACACACTTTGTGTCCAACAGCATTCAATGTATTCACAAACAATCGCATGTTTATCCATAGGCTCTGCGCTTTGGCGTCCTCTATATTGAAATTCTTGGCGCAGGATCGACAGCTGGCTCTACCCCACACTGCACAGAATGTGATCTGTAGTAATGCAGGCAGAAGCCTGTCTTTTATACATATAAAGTCCTGATTCATCCTTCTCAAGCAGATTCAATCTCCTCTTCATTGTCCATCTGGGAGAACCTGTGAGTTGACGCGTCAGCTATCTTCAACACTTCCTATCCTTGATAATACCTGTGGATTGTGGCCTTATCACTAGCAGCTTGCAACATCTGAGGTGTGGGTTAAGAATCGGATTAGCAGAAAATGCCTAACCCTGCAGGGTTGACAAGGCGCCGCCATTCTAAACCATGCAAGGTTGTTTGTCTTCGTTGCAAAAGGATGTTTGATAGCAATGCTGCCCTGGAACAACACACGGCAGCGAAGCACGGAGAAACGCCCAATGCGGAGCATATCACTCTCATGGATGTGCCTGTGGGAAAAACTGCTGAAAATGAGCGCTGGTCCATAATACCAATTGATGAACATAGAGAGCAATGGGACCTTCTTTCCCAGAGCTGCCACTCGCTTAGTGAGCTCCCTCAGTCTTACCGACGGGAGAAGTTCAGAAGAGACGAAATAGATGGCTATAGCCGCTGCAGGAATTGCAAGGGTATTGATTAACCTCCTGGTCCTATGGATCCCTGCAGAACTACGTTAACGATTAAACAGGAGTAAAACGGCGCGTGGAAGGGAAAATTGGTTGCGCTTACCACACCAGAGGCGTGAGTAACACATTCGCCACTATTCCCATCCATTACTCACATTCTAATCAATAAAAATGAATTGTAGCTCTCCAAGAAGAACAGTAACGAGAAACCCATGTACCTCTGTTGCAATACCAAAAATGCAGGATGTGTTACCGCTACATCTCATGAATACGTGCCCCCTGGGAAACTTCTTTCTATTAAGCTCCAGAAGTTCAAAGCCACCCCGGATAGACAGTACAAAAATCCCCGTGAATGTGTCGCCATCGCGCTTGATTGCGAAATGGTTAGTACTATTGCTGGTCAGTATCCAGTCAGTATCAGCGCCATCGACTATCTCACCGGGAGTGTTCTCATCAACTACCTTATCAAACCATCAGTGCGGGTATTAGACTGGCGTACAAAATTTAGTGGCATTACAGAGGCAATGGTTACACAAGCGGTGACAGATGGAACAGCCCTCCCGCACTGGGAAGCTGCCCGAGCTTTACTCTGGACATATATGACCCCGCAAACCATCCTGATCGGCCAATCCCTGTCCAACGACTTGAACGCCTTGGGAATGGTGCACACTCGAGTCGTTGACTCGGAGATTCTGACAAGACATGCCGTGGGCAAGGAATTCGCGCGTTCTTGGGGCCTGAAAAGGTTATGTGGGTTATTTTTAGGCATCACAATCCAGGAAGGGGAAGGACATGATAGTCTAGAAGATGCTTTTGCTGCGCGTGAAGTTGTGTTGTGGTGCCTGAATAACACAGAAAAGCTCGCGGCCTGGGCGGGGGAGCAACGCAACGCACTCATTCAAGAACAGAATGCCGCCAAAGAACGCGCAAAGATCAAAGAAGCCAAAAAAGAAGCTAAAGGGAAGGCCAAGGAAAATGAACATTTAGTGCAAGAAAAAGAGAACAAACAGCCTGCAGAGTAAGTAGAAATTGTTTTGGGGCGGGAATGGCGAAAGGCAAATAGGGTCAGATAATTGTGAAATCGGCGGGTCGGGCGAAATCAATAGTAGGTCTAAATCAGGGGGTATAAAGCTTTATGAAGACTGAATATTGATTGTAGTAGTCTGGATATTGAAATTTGAAATTGCATTATCTCAGGTTAACAGGTTTGCTTAAGCTTTCCCTAGCTGCGCAAGTTGTAGAGGTATATAGGCAAGTGTAGTTGCGCCACTGGAGTAAAAGATCAGCAAGGGGTGGGTATTAAATATGAGAAGAATCTGAATCGCGAAAGAGCACCAGGTTTGGACAAAGGTGTTAGAATATGTGAAATAAAACATAGCTGAACTAATGCGAGCCCAATAACATCACACAAGCCAAAATAGAACTTTAGCCCACGACACCCACATGTAAACATGTAGACCTTACCAAAGTTGGACAATCATCCGATTAAAATATACTCGTACACCAGTTAGGTTCGGAAACTGGTTGCAACAGTCCATGCACGCTCCTTTTTGTTTCGCATCCTTTTTAATTACCTGCCAACACACATTAGGAAAAGGGGAAGGGAAGCTGAAAATCTCTAGGTCATTATTTGGAGATTCCTCGCTTATGCGGGAACAGTGGGAGGCTTGGTCTTCGGAGCGGATGTTGATGTGATGGGATCCAGCCGGCTGAGGACCCACATGAAGAGGAATTGCATGATGTAGGAATATATGAAAAGAAATTGGGTACGTCGGTTCCGTTGGGAGCGGGCTACAGTGGGCATAGTTCCTCCACGGATCGGGCCATCGCTTGAAGAGTCGGGCAGGAGGACATATTTCAGGGAACGGAGCTGGGAGGAGATGTTAGTTCCGTCCATCGTAGAGATGCCGGAAAAGACTTACCAAGAAAAAGGAATTTGCGAGAAAGGTATAGGTGAAAACAAGCCATCCGACCCAGCCTCCAGTGCCTCGTCCCGGGCTTAGGGTTTCCGCCGCAACTAGAGTGAGAATGATGCCGACGAACTTATATCCGGAATAGGCGACCAAGTCCAGGAGTTGAGAGTCGTTACTGATGCTGAGAATGTACATTGCAACTTTTAGGCAAATGATCTCAAATATCACAACGGCCAGTGCTGTTGTAGTTATTGAGCCCAACAGCTCCGGGTGGAAGCTACCACGGAAGCCGGCCAGGACAGCGGAAAGTAGGATATACGTCACCAACGCCATGGCAGGGATATACATATCAGGGGAATTGATGTCATCGCGAGGTGGGAGGTAAATTGAGGTGTATTGGGCCTGAGAAATCTGGCCATTGGGACCGGTCGTTGAGGAAGAGAGGCGTCCTTGCTGTCGAGACCAGGGTTTGTGGCGCCAGGGAAAGAGAACGAGGCCGAGTTTCTTAATTACGTAGGAGTTGGAAACGTTGAAGTAATGTTTCAACGCCGGGATCGAGACATATCGGTTAAGCTGCCGAGGTGGGTGTGTTAGAGCGCATTCTTATCAAAGAGTAGGGCAGCCTTACATTCTGCTCCATATATTCCTGACCAGCCATCATGGCTGATTTCCCAACCTGAAAGCCCATGTGCGTCGTGGGATCTGTCATGAAGCCGCCGAAATTGGGCGCGAATGTGCCGCTACCCCCCTGTGCGGGAGCTGGCTGATACGGGTTTCCATAGCTGGATTGTTGCGGTTGCTGGGTGGTGGGAGGTGGTGGTGAGCGCATCATGGGTACCGTGGAGACATGCTGAGGAACGGGATGGTGGAGAGGAGGGGATTGCGCAGGCGGAGGAGCCTGGAAGGGTGTTCTGTGCATAATGACTTCGCTTACGGGCAGTTGGCTCTTGGGCCGGGGCGAGGTTCAGAGCTGTTGATGGCAAGATAATTACATCAGATTGTCAGAAGAACCTGAAAGTACCGATTGGCCGGAGAGGAGCAACGTAGATTTATATATAACTCTATACGTACACTGTTGAGAAAGATGGCGAACAGAGATGGTGATCTGTCCAGACCAACTCGCAGCATGCAGTTTGGTTTGGCTTTTGATGAGAGTTGGCCCCAGCTGGTCCGTGCGCGGAGATGGTGTGATGATGGCACAGAACTGTCTGGCTTTTTCCTCGCTCACCTAGTAGTGCTTGTTGGTTCTCGCGCAAGGACTTTCTCTGGAGCTGGAAGTAGACAGAAAGTAACTTGGCTAGCCAAAATGTTGGACTCGTTTGAAATCATCACGACCTCAGGTGTTGTTCTCTGGTCAAGGTCATATGCGCCGGTCGGCGCACATATTGTCAACGATCTTATCAGCACCGTCTTTATCGAAGAGAAGATTCACTTGCCGGACTCTGGCGCGGAGGGCACAGCACACCAGCAATACAAGAAAGAGAAATATACCCTAAGATGGACCAGGTCTAAGGATTTAGGATTGCTCTTTGTGGTACGATCGCCTTGAGCTAAGCTTCTGCCCGCTCAACTTAACTAACTTTGGAGGTTGTATAGGCCGTTTACCAGTCTCTTTTACACCTAAGTTGGATTGATGAGCTACTTGAAAATACTAAGACTATTTTCATAGATCTTTATAAGGAACAGCTGAAGGGATCTAAGCACCGGGTGGTTGAGTACCCGTTCGATCCATATTTCGACCAGCAGCTCCAGGAGCTGGAGAATGCGGCTGGAGCGCCCACCGAAGATGGGCCCCGTATTATTGTGGAAGAAAAGAAAGACTCGTTAGCCCACGCTGACACTGGAGGCCCACCTCCGCCACCAGTTCCGGGTCTTTTGCCTGGTACGTTACGACACAACGCGACTAAACTGCCAGTCGTACAGTTTCTGACTTATCAACAGCGCAGCATCGTGCTGCACAGGCGCCGGTGGCGTCGAAGGATAGTACGCCATCTATGTCCCCAGGGACTTCTCGGTCCGGATCCCCTGCTCCAAGCCACCTTATAACTGGAAAAATCGGGCCCGGGGGCCGCGTTTCAAGACGCGCGCGCAAGGCCGCGAACACTGCTCCGAATGGTGATTCTCCCAAGAAAGGCAAAGCTACCAAAGGTGGGCAGAAGAAGATGAGAAAATGGGGCATTGACGGGCTCGCTGAGGAGGATGATGGGGAGGTCCTTGACTATTCAGCCACCAACACTAATGCTACGGAGTCAATGCCTCAGGTTGAAGAGGTTGATCCTCGCTCATTCGGAACTAAAACTGCAAAGGGCCAGTTCGTCCTCAAAGACTTGGGAGATGAAGTTCACTCTATACTGCAGAAAGCAGATCAGGAGAAGGCCAAGTCCAACACACCCAGCGGCATGGTTAGCTCCGGTCTTGGAGCTATCAGCGGCTTATTCCGGAACGTGGTCGGTGGAAAGGTGTTGACCAAGGCCGACCTTGAAAAGCCTATCAAAGCAATGGAGGACCATTTGCTGAAGAAAAACGTTGCGCGCGAAGCTGCTCTTCGCCTATGTGAGGGTGTGGAGCACGAGCTGGTGGGGAAAAAGACCGGGAGCTTCCAGAGCATCGATTCCGCACTCCGCTCGGCGATGGAGTCCTCTCTGCGCAAGATTCTCACACCGACATCGTCGTTGGACCTGCTCCGCGAGATCGATGCCGTAACGTCTCCTCGCAACAATCAGCAAGCTCGACGCCCATATGTAATCTCAATTGTGGGCGTCAACGGCGTTGGCAAGTCGACAAACCTCAGCAAAATCTGTTTCTTCCTGCTTCAAAACAATTATAAGGTCCTTATCGCGGCCTGCGATACGTTCCGTTCCGGCGCTGTGGAGCAGCTACGCGTCCATGCACGGAACTTGAAAGAGCTCAGTGAGAGAGAACAAGTCGGACAAATTGAGCTTTACGAAAAGGGCTACGGCAAAGATGCCGCGAATGTCGCCAAAGATGCAGTCGCCTATGCCGCAAGTAATGATTTCGACGTTGTCCTCATTGACACTGCCGGCCGTCGTCACAACGATCAGCGTCTCATGTCTTCCCTGGAGAAATTTGCAAAATTTGCTGCTCCAGACAAGATCTTCATGGTTGGGGAAGCACTTGTTGGCACGGACAGTGTGATGCAGGCGCGCAATTTCAATCAGGCATTTGGGACCGGAAGGAGTCTCGATGGGTTTATCATCAGCAAATGCGACACTGTAGGAGATATGGTTGGCACGCTGGTCAGTATGGTGCACGCGACGGGCATTCCAATTGTCTTCCTGGGAGTTGGGCAGCACTATGGGGATCTGAGGGGATTGAGCGTTCCGTGGGCGGTTGGACTGTTGATGAAATGAGCATAGCACCCGTAGCATAGGAATGTAACTCCTGGACAGACTTACCAAACCGGTCCTCTTCGTCAGCTTTTCATCTTGTGCTCTGCTTGTCGTCTCCTGATCGACCTGGCTGGTCCCGGGCTGGCTTGGCGAGGGATGGCTCAGGGCTTGGCGCGAGGATCCGCCTTCAACGGCTCTTTTTTCCTTCACGGGGCAAAAGGGATATCGCCGCCACTGATTCATGACCCATGGGAGACGGCACAGATTGGATTTGGAAATATGACTTATTCTTTGACTTACACCTAGCCTATCGCCTTTCTTTCTTTCCTTTTCTTTTTTTTTTTTTTTGTGTGTGCAATTGGGTGGAAAGAAATTAACAGTATAGAGTCGAGGGGATACCCGGAATTATCTCATCGTCAAGCACACTTTAAGTAGTAGACATCTTATTCCCTCTTTGCTCAGAATGCGCGGTGTCTCTTAGCATTTTAAACGCGTCATTCATTACTGTTCCCCCAGCCTTCGCAGCTCCCGGTAGCAATGGCTGCTCGCCCTTCCGTGCCCAGGCGCAAATCTTCTACACCGCGATATCACACTTTTGCGACTCCGCCACCGACGTCCCGCGGCCGCCCTCCGTCTAGCGATTCTACTCCTTTGATCGATGGTTCCCGGACCGACAGCGACAATGACAGCGACCAAAACTCCTCCGCGGGCACACCCATACCGGTGAGGCAGATGGCCGTCCTGGCGCTGATAGCTCTCTGTGAGCAGACAGCGCTCAATTCCATCAGCCCTTACCTGCCCGACATGGCCTCCTCGTTTCCGGACGTTGAACATTCCAAAGTCGGCATGTATGTCGGGACGATCGCGTCGTCCTTTGCCCTGGCGCAATTTGTGACCAATTATTTCTGGGGCTGGTTCTCGGATCGTATCGGTCGCAAGCCCGTTATCCTGCTGGGTACGATTCTCACCGCGGCTTGCTTCGTTGCATTCGGGTTTTGCAAGACACTATGGCAGGCGATTCTTGTGCAGGTGCTGATGGGCGCGGTCAATGGCAATCAGGGCGTGGTCTCGACGTGCCTTGGTGAAATAACCGACCGCAGCAATCAGTCGCGTGCTTTTACTTATCTACCCGTTATCTATGGAGTTGGAGGAATTACTGGGCCGATACTTGGTGGTCTCCTGGTTTCGCAGAATACTCGTCTGGATGAGAGGTTCCCTTATCTTGGTCCAAATATTGCTTCGGCGGTGATCTTGGTTTTCGATTTTATCATGGCCTTTTTCTTTCTGGAAGAAAGTCTTGAAGATGCTGTCAGTCTTCCTGAAATAGGGGAAAAGGTCCGTGATCTGTTCACCTGGCTCTGGCAATTTACATCTTCGACGAGACCGTCCTACTTAAGAAGTAGGAGCTCATCCAGGCGTCGCCGAAGCTACGATAGCGACGTTAGTACTCGCAATTATGTCGAATCACCCACCGTTCCCCTTTTCGAGCGGCGCGGGAATCGTGAGGATCTCGCGAGCTACGAAGTGCTAAACCGAGATGTATTTCTCTTACTTCTTACATACTTGATATTTGCCTTGTCAAACGTCTCATACAACTCTCTCTATCCAATATTTGCTCAAGCCCCACGTCCCACCGGCCGCGAGCTTACACCACAGGAGATTGGGTTATCTCTCGGATTTGCAGGCATCGTCACGATTGCCTTTCAAGTCTGCATATTTGGGAAGCTGAGAGACAAGATGGGCAATAGGTGGTCATACCGCGCCGGCCTCTTTGGCTTTGTCATTTCTTTTGCCCTAATGCCCTTTGTCGGGTATAAAGACAAGACTGCTCTCGAAGGTAAACTTTCCAAGGACGGTATCCTTCTAAGCATCGAGCTCTGCTTCATTTTGCTCCTGAAGACCATCGCAGCGGTCGGGGGTCTAACCAGCGCTTTACTCCTGGTATGCCATTCCCGATCCACTTGCCCCTTAACCCCGATAATACCATCGTGGGTACTAACGTCGCACAGGTTACAAACTCCGCGCCGGACAACTCCGTCCTTGGAGCCCTCAACGGCCTCGCTCAAACTATCTCTGCCGCCGGTCGGGCTGCAGGCCCCTTTTTATCTGGCAGCCTTTTCTCTGTGGCGACAAAAGTGCAGCCAAAGGGAGAAGCGCTCGCCTTCGGGGTTTTCGGAGGCATCGCATTTATCGGCTTCCTCCTCAGTTTTGGAATTCGGTCACCAAACCTAGAAGCAGATGGGTGGCACGGAGGAGACGACAATGATTATGACAATGATGACAACAATGATGATCTTGATAAATCTGATGATGAAAATGGGCACAGAGCTGTTTAAGCAAAACAACAATAAAGACAGAAAAAAAAGAAAAGAGGAAAAAAGAATTTTTTCTATACGATAGATATGGATATACCTGCTTTGTGATGTACATATATAATTTTTTGTTTTGGTCTCTCTGCAAAAAAGCCTGTTGATGGGAATTTTGTTGAAAGGGAATTTAACAGATGTTTCCTTTTGTTTTAGCGGGGTGCTCAAGGAAAAAAGTCGAAGTTCTTGAATTTATACATTTATTGGCACTCTTTTCATGCTTTACATTCTTTGCTTTTAACATTTCTTTAAGGTTGGAAAGGACTAGTACCTAGAGCTTGTGTACTCACTTTGATATCCAGAAAAACCAGAAGAGCCACAAGATATCTTTAAAATAATAGCATAACCTTTCTCAACATCTCCAGATCTTTTCAATCCTGCTTTATTTCATCCTTCAAAGTCCCTATGCACTCTCGGTGGCTCTCCCAGCCTCGTGTCGCCCTTCAGACCTCAGAAACTTCGGCCACGTATCCCTCAACACCAGATTCATAACGGACCTCTCAGCCTCCTCGAATACATCCTTATCAAAAGCTTCAGGAATGGTGAATCCCTCGGGCATGCTCGATGGGCGCTCTTCTATCTTCTTAAGGTCGGCTAGAATGACTTTCACGTACCGCTCAACCATCTCACTAGAAGCATTTTCTGTCATGCTTGGGGCACGCCTAGGCCGCGAGGAACTGGAAGACTGACGACCCAGATTTCGAAGCGGGATGGCCGGCTCGCTATTGTTTCCCTGGCTGGTGTCGATAACAGAATCAAACGGAGTGATCAGGTTGCCAGAGTCGCCAGAGGCGCTTAACTGTGTGGCTTCGGAGAAAATATTGTCAAGGGCGGATGAAATGGCCGCTTCGATGTTGACTGGGAAATTGGCGGTGCGCAGGCTGACATATGTTGAGTAAATTTCAACAGCGTGAGTGAACATGTGGCGGCGGAGGGATTCAGGATTGTCATGATCTGCTGAAAAACGCTCCCAGTTGGCTTTCCAGTTGCGAACATGGCGTAGGAAGAGAATGTTTTCTGCAGAATAATCTTTTGTAAGAACAAACGAGAGAATAGCACTCATGTCTCCGTCAATCACTGCATTCAGATCTGCTCTGGGTGATGTTGGTGATAGTGGAGGTGTCTCAAGGGGCTCAACAACTGTGTGATTTTGTGCACAAAGGCGTAGGAACTTCCTCATGTAGGAGATGGTTTGGAGGGGCAAGTAGAGTGCTGCAGCTTCTAAGACTGTGACGAGAGGAAGAAACCTGTAATTGAAAGGACAATGGATTAGCAAATAGCAAAGTGGTTCGGAACATCACCGACTGGGGAATCTCACCATAGTGTTGATCCCCAGAAGCTGTCAAGCTCACTGGCGTCGGGTTTTCTAGCAGCAACTTTAACAACCCAAAGCACTACACTGTACATTCTATACAGAGCTGTAAGCAAATATCCATAGCTAATCTTGGTGTCCAAACAGAAGAAAGCACTTACACAGCCAACAGGGACCATATTGTTTGAGGACGCCATGACTGAATCTCAGGCAAACCCCGGTGTGTGCACAGAGCCCATGGGAGTACAATAAGGCCCCAGGCACTTGGCCAAAAGATTGCTGGAAACCTGAGTTCACGTCAGCATGCAATACTCAGAGCAGAGGTAGATATTGTTGAAATCTACCACTCCAATCCTCTGCGACATTCGAGCTCGTTGCCAAAAGATGACCAGAGTCCATGCTCTTGGAATTTGTTGGAAGTGAGATAGTTCACTAGAGAGATAGGGAACTGTCGAGATATAAGCTTCAGAATTCCCAGCACCACTACGCCTTCTTCTCTCTGAATACCCAGTGGAGCAACGACATACCTGCCACAGTATCATCAAAAGTAAAAAGACAAGCTCCGCTGCACGAATTACTGGTGGAGCCAGCCAGTAGCGCTCCCAACGGCGAAGTATCCCTCGGAAACCACGATCCTGGTAGTACAAGGGATCATCTTCGGTGTTTGTTCGGTAACCCATGATCAACGCGAGGACGTCAAAGTTATGAAACTGATATAGCATGACGCCGATCGGTAGAACCAGGGACATCAACCAGAACTCCATTGCGCAGGACATGGGTCCCATCAGCGGATAGGCAAGCACATTGACGAGCCAAAAGCCATGAAGGATGATAACAGACCAGAAAAGGACATGGAGGTTTAAAAGACGAATCGGCCTTATGTGCATGTTATGCAGAATCCACACTAGGGCAGAAAACACAGAAAGCGTCCATATAGTAGCGGCAACTAAAGAACCGACACCGATTGTGTCTAGTATTGGGAGCTGGGAAGAGCCGTGAGCCCGAAGGCTCAACGGACTCGACATGTTGACCTTGAATGTTGGTGAATTCGAGAACAGGAAAGGATGCAGGCAAAGCAGTTGAAGAGTGAGAGATACATCCGCGCAGTCACTTTATGAGAAATATGAAGAGCACCTTTGTGGGTGCGCTAAAGTGTTGTCTCAAACAAGAAGCCAAAGTCACGGGGACGGATGGTGACAAAGGGGAACGGGATATACCGCGCACATACTGCAGAGGGGAACACATCAGGTCTAATATAAACCCTGTTTTTGCTACCTCAGACAAACTGGGACAGTCAAGATTGTTGGTATAGGATACGGTCTGGGCAATGTAGACATGCTCCGGCCCTTATCGACATCGCCAGCATGGGTAGCGGTCGTGGATTGCACAATGAGCAGTAGGGGGCATAATGTGTGAGCATATCCCGGAAGCCATAGAATAGGCAGCCGGTGAATATAGTGCATGATAAATTGCTGGAGATCCAAGTTGGAAAGTCGTAGTGAAACAATCCCGTACGAGGTTGCTTCAAGAATATCAGGAGGAATAGAGACATCAGGGTACGAAGTTGCCATTCGGCAAGAGCTGACGGCGACCCCGTCGTAAGCTAGGATCGAAAGGTTGTGGAATACGTCTCATTAATCATTTCTGTACATCAAAATTGGTATTTCTCTGGATTCTGCATAGAAAGCTGCTCTGGATCTCGTTGGGGAAAATGGCACATGAATACAGAAAGTTTGAAGCGCATCAAGAAATTCAAATTGGATTAAAACCAATTGTAAGCATGATTAGTTACAAACTAATCATAGATGGGGTCCGGGTACGCCTGATGAAAAAAGCATACCCGACATGGCTTGTTCAGACATCAAAAATCAAAGAGCAGTTCCCTAGAAGTCTGGTTGATATTGTCAGCGTCAAATTCGCCAATGAAAAATGAAAACTATGGGTATCAGGTGCATTTGTCCTCAGCGATCTTGGTGTAAAAAGGAGATATCATGACCCGAAGGCATCAACTACTATCTAGTGCGTTTGGGTGTCATCACGGACAAGATGGAGATAGAAAACACGAGGAGGCCGTATGTACCTTTTTCAGTAACAGGAGCAGTGCAGCTTCTCATTCATGATCTAGAAAAGGATTGCTTGACACTCATTCCTAATCCCAGGTACAGAACAACGATGTCGAGCATGCAAGTTGCCTCTGGGGGTAGTACAGAACGAATCTGCGAAAATTGGATGGTTTGGATCAAATAGCCTAAATACTGAAGTTCAAGTCAGTCATTAGACTCGAACAAAAAAGGATCCGAGAAGAGCAGATATCAAGGCAAGGCCGTATTCAGAATATGTAAGAAATGGCTATCATTATCTAACCGCTGTATGAGAAACCCAGGCGAGAGCTTCACAGCGGATGGTTCAACCGCAAATTACCGCATCATTGGAGGAAGGAGGCAGTGAAGGAGCATTAGAAAAACACACTCACCGGTTAGCAAGTAAGCAACATGATAGACCGTGGGTTGCAGGGGATTATTATTAAATTTTTTTCCCTTGACACGGTGAGAAGTCGAGATGAAAAGATGATGAAGAAAAAAGATTTTACAGCAAGAAATACTGGCGCGGAGTTGGGAACAATGCGCTAAACCCAGAACGGAAGCCCTAGGGTTAAGCGAGGAGGGTTTTGTGGGCGACGCTGCCACTCCCGAAATTCGCGATACATTATATCGACAACGACAATCCGACATCTATCCACCCTTTCCAACGCCAAACTAGACCGGTGGATTGTGAGCGACCCCGTGCCTTGTGCGCCCTTTCAATTTCCCCACGACTGACGATTTTTGTCCTCCCAGGAAGCCTTCGCCATGGCTCAGATCGATATCAAGGCCTCGTCATGGAAGCTCGTTGAGGTGGGCCGCGTTGTGCTCATCCGGAGCGGTCCTTATGCGGGAAAATTGGCTGTTATTGCTGAGATTATCGACCACAAGCGCGTATGTCTTTGACTAGAAATGAGAAACGTCCGGGTTGGGAAGGGCGAGTTCTGATCATGTTTGCGAATTTTTTAGGTCCTGGTCGATGGTCCTTCAGGCAAAGAGAACAATGTCGTTCCTCGTCACGCAATTGCCCTCGCTCACGTCTCCCTGACCCCTTTCACCATTCCCAAACTCCCGCGCGCTGCTGGCACAGGACCCATCAAGAAGTTGTGGGAGAAGGCTGAGATCGACGCCAAGTGGGCACAGAGCAACTATGCGAAGAAGAGAGAACAGCAAGAACGGAGACGCAACCTCACCGACTTCGAGCGCTTCAAGGTTATGAGACTGAAGAAGCAGGTCCGTATAACCCATATACCCTTACACGCGGGAAGAGCTATGACGCATTTTCTCGAATAAATGGAGATCGCGAATGAGAGTGCGGTTGGCTAATAAATGACATGTTATAGGCTCGCTACGAGGTGCAGAAGGCACAAGCTAAGGTCCGCGCAGCTTCGTGAATGTGATGAGGGCGATGCTAAGGCTGAGGGAATGGAGAAAGGGCTTCTCCTAATGGTTGGAGGTCGCTCGATTTCCATTCAAACAAATACAGCTGGAATCAATGTCATTCCGATATTGAGAACTGCGACTTTTGCAAAATCTTTTCTTAATGAATCGGAATAAATGGCTATGTTCCTTGACAACTTCCTACTTCTGCCTGTCTAGGAATACCAGTACTGGTGTGCTTTCTGGCGCCTGTGGGTATGGTTTGTAGCAATGTGATTACAATTTGCATTAAATGCTGTAGAATTCACGAAAAAAAAAAAAAAATAATGACATGTCCACAACTTCTTGCTATTTTCTATATCTCTCCAGACCCAGATATGTGATGTAGTCATACAGTACATGGGTATGGTGGTTCCGCCAGGGCGTGGATATAGCACTTTTGGGGTAAAACCTCGCTAAACGAGATTCGGCAAGACCCCAAAAGCCCTCCAGCCAAAGCAGACTTTCACACATCCTCAGATAACCTCATAGCATCACGACAACTACCTTCATACTTCTCCGTTCTCACTCCTTTTTTACAGTTCCAGTAAGTTAGCTCTCATCATTCAATTGATTGTTGTGTGTGAATTTGAAATCATGCCATGTTTTGAGCGTGACTTTTGTGTGGTGACCTAACTTTTGTGATGTAGCTTGGAGCCCATAAAACAACATGGCCAACCCACGAGTAGAAGAGCTTCCTGACGAGGAAGTCCCAAAGACCACTGTTGAAGATGCTGGCGAGAGCTCTGAATCCGAGGCTGAGGCTGCTGAGGAGCCAACCATCCCAGGCGGTGCCGCCATTACTGTCCACTCCCGCAACGAAAAGAAGGCTCGCAAGGCAATTGGCAAGTTGGGATTGAAGCACGTTCCCGGAATCACTCGTGTTACCCTTCGCCGCCCCAAGAACGTAAGGGCTAACCGATAAATTGCGACTGGTGTTTTGGCAATTGCTAACTGGCTTTCGATAGATCCTCTTTGTCATCAACCAGCCAGACGTGTACCGCTCCCCCTCCAGCAATACGTGGATGTATGTCGCACCCGTCTAATATTTATAGTGTTTAGTTGATTAGACAAATTACTGACGGTGTTGATAGCATCTTCGGTGAAGCCAAGATCGAGGACTTGAACTCCCAGGCCCAAGCGTCCGCTGCCCAACAACTCTCTGCCGCAGAGGCTGCCGGAAACGGAGAACACGCTGGCCACGAGCACATCGATCTCGGCAAGGGCAAGGCTCCTGAGACTGAAAAGAAGGAAGAGGAGGAGGAGGAAGAGGGTGAGGTTGATGAGACTGGTCTTGAGGCCAAGGATATCGAATTGGTCATGGCGCAGGCCAACGTATCCAGATCAAAGGCTATCAAGGCTCTCAAAGAGAACGATAACGACATCGTCAACTCTATCATGGCTCTAAGCGTATGAGAAGATCCGTCGTTGAGCTGACGGGACATCTTCGTATGCTGCTCGTTCTTTCTACCATTTTTTTTAATTGGCTTCGGGATATATGGATCTCTACGAGGCGCCTGTAAATCATCGGATTCAAAAAGTCGTCTAGTTGAACAGCATCCGAATGAATTTTACAATATAAAAAAATTCTTCCTCACATCAGCATCCTGTCTCTCAACTCTTCTCCCATTTCCATCATATCGATTGTGGTTTGTTTCGCGCCAAGACTCGGAACAGTGGATCACGTGACTCACCAATCGGTAATGCAGCGACAACAATCTCTCTCATCAACGTCTGGTCAATCGGAATCACCATTCGAACCCCAATCCCTCCCCATCCACCGTCACAATGGCTGTAGCAGTAAGTGAACGAACCTTGCGATTTGCTGTGCATATTTTCCCCAACCGTTTGGATGCAAAGTCTGACGTTTTCGCTTCCGCTCTTTCCAGCGCAGCGCAGCACTCAAACTCGACTGGACCAAGGTCGCCAGCTCCCTCGGTCTCCGGGGCGGCACGGCCACTTCGCTCCAGGCCTTCAAGAAACGCAACGATGATGCCCGCCGCAAGGTGCAGACCCTCTCCGAGGCGCCCCAGACTATCGACTTTGAGCATTACCGCTCCGTCCTGAAGAACAAGGCCATCGTGGACGAGATCGAGAAGCAGTTCAAGGCTTTCAAGCCCCAGACATACGATGTCAACCGCCAATTGAAGGCCATCGAGGCCTTTGAGGCCCAGGCCGTTACTAGCGCCGAGGCCACCAAGGGCAAGGTTGAAGAGGAATTGAAGTATTTGGAAAAGACCTTGGAGAACATTGAGACTGCTAGACCATGGGAGGATCTCACTGTGGTATGTATTACCTGATCAGGTTTTGCGATTGGTACAGTTGGAATCGTGGTTACTGAGAACGTCTTCTGCGCCTCTAGGACGACGTTGTCACTGCTCAACCTGAGATTGAGAAGAAGACCGCTGAGTTGGTGAAGAGGGGTATCTGGATGCCACCAGGCTACAAGGTTCGTCATCGCTGGTATTATGCATAGTTCGCCCATCCTAGATGCTGACCTGTTTCTATAGGAGAAATATGGTGATCTCTCCTTCCTTTAAACGACTGGTACGCCTTTATTGGGTCAAGCGTTCATTCCGACTGTGTAAAAATGTCAATATACGAGATAAGCAGAATCTTCGGCCCGTCGTTTACTCCAGAGAGATTAGGTCCCTGGAACTGTATAGAATAAATTCTTTTTGAATTAGAAGTTTGTTTCTTTTTCTATACTCCTAAACGGGCAAAGCGTGCCCGATTGCTGAAGGGTCCTATGATCCTTGAATGGACTTCGTGCTATTTAGCGACATGTGGAATCATAGTTGAGACTCAAAAACTGACACGGTGGCAGTCATTGTAGCAGCTATGCTTGGAGATCTCGAAGTCACATACGAAGTCTCATACAAAACCAAGGTTCATTCACATATCCAACACCAGTAAAAGTCATTATAGAAGGTGGCATGCTATTAAGCTAATTCCTTTGCTCCATGCAATCATACCCTGTTGGGAAAAACACGCACATCTCGCTTCGCTTGCCGGCACCGCAGTTTGTTGGGCTCGAATCGCCAGGATATAGGGAGTACAGGCATTATTACTATGAAGACAACCCACGGCCCGCTGGTCACCACGTGGTTGATCGCGGAAAGGGATAGCATTTCCGCCCGTGCGTGCTAAGAATGAGAAAGACTTGAGAGAGTCGTATCCGGCGGTGACTATGCTGATCTCCCGCTTCTTCTTGTTCGCTTGCGGCATGGGGTAACTTGGCGATATTGACGCAAGTCAACTCATGTCTGATCGCGGGCCGTTCGGCCCTCGTCTCGTCGGGCATACAACAGCCAATTGATGATCTGCGGCGAATGATGGGCATTCCGCGGAGGTTTGTGCTCTCCCCGGTTCCGACGATCGTTCCACACCCACCATACAAAGCTGCAACCCGGTATGCCTACTGACAACTGGAGGCATTTACATTTGGAGGGTGGCCACCGAGTGGCCGCTGACTGGAAGCGAACTCCGGGTATGGTACCCAAACGTGCACGAACAGAAACCCTAAGCCTCTCAAAATGACGCTCTAGATTTAGCCCAGACTTCTGGAGTGGTTAACACGCCAGCAAGCGGTCGAGCACTCAATATTTCCCCGTTAATCCAAGGAAGTCCTAACGACCGGAAAAGTCGCCGTGCAAAAACTTCAAAAAGACCTATATTCATGACCGCTATGTAGTCTTCACCAGTAAGGAATTGAAGACTCCCCGCAAATATGACGCGCATCCTTCGTAGAATGAGTGTGGATCCTGCTAAGATTTCGAAATGGAACAGCTACCTTGAGAAATTGCTCATGACTCGTGCATACATAGTTCTCCGTATATGGGGAGTCATGAGACTTTCTCTTCGTAGCGAAGCAGAACAGTCCCGCTCTTGAATGGGCCGCCTTTGCCCGAATATAGGCTCTCGGCGTCCAATTGCTTCCGGCCTGACATCACACTAGTGGGAGACCAGCCAACAGGAGCGGTTCAACGGGCTTGAAAGTAAAAGCCACAATGACGCTCTGTGAATGTTCTTGGCCATATATGATCGCCTGGAAGTATTGGTAGATGTGTGCGTGTTCTTATGACTGCTGCGTCTGCCGCTGAAGTTACTTGGTTGGACGGGCAGAAGACATTGCGGGTGTCCTTGCTCCATAGGCTCAACAGCAGAGCGGCGCAGTCATTAGCTAGTTAACTGGATACTTAAAACAAAACGAAACCATTCACATTGATCTCGGGCAATTGAGTTTCACATGCCTGAGGAATAACAGTCCACAGCCGCTGCGAGATTGTGGCCGCCTTCCAAGGGGCTCTGGCAGGCAGGCTGAATCCTGTATTTCGTATTCTTCAGGTTGGAAACATCGATAATTGCTTTTCCGACGCAGCGACATCCTTCTCCTGTTTAGGTAAAGGGCCCGGCTAGGCAAGGCATCGTGGTTGGAGACGACCACCAGCTACGGAGTACGGAGGACGCATACTCCGTAACTAAGCAAGACATTAATTCCGTCGAATTGCAGAACTCCGAGATCCACCATCCTGCAGCGTCGACCATGCAACCGGCAGTAGAGGAGCCAATGTGCGTCGTCCGTACGGAGTACCCCATGCCGCAATCAGGGTGAAAGGGCGGCTGGCGGTGAGATATTTTCGTGACTCCTTAACCTAACTCGCAACCGGCGACCTGCAGCAGCCCATCCTCCTGCGCGTCACATACTTTCCACCGGCTACACAGGCGTCCTTCACGGTGTTGGCGGGTTGCGAGACGACCGGCCCGCGGCGATGGTCCGTGGGAAGTCAACCGGTGACCCGACAGTCAGGTTCATCGTATTCCTTGGGTGGTTGGCATCCTTGCAGCAAACCGGACGGCTCGCCCTCTAGCAGACGTGCCAGATCCCAAGGCCTCGGGTCGCGAATTCCCAGGTCTTCGGGTTGTTCTCTGCGCTTTTGCTTTTGCTTTTCCTTTTCTTTTCTTTTTTTCCCGTCTCCTCTTCCCGCTTGATTAGAGCGTCCCGGTCTCGGTAGCGAAGCCTATTTCGCGCCAGGCCGACAACCTGCATGTCCATGACGACTAAGCTACCGGGATCCTGGGTCAGGTATCATCGTTGCTTTAATAAGATATTATTCATTTTCTGTTTCAGAGCCGATCAGAAAGGCGTACGACGCTGCGCTCTTCTGCCTGCCGTTCTCTCCGTCCTCTTCTGACTTGTTACACTTTTCTGTCTTTCCACTGGGGGTCCCTGCTGCAGTTCGCCCCTCCGTGCCGGGATCGCTCTTTAGTCTCCTGCTCGACATTCCTATTGTGGCTCCCACCATCCGCTCTTGGGCCATGGCATGAAGCCAACGCAGCAACTTCAAGTGCAAAGTTAAATTCCACAATACGACACGGGAGCGGGAAAAGGAGGTTTTCTGGACTTTTCCGGCTCGCTTCTGCACCAAGGTGGACGAGAGAAAAGAAGGACTCGGATGCTTGCACCTCTAATCCCGGAAGGGTAGCTTGAGAATCGAGAGCCTTGTCATATGCTGCGACGTGTTGCCACCGTCGAATCGGCTCTCAAATCCATAACACGACCGTTCTGGCTTGCTGTTGATTACTTATGTTCTTCTCCAACTCCTCCCCCACGGTGCCCATAAGGTTTTTATTTCATCTCTGTTTTTTGACTTACACTTTTTGATCTGCTAAAAGTGGAATCTAGGACCCCGCAATGGGCGCATCACAAGACTTGCGGCTTCATCTCCAAACGCATGCACGCATATAAGGTTAGCGATGAATCTTATAACCCTACGGGACGAGGCAATGCACCCTTCTCTCGCCTGGTCAGCCTCGTTCGACTGCCTTGATCATCTTTCTGCCAGCAGCCTGTTTTCAACGGGCCCGGATCTCAAGCTTTGGTGGATTCCGTGGATGCGACCAGACCTTAAATTCTTAGTTCCCAACTCTCTGGTGTCCAACGCATATTTTATGACCCAGTGTCCATTCCGTCGGAGCCTCGATCGCAAACCCACCGGCCCAACGGCCCTAATAGCAGGTCATATTTTGTATGTAGGTGCACACAGCTACTGCAGATCAGATGGCTCTCCACTCGCCACCCAATCCAGCCGGCGGGAGATGGTCGGGCATGTCTTCACCTACCGATGCCCGCGCGCCCATAGAAAGGCTTCCAGTCGAGTTGATCCATAAGATTTTCTTCCTTAGCCTAGAATTCAACTTCCCTCGAGCGTCGGCACATATCGCAGCTGCACTCTCCAACGAGGTCATATATACCTGGCTAATCCGGGTCGCGTTCAGCAGCGCCAATCCCTCGTCTAGCAGCGGTGTGCTCGTCCATCCATTCCTACCAGCACACTACTTCTCCCTTGATGCGAACCAAAAAACCGAGCTGCAGACGGAGATATTACGATGTCAGTGGTGCACCGCCTCCCTCATGCGCAAATGCCAGCGAGAATACGTCGAACACATCATTCGCCAGAAATGCTCCGACCTAATCATCTCTCCACAAGACCGTGCGCGGCTAGACAACCTGGACCCTTACTGGGAAACCATGGACCGCTACAGCAATGCCACCCACGGCAAACGCGGGAAAGGTGACCTTATCGTCAGCGCCAGGCATCCAGACACAGGTGAACACCTCAAAGTCGCAATCTGGTTCAACTTCGGCTCCGTGCAGATCAGAGAACGTAGCCCCGTCTTCCACGAGACCGATCTCTTTCGTTTACCCTGCTGCAGCACCACGCATCCCTGCCGGATGCCAGACCACCTTCTCAGAAGCCCATGGACGGAGGAGAAACTTGAACTTCTTTCCCTCCTCTCGAACGAGGCGTACATCGACGAGGATGGTAAGTTCGAACGATCGAAGGGGATATTGCGCCAACTGGTTATCGATCGTGACTTCGAGACGTTTCGACGTCTCCTGGAGTTGCATATTCGAGTCAAGATATATTTGTACCCGCTACGTTGGCCGGTTAGATCGAATATCTTTAGAGTGGCGGCTCGGTGTGCTCAGCCTGAGAATATACACAACGATCCTTTTTTGAGATTGTTGTTCACCGAGCATCGCGGTGAGATACCGCAGACGGACCACTCGATATGGAAGCTCGTGGAGAAATTTGACAAATCGTGATTTGGTGGTATTCTCTCTTTGCTTTGCTTTTTTCCTTTCTTTCATAGCGATGATGACGACAATGATAACGATGACGATGATCACTGGGCATTTCGTTTCTATATGGTGGATCCCTTGAGCGATATCATTTATAAATATGCTTTGCCTGGATGGAGGACAGTATCTACTCTCGATGCCCCATTGAATTGGGCTGTTGTTTTCAGCATGGTTTTTTTCCGAAGCCATCCTTGGAGAATTAGTGAAGCAAGAATTATATGAAGCAGAACATCTTCTTCGCGTAAAAGTAATGGAAGTGATATCCAACTTAATCACTTTTTATATACTGTTTCCAGCAACTCAGCAGTCCAACTTAGCCGCCTAACGCCAAACACAGCCTTGTAATCCCAGCCGTAAAGTGGCAGAGTCGGCTGGGGACAGCCTTCACTGAAGACCGTATCTTCAGATTTGGCGATGACCGGAACGTCCCTCATATACTGTATTAGCCAACTTCCAAATACGTTCTGTTTATTCTGTGACTTTATCGCCCATTCGGTGAGTTCAGGGTCATCCGACGGAACTGATAATGGCGCTGCGCGAACAAGAAGCCTCAGGATAGCCGTAGCATACTCCCCCTGGCGCGAAGCTATTATAAAATATTCTTCCGGCAGGAGATAGGGTTTAAGAACTTGGTGCAGCCTGTTGTCATGAGACTGGTAACAAGAATCATCCAACGCTAATATATCACGCAATGCGCGAAGGTTATGTTCCGAAATAGCGGAATGGATTCCCTCTTGTATTGATTCTCGGGAAGCAAACTTGAGCCAGAACTCCAACCTATTCTCCGCGATCATGACGTATTGCCGAAGAAATTCTAAGAATCGGACCTTTGATTCCGTCCATGGACTCCCACACAGGACCTTATCAGGGAATGCTAGCACCGATATTGGAAATTGAAGAGGAAGTAGACTCAAAGTCTCAAGGTTATTGATTTCGAGAGAGGGGGTAAACGGGAGAGGGACATTTTGAAGGTACCGTAGATGGTGTACAGTGCCATGGCCGCGTTCAATCGATTCTGCCATGGCATCGAAATCGAAGTGGGATGTCACTCTGTGCTTTGAAATGGAAATCCATCGATGTAACGACAGTTTGGTCATCCTCCTAATCAAAGCTTCAATGCGTTCCTGCGTGCACCATCGGCAGCTAAGAACTGACAGCTGGAATAGCTGACGCTCGAGATTGTCCATCGGGATATATCGGAACGGTCGAAACATTCTTCTTATGGTGTCTTGTGAATCGTCGTCTTCTCGCGCCGGATCATTCCAGAACGCCAGCATGATCAACCCACTATACACCCAGCTTGTGGACAAAACGTCCGCCAGGTGGGGTGACGCGCGGGGCAGGTTGAGTTCCAGGCATTCTATAAATATCTGTTGAATTAGTTCAACAGGAAGCAATTCGAGTAGGGAGAGTTGCCCTATTGAAGATTTTGATTCCCGGGGTTTGGAGGTTGTATTTTTATCCTTTCGCTTCTTCCTTGGACCTCTTTTCTCAAAAAAAACCGATGATTCGCGACTGGGATCCGTTTCTTGGGTTGATCGATCCCCGTCTACCTCCACGCCCTCGAACTGCTTCCTTGGTCTTTTCTTCTTCCCACGAATCTTAACAGGCATAAGATCTGACGTTGGGAGTTTGATACTGCCATTTGATACCCGGCCCATAGCTGCTTCCAGTCAATTCACATAGGCAGCTTGAAAATGGGAGCTTGGAGCAACTTTGTCCCCACGGGTTTCGGCAGGTTACACTGTAATAGACTTCAGACCTCAACGCTTCGGCATGGATGGATGGCACCTGGTACTGCAACAGTGGATAATTGCTTGCCAGTGCCCAGACCCTCGACGAGCCAACAAGGCTAGAGAATCGTCTGCCGGTACGGTCGTTGAAAGAAGCGAAAAGGGGCAGACGAGCGTCGCTGTCTCACGTTGGACTCTGTGCAAAACTTATGCCTGCCCTATTAGGCTTGTTTGCTTTGTTTGCCCATTGACACAAATAGAGTTTCGAAACTTTGTCATGTTTGCAGCTAATAAAGAACTTGCTTTCTCATTGGCTGAATATAGTATTATGTAATGACCTCACGCGACATGAGATGACAGATCTGATACTAAACCTCTTTTGGTCAAGTATCATGGCGCCAAACTGCCATGACGTCATAAAAGTGTTTTCTGTCAAACGTGGGATTCAAGAAACGTTTGGCACCAAGGAAACGGTGCGGAGTTTGACATCATGAAGATTTACGCATGGAACATGGGGATTATAGCAGGGTTTCGGCGTCATTGGTGGCTGATGCTGCTTGCCGTTCGTTGACCAGGAACAAGTTTCCAGTCGTAGCGAGTGATCACGGCTCCTGTGAATGGCAAAGGTGAAGGTCTACGCAATCAGGAAATATTCCCAGACATCGTCATTTCGATCAAGAAAATAGCGCTTGTAAAGCCGATAGGTAGTGAGTAGATATCTGCCCGAAAAAGACTATATATTCGTGACAGGTTCGAACGAGATGGAAAATTTCTTTTACCTTTTTTCTGTCCAACAGCACCAAGTGATCAATACATTAAGGAACCGTCCGCCAATAAATTAGTGTTCAAGAGAACCCCGAGATAGAAGCCTAAAAAAACACCTTCCCACAAGCCAACCATGGGTGCAATAGTATCAATCGTACGGCTTCCCCCGGGCCCAAAATTCGACCTGCATGATTTGCAGCTAACCTTTAACCTTACAGTTTCACGCCATTGGTGACTGCCTCATGACCATTGTCCAAGGCATCGGATCCATCCTCACCGCAATCATCGGCGGTGTCGTGTCGATATTCAGCGCCATCATCTCCTGCTTAACCTGCGGCTGGTACTCGAGACGGCGGACACGCTCAACCGGCGGAGTTGGGCGTCGGCACCGCTGGGGCCGGAGACCTATGCGCACTGTCTAAATACACGCCTCACTCAGAGCGGGTGCTTTAAATAATTCCAAAAGCGCATCCCATATTCTAAATAGGAGGAACACTCGCTCTGGACATATGTGCGGTATATGATGTCGATGATAGAAGCGAATTAGCCACGCGATACCCAATCCGGTCTTCTTGTTTCCGGTGATTCTCCTCTGAAGTATATATTTGAGCGATGTCCAATTCTTTGTGCCTAAAGTAGTATGACCTCTGTACCCGGTGTTAGCTCAAAATGATACATTTCCAACTTTTGGTTCTTTATCTCAATTAAATACCTGCTATTAGAGATAGGGGCGCTTCTGTCCCAAAAATAAACTCTTCAAAAGTGGAGAAGTAAAAAGTCTTTGTAGTTGATTTCAAAATAAAGCCTCAAATATTTTTGAGAATCTTTTGTATGCCCCTGGCTTTACCACCGAGCGAGGGATGATACCCCGTTTCCACGACCCCTTTACACATCTCCCATGCACCGCGGCCATCCTTTCCAATACCTTCGCCCTTTTGAATCGGGTAATCCAAAGTCGGAGGTATCTTTGTCTGGATCAGGGGCCATCCATCGACACATACGGCTTTGAGATTGCTCAGGTTTCTCAGCCCTTCTGCACCGCCAAAACGGCCGTATCCGCTGCCTTTCAACCCACCGAATGGCAGTCCAACGGCATAATAAACAGCAAAATCATTCACTGCCACCATACCCGCATGGAGATTGGAGATACAGTATTCCACATCCCGTTTGTTGTGTCCAAAAACACTCGCTCCAAGGGCATATTCCGTGGAATTGGCAATGCTCACGGCATCTGATACATCGGTGGCCCGCATGAGAAGGAACACGGGCGCAAACAGTTCCATTTGTGCAATTCTCATCTCTCGCGTAACGTTCGCAAGGAGAGTCGGGGTGAAGTAATGGCCGTGGGGATACTTGGGGTGGTTATATCGTTTCCCACCACAGATGAGTTTAGCTCCTTGGCCAACAGCCTCCGAAATTAGGGCCTCAAGAAGGTCGAAGGATCTTTGAGAAATAACAGCTCCCACATCAGGAGTGTGGGGTTTGTGACTGGCGTCACTGTTGTCCTCCCTAGATTCCAGAAGCACAGAACCAAGGCGGAGTGCTTTTATTCGAGGCGTGACGGTCTCGAGTATTTTATTGTAGGCACGAGGAAGAGCAATGATCCGCTCCGCGCCGACGCAATTTTGGCCCGCCGACTGAAAAACACCTCGCATAAGGATTGATGTGACGCTCGATATGTCCTTTAGCGTGGAGTCATCGTCGAGCACAATCACTGGATCCTTTCCTCCGAGCTCAACAGTCACAGGGGTAAGAGACTTGGCTGCTGATTTGCACACCTCATGTGCCACGGGACGGGACCCAATGAAAATGATATGATTGACTTTCGGATGAGATGTCAACACGTCGGCATGTCGGGGTAGACACATCAAGGTTTGAACTAGATATTCCGAATGGCCACAGCTCACAATCGCCTCGCGAATAATGTTGTAGAAGAACATGGATGACCACGCTGTATGTTCCGAAGGCTTCACGATGATTGAATTCCCGGCGAAAATCGCACTGATGACTGGAGAGATGAAGTTGTGGAAGGGATAATTCCAAGAGACACAGCCAGCGATAACCCCCAGGGGTTCATATCGAACCGTATTCTTCTTGTACATCATCAGCAAGTTTGTAGGCCGGGAGTCGGTGCGAAGAGACTCCTCTCCATGATCAATAGTCCATTTCAGTTTTTCGGCAGTGACAAGGATTTCTCCAAAACAGGCGTCCACCTTTGTTTTCCCAGAATCTAAACAGCAGGCGGTGACAATCTCATCTTGATGTGCGAGAATGTATCTAGCAGCGCATGCACGTCAGCATTTCACCAACCAGACCATAGCAGGCAAAATGCACGCAGTACACACGTTAGCAATGTCCTCAACACTCTTCTCCTCTCGGCGAAAGTTGTCCGTTTCCATTTCAGCTGGGCAACAACGGCTCGTCGAACCGCAAGGTCAATTTTCTCTGGTGAGGCTGGTTTCACCCCGTTTTCGTCGCCAAGGAGTCGCCCATCAGCGGGGCAGTAGCTGAGGATCTTAGATGGATCGAATTTCTATTGCAGCAACCCGGCGTTAGAACTGAGATTCCATCCTCCCCAAAGAGGACAAAGGTCGTGTGCATACCCCGAAAGACTGCGCCTCAAGAATTTCCCTGTCCGCGTCTCCAACTTCACTCCATGTTTTGCCTTGCCAGCTGGGAGATAGCTCGGGTGGAATGGGCACCGAGAAATCAACCGGACGTTCTCTCCGGGCAAGCGTGTACCTGTAAGCGAGGCGGACGGCGAACCAGGTAGCAAGAAGTATGGAGCCGGAGCTTAGTATCTGTGCGAGGCTGCAGCCCATGCACTTGTTAGCGAGAGACTGAAGGGCCTCCATCCTTTATGGACTGAGATCTCTGCCCCCGAAGCGACGCTGAGCGACCACACCCCTAAGGTGTTTCTCGCTGCAATCCGCCGAAGCTCAAAAGCCCAAAGCCATCGCTCCGGATGCGGTTAGGGGCAGTTGAGTGCCAAGACCCAACTAAGCCGGACAGCGCCAAGCATCTCCTCTCCGCTGTCCCACTCTCCCTCCGGCCGCCCGAGCGTTCGGGGGGCTTGAAAGTCTCAGTAATCTGCTCGGCGCGGCATATCGGCTAGGACGAATTGCCCTTTAGCCTGGCAATGAAATTGTAGGGAGGAGTCCGACTAATGCAAGATGTCTCCCCGGCGTTACGGCCTGTACGCATAAGGAAAAGGGGTAAAAGACAAATCCGGCAACGTGTAACTACGGAGTGAATCTTATCTTGACATGAAAAGGAGTCTTAACAATAACTATCCAATTAGATGAACAGCTCGTGGATGGAAATACTCCGCAGCTCGGATCTATCGAAAGTCAAGTCCCAGCTCCAGCCAGGGTCTTTTTTAGTTCTGTTAAGATGTTCAAAACGCTGCCAAAGTGCTAACTATGCGAAGCAATATCGAAAAGAAACATCTCTCACACAGCCAATTTGGTTTGAACAAGACCGGACCTGCTCCCCTTTCTTTTACCTGTCCGCTTCACCAAGTGATCGATAACACAACCTTTCTCCCAGCCTTCACTTGTCGCGCCAGTTATAGCCCGACACCTTGGACACTCCTTTCCATGGAATATAAATAGTTGATGAAGCGAGTACTTGAGATGATCGGGAACTCGCACTTCAAGATGCCTAAAAGCCGTAATCTCATTGACCTTCTCCGGCGGAACCCACCCAAGCCACTTACAAAGCCGAAAGACGTGGGTGTCCACGGCGAAACATGGCCGACGAAGGCAGAACAGTACGACGCAGGCTGCTGTCTTGACGCCGATTCCGGGATACTTGATAAACTCCTGCATCGCCTCATCTTTGGATAAGCCGTGCATGTGATCCAGGGATAACATATGTTCATCTGAAAGATGGACGGTCTCGTCGCCCCCTTGCTTTGCATCGACAAGATCCTTTCGTCGCGCTATGTTTTGCTCATATACCATGGTGAGTATTTCTTTAATATGTTTGCTCTTGGTATCCGCTAGACCACCGCTCTTTATAGCATCGCGAATTTCTTGCACTGTGGCCTCCCGCACCTTGTTCCAGTTCACACTCCCTTTGCCCACACCATCTTGGAGAACACCGAATTTCTTGACGAGGCCCTGGAACGCCATTGCAGAATTGTTGCCGGTGGTCGCACCACTAAGGAGGGTGCGAATCAAGGCATCGAGAACACTTGGGACTTCTCCACATCCTGATATTGTCAGCGACGGCAGTGGTATCGCTGCTGGTGCTTTGACTTCTCCGTGAACCGTGGCTAAAAGGCGTGAAACTTCTTCACACTGTTCGGCTGTAGGATATGCCCACTCTGGGAAGGGAGTTTCATTGAACACTGGCCGAGCTTTCCGCCGGCTTGTCCTGGGCGTCGTCGCCGCTTTCCCCTTCACTGCCGCGGGACTAGCAGCCGCGATTTCGACGTCAATACCAAGTTGCCGTGGTTGGGATTTCTGCTGCGGGTCTTGTGAAAAAGGGGTTCGCATAGGGCTTCGAGTAGAAACATTTATCGCTGTCCAGCTTGCTGAATAATGTTCGCTAGAGGCGGCTCCGTTCGGCTGGGTGTCCTGACTGGGGGCCCCTTCACCTTTATTTAGTTCAGGTACAGTTATAGTACCTAAGTTATGCGGCAAATCGATGACTTTGGCTGGAGCACTTCCCACTTTCTTGGAGGGTTTTCGCTGCCTTTTAGCGGGTGGCTTCGCTGACCCGACTGAGTCTGGTTCACGACGCTTCCGTTTGGATTGCGATGTGCCAGCGGGTTGTACCATCGTTTCCGTGGGCGTTGTCGTCCTGGGCAGTCGAGAAGCAAATATAGTAAGTTAAGGGACGATTTTCAACCTAAGTCCACGCCCAAAAGTTGACGTTCCCCCTAAGCTGCTTTTGTGTGATGATATTATGTCGTCAACACTGTAAGCCGGTTCGCATGGCCGATGCTCACACTGGTGATATGGGACACCCGAGGTTATGGGTATGGGGTTTAGGTTATAGGGATACTGATCGGTATCCACGGGTCCCTGGCTCTGATGGTATTGTAGGATGTTTCTAAAGTATACCTGTTCCAAGGGAAACTCCCCTTTGAGAGGCTCGTCACAAGCATGCCCAGTTTGCAGGTCCCATTGGTCTATACCACCTGGGCAAGGGTAACTTCTATGGCCGCAATATTGGTACTGGTGATATTGGACCCTGAATCACAACATAGCATATGCCCATAGGACCGGTCATCAATCACCAATAACCTTAGGTGCCTATTGACTTTTTGTCACTGTTGAACCACATTTTGCGCGAAGTCAAAAAACTTGTGACGATCGGGACTTGTGAACGTGAAGAGTTAACCATGTATGTACAATAGAATAAGAACAATGCTGTCTCATTACATGCAATACACATTAGTATTGAATATGAGAACATTAGCCAGCACCTGAATAATGAAACAAAACAACACATGAGTCAAGCAGCCTCAAATGCTATCACCTATTCCACCCTATGCAAGGGATAAGAAATCTAAATAATGTTCGTGTCAAGAGAGACAAAACGATCAAACAAAGAGCACATAAAATCTTCGTTTAAATCTAGCCTAGGTATAATCACCAAAATTATGTAGGGAGATATCCATACGGTCCTTGACCTGGGGGGTATGATCTGCCTCCTCATCACGGTGATGAGCGGAATTCGTCGACTTTGCCGGATCACTTGCCGTTATGGAAGGGACAACTTTGCCGTTTCGATCTAGCTGGACACCATTTGCAGCGACTTGCAATTCCATATCGTTCGCAACGCCCCTTAGGACAGCCTTACGAGCCGATTCCACGACTTTGAGTTTGCGTCCTTCGCCGCGGACCTTTTCCAAGTGGTCGAAGTATCCTTGTGAAACGGGTGTGACGTAATGGCCACAGAAGACGCCAACCTCGAACTTAGTGGGCTCTGAAAGGCCATTTTCTTTGGAGATCTCGGCACAGGCGTCTTTGAGATCGTCAAGGGTCTGGTAGATCACAGTGTCAGCGCCAATGTGTGCTGCAACTGACTCCGTGTCTCTGTTATGGGCGACTAGTTCCTGTGGCGAAGCAAGATCAATGCCATAGATATGAGCATGGCTAGTGGCTATGTCAGCAAATCCAGACCAAAAAAAGAAGCAAGGAGTTGACCTACGTAATTGCAGGCGCACAGCTGGCAAAGTGCACCGTCTTCGCACCAGCCTCTCTGGCCATTGTGACGATCTCACGACTAGTTGTGCCACGGACAATACTGTCATCCACTAGGAGCACATTTCGGCCCTTGAATTCGGACTTCATGGCATTTAGCTTTCGGCGGACACCCTTTTGTCTAGCCTTTTGTTCAGGCATGATGAATGTTCGGAATACATAGCGGTTCTTGACAAAGCCTTGACAATATGGCTTATCTAGGAATCGCGCCACGCTGGCGGCGGATGTGTTGGATGTTTCGGGAATTGGAATAACAACGTCAATCTCCTCAATGGCCTTGGGGCCCAAGGTGTCGACGATACGCTGAGCGAGCTTATCACCCATCCGTTGTCTGCTCCGATACACGCTGATACCGTCTATGACGGAGTCAGGGCGGGCAAAGTAGACATATTCAAAGATATCAGGTGCATAGGCCTTCTTAGGGCAAACCTGGCGGAACACCGGCTCTCCTCCCTTTTGGATAATGACAGCTTCGCCTGGCTGAATATCGCGGATATTAGAGAAACCGAGTTGGTCAAGGGCAACAGATTCTGATGCCATCATGTAATCCATCCCCGATCCATCCGCGGAGGGACGGGACCCAAGCACAAGTGGACGAATGCCATAGGCATCACGGAATCCAAGAACGCCGAAACCGGCCAACATGGCTGTGCACGCCCATCCACCTTCGCACCGCTCATACATCTTACTCAAGGCCGTGAAAATATCTTCATGATTAACACGGACCTTTTTGGTTTCGTTCAACTCATTCGCAAAGACGTTGAGCATCAATTCGCTGTCACTATCGGTATTAATATGTCGATGAGCCTCGTAGTCGAGATATCGCTTAAGCTCAATGGCATTGATCAAGTTCCCGTTGTGCGCCAGGCAAATACCATAGGGACTGTTAACGTAGAAAGGCTGGGCCTCCGCATTAGCGCTGCTGCCCGCCGTGGGATATCTGAGATGTGCAATGCCCATGAAACCGGGTAGGTCGGCGACACGAGCACCATCGTGGAAGACCTTTGCTGCCATGCCATTTCCCTTGCATTGGAATATCCGTCCACCTGAAGCGCAGGTTGATATGCCGCATGCATCCTGGCCGCGATGTTGGAGCAAGTATAGGGCTTCATGAAGGTCAACGCTGGCAGACGCCGAGGCACTTGCCAGGATTAAGGCGAGAATGCCACACATATTGGTGTTTGCGTCCTAGTACAGGTGTCTCTAGCGGTGTCGCAAGTCAGCAAGGGAAGTAACCTGCACAAGAGAGAAGTGTTCCGGAACGTTGTTCATGGAAAGTCTCAAGGATCAGATTGATTGGGTTCTCCGCAAAGGTGTTCAGTAGTCTAACATCCAATAAAAACCATTTTTGATCATCATATAGACAGAAAAAGGCTAGGTTTATAGGCAAGACATGCTGGGGACACATACATCACTGCCACAGACTATTGCTATCGAGTCAAGATAGCGCAGGTTCCCACTTTGAGCGTTCCCAGGAACAATGGACGAAGAGAGAGAAGAGAGTGGCAATGTGATCATGCCAGACACCTGCTATCAAGACATTGAGGGGCAAGAAGGGGGAGAAAGGAATGTGGGATGGGAGACAAGCAGAGATGCCGGACAATCTCCTATCATGGTGAAGGGTTGAGAAATAAAATTCCAGAAAAATATTTGGCCGCTTTTTTTTTTTTTTATTTTTTTCCATTTTGGCGGCCCAAGATTTATACACGCTGTTACGGTGCATGTTTTTTTTCTGCCCATCCCACTTTGCTGGTATCATGATACCGCGGTTTGCCGGCGGTGATACGGTGCGATTTCACCGAAACTTCGGTATTCGGCATGAAACGGTAATTTTCCATCCCTGGGTCACCTGACCCTCGTGATCCGCCCCCTCAAGCGCTTCATCCGCGACAGCGAACCTTTTGCGACGGCAACGCGGACAGCGGATACGGGTGGGCATTGGTATGAGGGTGGGATGTGGATGTCTCTTGACGCTAGGGCGACTCGAATTGTCCACAAGATTACGGAGTACTGGAATCCCCAATCTACCTGGGAGTGCTCGTGTGTGCTCATGCCCTGTTCCGAAGTAGCCCCGCGCAAAGGATAACCAACTACTCCCCACGGTAGTTAATTCGTTGGATATCACCATCCTACATACCCGTCTAGTGCCGTGTCCGGGTTGTTCGCTCACCGACATTCCCTAGAAAATCACTTTATGGCAGTAGCCGCTTTCGATCCTGATTACCAAGGGCTTTCTTCAGTGCCCAAATCAAATGGGATTGAGCATCAAGATAACTTCTGGGCTGCTTTCCCTCGTGATTTATGGACATGTATATGGCCCAGTTGGAAAGACTGGAATTCTCCAGTGCCATCATGGATACTCAATCTGGGGGAATGTCTCTGGAGTTACTCGCGATCAATATCATCGCCGGTTTGGCTGTTTGATCCAAAAATCTTTTCCCGGGAAGGACAAGTTTCTTGCTTACTCTAATCCTCTCATTTCTCATTCACCTTCTTCGACCTTGTTGACTTTGCAAATGCATGTTTCAACAAACCCGGGGATCTGACATATGGTGGTGTCACACACTTTTGGTTCAGATTCTGCATTTTCAAGAATCCTGGTTAGTTGATAGGTCATTTGCAAACTGCCACTAGAAATTTCAACATTGAGATATCAAACCTTTATCTCATCCCTTGGGATAAAGTGTTTGAGCAATGGATATTGCTTTGTTTCGCTGACGTTAGTGTTGGACTTGCAAACAAGCAGTCTTGAAGCTCCATTATTGCAAATTTATGTTTACTAATCTCTTCTGCATACCTAGTATTGCTGCTGGTTCAAAATGAAGTGCTTCACTCAATCAATTGGAGCACTGAAAGTGTCGCCTGTGGTGAAGCTCGGCATCCTGTCAGACGATTGACCCACTAGTTCCCAGCGTATTCAACATCCCTTTGTTGAGGGTGACGGGACAACACAAGTCTCCTATGATGTGTTGTGAAGCGAGCTGTCTCTGGATATGTACCACACTGCCCTTGTGCTTTTCTCCTGTTGAAAAACATATTTTTATTCAATAGTTTCACTTTTTTAACATCCTGGGTACCTGATCTTCCTCTCCACGGTGTGTACTATCTTTGCAGCTTGTATTAGTCTCATGATCCGCCATATTTCTTCATCAAACTGGTTTCGTCTCTTCTACTTGCCTGGAACGTTGCTCGTCATTTTTCTCACTACCACGTAATGGCATTTGACCATGGAGACCCAATTATCATCGATGACGACGACGCCAGCAGCGAGACACTCCGGGGCGACTTTCGCATTGAAGATGTCTTCAATCTGGATGACTTTATGGCGGACGACGATTTTGAGGACTACCTAACGACCCTATCTGCGAATGCCACAAACCCCATACGTCATCAGGCGCGATCTACGTTGCTAGGACTGACTCAGAGAAGGGATCAAATACCGGAAATCCAGATCAGGGGGAAAACATACAAAATGGGCAAGTCTGTTGAGCTGAACGATGCGACCTTCCTACGCATCCATGAAGTATTGCGGGATGCTAGCGGTGAGATATTTCTTCGAGGACAACGGTTTCAACGTTTGGAGCATATGGACAGCCTGGTTCCTGATAGGATGAATGAAGTATGCTGGACGATTGACCTGAACTTGCAAGAGATGGATAACGGAGATGGATTTGAAGAGGTGTCAGTGAATGAGATAAAAGGTTTACGGATTATTCGTCTGACCAACCATCCTTACACAAAAATGAACATCGGCACCACACCCGGGGGTTTCCAAACCAATGAAGAATGCCGCAGAGAGGGTTTGCTTTTCTGTCGTGTCAAGTATATTCGCATTTGGAGCAAGTCGCGAAAACCGCGTATCACAGAGGAAGCGCTGGTCTTTTTGGAGAAGGATGAATGTGACCCTGGCTTCTCCACTGAACCTGTCGCGCTTCGCCACGATTGGAGAGGACTAACAGAGCTGGGAGGCAGCCACAAGTTACCATTTATAGATCTCACAGGAAGCAATGAAAGACGAACCAAATATACCTTTGGGGATGGATTTTGTGGTGCTGGTGGTGTCTCCCGCGGAGCCTTGCAGGCCGGGTTACATGTGCGTTGGGGTTTTGATAAATGCCCAAAAGCCATGGATACCTACCGTCTCAATTTCCGAACAGCAGTCGGAGAGACTTGCGAGGTGGTGCATTTCCTTACCAATGAGACAAAGGATATCATGGTTGATATCATGCACTTCTCACCTCCATGCCAGACTTTCTCGCCTGCGAAGACCGTTGCTGCGTCTACCGACCAGGCTAATGAGGCTTGTATCTTCTCCGCGAGGGAGCTGCTGTTGAGGGTAAAGCCCAGAATTGCGACGATGGAGGAGACATCGGGCCTTCAAGAAAGACATAAAGAGTTTCTTTACGCTACAATACACACCTTTGTTGATCTGGGCTACTCGATACGATGGAAGCTCTTATCTTGCGAAGATTACGGTGTCCCTCAGCAACGGAAACGTCTCGTGATGATCGGAGCCGGGTAAGTATCGAAACATCCCATCAGCCCTTACGACGCTAACATCTTCCTCTCACCTTTTAATCCAGACCCGGCGAACCTCTCCCTCCCTTCCCCAAACCCACACATGGCCCTCCAGGGTCCAACCTCCTCCCACACCGCACCATCCTCGACGCAATCGGCGACATCCCCGAAAACGCTCCCGACCACGATCCCGAACGCGCCTACTTCCGCAACATAACCAAGCCCGCATTCCCCCCGCGCTCGTTCGCGAAGACCATCACGTGTAACGGAGGAGACAACTTCCATCCCAGCGGCACCAGGGGCTACACGCACCGCGAAGCGGCGTGTCTGCAGACTTTCCCCATGGAGCATCGGTTCTGTGGGGTGGGAGTGCTGAAGCAGATTGGGAATGCGGTGCCGCCGATGCTCGCGAAGGCGGTGTTTAGGGAGATTATTAAGGATTTAGAGAGGGTAGATGGTGTTCAACGGTGACAATGGTGTGGGACTAAGCTGCTCGACGGAGTGCAGCATAGTTCTATTTTTTTTTTTTTTTGATCAGGTTTATTTGTGCTGAGGATTAACTACTCCAAATTACAGCATGATTGGCGGTTTGGTAGGCTTTCAAGCCGTTCCTTTGTGGCCAGTTTCTTTTGCTTGTTTGATTTTAGGCGGTTATCAGTTGCTACATGTTTGTTGGCCCATCTATGATAGCAGTAGAGCCATCTCTGTTACGATATTCACCGGCATTCGCCTTGTGTCTGGAAAAGGGAAAGAGTTCGGGATCTAGCATAACATGGTTTCTATGTGCAAATAAAATTCTTTGTATATACATGACAAGAAATATCGCCATTGTTTCTGCAGCCACAATGGTAGTTCTGTAAATATTCTTTCAAATATCCTTTTCTCCTTTTTCCTTTGAATCATCTTGACTTTGCGCTTGCCGCTTAATGCTGCTAATAGAGAGGGGTTTATATTGTCTGTTGTTTGTGTTGGAAAAACATACCAGCTTCTCTCTGATATTCTGTTTAATATCCCTGTTTTCTTTACTGGGTTTCCGCTTCGCTCAAGACCAATCTTTTCGGGCTTGTTGCACTTCAGAGAAAGGAGAGAGCAACCAGAAGCTTTGTACAATCCAGTCTGAAGAACGAAAACGGGTAGCGATCGGGGTTTGTGCTTTTGTGATAGGAGCAGGCATGAATTCATCCCAACATCATTTACGTTTCAACGTCCGTGGGAATTTCGAGATTTAGAAACCTATACATATGTCAGCAAGATGACTATTCAGTATAACCTCCCCTTTCTTGGGGGGGAAAAAAAAGGAAAATAGATGATAACTCCTCACCTGACTCTGTGTTTCCTTCGCCCATGCTCTTGTTCGAGCTGCTGCCGCTGAGAATGGAGCCCAGAACTCCATCGACGTAGGGAGCACCACTCCACTTCTGGTGGGTCAGAACGTCAACGCCCATCTCTTTTTCGCGTTTCTGGACGAGATTGACATATGATAGCATGCCATCTTTCTTGAACCCTCTTGAGAGCTCCGTTGCGATAGTAGCGTTGGTGTGCAGACCGGCAAGCGAGATGAGTTGGAGAACGAATCTATTCCATGTTAGTCTTTGAAACCATCCTTCCCAAGTCCCGGGGGGGGGGGGAAGGGTCTGCGAGGAAAACTCACCCATGTTTGGCGAGGTCCCAGATGAATGATTTCAGGCTGGCCTCGTCAAAGCCCTGTCCCATCCAGTTAAACGACGGGCTAAGGTTGTAGACCAGCTTCTTTCCGGGGAACTTGTTTCGGATCTCGGCGGCGAATCCAGCTGCCTTGCTGACGTTCGGGTCGCCGGTTTCAACCCAGAGGAGATCAGCGTAGGGAGCGAAGTTGATGGCGCGCTTGGTGGCCGCTGCTTCACCGGCGCGATAATGGTAGAAACCTTCTCGGGTTCTTGGGATGTCCCATGACCAGAAGACCGGGCATTTCGCGAGGGTGTCTGCGAAGGCCCGGCGTTCTGAAATGGACATGTCTCTGTTTTCGCGAACCTTTGCCTTGTATTCGTCAATGGTGGCCTTGGAGGCTCCTTCGGAGACGAGATGTTGTTCCACAGCTGGAGAGTGGTATGTTAGCAAAATCTCCTATAAAGTCCGGTGGTGTGTAAACGTTTACCCTCGTCAAATGTCACCAGTTTATGTTCCTTAACCCATTTCATTTCGAATTTATCGATCTCGGCACCCGAAGCGCCTTCGAGCTCCATCTTCTGTAACTCTTCTGACAGTGGCGCGGTATCCTGTGTGACTCCAAGAATGAATTCGTGGTCTCGAACATCGATGGTGCTGCTGAGAAGCTTCCCGCTTTCAGAGTCGGTTCTAGCAATGACTAAATTCTCGGTTCCCATGAGATCCCATTGGAACCTGGCAGCCACCAGGCGATTGATATGCTCGGAGATTGGAACCAAGACCTTTCCAGCGAGATGGCCGCACTTCTTGCCTCCGTGAAGTTGGTCCTCGAAGTGGACGGCCGCGGCGCCGTTCTCGGCGAAGAGCTTAGCGAGCTTCATCACCGCCGTCAGGCCTCCGTGCCTATGAAACATGAGCTGTGCACTACCCAACGGGAGCGAATGGCGTATACAAACCCTGTGTCACCGTCAGCAACGATTGGGCGCATATAGTCGACGTATTGAGTAGTCTTTCTCTGCTCAGCAGTCATCTTCCGTCTGGCATCCCAGTGCTTGCGATCGTGCATCTGCTGGGCCTTGAACAATCGCTGCACCTGGTTCGGAACGGTGTTGTACGGATAGTCACCGAAATCCGGGGAGACCTCGTTTGTGGTCGTCAGGAGGGAAGAGCAAGCCCATCCGGAGATGTACAACACTTCCTGGTTGGGAGCCTGCTGCGTCATCTGTACAGGGTCGATTGCGCCAACTACAAAGAACATCACGGATTACTCTTCCAGATCCTGCCCATACACACACACACGCACACACACAGAGAGATTGGGTTGTTTTTACGACTTACGGGTGTGCAGCGGTTCGCCTTTAGCAGCCTTGTCGTTGAGTAGATTGAACAGTTTTCTAGCCATCAACGAGCTTGGATATGACTGCTGCAAGGATCCTCTCTTGCTGACGACGTCCTCTGCGGAATAGGGCCGTTTGATGCCCTCATAGCGGGGAGAAGCCCACCACTCCTTGACGGCGTTCACCTCCTGCTCGAAGAGGGCATCTTCAGCGGCGCCGGCCTTCTCCGACGTGGACAGCAGCTGGTACGAGTCTGCGGGGAATTCAACAGACACCGGTGGCTTAACCGGAGGAAGCTGCGAGGCCATTCTGACGGAGGTATAGGCCAGACGTCCAGCGGCAGAGCAGCGAGGGACGACAGAGGGACGTGCAGCTTGTCGGAGCTGTCTCGACAGGCAGCGGGAAGCGTTGCGAAGCATGGCTCGCAATATGTAGCTTGATCGGGGGGAGGAAGGGAGAACAGAGTGAAAAGCGACGAGCAGGATGCAGGCTGTCTTGTGCCCTGACTACTCCTGTGTCTCTTTGCGGTGGTGATTTTGTTTTGCTCAGGCGAAGTTCACCTCGCCGTCGTTCCGTCGCCGCGAAGAAACAAAAACAGGCGAATCGCCAATTCCTATCAGATAAGACAACAAGGGACGAGCCGGGGATACGGCGATTACCAGACGGTACGACGATACTGCGAGCTTGGCGGGCAGCACAGGCGGCAACGGGGGGTCCGGCGTGTATTCGGAGCGTACCGGCTAGGCTCGGCGGCGGCTGTGATTGGCCGGGCGGCTCCTCGGGCGCAAGGGAGTTGTTTTCTCGTTACAGCGATACACTAAACAAGTTATTCTTCGTCTTCTTCTTCTTCTTAATAGTCTTTCTCTCTCTCTCTCTCTCTCTTTGTACTCTTTTAATTCTCTCATTCTTCTCTCTCCCCGGACTCTTTTCTCCCTCTTCTCCTCCTTGCTCTGCTTCTCGTTGTGGTGCAATTGACCCTCTCACACCCACCTCCATCCCGATCGAAGAGGTTTTACCATCTCGACCTGCACGTAATGTCGGTCGCTAATCCAGTCCTGCGCCGCCTCTCCGCCCGCACCCCACGCTCTTTTTCTCTTAACCGGCTCGCTGCCTCCTCTCTTCGACCTTCTTCCTCCGCCAGATACTTCTCTCCTCGCCAGATCTCCCAGCCAAAGACCTTCTCCACCATGTCTGCCCTCCAGTCCGCCGCTCCTGCGCCCGCCGGCCCAAGGGAGTACGACCCAGAGATCAAGGACATGGCCAGCTACATCCACAAGTACAATGTCAACTCGGATCTTGCTGTACGAAATTTCCCTGCAATCCACTTCTCATCCCCCGTTAATCCTAGCTTTTGAATGAATCGAGGAACCTAATTCTCTCTCTCTGTTTTTTTCTTTTTTGGGGCGATTCTAGTTCGATACTGCCCGATGGGTCTTCCTTGACACCCTCGGCTGCGGCCTCGAGGCCTTGAGATTCAAGGAGTGCACAAAGCTCCTGGGCCCAATTGTGCCTGGCACCGTCGTCCCCAACGGCACCAAGGTCATTGGAACCCCCTACCAGCTTGATCCCGTCAACGGCGCCTTCAACATCGGTGCCATGGTCCGCTGGCTGGACTACAACGACTGCTGGTTGGCCGCCGAGTGGGGTCACCCGTCCGACAACCTGGGCGGTATCCTCGCCGTCGCCGACTGGATCTCCCGCACCAACCGTGCCGGTGGCAACCTGGCCAACGGCAAGGTCCTCAAGGTCCGTGACGTCCTCGAGGCCATGATCAAGGCCCACGAGATCCAGGGTGTCCTCGCCTTGGAGAACTCCTACAACAAGGTCGGATTGGACCACGTCGTCCTCGTCAAGGTCGCTACCACCGCCGTCGTCGCCAAGCTCATGGGCTTGACCGAGCAGCAGACCGCCGACGCCATCACCCAGGCCTGGGTCGACGGCCAGAGCTTGCGCACCTACAGACACTCCCCCAACACCATGTCCAGGAAGTCCTGGGCCGCCGGTGATGCCTGCCAGCGTGCAGTCAACCTCGTCCTCAAGGTCCAGAAGGGTGAGGCCGGTGTTCCTACCGTCCTCTCCGCCCCCGTCTGGGGCTTCTACGATGTCCTCTTCAAGGGCAACAAGTTCAAGTTCCAGCGTCCATATGGCAGCTACGTTATGGAGAACGTCCTCTTCAAGGTCTCCTACCCTGGTATGTACTGCAATATTGCATAGAAGTGAAATGGAGGTCAAGTCACTCACGACCGTCTGCAGCGGAATTCCACTCCCAGACCGCCATCGAGGCCGCGAAGAAGATCAACGGCACCCTCGCCAGCATGGGCAAGTCTGCCGAAGACATCAAGGAAGTCACCATCAGAACCCACGAGGCCTGCGTCCGCATCATCGACAAACAATTCAAGCCAATGGACAACTTCGCTGACCGTGACCACTGCATTCAGGTACGTTCTTCTCCCCTCTGATCGGGTGAACAAAAAATAAATAAATAAATAAAGAAAAATAAACATAAAAAAAATAAAACAAGGAAATAAGAAAAGAAACACTAACAGCGCTTTGCTTTTCTAGTACATGGTTTCCACCATGCTCGTCTTCAACCGCCTCGTCGCCACCGACTACACCGACGGATCCGAGGCCGCCACCTCCCCACTTGTCGAGTCTCTCCGCAAGCGCATCCGCTGCGTCGAGGACCCCCAGATGACCAAGGACTACCACGACCCTGCTCTCCGCACCATCCCCAACGCCCTCACCGTCACCCTGAACGACGGAACCGTCCTCGAGGAGGTCGTCGTCGACGCTCCTCTCGGCCACCGTCTCCGCCGTGAGGAGGCCAAGCCCGAGATCCTCGCCAAGTACAAGCGCCACCTCGAGGCCCACTACGATGCCTCCAAGGTCCAGTCGCTCATCGACTTGGGTCTCAAGCAGAAGGAGCTCGAGAACATGGATGTCGACAAGTATGTTGACCTGTATGTCAAGGAGAAGGTTGACTTTTAAATGAAGTAGGTGGGGGAAGGAATCGGTGATTGGGATTAGCAGGAGTTCTTTTTGAATTGAACAAAATCACATCACAATTGATATGTTAGATCTCGCGCGGACCTGGAGCCCTTTCTTGCTGCGTCCAAATTGAACTAACTGCCCTTTCGTTCACCGGGTGGTTTCAAAAAAAGCGCTTGGGATTTGCAAAGGGGGAGCGTTGGGGCATGAATGAACTTTTAATAACATCTAGCGGATATACATTGAAAAGAAAAGAGACCCAAAAAAAACAAAAAAGAAAAGCAACGCAAAACAGCGTGTGTGAAATAGTATATAGCTATGTGACTACTATGTATAAATGCATTTCCGTGACAGTTGAACTGCATTGACGTGTTCCTTGCTGATGAATTCCAAGGGCAGCCTTCAATTTAACCCAAAATGATAAAAAAAAAAAAGAAAAAGAAAAAAAATATGAAATCAACAATTTTCAGCACAGGCTTTTTCCTCCCACCCGCAAGTGCAGACTAGCCGGCGTCGACATTTCATGCTGATCATTCTGTTATAGATCTTGCTCTCAAACCCCGAAGACATTCGTTTAGGCGCGGTGAGACAGTGCTGAAACCCGCACTGAGCCGAACTTGTAACGCTGCCGGCTCGCTTGGCGCAGACCGGTGGCCCTGCGAAACCTCCTGCAAGCGACAAAGTTATTATCTTCATTCTGCAGGATAATCTTCTGTCTTCCCTTTTCCCCGTAGCGGTTCTTTTTTTTTTTCCCCCTTCCTGCTCTTACAGCCTACTGTCTCATGCGTCAAGCCAAAACCCCTCCGGGTTCAGGATGTGGCTTGTCTTGGACGCCTACGTGCTGCGTCAAACTGTCGAAGGCCCGTGAGCCAACCAGTTGATTGCTTGTGTTTTTCTTTTCTTTCTTTGCTAGCCGTCGAACGACACAGGATGGACTGGGGATGATAGTTGATACATAAACCGGAGACTTTTCGTCTCGAATGCAGGGAGCTGCATGAGCATGCGATGCTATGCCGGTTCCTGTTTATCTGCTCCAGCTTTCCTGACTCCCTTCCGTCTCTCTTCTTGTCATTCTTCAAATTCTATATACCCCATAGCTCATTGTATATCGGTTGATCTTTTCAGATAGGATCAACGATATAAACAGGTACTCGATTGGAAAAGATCATCCCCTTTTTCAGTTTTCTCTTGTCTCCTTTTTTCTTTTTTCTTTTTTTTTCCCTCCTCTCTCTCGCAATGAAGTCATATTTCGCCGCTGCGTCGACGCTATTTGCCCTAGCATTCTCACAAGCCACAGTTCCCCCGGACCTTTCTGGAGGCTTCGGCTCTGGCTCTATCGACCTGCAGGTCAGCTTTGGCGGCGACGCTTCTGACGGATTGGCTGATGGCGCCGTGGTATCGAAGCAGGGTAAGCTCCCCCCTCGGTTCCCTCGATCATGGGACAAACAACGAAATCGCACAAGCGCACACGCTGAGATGAAAGATGGCAGATGCATCCCGTACGCCCAACTTTGCCCTGGGCGATGCATCCGGTGTCAACACCGCGCTGTCGTTCATGATCATGATGGTGGATACTACGGAGGAGGGCTCGAGACGGATACATTACATGCAGACTGATTTCAAGGCGACGGGCGAAAAGACGAAGATCGAATCGTCGAGTGAGCCTGCCGTGAAGTACACGGCGCCGGGCAGCTTGGGAGAGACTGGTAAACGGGAGTATTCGTTTCTGATGTACTTGCAGCGCGGCGAGACCAGCTTGGGTGAGATTCCCGCGGCGGGTGATGAGATCGACGTCAAGGAGTTTGAGCAGAAGAACGGGTTGCCGGAGGCGAGAGCCGGGCTGGCGATTTCTGTGGATATGGGAGGAGAAGACGGCCAGAATACCGAGACGGAGGTTGCCACGACCTCGACGGCTGCCACGACGAGCGCCACGATGTCGTCCACCTCTGATCCTGTTACGACTACATCGTCTTCGACGTCGGTCCCGCCACCACCACAACAGCAACCACCGCCAGCAGCATCGTCGCCGCCACCACCACCAGAGTTGGACGACCCAAACAACCCGCAAGAACCGAACAACCCGCAGCAGCCAGACAACGACGGCGACCCAGTTCTGTTCCCGTTCCCCTTCTCATTCCCATTGTCCACGCCCGCAGGGGGGACGGGTATCTTTGCAGATCCTCCATTAGGCACGGGTGCGTCCACCATTGCTCCCAGCATGACAGTCACCACCATACTCCCCGGTCCACCACCACCACCACCACCAGCAGCTAACAATGCCACCACACTCTCCCGCCTTCCAGGGCGTAACGCACCCATACCCACACCCACTCTCACTCTCACTCAGCCTACTGACGTCGAGACAGAAGCCGAGCTAGACCCGACGGGGGCTCCCGACGCGGCAGAAACGCCCGCCCAAGAGGAGCCAGAGATCCCCGTTGAGACGCAGACGAGCGTTGTCTTCGTTCGGCCGGGTGGTAGCACGACCTCTGTGGAAGACGCGGACGCGAACGCGAACGCCGCGGGCCCCGAAGAGACCCTGCAATCTCAGCAGGATTCGGGGTCGCAGAAGATGGGGGTGACGGGACATCTTCCGCTGGTCTTCACGCTGGGCGGTGCCGTCGTTGGTGTCTTTATGGCACTGTAATTTAATTTTATTACTTTATTTTTATTTTTTACGTCTGCTTCTTTCTTACGAAGATGCTATTTATTTTTCGAGCTTGACGCTTGTGACAAACTTCTAGCCAGGCGCTGGTAAGGAAGAGATGAATGTTATGTAAACTAGTATTTAACTATGTGACTCGGCGATTGACTCGCTGGATGCCTTTTATGTATGTATATAACTGGGGGAAGAGCATGGCTGTTGCGAATATTGCGGATATCCCCTTTTTTTAACATATTATTATTGTACAGAGTATTTCCAATATAATTCAATGGCTTTACACCATCAAGAGTGAGGACTAACTATAACTCAGGATTGATCTCAGCGGTAGTTAGTTCGGGCTGCGAGAATTTACGATGATGGCTGTCCCGCAGTTAGGAGAATTCAAGAGCAACCAGTTCATCCAGCTCTCTCATTCTCTCTTTCGCACACTCAATAACACCCTCTATCTCTCTCTCTTTTTTTTTTTTTTTTTTTTTGCGGGAGTGTTTCGAGATGACCATCAGGAAACTGGCTTATCCCAGGGTAACTTTGGCGGTGCCTCTTCGGCTCCCTATTCGACGAAGCCGAGCGCTACTGCGGAAGTACCGAGGTCGAACCCGACAAACAGCCCGTTGCGGCCGGCACTAGTTAACCAACAGGGCCGCTTGAGTTAAACCAAGTTACCCCAGCTTATCCCGCCCGCAGAACGGCTATATGTATCTTGCACCGAGATACCGTGGGGAAAAAGCCAAAAAGGCACAGCAGACAAAGCAGGCCCAGCAACGCCGGGGCGTACAACGAACCCTACCCTACCCTACCCCAGCAACGCGCGAGCCAGTGTTTCCAAGAATGCGCGGAATTTGTGGAAGAATACTCCGTACTCCGTAAATGTTAAATTTATTAGATCTTCGTAATCATGGCCGCTGCTTCGGCTATTGATTTCTGTCTTCCCCGTCTGCTCTCTTTCTCTTTCTCTCCTTCTCCTTCTCCCTCTTTTTCTAATTCTCTCCTTCTTCACCTCCCTCTGGCTCTTCTTTTCGTCCCTCGGCATTTGCATCTTGATCTGTTGTTCCCTTTTGGTGCAGCGTAATATCCTGCTCTGTCCATCTCACCAGAGCCTAGTTAGCCTGTAGTCATTGCTTGATTACTACACCCAACTGCATTGATAGAGACTCGGCTAAAAAGGCCTGACGGGGCAAAAGAAAAGAAATGGCATTGGGTATGTAGTTAGCTAGCTCTGATCTACTTGATACCCAGCATGGCAGCTCTGATATATCTTGCTAACTGCTTCTACCCTCTTTCCCAACAGCTACTGCTGCTCTCGCGGCCGGCGGCGCCACTCTGGCCGCATACCTCAATGCCAAATACCACATCAAACAAGATCTATCAGCCATAATCAGAGCAAAGTCGAGCGAGCGTGAGGTCGCACGTGCAGGTACGCTGTAGAAAGGAAAAAAAAAAAAAGGAAAGGCCCCCCTTTTCAGGGTCCCTTGCTAACAGTCCCCTCCAGTCGCCAATGGCAAAGTATCTGCGTGGTACTTCTTCGCCGAAGCTGTCAGAAAGTATCCCAATGTCAAGTGTATCTGGTCGCGAGAGGTCGAATACACCTTCCAGGAAGCCCACGACATGGCCTGCCAATACGGCCACTACTTCCTGTCCCTTGGCGTCAAGAGAGGAGATCTAGTCGCGGTCTATCTTCAAAACTGCGCCGAGCTACCTCTTATATGGTTTGGGTTATGGGCCATCGGCTGTTCTCCGGCATTGATCAATTACAATCTGGCCGGACCCGCATTGATACACTGCCTGAAGGTCAGCGGCGCGGAGTACCTGATTGTTGACCCTAGCCCGGATTGCTCAAGCAGGATCGACGAGGAACGCTCGGCGGTCGAGGGCGAATTGAAGATGAAGCCGCTGCTTCTAGACGAGAGCCTAAAGGCGTATGTTGCGACTTTCCCGTCTGCCGTTCCCGACGAGTCTCTGCGGCTAGGTCTTGAGGGCGGGTCGCCCTCTTGTCTCTTCTATACCAGCGGCACAACCGGGTTGCCAAAGGCGTCTGCCTTTACCATGGCCCGGATGTACGGGACCATATTAATAAGTGGCTTGGACGAAAAGCCAGGTGAAGGTGGGGATCGCTGGTATAACTGCATGCCGTTGTATCATGGAACCGGAGGAGTGAGACTGCAAGTCTGCCTGAGCCGCGGCGTTAGCGTTGCCATCGGAAAGAAGTTCAGCACAAGGAACTTCTGGAAGGATGTGATCGACTCCGAGTCCACCCATTTTATCTATGTTGGCGAAACCGCCCGTTATCTCCTCTCAGCGCCTCCATCACCTCTGGATCGTCAGCACAAGGTTCGTGGTATGTACGGCAATGGGTTGCGCCCGGACGTGTGGGAGAGATTCCGCGAGCGCTTCGGTATCCCCGCCATTTACGAATTCTTCAACAGCACGGAAGGTATATTTGGCCTGCTCAACACCAACTATGGCCCTTACGGTGCCACTTGCGTCGGGCACCACGGAGCCATCCTCCGCAAGTTCTTCAACAACACATATATCCCCGTCGCCATTGACCCCGTAACCGCAGACATCCTCCGCGACCCCGTCACCGGCTTCGCCACTCGCATGCCCTACGCAGAAGGAGGCGAGATCCTCGTCGCCGTGCCCAACGAGGAGGTTTTCCAGGGCTACTGGCGCAATCCTCAAGCCACGTCGAAGAAATTCGTCCGCGACGTCTTCCAGAAAGGCGACCTCTACTACCGCACCGGTGACGCTCTGCGCCGCACCGACGATGGCCATTGGCACTTCCTCGACCGTCTGGGAGATACCTTCCGCTGGAAATCGGAAAACGTGTCCACCGCCGAAGTCGCTGTGGTGCTAGGACAGTATCCCGGTGTCCTGGAGGCCAATGTGTATGGTGTCTTGGTTCCTAATTATGAGGGGCGTGCGGGTTGTGCGGCGTTGCTGATCGATCCCGCGGAGCGTGGACGATTTGACTGGGCTGGGCTCGTGCGCCATGCGCGAGAGAAGTTGCCGAGATACGCCGTTCCAGTGTTTATTCGCATCGTCGAGGCGTCGAATCATATTCATAATAATAAGCAAAACAAGGTTCCACTGAGAGAAGAGGGTGTTGACCCTGCGAAGAAAGGCACGAAGGTGAAGGATGGCGAGGCGGATCAGATTCTGTGGATGAAGCCGGAGGACGATACGTATCGGGAGTTTACAGTGCAGGATTGGGAGAGATTGATGAGGAGCGAGGTGAGACTATAAGTGAGCGTTTGTGCTGTACTCGTCAGTTTGGGTAACGTTTGATTTTGTGGAGGTGTCTTATAAACACTCAAATGGAACCATTGTCGTTGATGTAGTTACTTTGCAGTAACAGAGTATAGACTAAAGTAGTTATCAATATGTGACTTTGGAATTTTGGAAACTCAGGCTAGAGAAAGGGGGTTTTCTCAGCTGTCATATGTGTTTCCCGCCTCAGTAACACTTTGAACACCTCTTCACTTGCTAGCAGCAGCACTTGTCTCTTCTTGATAATACGGATCTCAGGTCCTGCTTCGACGTCCATTGTCCTTGAAACGACGTGCAAATCCCCCAACTTCCCGTTTCATCTTCCGTGTTGGTCGAGAACCAATCGCATTTGATGTGGCTGAGATTTCAACTTATGTCGTCTCGATAACTCTGCAGCAGGCTTCATGTGGATTAGCCTCCTGGAATTATCTGCTTTCCACTCGAGCCAATTCATTCTTCAATCGTTTCTCGCGTGCAGTGACACCGAGAAGAGGTTGAAGCGATGTGATTCAAAATCTATTCACACTATCAATCGACTTCAGTCTTTTCGGAGCATCCAGGGTCTGAACGACTCTCCACGATTTATAATCCACATCAATTCTTCTGGATTCCAATTCAATGTTCGTATTCTAGCACAACTAAGACTTGGTGTATGGAGCCTCTTTAGAAAATCAGTAGTTATGCAGCACAATCATCGACTTGGTCCAGGCTTCATATGCTGCCAACTTCCATCTTCCTTCCATGTGCCAGCCTTGGTAAAATCCCCAAACCAAGAATTTCCAAAGGCGTCCCGGAAAATATAGCCAAACCTGAAGAATTCCAACGTCACCTCTGGATGGCGTCTCCATGTAAATGACTTTTTGTTGTAGGATTCGTATGACCGATAGCGCTCAACATCATTCACTAGCACGCTAATCCCACCGAAACCGGCAGTCAAATTGGAGAAACTAAAGGTAATAGAGTTATTGGTGATTGTTGGCTCAGGAATATATGGAAGGGGGCTGTTCATCTGTGCATTACTGAGTAATTCGATGGATGTCTCGAGGATACTTGCGAAACCCCATCTTGCGACGCCGTTGATGAAAAGACCGACAAGAAATCCCTGATACAGTAGGGTGGGACGAGTCTGCGTTGCAGTCCCCGGTAGAAGGAGCAACGCTACAATGTAATGATGAAGGCGCAGGTGCATGTGTGGAATCGCCAACAAAATCAGAAGAACACTGCCAATCAAGGCATATAGCTTGAGAAAGTTGAGCAGTCTGCCCTCGGTTCGCAGGACCCAAGCCTGGACCAAGGCTATTGCGGCGATCACGAGAACCAAAATCAGAAGTGCAAATATCGCGCCAGGCTGTTGCTTCAGGTCGTGTGGTGTCAGTCGAGATAGGGGAATACGATCAAGCGTGTAATTATGCAAAGCGCCAACCCAACAACCTCCAAGCCAGAGAATCGTCTTCTCCACCTGAGCATCGAGGTTACGGAGAGTTATCCGTGCCCAGAAGTAATAGATCGCAAACGCGACAAATCCTGCAGGAAGGAATCTCGCCAATGCGATAGAAACAACACTAGAAAAGCTGTAGGACTCGGGTGTATCCGACACAAGGGCGACGTGGAAAAAGATCCCAGCGAAGGAGCAAGTGAAGAAGACCGCGCCCGAAGCTGTAAAGAGTGACAGCAGCGAAGTGAAGGCCACTGATAAAGCAAGCAAATGCCAGCGTAAATCTTGGCATTGAGAATCCGCGCCATCTGAGAGTTTTTCAAAAGTGAACGACAAGGGAAAATATGAAGGAAACGCAGTGCTTGAGACCCCGTTGG